ATTTTTCGGTGCTCGCTCGAACGTTCACGGTTCGTCTGCTGCTTCGCGCGTGCGTCATTCTTTCGTTTCGCTCGGTAATTCATCGCATGCGCGGCATGTTTTTTTTTTCTTTTCTCTTCAATATGCTTGAAAAAATGTACGAGAAGGGATGATATCGCCGAAGCGAAAATATCATCGCGGTGGGATTAATGAAATGAATAATGAAGCCTTGTCGAATAATTATGGAACTCGCCGTGAGCGAGTTGGCTGTCGTGTAATCGCAATGATAAATGTGAAATTGGAGTTCGCGCTCGAACTGCCGGCTGAAATCCACAATTAATGTAGGAATTTTAAGAAAGAGAAAAAGCCTTCGCGATTATCAAGGATAATTTTGCGCGTCCGTCCGTCGAGAAAATGGGGAGAAAGCGAGGAAAGAGGGGGCAAGTTCAATGTTTTCTCAGGCAATCCTTTCGCAAGGACAAATTGACTACGCAAAACTGAATGAATCGTGTGCCCGTGCGCATTGCAGAGAGCGAGCAAGGCTCGTGGGAAAGCGGCCTGTCGTACGAATGCAGATCGCTGCTGTTCAAGGCGCTCCATAACCTGATCGAGAGGTGCCTGCTCGCCCGGGACTTCGTGCGTCTCGGCAAGTGGTTCGTACAGCCGTACGACGGCGTGGAGAAGCATCGATGCGCAAGGTACGTTACACTAGGTTCGCTTAAAGAACCAGCCGAACCGACAGAAGCCCGAACTGACGTTAATGCGCTCCTTCGCCGTCGCAAATTGCAGCAGCCACCTGTCGTTCTCGTTCGCGTTCTTCGTGCACGGCGAGAGCACTGTGTGCGCGAGCGTCGACGTAAGGCAACATCCGGCGGTCAGGCATCTGAGCAGGGCTTGCTTGCAGCGTGCGCAGACTTCCCAGTCGCCCGTGAAAGGTGAGTAAAGCGACTCTCTGCCAACTGGCTCGAGCCGAAGAAAATGTGTGGCTGCGTACGATTTCTCGATTAGCGACTCAATGCCAGCTCGCTCGATTGCGCTCCGTGACAGCGAAGGAAAAAAACAGATCGCGTTAACCTCCGTTTATCCTACTTTTCCTTCGAATCCGTCGAGAGAGGCGCGCGCGATACGCTCCGACGGATAGATCGAGGAGAATGAAAGTTTTATCAGAAACGCAATGTTCTGGACGTAACGCAACAGGTGGCTTGAAATATAATTTTGTGAAATATCATTTTGAATCATAGAGGTTGAGAGATTTATGCGTGCACTAATTTACCCCTCCTGTCTCTCTTGTCACACACTCATCTACCTAATTACGCGCCTCGCTCGCCGCTGTGACATTAGCTGCAAAAAAAAAAAGAAAAAAAAAGAAAAAAGAAAAAAGAAAAATCAGAAAAAGTATCTCGGTGCGTAATGAAAAGCGATTACAATTGACATTGTTGAAATGGCGATTAAACTTTATCGTTATTCGACTAAGCGATCGAGATCGCAAAAACTAGCATTTCCACATATTTTTTTCGATTGCAACAATTACATTTACAACCTACTAATCTCGAATTGTCCACTTTCGCAGTGATCCTCGGACCGTATGGCCTTGCAGGAACGCTAACCGGTCAAGTAGCCCGAGTCGATTCTCAACTACTGGACGAATGGAAGCAATTCTATCCGATCAGTAGTTCAGGTCTCGAACCCGGCATGCCGGCATTAGTAGAAGTCTTAGTCGGTGGTGTTCGCATGCGCTATCCATCGTGTTACGTCCTCGTCACGGACATGGACGAAACGTCGACGATAGAGCAACAGCAGCATCATCATCCGCAGCAGCACCAGCATCTTCACCATCACCATCGCCACACGATGGAAATAACGATGCCACTGTCACCACCCGACTCGCCGGCAAGCTACGAGCATCCGTTGTCGATGCAACGTGATCTGGGCCCCGCCACCGAGTTACCCGAGAGGGTATGGGCTGAATGTATCGTTGGTAGTCCCAAGCAAGAGGCTGCGGAATTAGGCTCGTGGAATTTCAACGATCCGAGTATCAAGTCTTCCTGTACTTGCTCCAAGTAAGTGATAGAACAAAACACGAGCGTGTAGGATTCAATGGGGCCACTTTAAGGGTGTGCATGCGATTATTTATACATCTATATACATATTTATACATAGGAGTGTCGTTTATATTATCCTGTCTCTCGACGAACTCAGCTTTTGGTTTTCCTTTTTTCATTAGTTCCTTGTGTTTTATTTTTCATTTTTATTTGCGACTGAATTATTATATTACACACAACGATCAGTAAGCAATTTTTATTCTTTATTTATTCATTTATTTCTTCAACTATACTTTTCTTGACGCGCAACCAGTGTAATGTAGCATGTTCAGAAGGAAGAACGGAGCGATCGATTACTTTTTTTTCTTTTTAATTTGTTTGTTTGTTTGTTTGTTTCGTTTCTATGTAGAGTAGATGTTACCCACAAAAAGACACCGTTGAAAATCGTCATTGGACAATAAAGATTCCTTGATTACGTGTGTTTTTTGCATGAACGTATTACACGAGAGCAGCGTCAGTATATATACGTTATGTACAGTTTTATACTTGTTATGCCCAAAAGTCAACTGTATAAAGTTAAAAAGGAAAGTAAGATAGCGTGAGAGTGTTTGTTGGGGTTGGCAAATGTGTAAGATTCGTGATGAGAGAGAAAGAGAGAGAGAGAGAGAGAGAAAGAAAGAGAGGATTAGAAAGAGAGTGAGCGAGAACCAACCGCGCGGCAAATTTAAAGGAGGCCCGGAGGTCGCGGACGTAAGAGGAAATCAGCACTGGACGGCGAGTCGGCGGCGCACCGCAGTCCTAGTACCTGGAAGAGCAGTACTGGTGGCAGTAGTAGCAGCAACAGCAGCGGTGGTAATGCAGCAAGCAACAACACGAATCTCACAGTCGGTAGCAACACGTCGAGTGCTAGTAATTTGCAAGCGCCGCCACCGTCGAGTGGAAGTCAAAGGGAAAAAAGCGCGAGGAGACCACCGCCTGTGCCTTTTCATCGTAGGTCCACTCTGTTCTGGGATACCACTGCCGTTGCCACCTTTGCCACCGCCGCCACTGCTACCACTGCTAACAATCTCGTTACGCCTTCCGTTAGTGCCCCAAGGTGGGTAATCATGTTGGAAAAGAATCGAGCCGAGTGTATTCATCAAAACGATCAAACAATATTGTTTTTTTTTTATCTATCTCACCGTCATCTTCATGACATTAAAGGCTTGTTGGCGCTGTAGAGGATGGTTTTACTTCTTGGTGATAGAAGGGTAGAAATATTTGTGAGCAACTTTAATTGAAATCTATATTATGCCGATGCTCGGGAATATTTCTATCTCCATGTATATTTTTGACGAATAATGAAATGGGTAAAATAGTTTTCTACTGCGCTACTTTACATATGCTGGCAGATTGTAACAATGGCGGCTCATTAACATCCAAAGATAATGATCGTAAAAGAAAGAAGGATATTATTAATGTAAAGCAAGTATTTCTCATTCGTGGATATGTTAAAATACGAGAATACATCGTTTGCATACCTGTCCGACTGCAGTCGGATGTCGTTTACTTGATTTTTCGTTTCGAATGAGAAATATATCATTTACGTTATTAACACTCCTGCTTTGACAAAAAAAAAGCAAATGGAAATCAACCATCCTGCCCGTCATTTCATCGCTTACCTCACTAAAAAATTATTAAATGGAAAACGAAACATCGCCGCACTGCGTATCTGCTCTCATCCAAACACAAATAATATCTACATGTATATATATTTATGCCGAATATTAATATATATCTAAGTGTGTACATAATCGTTTGTAAGATATCTCGGAAATTACCTAATGTAAGAATGAATAATAAAAGTCGTCACTATCTCTTAACCATCAACGCCGGGATGATTTGATCGACGCTGTGATATTTTTTTCTCTTAACACCATGCGAAGTCATCTTTTAATGCGATATCATCGACGAATGACTTATTAATGTATTAATCTGATGTATATAATCGAGGGTTCACGTTTTTACTTTTTTCCGTTAATCTGCATGCGCTGTTCATTTTTTTTATTTATGCTTTAGAGGTGTGTGTTGGTTGGGTAGCTTTAGATTGTATGTACATGCGATTACACGACAAGTGAGACAGTTTGTTAAGTTAGCATTGTATGTGCATGGGTTTACGCTTTGTCATCATGTTAAAAAAGCGTTGGTCTTTTTTGTTTGTAGATAAGTGTAAAAAGTAAGTATGCAAGGTTGGTTTTTTGTTAAATATGATGTGAAAGGGGGATCGAATCGTCATTTGAAATCTGAAATACAAAATAATTGTTGATGCCTGATTAAAATGACTAAAAGCAATTTACAGGGAGGGGAATTGGTAACAACAAATTATCGTATAAGGTTGTGGATAAGTTTTTTTTTTCAAATGCACAATGAATAATACTGCACTATAAGTAACGATTGTTAGATGTTGATTTTTACCATATAGCCCAAAAAAGAAAATGGTTATTTGAAAGTAATACAATTTTTTTCTCATCATGCTTGGAGATTGAATTACACCTTTTTAACTGATCATCCAATAATAAGCCAAAGCATCAGCTTATTCATGCATTTATCATATTATTCGAAATTAAAAATTCCGATCTACGTGCTGGTACAGGCGAGTAAACTCTTCGACGAAGTGTTTATCGTTTACCTCACCAATCGCACCTACATTCTCGAACGCTGCTTTACAATCACTAACCATCATCAACGTCTCTCCCGCAGAACATCGTCGAACCGTACAGATGCGCCGAAAACACCAGCCGAGGCACCACGAGTAAGTGTCAACGATTGTGGTAGTTTGCCAGTACCATCGGTAGGTTCGCCAGCATCGCCTGCACCCTCGCCATTACCAACACCGCACTCGGAGCCACCGGCGAGTATTCCACCAGTGGATGCAATGCAGCAGTCGAGCGTTGGCCCCGTTAACAGCCCGCAGGTGGGACAGCAGTCCGGAAGTCAGCCGACGAGTAGCGCTGCTCAGTTACCGCTTACTCCCTCGCAGGTGAGACGCGCTGCAATCGGATGTCAAACGATAGCCTTGAACATGTTATCATTGACCGTTGCCTTTTCGTAGGGTCCAAAATCGATTTCGTCAGGTAGCTACGGTAACGCTCAAGCAACCTCGCCAACGCCTCAAGCTCCAGCAGTACAGATGCCGGCACCGCCAAGCTTAAAACGACCGCTGCTGACGACGAAAGATTACGAGGGTGCATTGCTGGAGGATGAACATCAGTTACACTGGCTGTACGATTACTCGACGCAGGAGGCATGGCTTAATCATCCGGTGAAGAGGATGCGCACGTCGCCGCAAGGCCCAACGATTTTGAGGAACGGTAGTTTATATCCACCCACGAGTTGTGCTGGACCCGACAGTCCGCAGGCTCAACAGCCAAGAGTGGAGATTAAGCAGGAGCCTGGCACCAATATTGTGAGTTTTTCTTTCCATTCATCCTAATAGTGATGTTCTCACCGATCGTGCATTAAAGCACGGCTTTCAGTATTTTTAAATGTATTCTGAAGGTTATATCAATCAAAATATGATATTTCAGGGCGATTTCATAGGCGGTAGGCCAGATCCATACGAGTTTGACGCAACCGGCGATGAGAACGGTGTAGACGGACTCAAGAGGCAAAGGGACGAGTCCAAGCCAAGCTCTCTATTTACAAGCGAAGGTCTTCAAGCTTCGATGAAAGACTTAGATCAAATTTTCGATAACTCCGATCCTGATACTTCCAGCGACGAAACTGTAAGCTCAATGGAAATAAATGTTGTTTCTACAATATTCAATTGAACGTACACTTTCAGAATCTCAATCAGCTCCAAGTGCAAACCCCACCAGGTTCGAACAAATCCGGCAACGGTGCTCACGACAGTGCGGACACGCGGTTAGACGGTACGACGTCAACCTCCAATACGCCCAATTCCCAGACCAACACCTGCAACAGCTCGAGTAAACACAGCTCGTCGTCATCGAACTGTGGTAGTCGTGGTGTCAGTATGGTGCGACCTGAAGAATTATCAAAAATGTTCCCAACTCCACCGTCCCTCGAGCATAATCCTGTAGCATCACCTTGCCAACTTAGTGATCCTAGTATCGAACAAACTGACTTGGCTAGTACTCAGAGGCAAATGCAACGGCAAATGCCAGATATTTATCCTAATATGGGTTCACCACCCGAAGAGCCCATCGACGACTGGTCGTATGTCTTTAAACCGCCCACGAGGTGTATGCTTGTTGGTTCGTCCAAGTATGCACCGCTTACTAATCTACCGAGTCAGAGTTTGCCACCTGTTACTTTGCCGCCTCACTGCGTCTATAGGAGTTCGTGGCAGTGCAATGCCAATGCTAATCAAAGGTTAGTTAATTTTGATATGTTACGAAGAAAGACAGTTGCGCATTTTTTAAAAACAAAAAACATGAAGATCAAAATGATTGATCTATGCACGGATTCGATATTGATCGAGAAGAATTCATGGCGATTTTATGATGACTTGTAAAATTTTTAATTCAAATAAATATTCTATCAATATTCACAATTGCATTGAACGCTTACATATTCGTTCCATCTTTTATAGAGACAAACTGTATTTGTAGCTACATGGTTTTTAGAAAATATGAAAAGTTTGTCGACGCGATCAATCTATTTCATAATGTTTTTTTATAAGAACAATTAGAATAGTGCATATAATATGCAAAAAGACGCCTAAGCGTTCAACTAATGAAATACTTCTCCATTTCCTTCCCTCTCTCTCCCCTTTCTCTCTCTCTCTCTCTCTCTCTCTCTCTTGACTCCAGCAACCAAGACAAATCGTCACAGCCAACGCGACCAAACTCAGTCCAACAGCAGCAAGTCCACCATCATCCACAACAACCACAACAACATACGCATCATCAGCAACAATTCCCACCTCAACAGCAGCAGCATCCACAACCATTCCCCCAGCAGCAACAGCAACAACTCCTACCGGCAAGTCCGGCGCAATTACCGTACCGACCAATGCCGAACGTGATGCCACCAGGAGTTCGACCACCGCCACCACCTTACGACCAACCGTCGCCAGCTACATCCACCTCATCCTACCTGAACAAAAATCTCAACAGCATCGAGGCTGATACTCCTGGACCTATGCGTGCGCCCGAGTCCAACTCTCTAGCCGTTAATATATTGTTAGGCGACACAGCTCTCAATATTTTCCGCGATCACAATTTCGACAGTTGCAGTCTTTGCGTTTGTAACGCGGGCCCCAAAGTTGTGGGCAACATCAAGGGTGCTGACGCAGGCACTTATCTGGCTGGCTCGTGGGCTGCCAATAGTAATGTCTTCCAGGACGACGATCAAATAAGATGTAGCTGTGGCTTTAGTTCAGTTGTAAACAGGCGGCTAGCTCACAAGGCAGGCTTGTTCTACGAGGATGAGATGGAAATAACTGGAATAGCCGAAGATCCATCGGAAAAGAAAAAAGCGTCACTTGCGACGATCGCCTGCTGCGATACGAAAAACTTACCCGAAGGTATCGACACTGTACCGTCGCCGGTACTCGAGTTATTACGCGAGCAATGCCTCATCGTCCAAAGCTCGGCAAGCAGCTTATACAGAGCTGCGAGATTGTACGCGGGTAATCGTGCAAAGCCAAGCTCGTTGAGTGTTAACGCATTGGAGTATAGTGACGGCAACGAGCTTACGCTCGCTGCCATCGATCAAGGCAAACTTGACGGTAATAATCTTGTTATATTTATTTATCTTCTTTACATTTGTAACATTTGTTATATTCAATGTGATCTATATGTTTTCATAGGTTTGCCAGTAGACCGTAATCAGAGAGTAAGTGGTGTGCACCGTTGGGTATTCCTTCGAGCGAAAGGTCCGCAATGCAACGGCGACATAGTGCGAGTTATGAAGACGGTGCAACCTTTACTTCAAGAAGCCATCCAACAAAAAGCTACGCGTATGTGGGATGCACCTTACACAGTGCGCATCCTTACGTGGCGTGGCTTTCATAGACTCGCAGGTAGGGACACGAAAGATCGTTGCGAACCGCAGCCTGTTCCTGCACTGGTTGTCGGCTACGACCGAGACTGGCTATCTTTGTCACCGTACGCGCTTAGTTACTGGGAGAAATTGCTGCTGGAACCTTACGCTGGTCCAAGGGACGTGGCTTATGTTGTGTTGGCACCTGATAACGAATGCGTTGTTGGCAAGGTCAAGTCGTTCTTTAGGGAATTGTCCACGACATATGAGGTGAGTCTATCGAAGCTTTACGTCTTATTCCGTGAATTTTTCGAAAAACGTAGTAATTTTGTCGTTGCTTTTTTCGTAGATCTGTCGGTTAGGAAAACACACGCCAATAGCAAAAACGGTGCGTGACGGTATTCTTCGCGTTGGTAAATCTACTGTACAAAAGCTTGTCACAGTCAACGGTAACACCGGTAAGCAGCAGCAACAACAACAGCAACAAGAACAACAAATTGATGAGTGGTTCAAGCTACTCGGTGAGAATCAAATTGGTGAAGGTCTCAGGCTGTACGCGCAGGCATGCAATAATAGGCTAGCACCTTACCTCACGCAAATGATCCAAGAAAGAAGTTTATTCGACATCGGCGACTCGGGTATTTGCGGCAAAAATTCGAGTTCTGTCTCGGAATCTATGCCTGCTACACCTGATGGCACACCAATCAAGACCGACGGTAAGAAACGTTATTCAAAGAAATTATATTTGATATTTGTTCAAATATAATTTAATTTCACGGTTTTTGCTCTCGGTGCAGAAGGCGAGAACGCGCGAAGTGAAACACCATCGGGTGCAACACCAAATGCCAACTCGACTCTGGGCAGTACAACACCAACGACACAAAATGCACAAAATCAATCGTCGTCGCTGACGTCGAGCTCACAACAACAGCAACAATCAACAGTGACAGTATTAGGTCCTGATGAGGAAGAACTTGAATTACCTTCGATCGTTGTTTATCTTGTCGAACCGTTTTCCCTGGGCGGTGCCGATTGTCCTGACAGACGCAGACTCGCTATACTCGCGTTATTAAGAGCGTTTTCCACTGCTGTTAATGGCATGCCGGAGAATGTTAGGGGCAACATCAGTGTACAGGTGAGTTTTCTTCTGTTTTTGTAAGTGTGAGGCATTTTTCGTACGATAAAACATAAATACTTCTTTTATGTTGTAGTTAATTTCGTTAGAAAGTGTGATGGAACTGGGCAGAGTTCGTGAGAGGCGAAAAATTCAAGACGAAATGAGGGCTCTTGCCTTGAACGTGTTCCTGCAGGGTCGGAGGATGCTCTCACACCATACGACCGTCAGAAGTCTGACCGGTTTTGGTACCGCTGCGGCCGCTGATCTTTTTCTTAAGAACAAAGATGTAAGCTTTTCATTTCTTAATTAAATTTTCATTGTCTTAACTTGTTTATGCTTCAAAAGTCAAAAGAAGTTAAGTTCAATCGAACATCCAAACACATAAGTAAACGAAGCTATGCATGATGGCGAATGAAATAAAAAAAATCATCCCGTCTCTGCTGGTGCTTCTAGCAATCCGTTAGTAACACTACTCTTGCACCTGCACATCAGGAACGCAATCGCTCGTCGGTACGTCTGTATGCACCAGCATATGTATTGGCGCCATTACGTTGCAAGAGTGAAGCGCCTGATTCGTTTGGCACTCAAGGACCTGAAGAATGCTCTGTATTGTATCTAAGCTATTGTCTCAGTGAAGATCAAGCTTGGCTACTTGCTGTTGCCACTGACGATCGAGGTGAGATCTTTGAGACTGCCACTATTAACGTCGACATACCCAATCGAAAGAGACGGAAACGTGCATCTGCAAGGAGAGCTGGTTTGCAAAAGCTTATGGACTTCACTCTTGGTGTAATGTCGCAAGGGGTTAGCACAAATTGACTTTCACTCGAATATCTTTAAACGTTAAAAGTTAATTAGCTAACGCTATTTCGTTGCATTCTAACAGGTGTTACCTTGGCGACTAGTAGTAGGTCGCGTAGGTCGTATAGGCCATGGCGAGTTGAAAGGCTGGAGTTGGTTGCTTTCAAAGAAAGCTCTGATGAAGGCATCAAAGCACTTGAAAGAGATTTGCGGTCAGTGCAGTTTACTCTATCCAACAGCGGCACCGTGTGTGTTGAGTGCTTGTCTCGTATCACTTGAACCTGACAGTACGCTTCGATTGATGGCCGATCAATTCACACCCGATGAACGGTTTAGCCAGGTGTCGGTCAACTGTCAACTATCGACACCACAAGATGTCACTTGCACTCATATTCTTGTTTTCCCTACGTCTGCTACCACGCAGGTTGGTCATCTTTACCCGAAACATTAAAACGAAATTACGGAATGGACATTTTTAATTTATACTTTTTACTGGTCTACAGTCGTCCCAAACAGCCTTCCATGAGCAGCAATCGAGTGACCCGGAGTTAGGCGACGATGAGCTCTTCTCCGCGCTACATGATGATTTACCCGAGGGTATGGAAGGTATGGGCGACTTCAATGACATCTTTAACGTGTGGCCCGAGCCTGGCGCTGGTGGCGGTCAAAGTCCAAGTGGTAGTCCTAGAAGACCGGAGGGTTCACCTATTGGTCCTGACGGCCCGGGCTCTGGCATGGGTAATCACGATAGTGCTGGCAGTCCATTCCCCTGCAGTAACACGCCAAGGGTAACTTTCGTATTTGTTTCTTTAAGCAAGTGAGTTAGAAGTAAAAACATAACGTTGATTTTTGAACATGGCAGGCAACAAATGCAGAGCAAGCTGAGGAAGTCGGCACGCTACTCCAACAACCATTGGCTTTGGGTTACTTGGTGTCAACAGCGCCAACCGGTCGAATGCCATCGTGGTTCTGGGCTGCCTGTCCTCACCTCGAAGGCGTCTGTCCGGTTTTCCTTAAAAATGCTCTTCATCTGCATAGCCCCGCCATCCAGCAGAATAGCGATGAGTTTCTGCATCAGCAGAGTGCCGTCACCGTACACGGCCTTGACTCGCAATTCACCACCGATGTGCTCAGGTAAATTGGACTCAAAATACGAGTTAAAAGACTTGCTTCTTATTAATGATTGAATTAATGATTATTGTTTCGCTGTAGATACGTATTAGAGGGTTACAACGCGCTCTCTTGGCTATCGGTAGACGCCAACACGAAGGACCGCCTGTCATGTTTGCCAGTCCATATCCAGGCGTTGATGCAGCTGTACCACGCGACGGCAGCCCTCGTCTGACCCACACCTTTATGGTCTTCAATGTATGCGAGCAACGTCGTCGTCGTCGTATCCGCCGCCGCAACAGCAGCAACTTTGACGAAACTAAAAATTTCTATATGATACGAAAGCTTTATTCACTCTCGTGCGTAATTAGACACAAAACTAACACGGAACGCCTGCTATACATCGTTGTTGTTATGTACTTAACGCTTTCGTTCGAGAGGCTGTAAATATATATTGTGAATGGAACCCACTCGATTAGGCAATCTCTTTGTAAATAATTCGTATGAGCGTTAGTTTTCTTATTAATTCTTTTCGTGTCTTTTTTTAATCTGATTTTTTTAATCATTCGACTTGTATATTTCTTTGTCGTCCCTTCTTTTTTTTTATATACATACAAAGAGTGTTTCGTTTTTTACGTGATATGTGATAAATCCTCTAGGCAGCAGTTGAGCGCTAGGTCTGTGTTTACGACGCTGTTTTATTTTGTAAAAAAATAAATAAAGAAAAAGAAGATTTCGGCGGAAAAATGAATGCAGGCGAGCCGTCAACACACAATGCGATAAACAGAATTACTTCGTGCAGTGAATAAATATAAGCTTTGAGTTATATACGAAGATTAAAAAAAATATAGTTGAATTGAATTATTATTGTATACCGTTATATAAGCGACGACGCCGAGAGAGAAGACGATCAAAGCACAAGTTCCCTTTACACTTTTTCTAACGGATGCAGATCATCGTAGGATTGAAACTACAATTTTGTGTTCTTAGGCAATATTATCGCATATTAATGAAATAATGACCGCATCGTGCGTCCACTGTTAACGGAACGCGATGTTATTATGAAAAAATTATTATTAATGATTATTATTATTAATTATATTAATTAATAGCGATTAAAGAGGGGGTGAATGGATAAACGAGGATATTAAGATAAGAACCTAGATGAAGTATATTATTAAAGAGGCGAATGAACAAAACAAGAAATTGTGTGAGGCGCAAGCGAAAAGGAGCAAATAAATCAACGTTTATTTGCAATTTTTCTGTCGTTAGATAGTTCAATTTTAAATGAAGAAAAAAAAGATTAACAAGAAAGAAAAGTAATACGATAAAAAATTATTATTAAGAGTATTGAGAAATCAGAATCTAGAAGATTATGTATCCAAATGTTTTAATTGTAAATCGAGTTTTTGTACAAAGCTTTTATTATTAATAGCGATGAAGTAATATAAAATGATATTACGTTGTTTTTTAATTTTATAGCAGATATTGTAAGAGGTGGCATCTTCCTCGTCTCTCTCCTGCCCTTTCTTATATATCACTTTATACGCGAAATAAACTCATAAATACCTGTCATGGTGTAGCTGCGATCTACTTTTCATTTTTCAGTTGATTTTTTTTTTCAAAGAAGCCAAATCAAATTGTTTTATCGCGGGTCATCTTGTTATCGCGTTAGTCAGACCCCGCTTATATTTTTCGTTTTCTACATAAAATCCTTCTCGCGAACAGATTTGTATACAATTGTAAAATATCGTTTGCCGTTTAGGTACATGTAAATCATTAGTGCAAGGAGAGAGAAAGAGTTGAGAGTGTTTTTTCCTTCCACCCCGGGCTTTTGAATTGAGAACAAAGTAGGTAAAAAAAGAATAATCGAAACGAGACAGCGGGGCGCGCAATCGACTGCGCGATGAAATTAAAAAAATGAAAAAGTAGCGGTCGGTCGCATAGTACAAAATAATGTCTTGTACATAGGTAATAACCCCTCAAAGTATCCCCCTTGATTGGTTATAATTTTACTCACGGACAACGCCCACCACTCACTCTGTATCTATAGTATTTATTACTTGGATAGTACGTCATTATTGGGATTATTATTACTATTATTATATTAATATTACGAAATACAGTTTTATGTGTATATATAATTATATACCCCATTCTGCATTGACATTGTTGTTTTTTATTTTTTCACATTCTCACATTTTTCAGATTTACATTTTGCTTTCACTTTTTCGTTAATTACATGCTCATCGAGTTATGCGAATATAAATTAATTGAGATTCGTTTTTCTTCCAACAAGGACCAATGCGCGATTTCTAAAAAATCAAACTACTTCATTTTTACATTTTTTATCGAGAGAATAAATAACGAAGATAACATAGTTTACGTAGTTAAAAATTAAATAAGAGAAATAATTTCTTATAGATATATTTAAAAATACGCTTTCGGCCTCCTAATTTTTTTAAACAGTACATAGCTTTTGTAAAATTTGACAACAAATATAAACCACGCCACAGGTCCTTATTTTGTATCGATTTTCTAATTTTATAATAAATAAAAAAAGAGAACGACACATCGCAGATATAACAGTAGTAGATACACACAAAAATGGTGAAAGGATGAAGTGCATAACAAGAGTAGCTTTGCATCATACAAAAAAACAACTGTTTTATCGCTTGTAAATGTATAACTTAACTACATTTTATGATACTATAGTTATATGATTCATTTTATCACTATTAACACGCATAATATTTCCCACATTAAAATCGAGACATTTTTTTGTCAAAAAGATGTTTCGGCGCGCTTGACTAGCATTCCTTTGTTGAGAGAACGTGACGTGTACATGTATATCATTAAAAACTGCGAGATCTAATATTTTCTAACGTAAAAATTATAGTAATTAATTGAAATAAAAAACGGCACACAATTTATGATAGAATATATATTTGTTGGAGACGTTACCGCTTTCGTTTTATTTTTTTATCAGTATAGTTGTGACAATGTTTGAGTCAATAATTCGTCAATATTACTTTTGACTTTCTGCAAAGTTACGCAGCGGAAACAGTTCTTTGTTTTTAATCATGATACAATAGTATATGTTTGTATAGTGATCCATATCGAACTCCTTTTCGCTTAATATCATTTTTCACAATATTAATATCAAATATAGTGATAAATTAAAATGTTAAAAAACAAAAATTATTACTAGGATATATCAGAAATATTTCTGTATGGCAAGAGAATGGAAAAATAAAAGCAGTTTAAAACATACGTTGTACGAGTTTGCAATTTTCTATCAATATATTGTGCATGCTTATCTTTTTTGTGAGTATTCCGAAAATTCGTATGCATTATTTTTTCGTCGACGAGATTGGCGTTTATATTTATGTGTTTTTTTTTAAACAAACTGTATCAAAAGTCTTACTGATAATTTATCGACTCAATATACCAATCATATCTATCACAAACCTAAAGAATCCTTATAAAAAAACTGTTGTGCTTACAAAATAATCACACACGAATCAAATATATAAATAAAAAACACTAAACAATTATATGTATACCATTGTATCTCGATTCCATGACTATGCATTCAATGCAAGCTGTGCAGAATCTATATATGTATCGAATATGGAATGACACGTCGCACAGTGTATTAATGGCACTATGATTGCTTTTTTCTCGCCAAAAAAAGTACGAGTTTAAAGAAGCGTGTACTAAGATTGAGCTTCTTCTAGATTTAAAGATCCGCAGATCGCTAATCTTCAATAAAAACACAATAATCAATGCATCGTCACAGAGACTAGACGCTGTTAAAGTCCACGTATTTTATTTATATAATTCTGGTAAAGTAAAGTCTTTTCCAATTTCTAAACTAAAAAAAGGCGATTCTTTATTTACTGGGGAAACTTCACTTTTACTATTCGAGAGGTCAATTTAAAAATCGCACATTATATAAATACTTAAAAAATAGTTTTTCTTAGCAGAGTTTGCTGAGTAATCGACAACTTTGTAATGCGTTGTCAGTAAGATTGTAATACAATCAGCCAATCGAATAATTTCCTCTCCAATTAAAAATTAAATGACTCTCACGCAAATACAATTCAATGTTAGATAGACTAATGAGACGCGTTAAAAGAAATAAGACGAATCTCAGACTAGAATCTCATCGTGACGTAGGTTTACTAGTAGACTGAACCTCTTCAATTGCATGATTGATGCCATACGGCCTAAGATGATAAATTAAGTATTCCAACACGTACATCATATTCGGGCTAACGTAATGAAAGGAGATCGCGCTATCAGAGCAGCAGTCAAGGCCATCCTTGCTCTCGTAGTAGATGTACTTCCAATACCAAAAGTCTTTGTCCACGTGATTCGGTATTAAATGATGTTCCGGCACGAATGGAAAGAATCTACCACGACCATGTGGATCTCTCGTATCCATTGCTTTAACACCAACATTCTCCAGACATTTGCCCATCTCTACGTCTTCTGCACCGCCTGCATCTTGACGACATAACGTGCGATTTGGTAAGCCCTCTTCAACGAACTTTTTCAAGCTTGCACGACTCAATACGTAACCAGCACCACCACTCATGTAACCCTGCTTGACGAATGGCTTGAAACGACAACCAAAGTATAGCGGTGAGTCTGGTGAATGTGGTTGCAGCATGTAACGCAAGTTTTCCAAGATCACGTAGCTATAAAAGGAGATTTATCAATAATTAATACTTTGTTGAGAACATTTATGAATATGAAGTTCATACAGATTAGATCTGATTTATATCAGTGATAAGATACGTATTAGTTACTACGCAAGGTAATTTTTGTCGGTCCTTTATTGAAAAAAATTTAAAAAATTCGGATAAGCTACGACTATAAGTCTACGCGATTGTGACTTACGTACTTCTAGATAGTAATTTTATCAATTCAATAATTTCTAAAAGTTATTTTATCTTTACGCTTATTCTTCAATTAGCAATATTGCAGCTGCATCTCGAGTATCAAGAAACACGTCAAATTAACAGGTTTCATGGAGCAAGCAGTTGCCACTTACGTATCGTCATCGGCTTTCAGAAACCAATCTGCCTGATCTATATACTTTTCGTACGTATATTTAAATGATTCTTTGGTTTTCGCCCACAGATTATCTCGACCCTCCTCTACGGGAAGTACAACAGTCGGTAGGCTAGGATCTGAAATAAAAATTTTATCGCAATCACTATACTTTGCAACGAACAGACTTCCGATCACAGATATTGTATTTTATCTAGAACGTGAATCATGAGAAGTGCCGTTTGAACTAAGTATAGTTCGTTTTTACTTTAAGGTGTATTGTCATTTAAATTTAGAATGGTTGATAATCAACTGAAGATTGCTTTTTACTTTTGCGTTAAACACCAACCGCTTTTAGTTTTTTTCCAAGGTAAAAGTAATAAGGAATTTCGCACGTGTAAAGAATTCGCTGGAATTATACAATTGAATTAACTTTGTTCTTATTTTCTGTTAAAGTATTTTAATCCCAGTTAATGATGTTTCCACCGAATTTCTCAATTTGATAAGTGTCTGATAACAACTGCCATCTTAAAAGTTTTTAATTATCATCCACGATTAAGTCTTTAATCATCCGCTTTTCGTAAAATTGAAGAGCCAAAAATATGTGTTTACCTTCAGCAGAGCTCATGAATAGTAAAATATTACACCGCTTTCCCCACGTTGCTTTTACATGTCTCGCTTTGGATTGATGATTTTTAGGACCAGTCATTATCCAACACAATACGCGTATTTTTTCGGCTAATTCCTTAGCAACTGTGTCTTCCCCTTTATGAAAATCTTCATCAGGGCCATGAAACATAACTTCAACTTCAGGTCCAACCTGAGAATCATAAATAATAAAATATAAATGATTAACAGCATTGAAGTTGAGCAAGGTATTATAATGACATAATCAATAAGTAAACATTTGATAAGAGGAAAGTACTCGAGGATTAATGCAGTTTATTTAGTCAATTATCAAGATATAACATACTTCTCTTTCCAGCTGTGAATAATGATGAGGATCTCGATAAGAGCCACTTGGCAACCAGTACAGCATGTGTGGCATATCCCTGGTAGCTGTGATGAGGAAACATGCTGATAGAAATCCACATATTACACCTGCTGCTAATGTCAAGACTAATCGACTGTTGATTCGTGCACCTTTTACCATTGCCAACATCTTTCAATTTTTATTTAAGCAGCTGATGAATCTTAAAAATACTTCAAGGACATATGCTTAATTAACTGATTTATTTATTCTAATCATTAATTGCTTCAGTTAATATTTTCATGGACATTTAGTCTCACAGAAGTAAATTATTGAAGTGAAATCTTTACAAGTAATTAATATAAATAATAGAGTTTATTTTATATTATTTTATATAATTTAGATAAAATAAAATAATGATCAATTAGCTTCAATACATAAGTTTATTCAAAGAAATTATTATATTTTTACATTACTCACCATAAAATTTCTGAGTATCAGTCAGATACATAATGAAATAAAAAAAATTGGTCCTTCCACATCTCAATAAAAGTCCATTGTAAATATCAAACTCAAACTATGAGTATTTTAAATTATTCCTTATCTGGCATCAAAAGTTAACTGTCCTACGATATGTATTTTGATATTAAATCTGAAATACACTCAAATAAATTACATGTAAACTTAAATCTGTTTATTTTGGGCTAATGAAGCTTACTAGGCTCAAACACTAAATGCTGAGTATGCAAGCAGCAACAGTTCTATTCCCACCAAGCAACCTTATGATATCAGTAGCTCTGGTTGATAGTGTGGTGTTACACTGATAAGCCAGAATGCTAAATTTATACTCTTTTAATAAACTTAGTCTTTCCATACAAATGTTTGTAACGACCTCATTTTCTGATATTATTTTGACTGTGCACACACCCACATCTTTTCAAATTTTTAATAAGTGAAATTGATTAATAATAATGTTGTAATTCAAATCTGAAATTTTATAATTCCTTAGCTAATGAGAAATTAACATACAGTGTGGTTCATAAAAATATAAATTTTTAATTTTGCAATTAAAAGAATGAAATGAAGTATATTTTTACCATTTTTTTAGTCTGTTATTTGAGCCCTATTGCGAGATATAGTTTATTTGTCAAATATTACAATAGTATGTTTATATCCTGACAAAATACCAAAGCTCAATGTACAGTTTACTAGAAAACCTTCTCAAGAATTGAAACAAAAAGATAACAGTGAAACATTGATTAGCAAAAAATAAAGTTTAATATATGCAAACTCAAGGCTACTTCTATACAATGGCACGTATCATGCGAGTGTTATATGTGTAGCCTTCAAAGTGAATATAACATTAACAGGACGAGAGTAATGCAAAAGGTGTAGTACTGTTATATCATTATAATTTCGTACTCTAAACCTTTCTATTGTCTATTGATTTGATTGATGACAACGAAGCAGTGTGAATAAAATATTGAAAGAAAAACTACAAGAAAATAATCCGAAGGTGTTTCCGGGTATACGTAGCATCTAGCGAATGCTAATCAAAGCGCATCGTTCAAATTAAATGATTCCACTACGAAAACAACAAAGAATCACTCACTAGTCAGATGTAATCGTTTTATAACCGCAGCTTCGACGTTTTGTGTTTCTTCATTTTACACGAACGTGGAATCCCTGAAAGCAAGAAAATTCTTTGCTGCACCACATGACGCTGCTCGTTTTGTTTTGAAAGGCATCGGATTCCCTTATTATTTATTGTGGTAATACGAGGTTAGAAAATCACCCTCAAGAGAAAGCTGACGTCACAATGCATCAGCTGACTGCTCCGCGGTACGAGTCGCGACTGAACGTGTGACTCGAATTCAAAATCGAAGGATGAACCGACTTTTGTGCGCGCGACTGAACGAAGCCTGTTTTCTCGATTAGACGACGAGGCCTAAAGTTGAATTACAGAAAGAAGCTCTTTGTGCGTGTTTTTTTTTTAAGCAACCGATCGACACAGTCGAGTTAATTCACGCAAGCAATTATTTGTAATTTTCTCACGGGCGTTTCAAGCGGCCGACTTCGGTGAATTCACTTTCGTGGCTCTTTAGTCAACGCTCGTTCGGTAGAAAAAGTTTACGTAACGACGCGGCAATTACTCGGAGCGAACACACGTGTCTTTGCATACAATAGGCGCTACTTCACTATCACGCGTAAATCTGAATGTGTGTACATTCGCGTCAACCCAATAATAACCCAATAATTCAAGTGTTCGTTCTTCCTGGAGTACGCGACACAGTCCTAAACTCGTTATATTCACGATTCGAGAGTACATAAAACGTACTTACGATTGTTTCATCGTCGATGCCCGAAATCCAAGGCGGCACGGCGCTTATGTCAACGCGAGTCGAACTGCATTCCCGCGCCAAGTAAGCTTATCGAGCTCTCGTATCGCAGAAGGAACAGCCAAGCTAAAAGTTGAATCGAGTCCATAAACAAAAAGAGAAAAGAAAAGAAAGAGCAAACGGAGAGGAAAAAAGATACTCTCGAAATTGAAACGCACGGCTGTTCGAGCTTGCAACGTGCCGAGCCTCTTTGCTCGCCTCGCGCGCGCGCCACAACTGCGCTAATTTCGAGTCCCATTGTGCAGCTGCGAAGGAAAACGTGTTGTCTCATCGCATAGTCGTGAGGCATCGCTTTTTTTCTCTCTTTTTCACGCTCCTTTTCCGCGATCCGCAACAGTCGAGAGCGCTGCGCGAGGCACGAGTCGAACAATTTACAGCTACTTTACTGTCGGCGCTTTCGACCCATTTCAACGTGTATATCTATTTATTCAAGCTTATTTACGCGCTCGTGCGGTTGATATTTCGTTTTCGCTTGCGTGGACTGTAATTGACGCTTACGCGGAGGATTGCGTCGATTGTAAAAAGAAGAGAAGAATAAAATTTGGCCGAAACTTAATGCCCGATGGTTTTCCCTTGGTTGTGCGTCACATTTTTCACGTGAAACCGCACGTTCGCGAAGATTGTCGAGATAAGCGAAAATGTGCTGAGCTTTTTTCAAAGGCGTTATAAAACAATTTTTAATGTCGCATACCTGCCTTGAAATAGCTTCGGAGAGAACGCGCGCTCTCGCGAACGCAAACACGCAGCCGGAAGTCGCTTCGGTCGACGCTTAATTAGTTGCGATCCGCATAGCCGTTAAGCGAGAAAGCTGCATTGATTATCTCCCGAGCGTCGGGGAGTAAAAGCCTCAATAACATTTCGGAGCGAACTGCCGTATATAATCGTCAGTGCGGCCTTCGCTGGGAATATCAGACTTTTTTTTAAGCTGCATCCGCCAGAAACGACAAGAGTTCCGCTGGTGCGTCGTTTACTGGCGAACAGGGGAAGCCCAGCCTCGAGCGAGACATCCTTAACGATTTCAATCAAAGCTCAGCTCGGAAGAATCGCGAGAGCAGAGCACAGCTTCCTCGTCTGCATCGATACGCTCGAGTTTCGTTATCTCGCGGCGACGCAGCGATATAAGCCGCGACTGATTACGGAGTCTGGCTCAGATACGGCGAACCTTCCGAATTCGTAAACATAAATTTATCGTATCGCGCGCGTAGCCGAAAGGAAGCGAAAAAAAAAGAAGGCGAGGGCAATTAAAAGCATCGATAGCGGCTGCACCTACTGCTTGAAACTCGCGGTGCCGCCAGTGAATGCCCGTCGCCCGGCAAAGACCGACGTAAGTAACGAGAAGCCCCTCGGCGGCGTTTACTCGTCGAAAATTGGATTCGACCCCCCGGCAAACGGCGAAGAAAGCTATTAATCCGTCGTCGGTGGTGTTCGCGCGCGAAATTTTTACAAACGGTTTTGCGCGTACGAATTTTCAACGACGCTCTCCTTGAAGCTTCCGTCGAGCTCGTGCAAAAGCATGTCAGTGCCGCGAGCGAAGGAAGAAAGTAATTTTTTCTTTTTTTATTCGCACGACCCTGCGCCTCGCCTGTAATTGCCCATATTCCGACGCGCGCGCGCGCTGTGTGCGGCAATTAATTCGTTTCCCGAAGCCAGATGCACGCCGCAGTTTGCACCACGACGACGCGGGCAGGTGTCGCAGAATATGAAATATTTACTTTCTCTCTCGATGTGTTTCACAAACAAGGCACGCGCGGGCAGATCCGTTTTCCAATATATATATATATATATATATATATATATATATATATATATATATATATATATATATATATGCGTGTGTGTAAGAAAACGCCACAACAGAAGCTCAACAGCGAATAATTAAAACCAAATTCTCATAACTAACAAATCGTCGCATATTGCGCGCGCACCTTCCGTTCGAATATTTTTAGAAAGAAAAATAAGAATGGCGATGATTCCGTTGGTGGCGGCGGCGTCGGGAGAGGGGGAATATCAGCTGATTAAATGGCGCAGACGATGGATACGTAAACAACGCCGAAAAGAAAGACTTTGTGCGCGTGACTGTGCATGTCGAAAACCAAATCGATTTCGCCGTCACCGACACATGAATTCTATGATATATATACGGATAGTTGACGCCCCGACTGCTCTTTGAAAACTTCACTTAGTGCTACTTTTCGTTTTTGTCAAAAATACCTCCGCGAGAGCTGAGTTGACACGAGTGTCGTTTTTCGGCGTGTGCTGCAGATTCAAACAGTATTTTATTTCAGGTATACGTATAATATATGTGTAATTTATTTCCGGTAAATAATAGTTGTCAAAGCGATATACCTAATTTTTAGTAATTCCATGAAACTCTTATTGAAAAATAAAAAAAAATAGCGCTTTACTTAACCACTACAGTACACTAGGTCGCTTAATATCCCAAGACAGTTAATGTCTCGAGAGACCACGATGCGGCAGAATCACATAAAGGGTTGGGGTAGGCGCTTGCGCTTTGTAAGAGGGGATGAGAGAAGAAAAGATTCGCGTGCGCAGTTGCTTCATCGTACACGAATAATGTACGGCTAAAACTGATATCATTTGTAAATCACTGTCTTTAATTTAGCGATGTAGATCGTAGTGTCTGGTGCACACGCAGAGGCTAATCATGTCGACGGAGCCAAGTGAACCAACTACATGGGCTAAGCTACGCAAGATCTGCATAACTTGTACAGATTATTTCTCCTCACATCAAGATGAGAATGCTTTTAGAATCAAGGCTGCAATTAATGCCATCTTGGACAAGCTGAATGAAATCAAGCCTTTGTACGATGAGATATCTAACATTGCACCAATCTTTGATTTTGATGAGGAGACACCCGGCAATGGGTACAGAAGCTTCCTTATACTAGTGGACAGGTGTATCACTTTTACGACTGAGAAGTGCAATGGTATGCTTGCTCAAAAGGATTCTGTAATGTTCAGGAAGAGTCATCGTATGAGGTTTGTTTCATTATATCGTTAGTCCAAAGGTTCATGTTGTTTCATAATCTTTTTGTATCTATCAATAGGGAGATAGAAGCATGTTCCCAATTACTGGCTACGCTGGGTACCTGTTTGCAACATACGAAGACACTTTACTCCTGGCGTGAAATCATGGAGGATGGACAATATTCATTGTTTCCTTCTGAAGAGTTCAGGCCTCAGGAACTGCTGAATCAGACTGAAAATATAAATCAGTGTTCTTTTTATGGAAGATGTATTGGTTTTCAGGTAATTCTTCCATTTTCTATCATACATTCAAATATGTCTGCGTATCAGACATTTTAACGTTATTTTGCAGTTCTGTGAAGGTATGAGGACAATATTGAAATTTGTGTCCGTGGGGATGGCCTCGTTTAGTGAACTGTACTATGCAAATGGCACTTTATTTGGAAGATGCTCTAATTCAGTGCAGTACCTAATGGACCCTGAAGCCAAAGCTCGTAGAATTGTAACTATATCTCAACATGCAGACATTTCATTTTGTCAAGCCTTCTGGCACTTAAATGAAAGTGGTAAGTCTTTAATCATAATAAATTTTAACCACGTTCAAGTTCGATTCACAAATCTGTATTGTTTGTGTCTTTTTAGATTTATTACTAAGCTTGCCACAAATAGTGATGCCAACGTTGGCAATCAATCAGTTGATATCGATACCTCCAGAGGAGATGGAGTGTGAAACTCTTAGTGGCAAGTCAATTAAGATTCCCATACCCCACAGTCATATTGGATTGAAACCTATTCACGTTAGGTTACTCAGTTGCAAACGTAGGATAGGCATGGTAAGTAAACTGAATATTACTATTGAATATTAATTTGCATCTGTTGATTATAAAAATTAAAATCAATTTCAGGTGGGATCTGGTAGCGGCAAAGGTCAATTAGTCGATCAAAGCAATTCACTGCTGATCCACTGCCACGGGGGTGGTTTCGTCGCACAGAGTTCGAAATCTCATGAGGCATATTTGCGAACATGGACCCATGAGCTTGACGTTCCTATACTTAGTATCGACTATAGTCTCGCACCTGAGGCACCTTATCCACGTGCCCTCGAAGAAGTGCTTTACGCTTATGTTTGGGCGTTAAAACATGCTAGCTCGATGTTGGGTAGCACAGCTAAAAAAATCATTTTTGTTGGTGAGTTATTGGAAGTGTAAAAATCTATTTTTATCAAAGTGTCATTAAAAAAAATATTGTGATAAAATACTTCAATTATCTTCAAATTACGTGATTGCTTGAAAATGTATAATCTCCTCGTAAATGCTTTAATTGCGCAGACGAAATTAAACGGTAAAAAATTGTCTAGACATGTACGGAAAATGATAAACTACTATCACACAGTACAAAGTCACTACACTGAAACATTCGCGTTTAAAAATAACTCACGAGAATCGAGATAGGCCATTCGAATGATTGGAAATTCATAAGGACTTTTTGTTTACGTAACGCTCAGGAAACACGTTTTAAAAATAAATTTATTTAAACGAAAGTTTTTTCTATATTTGAATGTTATACATATTTCCAATCGATTTCAATATAAATAAAAAGAAAAATCGTACGTTTTTCACAGGTGACTCGGCTGGAGCCAACTTGAACTTAGTCACGGCCATAAGATGCTTAGAATTAGACATCAGGCCTCCTGATGGAATATTTATGGCCTACGTACCAACACTCGCAGAATTCACTCCATCAGCAGCTCGACTTTTGTGCCTCGGCGACCCCATACTTCCATTTGGTTTCATGATGCGTTGTCTAAAGGCTTACGCTGCGACAGATCCTAAAAAAGAAGACACGTGAGTAATTCAGCAAAGCCAGTCCTTAAGGTTTTATTGATTTAATTTTCCATTTGCATTGTAGAGAAACGGACCTAGGAGATGAATTGATCGAGCTAGACAGGTCGGAAGACGAGTCGTTTGCCGAGGTAAGCGAAAGTGACTTGATCGCTTTAGCGCTGAGTCCAACCGGGGACGAGGAACGAGATTCCCAAAAGTTAGCTTCTCTCCCATCTGACACAACACTCAATTCGGTCAGTTTGACAGAGATTGACGCTGGACCAGGTTAGTAAAAAAGAACATTTAAATTAATCCGATTCATGCACTCACGACTATGGTGATAGATCGTCTTCAATCGCACAAAAACTCTCTTGTTATTCTACGTAAGGTACGGAGAATTCGTACGAGGAGACCAAATCTCAAGAATATATTAAACGATTTTTAGACATTTACAAGAATTCCAAGCTTGGTTCTTCTTCGGTGCCAACCCTCAATGGTTCTGCCAGTGGTGGAAGCAACGGGGTCGCGAGTAATAATAATAGCCGTCTATGGTCATTCTTCGGATGGAGAAAAACACACAAAGACAATAAAATAAACGTACAAAGACATCTGCCTCCAGACGGAACTAGAAATCTATCCGATGAGTTCGCTTTTACCGTACCAAAAGATCCTCACTTGAGCCCTTACAGAACGTCTGAGGAGTTGTTGAAACGACTTCCACCTGTCAAAGTTTTGGTAAGTTGACAGCGGTTGATTTTGGAAGAATGGTTAATAGATACATCAATGATGGATTCTTTCAGAGTTTGGATTTGGATCCGTGCCTAGACGATTGTGTGATGTTCTCCAAACGATTAAAGAAGTTGGGAAAACCCGTGACTTTAGATATATTACCCGGCCTACCTCATGGCTTTTTAAATCTTGCAGTTGTAAGTTAAAAAGAAATTCTGATAATTACTGGATTTCGATTGATTAATTTGCAATTTATTTATCTGTAGGTATCCAAAGAAGCACACGAAGGCTCTCTAATATGTGTCAAAAGAATTCGCGAACTTCTGGAAATGACGTAACCACCGGTGCTTTAAGAACAAATTAAATCATTATAATTTTTTCACTATGGCTGACAACGGCGAATGAAGAAAGTATATACATATATAAAAGCAGCGAAAATTAAAAAGATATATAAATATATCTAAGTAGTCGAATTTCGTCCAAATATTCACTGATCTGATGAGAAAAACATTTTAACGAGATTGACGTCGTTTGTACATTAGTTTAATTGATGTGTTGCACAAATAGTTTCTGTTGCAAACAGCATTAATAATCCGTACATACTGAAAAAATGCAGGGTCCAACGGTAACTAGTTTTAGATATCTTTTGCAAGTATTTTTAACCTTATCCTGGTTGTACCAAATGACGTTATCTACTTTATTCTATTTATACACAGAGATTAGCTAATTTTTTACTCTCATACATCTTGTATATGATGCTTTACATCGGGGTGCTGCAACAAGGCTATATTCATTTTTTGTTGACGCGTTGAAAGAATCTCGTTATGTTGTTATTAAGTTGTGTTTAGGTGTTAGTTTTTGATTCTACAAATATTTAATTTAGTACAACTGTAATTTTTATTTTTATTTATATACGTTGATAAAAAAAAAGTGAATACATTGGAGTTTGAAAACGCATTTAGCTTTAATTATTACAGTTCAACTATACAAATTAATAAGCAATTTTACGATACTGTAAATATACAAAATTAGTCTTTGGTGTTTAATGTGATTATTTGATCTTTCAATCATATAACGTATACTGATCTTTTACATAACAAAGAACAGAAATAAAAATGCATATTGTAGAGGAATTTCAAAAGAAATATATTTACATGCAATGTTTTATAAAGATTAAATTTATGCATAAATATTGTTTGATTTGTACAATAAACAGTAGAATGTAAAAAGTTCAGGATGGAAACAAAATGCGAGGGCGATGAAGGGGAGACTGAGACTGAGAAAAAGAGAGAGAGAGAGAGAGAGAGAGAGAGAGAGAGAGAGAGAGAGCGAGAGCGAGAGAGAGAGAGAGAGAGAGAGAGAGCGAGAGCGAGAGAGAGAGAGAGAGAGAGCGAGAGAGAGAGAGAGAGAGAGAGAGAGAGAGAGAGAGAGAGAGAGACCGAGAGAAAAAAAAACAAAATATAAATTTGGATAATTTACTGGGCAGCAACTTGTTGAGATGGTCGTAATGTCTTCTGTAGAACGTGAGCGTCCGCAGGCTCGATTCTCTTGTAATAATGTTTTTTTGTTTCGACGATCTCGAAGCCGAATTTTTTATAAAAGTCAATAGCACCTTCGTTGTTTACTTGGACGTGCCTGTCAACAGATAAAACTTTTTTATGAGCTAAGCTATTTTTGGATAGATAGCATTGAAATTCAGTGGCATTAATGCAAATATCACTTATTTTTTCAAAAGCTTGAATTTTTTAAAATTAATATTGTTGCAATAATGAAACTGAATTCTAATACTTCTTTTGGATTATTATATGTATCAATAAGGGAAACATGAATATGTTTGATTTCAGCCATACTATATATAATTAATTGCTCAGACTATTTATATGTATATTTAACGGAAAACTATATTTCTAAATTGACAAATATTTTAGTCAATTAAGAAAGGTTTGCAAACTTACAGAAAAATAGAATCAAAGTTGCCATCCTTCTCGACATAATTTAGTACATGCTGCACCATAACAGTTCCGATTCCTAGTCTACGGTATGGATACAAACAGCCCAAAGTCATTATGTACAATCGGCGAGAGTTTTCTGATGTATCCACCCTGCAGCAAACTGCTCCAACCTTCAAACATACAAATAATAAAGTAAAAATATATATTATTATGTATCAAAATAAAATGAAGAATAAAAAAACTACATATACCACAATATCATTGTAGTAAGCTAGTTTTGCCAGCTCTCCTGCTTCCAAAACATCTTTGTAAAATTTTTCATTGTAAGACACTGGGAAAACAACTTGGTTCAACAATTTCAGTTGTTTGATATTATGTGGCGTGACATCCCCTAATTCAATTTTTGCTCTGTAACAATATTATAAATAAATGTTTAGTAAAATTTTTTATCAATAAAAGACCTTGATTAGCAATAATTACTAACTGAAACTTAGAAACATAAATTGTGTGTAAATTTCACTTATCAATTTGAAAATAATTATGAAAAAAGCTTGTGAACTCATTTAACTGTTAAGAATGTTTGTTAGTATGGTGAATTTTATAAATGTTGATTCACCAACCAGTGTTTACAGAAAAAATAAATTTAATCAAAACAACATACTTAATAACGTTTATCATTAAAATTTTACTAGTTTACTAGAAATTAAAAATAAAAAAAAAACTTCACGCATGTAGACAACATAGAGGTTATGATCACCACTGTTCGAATAGAAACCAAACCCAACAAAATATTAACAATCAAAAGAAAACATTATTCAATTTTCTAGTATTAATTTTTTCTAAAAACTCGTTAAAATCATTTCCACACAATGATCGTGAAATATCTCATTATGCATAACCTTAAACATCCACTATTCTTCAAACGAAATCACACGGCCTGACACAACAAAAACGAGAACCTACCGAGTCATGATCGCCGCTGGATTATTCTTGGTGAACACTTTGGTGGTATGTTAAACGACAGGTCTTGGCGCGAGCGAAAATCCAACTTTGGCGATGCCTCTTGTCGATTAAAATACAACTCTGATGAGACGCCCGGGCGCGACTGTACGCAGCTGCACCAGCGCAGAGCTGCACGTTTTTTTTGACGAGCCGTGATCGCCGCGCACGCTTTAACGACTTTTCGGCGGGTGAGGCAGCGCTAATAATCGTTGTAGTAGGGGGAGAACGAAGGTCGACACAAACTTGAAATTCTTATGTTTATTATGGGACTATTTGATTTTATTGCAGAAATTTTTGCAAATTTAAGCAATTAATGTAATAGTGCTAACATTCGTTTGATTTATCATTCGAATTTTACTAAACTTTAAGAAAAGAAGTGAAATAAATTGGTTGCTCATAATAGGTGTTAGAACACTGATATACTGACGAAATATTAGAAGTAGAAAGCGTCTCGTAGTACTGAATGAGTACTTTGTTGATACTACCTCACGTATATATGATAAAGTTTAAAAACTATTTTCCGTTTGTTTTATTTTATTTCACAAAAAACTATTGCAATCTATTGTAAGGAAAACAGCTTTAAATTACGAGGTTATGCTATTAATACAAACATTTTGACTCAACTATGTGCTAAATAACATAAATGATGGCGTTATATGACAGAACAATTGTTAAACAAATCAATAAATAAAAAACCTGTCTTTATCTATATTTTACAATGACGAATATAAAAAAAATGAATAATAAATATGATAAGGTACAATGCAAAAGAGCTTTTGGTAAAAGCAAAACACAAAGTACAATTCATACACAGAGCTCTTCCAAATAAAACGTCATTTCCTCGTCGTCACATTTGAAAATTAGGTCCAATTTGATCAGATCAAAAATATTGACAAACTTACCATCAATGAGACTGTTCTTAAAAACCTATAACAAAAAAAAGCATCGCCTTAATACACTCACTAAAAGGAGAAAAATCCTCAAAATACCTTTAAGTATTCACTCTTTCTATCAATTTCAATGGCTTTGATGAAACACCTGCAAGCCTCCTTAAAATTACTTTTATTGTAATATTGCAGTGCAAGATGCAACCAAATCTGCAGTACCCGATCGTTGTCGTTGTACTTATTGAGTAACTGTTTCAAGTACTGCACGCAATCGATTGGCTCGCCGGCTTTTTTCAAACAGACGGCATACAAAATGTCCGCCGGAAAATTATTGTTCTTCGAGGCTTGTTTATAGTACTTCGCGGCTTCCTGCAATACAAAAACGGCTCGATCAGTTAGGTTACTTGCACGAGCATATCAGGTAAATCACCTTGAAATCTCCAAGCGTCTCCATGTAAATGGCCTTGTAATGCAAGAACATAGAATTATCAGGATTGTTTCTCTCGACGACGTCGAGACACTTCTTGGCGAGATTGATCTCCTTTCCACACTTGATGAAACCAAACGCCAGCCTCAGCAGAATGCCCATACTCTGTGGATTGGCTTTCAAAGTTTTCTTATATAGCATTGATGCTCTGAGATGGTTCTTATTCTCGCGATGCATCTGAGCCGCATGCACGAGATAAAACGCCTTCTCCGACAGGTTGATGCACTGCAAAATCGCCTGCTTCTCCTCCTCGCAAGGTTTCGAGCCGAATTTGACAACTTTGCGCCTCTTGTGCCGCAAAGACTTGTAGAGAGCGAAATACCAAAGCGGACAGTGCTTGAAATGTGAGATCGCGATTTTCGCATCGTCCAGTGCTTCGAAGCGAGCGGCCTCGTGAAAGCTTGAGTAGGCCAGCGCGCGAAAGCCGTGGATCGTCGCAAGCTCTATTTTGCTGCTTAGCTCCGCCGCGTCGACGATTTGTGATAGGATGCTCGTGGCCTTCTGGGTGTCTCTCGACAAGTGGTAGGCGTGGTACTTCGTTGAGTCGAGGATGTGCTTCAATGCTCGCAGTGATACTCGTTCCACTTTCAGTTGGCTGCGACAAAGGGAACAGTTGAATTTCAATCGCTTTTTCATTTTTCATAGTTCTGAAATTAGTGGCGCGTGTTTATGCAAAGGACTGAACGGTTTATCGAACACAAATACTTTCCTTGATAAAATTCACGCCTAAATGCGTTAAAAAATTCGAAAAATACTCTCATAAAAAAGGATTTTTTTTCCTTTTTTGTGAAGGTATTTTGAAGTCACTGCGATTTTATTGACTATCTACTGAAATAACAACCACTTTCACAATTTTGTAGCTTTCAAAAATTATTTTTTTTACCAAACTTGCATCCGAACTTGAAGTTCACTAATATGAAATGACACTTATCTCGCTTTAACTCATCAAGATTTCAACTTTGTCTATATCGAGTTTTGGCTGTTTATTACTTTAATCACAAACACAAGAATAATCTTAAAATTATTGAAAATATTCGTCGGACTTGTGAATGAGTAGCGCTTTCAATTAATTAACCTAAAATGTTTAAGACACGTGCAGACTGCAAGTGACAAGTATAAACAAGTCGTACATACGTTATATATATATATCGCGAAGTGTATAAAACACGATATGTAGGTTATGTAACTATTTTTTAAGAATTGTTAAACTTTATTCCGCCTCTATAATAAACGACATGCTCTATCGTAAAATAAATTCATGAGAAAATAAGATTCATAATGATTTCATCACAAAATTTAACCAATTGAATTTTTCAACTGGATGAAAATAATTTTATGAAAATGAATATGTCTTACTCTGACATCAATCGCCAATATATCAATCGTAAAAAATACCGAATAATTCGTTTAACCAGATATTGCTCGAGTAAACATTGCAAACATGGCGTCAACAAAGAAAAAACAATTATGACTCACAGTAAATCCATTTTCTTCCATAAATTGTCAGCTTCAATGATCTTACGTTTGGCAAATCCATAATTTTGTTTGGTAACCGAACAATAGACCGCCATTACCGCGTTTACTAATGCAATCACTTGCTGATCACTCGCTACTGTCTCCAATTGTTGATCTTCATCGAAATTTTGGCTCAAATCACGACTTATATTCCACGTAAATGGACACTCAAATGACTTCATCTCTTTGCTGCAGTACATTTTATTTGTAATTTCTCGCATTTATTCGCAGCCACGAAGAATTTTGCTTAATTCCCGATTGACGCGACTTAAGAAATATCCTTGCGCGTACAACGCCGACCGGCCTAAAAAGTGTGATCTCGTATGTGATTGTTATCGCGACGCAGCGCACACTGTAAATCGACACCGGCAACCGTAGAAAACGTGTGCTATGCTTGTGCAAACCAATAAACTTATATTTTCTTCTTATGTTTGTGAATATGCGTGGCGTCGAAAGCTCCAGTGCATTAAAAATATATTTAGTTTCAAAGAATTGCTGTTAATCTTTGGAGATATTTAATTAATTTGATGAATGGTTTAAAATCGTAACACTTTGTTGACGTGTTTTAGATATATATATATATATACACACACACACACACACGCGCGCGCGCGCACACACACACATATATATATGTGTTTTTTATTAAAAAGTTTATTTAGATAAATACTGGAATTTGTAGCATTACGAATGCCTCTTTTTTACACATAGTTATAGCGTTCCGACATTGCACCAAGATAATCACCTTTATAATGTCGATATAATATAGATAAAAAAATGTTTAATCGATATAATGTTGAAAATTAATAATTTGTTCGATTAAAAGTTACAGAAACAATTCAATTGAATTTGTGCAAAAATTATTAAGTGCATTTAAATATTAGCGTTAAAATAACACTGAATCTCAACGAATTTCGCGTAATCGAGTAGCGATCTTATCTCTTCGGTCGATGCTTTTACGCCGAAGTCGAGCTTGCGGCGTTAGATCCTCGGTAGTTTCTTGTATGTATAACACAAACTAATAATAGCAACTAATAATCACGGCAGTATACGCACCGGCGCATTACGCGTAGTCGCGCGCTTGCTTGCGCCTGGCCCCGTAAAAGCTCGACCGGTAGTGATCGCGCCGCAGCCGAAGTTCAACGCCGTGCTTCCTCGAGTTCATCACGCGTCGACATATCTCGTCGGACTTACTTTTGCCGCGTCCGAGATGAAGTGAAAATTATAGAGCACGATTGTGGAGATTGTTTCGGAGGTGATCCGCCGCTTGCGAAATTAATGAGTTGAAAAATGGTACCCGTCGCATCGAGTTTCCAATAGCTTCACCGAGAAAACAAAAGAAACGATCACTCGACTTACACACACTCGTATAAAAAATTTTGACTTCGTATCGAGACTACTAAAGGCTGGTCCTTCGTCGATAATGCAACTTCATCGTTATCGTCACCGTAGCGAAGATTCCATTCTTGATCGATGCCAAAAGCGAAAGGCTTTTTTAATGCTTCGTCTGTTTGGGACATTTGTTTCATACTGTCAGCTTCACTGAAAAAGCTTCCCCATGGACGTGGACGAGATTGTCTTCGCGGAAGATCCAGTCGAAGCGTCGCGTATAGGGACATTGCAGAGCAAGACAGCCTGACTCGCCTCGGCGAAATATCAGTCTCACATGTTGGCAAGCGACAAACGTATCTGACACCTTGAAATTTCACTAGCGGATCGGCCGGTGTCGCCGGCGACCTATTCTAGTCGCTTTCATTGAGATTACCGGTATAATAAAAGAGTTTGCGCATTGTGTGGTCTGACAAGAAGATATACACTCGTTTCGCTCGTTGACGATGGCTTGTGCTTGGGTCTTGCTTTTCATTATTCAATTATTGAAGATACGTTTCCTAAATATGAAAGAGCTTTCACGATGGCATACATTTCAGAGAAATAATTCTATGCCATAAAAATAAGTGTAAGCTAAAAACAACTACTATTTTTCATTGTTTACAACTGCGTCGAACATCGTGCATGCGTAAGTGAGAAACATTATCTAAAGTACCTAAATTTTATTTTTAGATATAGAATAATTTTTTATAAAAAAAACCTTTATAATTTTGATTATAAATTTTACATTTTTAATATCTGGGATTATTATGTGCTATACTGCAATGTATGACGATTATTCGATCATTTCAAAACTACATAAAATATTAATTACATAAACTGAACGAGAAATTAAAATGCATAAGTAGAGAATAAAAATTTTATCAATCTATAAAAAATAAACAAGCAATAATTTCTTATACTATTAGTATTTTTTATCTTAAATTAAAGTATGTATATGAAATGTAATAAGCATAAAAATAAAAGGATAACGATCTTGAATAATTTCTTTATTGTCATAATCTCTAAAAATTTGTAGAAAATATAACAGATTGATATGTTAATTGAATTGGTACGATGTCATTTTAAAAGACTAAGTATATCTTCAAGAATAGATTCTATGCTTTCACCATTATTTTGAACTTCCAAGTCCCAATCACTCACGTCATCTAAATCACACTCGGTTTCTGAGTCATCAACCCCTAAAATTTATATTTCGAAAATTAATTCAAATTGACGGAAATTCATATAACTTTTCCTATTTGTCTTTACCTTTGGTATAAATCCAGCCGCGTCTTTTTTTGACACTTTCGTTACTTGATATCCTTACAGTTTTACATAAATCTCCATAATTTTCTTTAAACCATTTCAAATCTGTTTTTCTTCTAGCATCGCTTATAATCCAAATAGGTTTACTTTTAGCTGATGAAAAAATATTTTGTATTCAACCTACATATTTTGTTGTAGAATAAATTTATTTAAAAGCAAAGCAGTATAATTTTTGTAAAGCTTAACGTTATCTAATTATCTTTGAGATTTCTATAATATATATCGGTGTTAAAGTCAGAATAAAATTAGAAAAATTACCATTGTACATTTCAATAGCTGCTCTGCAAAAATATCCATAATCTTTGTTTCTTATATCTTCGCCCCATTTTATCATCTCTAATCTGTAAAATTCTTTGTATTCTCCATCTCCAAATAATTCGGCGGCATCAAGATTTCTAGTTTTCGCCCAGTGTGTTTTAATTGGACCAGATAATTTTATTATAACACTTTTTTCATTACCTAATCTAAATAAAAAATATTAATTAAAAATCTTAGCCGTAAATAATTATCAAATTATTTATTTTTGTAATTCGTAAGATTATTACAATTAATTTTAAAAATAATGGATTTTTAATCTAATTCAGATTGTAACATCGATTTGATACAGATTGAATAAAAAGTTATAACAAAAAATTAATAAAAATTTTAGAAAACTTCAAAATAGATCGGCACCTCTAATGTGCTTTTCCTTTCTCCCTACCCCCTCTCTCACTCTCTCTCTCTCTCACTCTCTCTATCTCTCTCTCTCTCTCTCTCACACTCTGATTTACATTTGTGTTGTAACGATGTTAATTGTTGAGCTAAAACTTATTTTATCTCTAATTATTCTATCAAATTTTAAGCGAACATCTTTTATAATCAGCAAATAAGAAAACCTAATTATCTTTCAATCAAAAGTAAAAGTAATTATTTGATAACGTTATCTTTAAACAAAAGTAAAAAGATTGTACAACAATGGTATTTTTTTTAAATTAATACAAAAAATAATAAAAATTTACAAAACTTAAAAATAGATCGTCAATACCTCCGATATTACTCGCTCTATTATTTATTGTATCAATGAATATTTAATTAAAACTAATTTTATCTATTTTATAAAATATTAAGATAACATTATTTTCAAATAGTAAGTGAAAAAATCCAACATCTTTCAACGAAAGCGCAGATTATTCTTTACAATAACGGTATCTTAAACTATATACTTAAATATTTCGTATTAAACTGAAATTTCAAATGCATGCGATATCAATGAAAAAGTCTGGTCCAGGCAAAGGAAAAAGATCATTCCATACCTTTTAAATAATTCATCAGTAACAAAATCTTTTCCAGATTTTCGTTTCCCACTAAATATTAATATTCTTTCAAGTATTTTTGTTGAATGTTTAAGATGTTTTGTTTCAACTCGCAAGTCTGCTGTCACATTCCTATTCGCCATCTTGGACTTTACTATACTTTACTCATATGAAAACTGAGTTGACTTTACGCCTCGCATTTAAATATCATCGTACAGTTTCTGTATTTTTTGTAGCAATGAATATATTTTTGTATGATCTATTCTGTATTCACACTCAAGTTAATGTAATTCAATGGACATTTTTGCAAAACAAATATTTTTTTGTTGTGTAAAATAATTACTGTTGATTCAAATTCATTCAACATTTCGCTGTTTTTTATTGAAAAACTTGTGTGTAGAATTAAATATTAGAATTTAAGTGGATCTGTTCAATTCAGACACATACAAGTCAGTTTTTGTTTTTATTATAATAAAATCCCGTCATTACAATAAATCTATTTCTTAGCTTCCCTAGCAGCCTTTCGTTCTGCTGCCTTCTTCAGTTGTGCCTTGGGTTTAAGATTATGTTTCTTGGCGAATCTCTGATTACGTAAGAATTTCAGATCCATCTGCAACAAAAAAAAACCACTTATTATATATAGTTCATTGTAAAAATCAAATTTTTATTCTATTAAAACTATAACGGAGTATTTAAAAACTGAAAAATATATATATTGCTAATTAAATATTACGTTGTATGTAGATTCAAACATTATACTTTGCAATTCTTATTGATAAATCAAAACATTATTTTTTCATTATTCATAATTTTATTTTATATTTTAACCAAAATATTATCATAGATATTTTTTATTAAAATATATCTGCCAGAAATCATTACTGTAAGCTTCAAAATTATAGTTGCCAAAATAACTATTTTAATACTTAAACCAACAAAAAATTGTAATAAATTTAAAAAATATTACACTGTTGCACAATTTAAAAATAAAACAATAAGTGCATATGGCAATATTGATACATTCAGTAAATCAGTTTTTTATAAGTATATTTGAAAAAATGTTATATTTTATTTACTGATATTATAAAAAAATATATACGTTGGACTACTTACACCCAAGGTAGACTCATGTCTACTTCGTTTTGGTTTTTGGATGCCATTACGGTGAGCTTTCCTGCCTGAAAAACATTAAAATTGTATAACTAATCATGATACACTATTGTGTGAACATAAACAATGTTTATAAATCGAAGAAATATGACTTTCTATTCTAAATTATTGTTTTTATAAACACTTAAAAACAGAACTTACTCTGGTTGTGATTTGTGTGGTTCTTAGACTTGGCCATATTTTATAATATTTCAGCTTTCTAAAAAAATATGAAATCAATTAATTAATTATAAATTAATATTATTATCTACTTGATATATTATTATTAACAATAACACATTTCGAGGTTAGACTGAAGCATAACCAAAATAGCAATACTAAAAGTAATTATTTTTACAAAACGTTCCGCGAAAAATTGAATAATAACAAATTCTTTGTGGAAAATCAACTGAATCTAAAGGATAAATAGTAGAATGAACAAGGATTTTATGGATTAAAATATAAAAAACTCTTGATTTACCAGACTGATACAATATTCGTATGGAAAAGAAAAGCTGGAAAAGAAATTTACTAGATGTCAGCGACAGTGAAAAAGTCACTATAAAATTCCTAAACTCTGTCGATAATAAACCTATACTGATGTACCGAATGAGTTCATCAATCATCACAACAAACGACCCAGTCGCACAGCAGTTTCTGTTTCTCCTGCTTGGCTCGGGTACTTTCGTTGGTGTACTAACAATAAGAAGACAGGTTGTGGCTTTCGCTTTATTAATTCTGCTTGTGTACGTGTATTTTAGTAGATGATCAACATAAAATCGCAAATAAGTCCACTCCCTTACCGTTCTCTGTCGCCACGGAGAGTATTTGACCTTGACATATCCAAGTTTATGCTTTTTCTTTCTTTAATATGATTTTTACAATACCCTCGTATCAAATTAACAAACATGGCATTTTAATAATATTTTACGAGTAACTACAAGATAAAAAGAATTGTTTACCTGTGGAAGATTGCTGCTATTGTAAGATGGATCTAGGTTTGGGTAATACCTTGCTTCCTGGGGATCCTCGGCTTATCGACCACATCGTTGCCGAGGTCAAATCGCAGGGTATTTTTGATCAGTTTAGAAAAGAGTGTATTGCCGACGTAGATACCAAGGTGAGTAAAAATAAAAAATGTTTATATTTAAAAAACTACAATAATATAAAAAGAATAGCAGCCGACAGTACAAATCATTTTACAGTAATTAATTTTCTACATTAAAAAATTATAATTTATTTTATTTTTGGGTTAGGTTAAATAATTTAATTATAGAATTCGGTGAATCATTTAAGTTCCATAAAAAATCCACAAATTTACATTACAATAATAATAATACATTATCTTAAAGTGGCTCAGTTGATGTTGATTTTGAATCTATCTTTTTTTTCTTGTTACCTTATCTATTCTTAGATTGTCTACTGTTATGTAGCTGTATTCATCTTGATTCTCCTGCAACAAATGACAACCAGATTATCATAATTGAATAAGGTTACAATGAACACGTATATGTAAGAGTAATATATTTTAATGTAGGTTAATGTTGCATACAACATTGAAATAATTATAGAAAATCTAATTGAAATAAATTTTTTTATTGTTAGTTTGGTTAGAATTTATTTTTAACTATCAATTTTTATTTTATTGAAGTTGCCCTCTATTGAAAAATGATGAGATCCAAATTTTTTTTCTGACTAATAAATTCAGTTCAATTCAGTATATATTATATAAAAATGTACAGATATATCAATTATTGAATTCAAGTACTTTTTAATTACTAATTCATTATCAATAGGTAATATTTATTTGTCGTTCAATTATTGTTATTTTATGGAATTATTATGAAAAATATTTTACAAAACAACAAGAATACTAACTTAATCATTCAAATATTTACAAGTCATTTGATACCCTTCACGTATTTATTATTATCTAATCATATCATTCTATTTTTCCAGCCTGCTTATCAAAACTTGAATTCAAGAGTAGAAAGCTCCGTCAACTCCTTTTTGAACAAACAAGTATGGAAAGCTGATCTCAACAAGAATCAACTTCGAGAAACATTAAGAAAGCACATTCATGATGCTCCTTACTTAGAAGTTGGAGTAGATAGGATAGTCGATCAAGTGGTTAATCCTAAAGTATATTCAGTATTTATGCCTAAAATTGAGGATGTTGTGTATAAATACTTAGGAATCGAAAGACCAAAGCCTCAAAGGAATGGTGCTTGTGATTTGAAAGATCTGCTTCCTACAGATTTAGATCCTGTATCGCCTGAATCTGACAGAGGTAGTATAAAAGATGAAAGTATGGATATTGTTGAAGAAGATGAAAAGAAAGTTATCAATGGGAATGAGGAGAAACCTAGTGTTAGTAATATTGAGAGCAAACCATTAGAAGTGAGTGCTAGTCCAGTCAAAAAAGAAAACATTAACATTGAGAACGAAAAAGGAACTTTAGCTATGGATATTTCACCAGTAAAAGCAGTTTTGAACGCTTCATTCAAATTAGATGAAGGAATTAAAACTGAAGAGGAGGAAGAAGAAAGTCCTGATTTTGAGCCTATTGATACAAATTTAAATGAGTCTAACATGTCAAATGATTCTCACCTATCTGGTATTTCTGAACTTACAAGTCACAGATCTGGGAGTCCAGACTTTGCAATTGATTTTGCTCGTGATAATTTTGATTATAGCAATCAAGATTCCCAGCTTAGCAAAGTATCATCAAACTCTCGATTATCCATTGTCACTGATATTGGTTCTTCTAATCATGGCTCAACTCCCAAATTAGATGTTAAAGAAGACTTTAAAAGTAGTAAAGACAATTTCAAAGCTGTCAAAGAATTTGAGAGCAATAAGGATAATAAATTTAATTTTGATGTAGCAAAAATTAAAGATAATAGTAAGACAAGTACTTCTTCCAAAGAAAGTTCGCGAGATGCTTCTGATTATAAAGATGTCAAGTTAAAAGATGAATCTAAAAGTAAAAGTTCTAAAGAGAAGCATGAATCTAGGAATAGCAAAGGTAAAGATCGAGATTCTAAAAAAAGGCACAGTAGAAAAAGGAGGTATAGAAGTAGAAGTAAAGATAAAACTGAATCTGATTCTCAAGAAAGTAAAGATTTCTATCAGAAGCCTAAGGAAATCAAAATTAAAGAAATTGACAAGAAAGATGATACTTTAGATGAAACAAGTGATTTAAAAGATCGGTATAAAGAAAAAATTAGAGAATTACGAGAAAAAATAGAGTTAACTGAAAAAGGAAAATTAGGGAAAGTCAATCCAGATTTGGCTAAAGATAAAAGAGATTCAGTCTCATTAAAAGACAAGGAAGATCCTAAAAAAAGTAGTCACAAATCTTCTTCTACAAGAAATTCCAGTCATAGCAAATCTTCCAGAAATTCAGAAATTAAAGAATCTCGAGATAAAAATAGCAGCAGGCATGAGGAACGTCATCGCAACAATGGAAAAGGTGAGTCGAAATCAAGTAGTAAAAGTAGAAGAGATTCCAAGTCTGGTAGCAGAAGTAGCGACAGGTCCAAAGATAAGAAACGCAGGGATGAAAAGAAGCCCAAATCAACTGATGATCATTCAAGCCTGAGGAAAAATCTCAATGATCGTCGTTCTTCAGATAGGGATGGTTCTGATGGTTCTAGCAGCAAATACTCACAGAAGACTTCCTTCAATGCCAATACTTCATCTAATAAATTCGGTCCTACATCAGAATTAACAAAAGATAACAAGGAGCAATATTCCAGTGGTGAAGTAGACAATGTTCAGGAGACATTGAGAGGTAATGATGGGTTACCTAAAAAAGTAGATCCAGGTTCTTTAGAGATATCTTTGCCACTGAAAAAAAGACGATTACTCAGTGAGGATTCACAAGATGAAAATCCAAGTAAGAAAAAGCGATCAAATGGAAAAAGAGCATTGAAGAGGAAGCTTGAACATCTCGATAGTTTTAAAAGTGACAGTGATGTTGCTAGTGTACCGGATGAAGAAAGGGTGCAAATTGTAGAATATGCAGATGAAGAATACGATCAACCCTATCCTGACAGAGAACTTATTTTATCATTGGAAGAAACAAAAAAGATCATTCTTGATGCAGAACCAGTAACATCATCGAAACCAAGCTTGTCAAAGATGGAGCAATCTATCCTAAGTGAAATGATGGCAGACAACAACATGACTGACGCCATTGTTAAACCGAAAAAGGTAATTCTTGATGGAAAACTAATACCACCATCTAAATTAAAATTATCAGAAATGGAGCAGTCTATACGTCAATCTTTGAGTGAAATGATGGCAGAGCACAAATTGAGTGACACCGATAATGAACCCAAAAAGATCAATCCTGACGTAGAATCAGTAACATCACTAGAGCCAAACATGTCAGAAATGGATCAATCTATACATTCATCCTTAAGTAAAATGATGACAGACCACAAAACAAGTGAGTCTGATGTTGAACCTGTTAAAGTAAGCACAGTTATGGACTCCAGTAGCTTATTGGAGGCTCTAACTGATGATTCCAGTACAGATAAAAAAACTCTTGCTCCTACTAACACAGAAGATGTGATTTCAGACAGTAAGGCAACGGAAGTTGAAAAATTTGAAGAAATAGCCAAGGGGAATAGTGAAGAGTCTAAAGAAATATTAAATCAGAGTTATAAAAATGATATGAAAATAAAAACTGATGATAGAAAGGTGAATAAGGAGATTTCTGAAAACATTCAACAGCAAGAGATGGACAAAGTAGAGGATAAAGCATCAGAAGTTCAAAGAAATACTGAAAAAGAAGTGCTTATCCCAAAATTTAAAATATTTAGTGAAATTGAGAAGGAAGAAAGTAATGAAGTATCAAAGGTTCAAAAAAGTAAAGCAAAAGTTATATCACAAATTGAAATATCTTGTAAAATTGAAAAGGAACAGAATACTGAAATGCTTAAAATTAAAGAAAATATAGAAAGTCTTTCAAAAGTTGAAAAATCTAACGAAATAGAGATAAAAGTAGGTACTGAATTATCTAAGATTAAAGAGGATAGAGAAAATATTCCAATAATTGAAAAATCTAACAAAATTGAAATGAAAGCAGGTACTGAATTAGCCAAGATGCAACAAAATACAGAAAATATTGTACCACAAATAGAAAAATCTGATGTTATTGATAAGAATAAAAAAATTGACAATTCTAGTATCACAAATAAAGTAATGATTGAATCAGATTCAAAAAGTAAAAATGAAATCGCACAAGATGAAGAAAATCAAGCTGATTCAGATGAGTTTAATGAAGATGATACCTTGGTAATCGATGAGGATGCTGAGGAGAAAGAAAAAGAGAAAGTTAAACCATCCGAGGTTTTTGAAACGTCTAGGGAATCTGAAAAAATTGAAGAAAAGAGAAGAAAGAAAAGTAATGATGAGAGTCAGTCAAATGACATAGAAATATTAGAAGTATTTTATAAAAATCATACTTCCGACGTGCAAAATAATACCGAAGATAAATTAAATAACAAGCCCGCTAAACAGATCAACAATGAAGACGTAGAAAAGTCAACTGCATTAGAAAGCAATGATAATTTTTCTATAAAACCAGTTGAATTTGACGATGAACCAAAGGATGAAATAAAAAATCAGTTGATAAACGAATTAGCTAAACTCGATGAAAACGACAGCGACGAGGATAAGCATGAAATTAAAGAATTGACTTCCAACGAAAGCGTCAATAAAGATGACGTATCAATCGAGGTAATCAAATTGGATGACTCGCCAGATAAATCAGATAATACTATGAAATTAGATAGCGACGATGATGGTGACGTTAACATCGACGAAATTAAAGATGATGACGAGGACTCAAAAGCCGCTGAAGACAAAATAGAAGAATTCGATCCTCTCTCTGAAGTTTCATTGGACGTAGAAAAAGTAACCGTCAATGAAGGTCAAGATTCTTTAGGCGTGGATAAATCAGAAGTGTATACTGATCCATTAGCTACTGATTCTTCTAATCAAGAACAACCTATGGAAGAAGCTCACTGCAGTACAGATAATCGATGGGAATATTCTGTTGAAGAAGATTGCCACTACTTTGACAACGACAACCAGAAGTATTTGTCTTTCAGAAAGTACCTTGATCAACTGGAAGCTAATTTAATCAAAGATACTGAAAAAGAAGTTGAAACTCCTATAAGAGAATCATCTCCAGTAGTCAAGCCTGTAGAACCATTAACCACCGATTCAGTGCCACTTAAACGCAAACACTCGCTAAGTCCAATAGCCGATATCATCAAAGACAATAATAACGGTGGATTAATAACGACGAAGGAACAAATTGTCACGGAAGTGTCTCAGGAGGTGTCCGCTGAAGAATCTATGGTAGTTCTTAAGAAACGAAAGGTTGGTAGGATGAAGAAATCCAATAGCAGCAGCAGCGTTACTTCATCGAGTTCTCAATCAGAACAACCGCAAGTTAGAGAACAGCAGTCGCAAGTTGCGCATGTTAACGGCGAGAACTTGATGCCACTTAGCCCTGAGAGTGATATCTCTGTCTGCGGTGATAAGAATCTTACAGGCCATGCAAGGGAGGAGAGAAGGTAAAAACATTTCAAGTTTTGAATGTATTACGTTAAACAATGATAATTATATTTCACTTTTTGTCTACTTTTTAAATTATTTATTTAAAAACTAATTGATCAAAAAAGCATGTTTACTAAACGATGCATAATTATTTCACAGCAGTAGAGGTCAACGTAGCAGTCAGCGTTACTCGAGTGACGATCTTTATAAGCCACGACCATTGTTTACGTCGTCATCACGTCGCACTACAAGACGCTATCATCAAGCATAGCTGTTGGCCGCGAGCCACTCGCGGCGTCCAGATTTCCATTTAAAGGAAGCCCTCGTTGTATTACGTGATTGCTTCCTTGAGCATCCTGGTGCCAAGTGAATTTTGTGCGATTGGCTCGTGCCCTTTCTTTCTCTCTCTCTCTTTCTTTCTCTCCCCCTATCTGTGCATATGTGTACGCTTTTAGAACGTTCGTTTTTCTATATATGACGAAATATTGTTGACACTGTAATTTTTATATTAATTGAAAGTTTTAAGATTACTATGAGAATTAGAATATCCTTTTTTTCGATTTATAAGATTCGAATATTTTTTTGGAGAATACAAACTAAACTTTTTCTTTTATTGTTAGTGTACAAGATTGATGATTAAATCATAAGATATTCTATATAGATCTATTATTGCAATACTATCTGAGATGTAATCTCTGTGTTCATGGAATTATCTTGCGGGGAAGGAGAATAATTAAATGTTTGTGTACTCTGCTGTACATAAAGAAAATTTTACAGTGAATGAGTAGGAGTATCAAAGTTTATTTTGTAGTGTTTCATAAAAGAAAATTAGCAAGTAATTTATGAATCTTTGGTTTACTGTAATTGGAATTGTAAATAAACATATTTTTTTAAATTAATCATTAGGTACAATAAAAATTCAAGTCGTAATACTTCTTGATAAAATTATTTTATATAGAGAAAAAAGGATTTTTAATATTATCAACGTAGGTGTATATAAAAGTAAAATTTAATCGATCAATACATCACTGCAAAAAAAGTTGTATTTTTATCATCAAATATTAAGATATTTAGCTAACAAGATATTTGTTACACATTTATAGAATGGTCATTTTTGTACTGCAGTTCTAAAAAAATAAATTGATGAGTGTTATTATTTCCAATAACAGTAACTAAAACAATGTGATCATACGAATTCAATAAAAAATTCAAATCTTTTCTAAATGTATTCTCTTGAAGATTTTCTCACATTTTCATAAACTTATATATTTGAATGCAGCAGAAATTACAAAATATATATTTTGTATACTTGAAAAGGATAAAAATGAATTTATAAATGGCCATTACAGATATACACTTCTCAAAGCTTCAATATGCATATGCATATTTTACGCAAGTAGTACCTGTTCGATAAGTAAATAATTAAAAAATTTATTTAATCAACAAAAATGTCATCAATAGTAATGATAGCTGTTCAAATTTTCTTATTCACACAATGATTAAAATTGATACTCAACGTATTTGTAGAAAAAATAATAACTTATTAAATATATCTGAAAAACAGCATCGATCTATTTATTTTTTATCGTTCTAAAGGTAAAATAATAAAAATGAAACAGTGCACACGTATAATGACCCAGTCACGCAAAGAGTCACTTAACCTTGGCACTTACATTTTCGATTGCACGCGTCGATACGCAAATCCGAATCTATATAAGACCCCGGTCCCATAGGTACGTACGGTTGCGGACGGATACGGACGCGAATCGCAACTCTAGTAACATCACTAAAAATATCAGAAGATTATTAAATAAAAGATTATTTAGTACCAACACTACCGGTAGTGAGCAAAAGTGACTGTTGTTTAAAACTGTAGCGCCGAACATTTAATGAACGCCTATCTAACCTTTACATTATTGCAGTCTATAAGATGGCAAATGATAGAGAATTGATAGACTTTCAACTACAATTAGTGGAATCAGGCCTTAATTTTATGAAAGTACTTGAATATATGAGAAGAAGAAGAAAATATATATAAATGATATGTATTAATCATCCCAAAAACTTTTTTTACATTAGCATACTCATCAATAAGCAATATTCATGAAAATTTGAAAAGTAAATTGTAGACCTAACATTTGAACATTAAATGTGGTACGTTCGGCGCTACAGTTTTAAACAACAGTCACTTTTACTCACTACCGGTAGTGTTGGTACTAAATAATCGAACTAGATATTTTTAGTGATGTTACTACAGTTGTGATTCGCGTCCGTATCCGTCCGCATCCGTACGTACCTATGGGACCACCAATGTGAAAACAGCCCGACACAAATAACATTTTATAAACAAAAATGATCACATCTCACGTATGTATAATTGTACTTCTCGAAAAAATAATTATTTGTTATTGTACCATTATATTTCTCATAAAAAATAAAAAATATCGTTATCGATAATTCACCTCCTATTTATTCACATAAAAGACATAATTAAGCAAAAATAAATTCACAGAAAAATTGTACCTTCTGTAGTCTAAATTGTACCATCAGTACAGTCCTATAAATTTGTTTCTAAAAGAAATAATAGGACAATTACAAAGCTCTACGCCTGCGCAAAGTGCATTTCCGGATGACATCCTTGTAAGTTGTAACAATTAGTGGTAATTTGTAATTATCCTATTATTTCTTTTAGAAACAAATTTATAGAATTGTACTGATGGTACAATTTAGACTACAGAAGGTACAATTTTTCTGTGAATTTATTTTTGCTTAATTATGTCTTTTATGTGAATAAATAGGAGGTGAATTATCGATAACGATATTTTTTGTTTTTTCTCAGAAATATAATGGTACAATAACAAATAATTATTTTTTCGAGAAGTACAATTAGACATACGTGAGATGTGATCATTTTTTTTTTATAAAATGTTATTTGTGTCGGGCTGTCTTCGCATCGGTTATGGGACCGGGATCTTAATGATACTACAGTTGCGATTCGCGTCCGTATCCGTCCGCATCGATACGTACCTATGGGACCGGGGCCTAATGCGGTGAGCGTTGTAAGTCACTGCATTGATTCGTTGTATAGTCGTTGGTTAGCGTGAACGTTTATGTAGGCACCGGAAAGAAGTTTGGTAATGGTATTTTTAATTTGCCTTAGCCATTTTTTTCGGAATGCATTTTTAATGCAAATATACTTTTTTTTTAATATTCTTTTAAACTTCTCGTGTCTCAATTCTATTATACTTATTTTAATATGCACTTAATAATATACTAGTCAACCATTTCAACTAGCATTTGTTTATTTTTGCTGTGCATCCAAATAATTGTGTTTTGGATTAACTGTGTCATCTTGTAAAATTATAAAGCTTGATTGTTTTAAAGTATCCATTTTTCAAAGCGAAATGTGATTACTTTTTCTTTTAAAACAATAACTATACATTACTTTGAAAAACGAACATGACACAATACAATTAAAAAAAAATTTAATGTCGGTCGACCACCATAAAAATGAAAAAAGTAGAAATAAAATATGAATTTTACGAAACCAACCGTTGACAGAGAGGAAATTGCTTACTTTAAGAATTATTTATGATTGTACTCCTATCTGAAGCGAATGCCTTAATGTGCTGTTCAAACTTTTCAAATCGTAATTTGACCTGCGGTTTTCCGCAAATACTGGTAAACTACGATTTTTTGGAGACAATATTTAAAATCTTTTGTTTTTGTGAAAAAAACGGTGGGGGTGGATAGGGTGAAGAATGCCAATCGTCGGTGTCAGCGGTTAAAATTATACTCTCGCACGGGAATTATTTCAAGTAGCAAAATCGCTTTTTATTATCAACAGCCACATAACCACTGACAGATCACGCCATATATACTTGCGGTTTTACTAAGATCTCGCCGTCGAGATTTTTGTTCAAATTTTAAAACAGAACTTTGTGAATCGTCAAAAATTTAACTGTACCGGAAACGACTTAATGATCATCTGCGATGACAGAATTCTGTGTTTTTCCATGTGTAAATAAATGCATATTTTACGTGACCACTTGTTTATTTACATTGTACACACGATTGATAACAAAAAGTTTCTCGGACTTGATATTTATTGCGAGTTGCATTAGTAGCTAATTGAAATAGCGTGATCACTATATATAGTTTCCGCGAATTATTTTTCCGAGGCAAACTATATATTCGTCGCTCGCTCGAGCGCCGAGGTAATAAAAGTCACGATGACAGCTTTGCAGCATAATACAACGTAGTATATACGCGATTTTATATGTCATCACGCAATGATAGTTTAGATGGCGAAGATAAGAATTTGTTGAAACTCACTTTTAGATATAAGTATATTCTCTCAGGTTAAGCAAACTTTTAAAAAAAGACTATTCTCGCTTATCGGTTCGATAATCTAGTCAAACATACCGGCACTGACGTGAAATCAAACATATTATGAAAATGCTATTCATATGACAGACATTTGATGTTTAACAAACGAAGAATAGAATAAGAAGTAGAAATTTGTACACGTGTAACTAACATTACATTCATTTGAAATCTAAAACTTGCAATGTCAGCGTGAGTCTATATTTTTTGTTTTCAGAAATCGGTTGTATGCTTTCTTCTATTCTTCGCGCTGTTGATTGATTGGATCACTACACTTCATTCAATTATCGTATAAGAAAAAATACGCGTTCGTGCGATAAGTATATATATGAGCATTTATATGTATAAATGCTCTTATCCGTAAACTTCGTGAAAATAGGACGTGTCGAATCTATAGGAAAAAGAGAGGTCGAAAGTTCAGTCTGCGATTATGAGGTTTTATTTATTATTTATGTTTGATCTATATATATTATAAAATCTAAAACAATAATTGGATCTCCGTTACTCCAAAATAAAAATTGTTCAGTCACTAAACAAAAATTCACAAAGTATTATTATTACTTAAAAACCGATAGATCAATTCTAATCATAATTTCGCTGCCAAAAAAGCTTTAGAAAAAGCTGACAATCTATCACGTCGCACTGCAATCGATCGCCATTTACAAAAACATTCCGTATTACATATGTATGTACGATATAATGAAATAAGTCACCGTGTATAGCCGTCGATTATCAAATACATCGTCACGCACTCACAGTGCTCAGCACACGCACAAGTATACACACATGCGTGGCAGCCGTAAATTATTCGCGAATCAGCAGCAGCGCATCAAGCTCAAGCAAGACCATGTGGTCGGATTTACGATAGCGCCTGCGCAGCATTAAACCGATTCTAACCTCATCCGGCAGTTGCGTGTTGGAAGCGAGAGCAGAACTACGCAAGGAGCCAGTAACTAATCTCTGTCAGTACGGGATCGCAGTCTGCGCAGTGTGCACGTTCGCGCGTAGAGTGCTGCACCGGGCGAGAAGAGAAAGTGTGCATCGCACGCGGTCATTTTCGTTTATTTTCGTTTCTTTATAGGTAATATAGTTTTACTTTTCCACACACACATACATACACATCGTTAATATCCTTACACGAGGTACACCATACACGCTAACGTGTTTAATATTTTTGAGTGAGAAGCAGAGATTTATAACAGTGAACGAATGGTTTGCAGGTGTTTTTGCGAATGGGAATAGTAGCCTCGACAACATGAACGCCGATGACTACGAAACTTTGCCGACCCAGTCAATGGGGGTGCACATGATGGCAGGTGCTTGCGCTGGAATTATGGAACACTGTGTTATGTACTCCGTTGACAGTGTTAAGGTAAAAGAAAAAGAAGATGGAAAAGAATCTACGAACTTTGCCAAGTTTCGTTCATTGCTTTAGAGAATGTATTGAGATTATAGAATGATTGCTGATGTGAACCGTTACACATTTGTGTTTCACACCGAGATTTACAACTTGCATACAAATTAATCGTAAAATGTATAGAATTGGATTTTCACTTCATAACCAACCAACAATACGTATTCTATGTACTGAACGTTTGTTGAAGAATTCTTCATTATTGAGAAAAGTTTGAGATTTTCAAAGGAATTATAGACTTCTGCAAATTACTCGAGTTAATTGTAATCTCTGCGATTAGGAGAAATATCATTGAAAATCTAGTTTTGAGCATGAAACAGATTTTCCTCGTTGCCTTCCCCGAACCCAGTGACGTAATTTGCAAGTATTTGTCGAATGTGCAGACATTCAAATACGATTTATTTAAAATAATTTCATGTACTTCGATTTAAAACAACAAAAATAAAAAAACTTTTTTTCTCAAACTTTTCGGAAAGTATACGTTGCAATATTACTTTAAGTCGAAGGGGGAGACCGGAGGGCGATTGCCAAACGGCTTGCAATTTTTAGGTTAAGTTTGCGAAATCTTAGCATCTGTGCTCTCTGCTCAACATGACAGATAATTAGGTCAGAAGGCAATTCTATTTGCGTTTATCATAAAAAACATGTTCACTTGTCCCTACGCTCTTGTTAATTGAATTTCACGGAAATTACCTTGTTGTCATGACCTGAAATACAGCTCTCTCATCAAGCTCATTTTAATCTATGATTATGAATTATGCAAGCATGATTGTGGATTATGCATGTGAAAGTACCATTTTTCTTTACTGCAATTTAAAAGTTGTTCATTATTATGGAGCATCATAAAATCCTACTTTTGATGATTAGTACTTTACTCTGGGGAAGTTTTGAATCTCAGCTAATATCTGTACATGTTATTTTAGAAACAGGTCACAGTTAAGAGCTCTTGCATTGGCAATTTGATAAAAAGCTTCAAATTATCAAATTCAGCTATTTTGAAAATCTTTCCTGTTGTTCACATATATACAGCAACAATTTATACACTTGTCTGTATGGGTCGTTGAAGCATATGTTCCTGCAAAAGGTTATTACATAACACCTTGGCATTAATGTAGCAGGTTCTATTTTTGAGCTTCTGCCAACCGTAATTTGCACTGATAATATCTTAAAAACTGCATTGAGTTATATGCTTAATTTTTGAAATTTTTTCAAAGGAATATTTGAATTATATTCCATGTAAAGATTGAATTTTAAAATCATTCTTTTTAATTTTTGCTTAATCAAAAATTGTTGGTATTTTCAATTTAATAACAAATTGTTAAAATCTATTTTTAAAAAATCAATCATACAGTCATAATTTATGCACTGTCCTGCAAAAAATATATCTGTACTGAAAAATTTGATAGCCTAATTTACAACAAAAATAATTACTGTCAGAAGTAGTGTAATATTCCAATTAACATCATAGAATGAATGAAATAAGGAATAACAAATACTTTCATCAATTATCTTTCTTAATGATACCATTGATAAGTTTACAAATGCAGGATTAATATCATAATAATATTTAGGCTTACATAATGTCTAAAAGAATGATATTCAATCTCATAACAAAGGTTATTGAATAGTGCAAGATTCTGCATTTTGTAATGACTAGTCACTGCTATTCCTCTATTTCAGTAATACTTCATATATGAAGCTTTCAACTGCTAATGAAAATAAGTGATTTTGATATTTTTTTATAATACTAACCAATATTGCAATTTTTCAGACAAGAAGACAAATTCTAACACCAGGTCCAGGTGGAGGTGTAGGTATAATCACAGAGATAAGCAACATGATGAGGCAAGAAGGCATATTTAGACCTTTTCGAGGTATAAGTGCAATGGTAGCTGGAGCTGGACCAGCACATGCACTATATTTTTCCTGTTACGAATATCTCAAGGATAAAATGATGAGTACAAAGTCGTATTCTCCTAACAACCACCTGATCTATGCATATGCTGGTGTTGTATCGACGGTACTTCATGATGGTGTTATGAATCCAGCTGAAGGTACTTTCATTTATTTATTTCTTGTAGTTCCAGTGATAAGTGGAGTTCTCACATGAACTCCACTTGTGTTATCGATTACTCATACTATAAACTTTTGCGTAGTATTGTTTATTGATATCCTACTTCTGTTATTTTTATCTGATAATTGATTTTTGTCTCATTTTTTTTTGTTTTATCTGGTACGTGAATATCGTTTTTTTGTATTTCAGTGGTAAAGCAACGTATGCAAATGCCGAATTCACCATACCGATCAGTAATGGATTGCCTGCGACATGTGTACGCGACCGAGGGCATCCGTGCGTTTTATCGTAGCTATCGAACGACGTTACTGATGAACGTACCGTTCCAGAGTATTCATTTTGTTTCTTACGAGTTTGCTCAGTCAATCACAAATCCACAGCGTACTTACAATCCAATGGCACACGTTGTTTCTGGTTAGTATATTATTTTTTACTTCGTGTTTTCACAAATTGGAAAGATGACTTCTTTTTTTTCAAGCAATTGGTAGCATTCATTTATTAAGACATCTACGTTATTTAACTTTTGATAGATAAAAAAAACTCTGCTCCTTTCATTAAAAAATTATTCATTGGAAAAAAAGTTGCATAATTCATATTCAAAGTAACACATTTTGTATTGCGAAAAATGTTATCCAATAAATATAAATTTATATCTCATACATTTGCGAGCCGATAGCTTAAGATAAAATAACTCTTAATTTCAATTATTTCAATTATACAAATAATTTCGTATTTAAAAATAACTATTTCAAGTAATTTTCACGTTAAAACGATTTTATTACAAAATTTCTATTACAGGTGCGATGGCAGGTGCAGTGGCAGCAACAGTATCGATGCCGTTGGACGTATGCAAAACATTGCTAAATACTCAAGCCGGCGAGATACGTGCAAGTGGCATGCGAGATGCTCTCGGTCTTGTCTACAGGTACTGGGGTGTGTCTGGCTTCTTCCGTGGCCTCAGTGCTAGAATCGTCTATCAAATGCCCGCTACCGCCATTTGTTGGTCGACGTAAGTATTTTCCCTCAGCTTCTGTTCATTGTCTCATTGTCAGATGTGTTTTTTTTTCGACAACTGATTCTTGATATAACATTTCATTAAGCGTAAATTAATTTGTCGATAATCTTGACCTATATGCTAAAGGTTATAGGGAATCAAGACTAATGCCTACCGGTGAATAGTGTACCTCTGTAACGTTCCACATGAACGTAACTTTTGAAGCAATAATAACAATAATAACTTTATCGATTTAAAAGTATAGATTCCGCGAAGAGCCATTTTGTAACTACCGATAAACAACAAACAAACGACCGCTCTTTATATAGCCAGTTGTTCCCTGATCGATCATGTATATTAGTTTTAATTCGAATTTTAACTGAGAATATTATGATTTGGTCAGTTCGCTAGCTGGGTATTTCTTGGCTATTTCGATTGATTTGTAACCGTTAGGTTTCGGATTTTTTTTTAATTTAGCACAATTGTTGTACATATAAAAGTGAGATTTTTCCCAAATTTTGAAGACGATACATTAATTATATCAAAAGTTATTAACAATTAAAGACAAATGAAAAAAATTTTTCAAACGGCTATATTTTAAAAACTAATAAAGATATCGAAGTCGGATTTTTTTGAAAATACTTATAATGCCTTAAAATTTCGAAATAACTACAACAATAAATAATAAAAATTTTTTTTCTTGCTTCTGCGTGTTCTTAAGGATTTTTGCTATCGAAAACAATCATAAAATTCAAGGGCGCGACATATCGGAAAGCGTAGCCTTAATCAAAAGAAGACGCCTGAGCGTAAGAACACGAAGACGTTCCGCTGCCGTTGCGACGTACACCGAGGCATCTTCTTTTGATTAAGGCTACGCTTTCCGATATGTCGGGCCCTTGAATTTTATGATTGTTTTCGATAGCAAAAATCCTTAGGAACACGCAGGAGCAAGAATTTTTCAAAAAAAAAATACTTTTTGAGATATTAGCAATTGTTTAAACAAAAAATTAATAACTTTCAAAAAAAATTTTTATTGTTTATTGTTGTAATTATTTCGAAATTTTAAGGTATTATAAGTATTTTCAAAAAAATCCGACTTCGATATCTTTATTAGTTTTTAAAATATAGCCGTTTGAAAATGTATCATTTGTCTTTAATTGTTAATAACTTTTGATATAATTAATGTATCGTCTTCAAAATTTGGGAAAAATCTCACTTTTATGCGTACAACAATTGTGCCAAATTAAAAAAAAATCCGCAACCTAAGGGTTACAAGTCAATCGAAATAGCCAAGAATTACCCAGCTACGCATTTAATCTTATCGTTAGTTGTATTCTAAATACGTCTTATCTTCTGAAGGATATATCACGTCAAAATTTTGTTATAGACAGAATATTAACTATAGGTACTTTTCATGGGTAAATTCATGTGTATTTCAAATGCTGAAACTATTAGATTTTCAGTATATATTCTTTCGTATATTTATCACGACTGTACCGAGTTTGCTTGTAAGATTAATCAAAAGTATTAATAGCAGTACGGATATTTATGAGTTATTACACTTTTTTACAATACGATTGATAAAATTGTTTAACAATTTATTATGTATATTGTGTGAAGCAAAAACGTATCTCCGAGATTTTAATTACGTCCAGTTTGATAATTTTAAATTTATTACTCAATTGTTAAAAAGTAGAAAAATATTTATTTGGAAATGTTGTAAAGCGTTAAAAACACGTTATCGCAAACGCGCAGATAATAAATAGATAGGCACGCTGAGGCATAAATAAATATTTTTTTCATTGTGAGCCTGGAGTGATAACGAAAAACTTGATTTGCAGATACGAATTCTTTAAATACCTACTGCACAAAGATCCAAATTTGGGTTTGGAACCCGTGGACGATTTGCCAATCATGCAACAACAGCTATCATCACGGAGCACAACGAGCATTAATGCGAGCACAATACCAAGTCCAAGTGGAGGTAGCTCGAATAGCTTTCAAGGAGCGGGACTCTATTTCAACAAAAAACCAGTGATTTTCGAAATAACGAGAGGCTAAAAACAGAAAGTCGTTTGTACATATATGCACTTTACTATCCACATGTAATTCGAAAGAGAAAACACATTGGTTATAATATTTCGCTTCTGGCTCGATACTCCGTGAAGAGGTCAATTTTTTGTACGCGAAATTTTAGAGATATCTGTTTGGAAAAAGCCTCGTGAAGAGACAGAACAAGATAAAAGAAAAAAATAACAAAAATTCATTTTGTCAGGTATAATGTAAATTACTTTAGAAACGTTCGTCTCTATTTAATAGAATGAGAACAAAACGTTGTTGTACAGTTTAACGAGAATAACAATAATTAGGTTGTACAGAGGCTGCTAAAAAGACGATCCGATCGATTATTACTGCGTATTGATTTTTTTGTGTGTTTGTCGCGAACGATTTTATATCGATATGCGTGTGTACACACACACACACACACATACACAAGCGCGCGCGTATTTATTAAGGCCGAATGCAGAGCAAGGTAGGCAAACAAAATTATTCGTTTCGTATTATCTCGTTTCAAGTAAGACAGCAAGTGTTTTGTTAATTATTTTTTTTAATTGGTTGTCTACTCGAATTTGAAAAAAGCGTAAATAGTAGTAAAAGAGAGAATCTTCACATACTTACTTTCTATGCTGACCATACTATATATATATATATTTGAAATTCAAAATGACAGCATTGAATATAAAAAAAGAAAAATGTCGAAGCCAATGATCTACGGGTGACTTACGACAGAGAGAGGGGGGGGGGGGAGCTAGACAAACAAACAAACAAAAAGCTGTTGAGCTAATGCAGGAATTTTTTAATGTAAATCCAAAGTTGAAGCTTTAACATTGACGGTAAAGACGCATGCCAGAACGTCATTATTTACTCGATTAAAAAATGACATATTATAATAAGATATTTGTTACAATGAGGAATATGTTATTGCTACGTTGATCTTTTTTTTTATTGTAAATTATATTGAAAAAATTCTTTCAGCTTTATGTAGATTCGATTGTCATTTTTTTTTAAATTACTTATTAACAACTTTCATCGTTAAACTCTTATTTATTTATGCTTCTAAATTAATCGTCAATTCTAGATATTCAAAATCAATTAAACTTGACTGTAGTGAAGTTTTTGAACTTACTTAAAACAATATGATTATTGAATACGAATACATTCTTTTTAACATACATCGACCTATCAGCGTTATACACTTGTCATAAAAATTCCACAGTATTGCTTCCTATGGCTGTGATTTCGGAGTCAAACACGCATATGATGTTGACTTTAAGAGGGAGTAATATCATGTGAAAACTCTTTCGTTCACGCCATAAAATGTAAAAAAATCATTTTAGAACCTCCATTTTCACTTATTTTTGTTAAAAAGATACGTAACGAAAATGCTGGCCATTCCCTTCGTTCGTTGACTAAGTCGACGTATATTCATTTTACAACCTATTGCATGTGCATATTAAATATCTTTCCACATGTCGCCGAAAAGCAATGATATATAATGTATATTATATATATCGTGCGTCTTTTTCGTTTCGATTATTTTATTTATTAAAAAAATTGTTTGAAAAATGCTCAATGTGTTCAATAGCTATGACACTGTTTCACCCGTTTCTTTACAAAATATGAAGATACTATACGAGTATTAAATAAACATTACATGATATAAGAGACAATTTGATTTATTTGTGTGTTCACTTTTCAAAACCAATGCATAAATCATAGCTTCTTTTTTCTATAAATTTTATACATAATGATGAAATACACAAAACGAAATATACAAAAACGTGACGATTCATAACATGAGTGTATATAATTTTTCTTTATATTACAAAGTTAAAAAAATTTTTTTGTTGATTTGTGCAACGTCGATGCATTTACACAACTTGGACAAATTTTACGTCGAAAGCCCAGTTGCTAGCGAATCAAAACAGAAAATAGAGAAAAAATCGAAGATGAAGCTATTAAGGTTCTGGTATACGTATGCATGTACATATATATAATGCCCGTATTCACATGAGAAAAAATACTATTGTCTTAAAATACGATAATGTATGAAAGTCACTTCGAACAGAAAAGTAACGTAGCGCAACGTATAAAATGTAAGAATAATGTAAATAAAGTAATCGTACGAAGTACAAGAAATTATAATTGCTATGCTTTTTGAATAATTATTTACTCCTAATCATCTTTTATTTTATTTAACAGCTACATGATGAAATTGATCGAACCAGTTTTGTCATCATTTTCATATAAAAGTTATATTTTTTCAACACATCGTGCTTGGGCAATCGAACTTATGCACGCTCAAGAAATCGAGTATGCTTAAAATCTCTTTCCGCACACGTAGTATCGAAAAATAAAGTCAGATACATGTGCAAGGAAGTGATTTCACTCTCGTACGACCTCTTCACCCTCGCTTTGCTTGTGCGCAAACGTTCACACGAGACGAAAATTACTTTCTCACACAAGAATCATAACGTACTATAAATTAGTTTATTATATATGTATATATATCAAAAAATTGTTACTTAAAAATATAATACATGCTATATACAATTTACTATATACTTTCTCCTTCTGTAATATCATACATTCCGTTATGTGACTTCAACCAAGTGATGTAAAACTCAATTTTTTTAAGAAATAAAGTAAAAGTTTTTTTAGAAATGTTAGTTGATCCTAAATCAATATTAGATTGAAATTTACTCTTGAATTCATTATTAGCGGAAGTGGCCCTGTCGAGTGAAATTTCCTTTCTGGCTTCCTCTATTAACTTATAAGAGTCTGACAATGCAGCAAGTACATAAAACAATTTATTTTCTTTGTTTGGTCCTTTTAAAATTGCGTCACCAGCCTCTTTGGTACCCAAAATTGTATCTGAATCTCTAACTAGAGCATTGCATTGGTTTATGGCAAACATAACACTTTCGATAGTCGAATAAATATCTTTAAAAATTCTATTGATTCGTATTGTATCACAAATATGCAGGAATACATATGTTGCATCTAACGGAGTGGAATGATGCTCCCCATTGAAATGCATTACTGTGTAGGCGTAACAATAAATTGTATTAATAATACTATACCTTAAAAATGGAGAAACTTTCTGAAATTTAAGTATTGAAATATTGATTGAACGTTGCTATGCTTAAGCAAGTTCATAAAAAGCTCAAGAACTTACAGATAGACCTTCCAAAGCAGGAGTATCTAAAATTTTAGGGCAGTTATCCCGAAATGTCTGATCTTGCTTGTTTTCAGTCAAATCTTGAACAAGCTTTTCATTGGTAGTATACCTCCACCAAGGATTCCACTGTGGTAATAACTTTGAAGCTTCTCCGCTACTAATCAGTGCTTCAAACTCTTGCCTCTCAGATGTTGTTAGAGCCGACCATAATTCATCTGCATTATCCAAGTTTATGTTCTTCAAACGTTTTTCCAAAGAAGGCAGCTGCAATGAGATCAGTCCTTATTAGATTCACTACCTCATTCATGACATAGTAAACAATATCTATCAACGTACGTTCTCATCATCGGAATCAAGATCTGCTTCGTAATCGTAATCTTCATTCGCATCCTGCAGTATTTCAGTCAGAATATCATCCTCTACATCGTTATTGTAAACCCTTTGCAGCATCTCCAAAGTCTTCTGTTTTACATCAGGATCGCCTTGTTGCATGAGCAGCTCGTTCTCGACGCATTGTTTGTAAAAAGCCTCGGAGCATTCGAGGTGAGTTGACGACTTGTAACATTCGACCGAGCAGTAAGCGATATTGCACCTTGGGCACACGTAACGACGTTCGTTCCGGTTGCATCTGTAATCACAAAACATACGTATTCCACATGTGATACACCAACAAACATTGTTCTAGAAATTATTTCGCGACGTGTAGGTTAGGTTTGTGTCATGCTAGCGCTAAGCGTCGACAGGATATTTACAATTTACAAAGCTGATTGCCACTCGAGGACGCGGTCGTCAAATCCATGATGTGTCAACTTGCACTAAACTGCATATATGAATAAATTGATAGATTTGTTGCAGATAAAGGGTCAATACGCTGCAGTGCACAAATCTACATCCCGTGTGCAACTAATGACGAACCGCCATATAGCAGAGCGGAGACCCCCCGCACTTTTACTCGATCGATTCAACTCGATATGGCGCGCGTGACGACAAAAGGGACTCTTCTAAGCCACATTTTATTGCTCTCTATGTAACTTCGAAATAACTTTTTTATGGGTGAGACACTCGAGCGGAGTGTCAGTAAGGCTTTTCATTAATGATTTCTGTAGAAATTCAACAATTTAGCATCGCGAAACTGAGTACAAAAGAAAAATGTTCACGCGTTCGATGTTTGCGGAAAAGCAAAAAACAGGGGAGCATCGGGCGAACACATTTATCAGTAGCGTTAGCCTGTAAAATCAAATTCCGTCGTGCAACAATAATGTCACAATCCCTAAGAGTCTGCGACACGCGCTGTCAGAATTTCCACAAGGAGTGCGCGAGAAAGGAGGAGAGGCTGAAGACGCAGTGGTTCCTGAAAAACAGGCAGCGTTTGCTGGATAATCTGGGCGGCGCGAAGGCCGCGGAAAAGTTGCAAGCGCTGCGCAAGAGCAAGCGGAAAGGCGTCGACGAGCCCAAAGCTCCGAAGAGAAGCACAGCACGCGACGCCGCGGATTCGCTGGAGAAGGCGCTGGTTTTGCCGGCGTGGAGGCCGTTGGACAAGGATGTGGGCCTCATGAAGCCCATCAAGCCCGACGTGACGAACGCTCTCTACGCGCCCAAAATCGCAAGCTTCATAACCAAGCACAACTACCTCGCGGAACGGTACGGATAGCGAGCTCGACGCGCAGTTGAGTGAGTTGCAGAAAACACCCAATGACCCTTGGCAACGCGCAGATACAAGGAGAGACCGGACGACAGGTTTTACTATCCCTACTGTTCGAGCTGGGTGGTGGGCTGGCGGCTGGCGGATTACCCGGCGCCCACGGTCTCGGTCTACGGTGTCAAATCCGTCATCCAGTCATCGTTCTATCGGCGTAACGCGTCGAGCCTGCAGCGTGACCCCGACTGGTATCGCCAGTGCCAAGCTAGCGATCCGAAAAACTTCAACGAGATCTTGACTTATTGAGCTCGCGGCCATATTCGTGCCGTGGCTCGTGGAACTTTGTTGGCCCGGTCCTGCGCTGTTATAAGTCCAAATTAACCGGAGAACCACATATAACCGCATGGCCCTCGCACGTTTCACGCAACGATCGAATAAAATTGTCTCGTCTATAACCAACGAAAGCAGCTATTACCATGTGTACTGTGCTTCTTTTGCATAGCTTTATCAGCGGCAGTCGAATAATTGGCTTCTGCGGACGATTTTAAAATTTATACCTAGAGACGAGCGCTTTTTTACGATTTCCGTACGTTACTCGTTGACAACGCGCCAGTCCCATCAGTCGCGTGATCGCAAGCGCCACGACCGATCAGCGAACGACAGTTGAAAATACGGAGAGCCGCAAAGTTCTATATTAATTAAAAGACAATGTAGTTGCGAGGGCGCTCGTCGCCCTTTGACAACCAATATTATGAAATATCCTATTCGGGTCTCTGATTGCGCCGCGAGTAGAGCGCTCTGGAGTCAACAACGGAATGCCTTAATCAATAGCAACGAAAAAGAAATTGTAGAGCCACGCACAAGTTTCGGCTCTGCGTACGAAGAGAAGAGGCGCAAGTGGCAAGCAACGATGCAGCAGCCGCGCCGACGCATGCGCACCGCTGGCAAAGCATATGCGCCTGCGGGCAGAAGGACCAGAAGGCCAAAACGAGAGGAGGGAGCGAGAGATAAGTATAGTTTTGTCGTCGGCAGTGATCTTCGTCTTCTACTCGGCAAAACTTCCTGAGTGTCGACAGTGTCGAGTGTGTTATTAATTGGACCGCAGTGGCGTACGATCGATTCGAGTGTGTTTCTCAATTTAATCGTACTCTTCGCTTATGTCTTGTGAACGTTACTTCATAATAACCTTTCAGCGGCAGTTGAGCTAAGCTGACTTGACAACAGGTGGATGGAGTCAAGGGTGGATGCTCTTGGAGCAAGGTTAGGTGTTTTAAACGCGAGCCGACGTAAACAAAGCAACAAATGATAGCGAGCTGTCAAAGGAATTTGCAACACAGGTGAGTGAGTACTCGAACTTCAAACGTTCTTTTCTCGTTTCTGTCATGATAATATAGAACTTGTTCGCAGATCCATCATGATGAAGTCGAAAAGAGGGAGGAGAAGAAGCATTAACAACAGACAGCTTCTGCTTGCCGTGAGCGACAATGACTTTGACGAAGTCGACCGCCTTATTAATGATTCCGTGGACGTTAACTTTAGAGATCCTGATGGCTTTACGGCTTTGCATTATGCCGCTGAATTCGCCGATTCAAAAATAGTTAAACTTTTGTTAAATAAAGGAGCAAAAGTAGACAATAAAGATAATAACCAAGAGACTCCGTTGGACATTGCTAAACGTCTGAATAAGTTAGATATTGCTAAAATTCTTGAAAGAATAGCAGAGCTCAGAAATACACCACCAGATGATTCAGTGAATGTCCATTATAGGAAGCTACTCCTTAAAAATGGGTTCCACCAAACTAAGCCAGAAGTTTGGATTAATCCGGTCCATGACAACATTTATCAGTTAAAGATTTTAATGCTATTTTTGTACAGAGCTGTTACATGTAAATATTCATTTAGACTAAGCACTGAGCCCAGAGAACCTAAGATATTACACGATTTAGTGCTTGAGTATACTCAAAATGGTGCAAAAGTTTACAGGCTTCTGCAGGCAAAGCATAACATTGATGAGACTAAAAAAATTACTGTAGATAACTTACTTACAGATATAAGCAGTGATTATAGTCTGATAAAGTATTTTTATTATTATCAAGCTTTTGAAAATACAATATTGCTGGAAGATAGTACAATCAAGGATGTTACTATTTGTACAAACATTGATTTTGACTATCAGAATTTGAAAGAGGCACAGATCGAACTTCAACAGATAATGGGTATGGATGTTATTTTAGATGGTGAAATTAATGGCACACAGTCAATAAAGTATAAATTTACTGATAGCATACTTGTAAAGTTAAAAAACAAATTAAAACAACACAGATATGGTTCAAAACATATTGTGTCTGATCATGAAATCAAAGATTTTTTTCAAAAGTTGGTTTTTGCTGTTAACCAACCAAATGAAGAGGAATTAGGCAATATTATTAAGAAAGAAATAAGCAAAGAATTTGGGCTCATCACCATAGGGGATGAATGCAACAAATTTTTCTTTCAAATGCTCAATTGGATGAAAGGCAATAATTCATTTAGATCATGTAAAAAGGGTAAAGATTTTTTTGATAGGTTCAAAAAAGGAATATCCATTCAGCACAATGTACAAAATCCTGTTGAGTCATTCACCAGTAGATCAGAGCAGATAAATAAAATGCATCAACTTCTTCAAACAGGAAATAAGACAACGGTCTGCGTGAGTGGATCTGGCGGTGTAGGCAAGAGTGAAATGGTTAAGCAATATATTTCTACATTCAGCAATTACTACGACAACAACATAGTGTGGATCAACGCCGAAAATTATCAGACTCTCGTAAATTCATTTCGCAAATTAGCATGTGATACACTAGGCATTTGCATGCTGAAAGCAGATGGCAAGGAGAAGGAAATTACAACTATCGTTGCAGAAACTTACCAATACTTTTCCAAAAATAAGAGCCTTTTTGTTTTCGACAGTGCTGAGATGTATCAAAGTTATGAAAAATTTGACTCGGGAATAGAGCGTTTTCTATCGTCTTTGCCACATAATTGTAATAAGCCTTACGTTATCATTACGTCTCGCAAACAAAAGTGGCCGAAAACTATAAAAGTAATAGTACTTGAAGCTTTTACCGAGGAGGAAGCTGCGAATTTCATCTCTGTTTCTCTACGGTTGAAACACAACGAGCCAAAAGGCAAAGCAATAGAATTGGGCAAAAAATTACAGCTATTACCATTGGCATTGCATCTGGCAGTCGCTTACATAACTGCGCAAAACGATGAACTCCAGAATATTAGTTCAGAGTTCGAAATAAGTGACTATCTAGAGAGACTTGCAGAAAAAAGCCAAGAAATATCGAATTTTCAATTTGCCGAAGATTGTGATAGTAAGTATGCCGAAATTACACTTGTCACGTGGAACATTTCATTAGACGTCATTCAAAAGAGAAAGAACGGCTGTGATGCCTTGGCTATTATGAATATTTTATTATATCTATTGCCAGATAATATTTCACTAGATATACTTTTTATGTCGTTCAGAAACAAAAACAGATTGGTTTCCGCCATACAATTACTCAAGCAATACTCATTCATTGATGCACGGAATAAAATTTTTAACGTCCACAGGTTGGTGCAACAAGCTGTCAGAATGAAGTTGATTGAAAGTAAGAGTGAGACAGAGGTACTCAGGAAAATTTTAAAAGGTATTGATGTTAGCCTGATAGTACCTGGAAATATTGATAATTTCATTAATTTATGGACGCATTCGAGCAAGTACACGGAACTTGTGGACGAATTCTATGAAATTCCCGAGAAAATCAGAGAAATTATGCTCTCGTGTGGTAGACATAAAGAAGCTTATCGAATGGGAAAGATGAGAAATGATTTGGGTCAGCAACCAGAAGAAGACATACAAACAAAACTCGATATGCTGGCTATGAAAACTCAGGTGGCTTGCACGCTTATTAACGAAGGTGGAGGCGTGGAAGCTTTGGAAGAATTGCAAGAGATTTACGAGGCTCAAAGAACTTTACGAGGTGCTAGTTCACGTGAAACTATAGCCGCAAAACGTAATATTGCATATACCCTTCGTAGCTTGGGGAAGAATGCCGAAGCGTTGCAATGTTATCAAGAAGTTCTCGAAGCTGGTAGAGCTTATTTAGGCGAAAATGATCCCGACACTTTAGCCACAAGAAACAACATCGCCACGTTCCTCATCGACGACGAAATGTACGACGAAGCCTTACTAATCTTTCAAGAGATATATAACGTGCAAAAGCGGATTTACGACGAGAAGGACGATAATATTTTGATAACAAAGAACAATATTGCAAATGTATTATGCAAGCAGAACAAATATGAAGAGGCGTTGAAAATCTGGCATGGCATTTACAATATTCAGAAGAAAACCCTCGTTGAAAATCATTCCGACTTATTGCACACTAGGAGTAGCATAGCGAATGTATTATTCGAACAAGAAAAGTATGCTTCTGCCTTAGAAATCTATGAAGACTTACTTCGAATTAAGACAAAACTGCTCGGCGAGGAGCATTCAGAAGTCGTCGACATTCGTGTGGATATTGCTTGTACACTAAAGATGCAAGGCAAATTCAACGACGCACTGATTATTTTACATGAGTTATTGAAGAAACAAATCGGCGATTCGGGTTTGTATAACCCTCACGTTCCAAAGACACTAAATGCCATGGCGTCGGTATTGTACGATCAAGAAAAATACCCCGAAGCTTTTAAAACTTATCAAGAGCTTTTGAGTTGTCAGATTACGATGTTTGGCAAGGACGATCTGAGGACTATCAATACTCGCGGCTACATCGCTGGCATTTTAACTAAACAAGGCAAATACGACAATGCGTTAGAGTACTATCAGGATATGTTCAGAATAACGAAGAAATCATTTGGTATGAATCACAGGACGACCTTAGCTGCGAAACATGAGATTGGTGTAATGAAACTTTGCAAGAAAGAATATGATAAAGCATGGGACATACTAACGGAAGTGTTGGTCGCTCAGGAAGCTTTGTTAGGCAGAGAACACATGGATTACATTACAACTTTGAAGAATTTAGCCATCATTTCAGCTTACAGAGAGAAGAATCAAAATTCAAGCCAATCAACGTCGAAATCAAACGGTCCATTGGCTGCGATTGCGAATAACGACATAATTACTTTAAAGAAATTGGTGAAAAATGGTACCGACGTCAACGCACAGGACAGAAATTTACTGACGTTGTTGCATCACGCAGTCATGGTTAATCAACCGAACATCGTTAAATTTTTATTAGCTAACGGGGCTGACATTAATCGAGTAACAAGCAAAGGCGAGACTCCGTTGCACATTGCAGCGTCGAAGGGTTACTTAGCCGTAGTTAAAATTTTACTGGACTATCCGAGCTACGAAGAATTGAAAGTATTTCTCAACGCTAGAACGGTTACCGAAAACACAGCTTTACATCTCGCGGCAGTCAATGGATTTTTAGAGGTAACAATACAGCTGCTGATACGAGGAGCAATGTACGATTTGAAAAATCAGAACGATCAATTACCGGTCGATCTTGCAATAGATCGATATCTGAATGGTTTCTTAAGGAAAGTTTGCGTGCACTCCGAACTCTCGAAGTACGGTGTCGAGGAGGTTTACAATCAACTGCAACGTCTTCCTTATGAGGAGTATTTGGCTTTAGTTAATGCTCGAAATTCTCAAGGGCACACCATGCTGACGATCGCAGTGATCAATAAACGAGAGAAAGTTACGAAGCTGTTGGTCAAATTGCGAGTCGACAAGGCTTATTGCGTTCATTTTATGGCGAATTTCAATTCGAATCTTAACGAGTTATTGGCATACGCTGATATTGCGAAGAAAACAGTGAAAGACGAAAGTGCGAGTTTTCAGCAAATCGTGACTGACGTTAGCGATTTGATATCGGTTTTCAGAACTTACAATAAGGATAGTTTCGATTCAAACATCATCATTATCGAAGATATGCTGCAGCTGTTGGAAACTCACGAGAACGCAAAGTTATTTTTAGGCTTGGCCAAATTCACCATCAGTAAACATCTGACACTTTTCACAAGGTCGATTTACACTATTCAGTTGTACGAGGCAGCGAAGAACAACGATCTGGGTCATATACAAGAGCTCATGACAAAGAATATCGATGTAGACGTGAGAGACAATGGAGGGTGGACACCGCTGCACTTTGCTATCAATGTCGGCAACGAAAGAATGGCAGAATTATTGCTGGCGAGAGGTGCCGAAGTGAATTGCATCACGAACATGGGTAAATTCACACCGCTGCACATCGCCGTTAATAAAGGGCACGTAAAAGTCGTGGAGTTATTGTTGAGTCGCAGCTCGAAGAGTGAATTCATCGATGCAAAAACTGAAGCTAAAGGCTCGACAGCTTTGCATATTGCTGCAAAAAATGGACAGTTGGCTATTGTTACACATTTGTTGGCACGAGGAGCGAGCTATTGCATTAGAAATAAAGATGGACAGTCGCCTGTAGATTTGGTTGAGGAACCGAATATTAAGGATTTGTTTAAATTGATCGATGAGTTGTTTGTCGATGCGGAGAAAGGCAAAACCGATATCATCAATAAGTTGAAAGCATTAGAACCAAGTGGGATTCAAACTGTAATTCGCGTGAGGAACGACGAAGGATTTTCGATGACGGAAGTTGCTGCGTTAAAAGATCATCGAGAACTTGCTAGTCAAATTCTTAGTATGTTCAAATCTACCTTTAATTTGCCAGAGAGTCTCGGCATGCCAAAGCTCGTCTCTTCCTCAAAATCGTAAATCATTATTCGCGTTGTAGATTTTTTCATTCACACTTACTGGAAAGAAAATTTTAGTACGACTAGAAAACATATGACCAAATGGCATTGTCATTCTCTCTGAAAGATATAAGTTTTGTTAAATATTGTGTTAATACCGAAAGTATTAATAGGAAAATTAACATTCCATTTTTAGACTGTAAAAGATTAATTTATTGGCTAGATAGATCCTAACTGTTTATTCGCATCTTTTTTTTTGCTCAATTAATATATATCGTGTGCACACTTAAAGATTTTTAGGGCCAAAACCATTGCTTATTAATACGCGGGCGTAACTATACGAATAATAAAAATATGTTTTATGCGATATTTATGTCAAAGTTGTGTATATTGAAAGGTGAATATACAAGATTCTATTATGAAATGATTTACTGTTGTTGAATATATGATGTGTTTCCCATTTATTATTAAAAAGTCATATGTTGTTTCACACCGTATATGTATGAAAAATGATAAAAGTGTTGTGAGTATTTTTAATTTGAAAAGTGACATTACTAGAGCGTTTTCAGTGTTTAAAGTAGTTACACTGATATACTTTGGATTCGAGGAATTTTTTCGATGCAAGTATGACTATTGTTGTGAAAATGTTGTGTGAATATTATTATTGTAAAGCATGGTTTTGTTGCTTTATACCATGCAATAAACTAAATATTTATATATTTGATGATGTATAATTTAAACCTCATAATATGCCCTGCTTTTCCAACTTTCATTTGAATTCAAAAAATTAACGTTAACAAAATAATAATTTAAAGTCATAAGATATCCAAAGGGAATTGAGCACAGAGTGCCAATCGAATTAATTCCATAGTTGCAAGGGGCTAGTGTCAGGAGTATTACATAGTTAGCTGAAGTATCTTAATCCCTACGCTCTTAGTCTGGGAATGATATAAATTAAAGAGATTAAACTTTAATCGGCTAGCAGATTAGTATTCTATTTCAGATTCACTTGCGCCAGTTGAGTAGAGATCGACTTCAAGCTTATGTTGTTGAACACATTCTATATAGGTTTTATATAAGCGTGGTAGCAATCGTACTAATACGATTAATAGTTGATTTAAATACCTATCCTCGTTTGATTCAACGCTTCGAACTGAAATTATCAAAATAATCGCACAACGAGTTTTTCATAAACTCATTGTGAATATTGACTAACAAAATTTGTAACTTTTTTCTTACTTTAATGTGTAATCAAAGACATTTATGCTAATTAACCCCATTGGCCTTGACTTGGCCAACCGTCTATTTACATTTTGAATCTTTAGGTCGACCTAACAGCATGGAAACGTTGTTAGAAATGGACGCTGACGTCGATGTATCTTCACGTGATGATGCGACGATTTTGCAGATCGCTATTGGTAATCAATCTATCGAAGTTCACCGCTGATGATCCTTGCACTGAACGATTTGGCTCCTTTGTATTCGGCTATCGTGTCGGGCTACGAGACTGTAATCCACGAAATCGCCTGTTGCGCTCCGCTGCGATCGCGGGTGCCACCTCGACGCTATCAGGCATCCGTGAAATGCCCGTCACTAATCTTGGTAAAACTTGCAGCTCATCTTGCTGTCGATCGCGATTACAGCTTCATCGTGGTTTTTCTTTTTTCGAAGCGCGCTGGCACCTTTTGGTTTGAAGACACGCATTGTCTCCCCTTCAGCGCTGTTGAATTACGATGCTTGCGCACACGAGGATTTGCATATTAACTAAGAATCGTCCGCTCGGACGAGTATCTTGAGGATTGTTGCGAGAAGTAGGCATCGATCCAGGTGAATTGAATAGATCGAGGAGTGAAGTGACTGTTAGCAGTAGGTAGATTTACTTACTGCCGATAAAAGCTCGCGTTGGCTTCGAAAGTTCCAAATGTGCTTGCCGCATGGAATTTCCTTTGGCTATATGGAATTCAGAATTAGGCAATCTTACAAAAGGAATACTCAGCGCGCGAATCGTTGCTATGGAGTTCTCATTGAGTTTTATCATAGCTGCAACACTTTTTCTAATCGTTTTGTAAGCAATGCGCACCTCGTGATGTAGGCTTATCGTTTCTTTATTTACAAATAAACACATAGATTGCACAGCTGAGTGCACCGCGCGTATTTCGTGCATTGAGAAAATTCCGAAATCATTTCTCATTGTTTCCAATAATTTTACGTTCCGCTTCGTTAACGAAAGACGTACATTGGTAGTGCTACGGGGGCACCCACGCAATGGGTTTCGGCACTGACACGCGTGCAGCCATACGTGCTATACACATTGTGGAGGTGCAGTGTCCAACGTGTACTCTCGTAGTATAGTAGTGTTTTTATGAGTGCCTCATTAGAGACTTTCAAATGGGTTTATTCGCTTTCTTTCGACGTTCTAGTGATCATTATAGTTGCTTTTGATATTTTCAGTTTTTTGGTAATCTTATTCGACGTGGAATAATATGAAAATATTTAAAGAAAGGTCAAGCGGTGTTAGGTTAGGTGCTCCGTACAGTCTGGTATCAACAACTCTATGCGGACGTGACAAGTCGAATGATTTTTTTCTAAAAATATTCGTATGAGAGTTGGGGATTGCGAGGCAAGTCGTAAGTCATTTTCACTGCTGCATGTGAAGATTTTTTTTTGGGCTGACAGGCATTACAAAATGACAAGTTTAAATTATGTACGCAAGTATGAAAACTTAAAAAAATTATAAGCGGAACCGATGAATGCTTTATATGGCGCGATTCGTCCATCACAATGCTTTTTTGTTAACAGTAATTGTACTTGAACAAAGAAACAGAGCATATCAATAAAAAAAATCCATATCACCGCTGATAAAATACTGCGAATAATAAGCATATTCGAAATGTAAATAATCAAATTATACGAATGTTTACGATCGGGCAACGATTGGTTTAAGAAAGTCAGTAAAAGGAGATGCGCGTTGCGGGTAGTTTCCGCACGTGCCGGAATAATGTATATAGGCTCGTCACGCCAGATATTTTTTATCGACCCGCTTACGCGATGAGTTGATTGATGATTTATCGTGCGAATTTTTTTTACCAGGGTGTAACACTGCTACGGTATAGTTTTTAACATGCCCATTGCTGCTACAAAGTTTTCATTTTTTTTCACTTTAAAAGATCCGTTGGCGTTTATCTATTAGAAAATCAAGTTTCATTTTGTATTAATGTATCATATATTCTTTAAAAAGGTCAGCCATGGCATCTTGGGAACGGGCAAGAAGAAAAAGCATAAACAGCAGAGAACTTCTCATCGCAGTCAGTCATAATAAATTGGAAGAAGTTGGTCGTTTAATAAATCAAGATATAGATATAAATTTTAAGGATAAAGATGGATACTCGGCTTTATCATTAGCAGCCGAATTCGCAGACTCCAAAATTATTCAACTTTTGATTCGCAGAGGCGCCATTTTAGATATTAAGAACAGCCATGAAGAAACTCCTTTAGAAATTTCTAAGCGCTTGAATAGATTTGACATTGCTAACATTTTTGAAGTAGCGATCAATGAAAAATCACAACCAAACGATTCGAATGTAACTTACATTTCTTCAATTATAAAAAATCACCGCGAAAAAATTGAAAATTCAGTTCGGAACGATGCGAGTCATGAATGGAATAATATTATTTACAATAATATTTATCGATTGAAAGTTTTGATGCTATCCTTGCACAGAGGCCTCACAAGTAAATATTCTTTTCGGTTAAACATTGAAGAAAGAAAAGCTAATAAGTTTGAAGGTTTGGTATTTGCCTATACGACAGATAATAAGAAGAAATATCGATTGCTAACAGCTAAGCACAAAAGTGACGGAAATGGGAAAATCACAGCTGATCATCTGCTCTTAGAAACAAGCAGTGAGTACAATTTGATCAAGTACTTTCGTTCGTATCAAGCTTTCAAAAAAGATTTTCTAAAAGACGGCACAATTGAAGATGTTACCATTTGTACAAATAATACTTTCGACTTCGACAGTCTAGAAAAAGCTAACATTTTATTACAAAAAATTGAAGAAAAGGACGAAATTGTAAATATAAAATGTAAAACAAAACTTCCAACGAGGTACAAATTTACTGAAAGTTTAGTAACAAAATTGTCAGCCGAAGTAGATAATTGTAAATATAAGAAAAATAGTATAAACAGCCGCGATGTCAAAGCCTTTTTAGAACGTTTGACTTTTGCGGTTGATCAGCCAAACGAAGAAGAAGTAGGAAAAGTTATAAAAAAGGAAATCGGTAAAGCATTCGATTTTATAACTACAGAAAATGTGTACAATAAGTTCCTTATGAGAATAAGGAGTTGGATGAAAGGCAAGAAAGCCTTTGTTAGTTGTAATGACGGCAAAGATTTATTTGCTTATCTTAAAAAGAATACGTTTATATGGTACAACGTACAGGATCCTGTCAAATTATTTGTTGGAAGACGAGAACAACTGGAAAATGTACATAAATTGATGCAAGATTCATGTGATCATTCAATATTGTGCGTAAGTGGCCTTAGCGGAGTAGGTAAGAGCGAACTCGTAAGAAAATACGTAGCCGAACACGCGGAACGTTACGATCATAAAATTGTATGGCTTAACGCAGAAAGTTACCACACTCTAGTGAGTTCTTTTCATAAGCTGGCAAGCGAAAAATTGGGCATTGGCATAATAAACATTGACGGCAAAGAAAAGGACATTCGCTCGCTGGCCTCGGAGGTTTACCAGCATTTTTCCAAAGGTCCAAGTCTTTTCATTTTCGATAATTCCGAAGTCTATACAAGTCAGAGCTGCTTCGATTCTGCGATTGATAAATTTTTGCCTGGGAGCTTACCGGACGATTGTCACAAGCCGCGTATTATCATAACTTCCCGTAATCAACAATGGCCGGATAACGTAATATTGCTGTTTCTGGGACCATTCGATGAAAAGGAAGCTGAAGAATTCATTCGTGAAACTGCAAGATTGGAAAATGATGAGGGTATGGAGCAAGTGTCTGAGTTAGGAAGACAATTATTGTTACCTTTAGCATTGCGATTAGCGGTCGCGCATATTTTAATACAAAGTCATGAATCACCATGTTTCAGCTCAGGCTTAAAAATTTGTAAATACATAAAAAAACTCGCGGATGGAAGTCGAGAGTCACTGAATTTTGAATCTCCAACTGACTCTGATAGTGGATATATCAAAATAATCGAGATAACGTACAATGTAACCTTGGAAGCTTTAAAAGAAGAAGAGAATTTTAATGACTGTTTGAGAATTTTGAATTCTATCTCTTATTTCCTACCAGATAACATACCTACGAAAACTCTTCTTACCTTTTTAAATGACAAAGAAAAATTAGGATTAGTAATCGAAGTATTAAAGAAGTACTCGCTGATTAGCGTCTATCATAATATTTTCAGCATACACAGATTAGTGCAGCAAGTAATCAGGCAAAAACTCGCGAAAAGTAACGAAGAAAAAAAAGCTTTAGGACAAATCTTGAAATCAATAGACTCGGTGCACATCGACTCTGGCAATGTAGACCACTTCATATCGCTTTGGTCGTACACGAAAAAGTACTCCGACCTGGTTGAAGCATACCACTATGTGTTCTCGTTGATCATCGGCGAATTGACAACCTGCGGAAGAATCGAAGAGGCCCACTCTATGGGAATCGAAATCGTGGAACTACTGAATCCGTTGTCCGATAACAGCGACATTCAATCGGGATTGATGAGCATGAAAAGCCGCCTCGGTGATATATTACTGCGGCAGGGTAAGTACGAGGCAGCTCTGCGCGAATTTGAAGAGTTGTACGAGACGGAAATTGGCTTGAAGGGCTCGAGCGACAGTAAAGCTTTGGAGACCAAGTCGGAAATAGCTCTGGCCCTGCAGAAATTGGGAAAAACGAACGAAGCGCTGCAGTGCTACCGGGAGATTCTCGAAATTCGCAGTGCCACGCTGGGCGAAAGCCATTCGGGAACTCTGTCGATCAAGAGCCACGTGGCCACCGTGCTGATGGAGCAGGAGAAGTACGACGAGGCCTTGCCCATGTTCGAGCAGGTGTACAACGCGCAGAAAACCAGCCTGGGGGACGATCACTACGATACCCTGATGACGCGGAACAGCATGGCGGCTCTGTTCCTCTTCCAGCGCAAGCACGAGCAGGCGCTCAAGATATTCCAGGACATCTACGAGGCGCGCAACGGTGTGCTCTTCGAGAATCATCCCGCGCTTCTCGCTGCCAGGCAGAACATCGCGACCACCCTGCAGCGCCAGAAGAAATTCGATCTCGCGCTGGAGATCTACGAGGAAGTCCACAAAATCCAGAACGAGCTGTTAGGCGAAGACCATCCCGAGGTGCTGGCGATCCGTGGCGAAATCGCTGTGACGTTGCACATGCTAGGGAGGCTTGACGAAGCCTTCGTCATTCTGCAGGACGTCCTAGAGAGGCAAAGCGAGGTCTTGGGATTGTACCATCCTCTCGTACTGAGAACTCAGTTTTTGGTGGCGCACAGTCTCGAGGAGCAGTGCAGATACTCGGAAGCAGTGCCGATCTATCAGGAACTTTTGAAGCTAGGATTATCAGCGACTGGCATCGCTTCCATGCCGCTGAAGCTCCATAACAGCTTGGGCTCCATATTCATGCTGGAGGGAAATGTTGATAAAGCGCTGAAGCATTACGAGGAAGTGCTGAAAATCACCGAGAACGCTTACGGATCCGATCATCCCCAAACATTGATTGCTAAGAGTAACGTGGGCTCGTTGTATTACAAAAAGAAGGATTACAACAAGGCTCTGAGTATTCTGACTGAAGTGCACGACACCGAAGAGTTTACATATGGAAAGGATCACGAGACCTATAACTCTACCTATCATTTTATAAACAAAATTTTGTTCGAAAAAGAGTTGCACGAATCTCAGCTTAGGAGTGTTGCGCAATCGGCATGCGACGATCCTTTGGTTGCCATTGAGAACGGCGATCTCGCCTCGCTGAAGAAACTTATCAAGAAGGGCGCGAATATGAACGCAAGAGACGCGAACAGGAAGACGCTGTTGCACCACGCCGCGAGGATCAATCGTCCGGAAATGGTAAAATTTTTGCTGAAGAAGGGGGCCGATGTAGCCGCCGTCACCGATAAGGGAAAGACTGCTCTACACGTGGCCGCGCTGCACAACCATCTGCAGGTCGCCGATGAATTGCTGAGGAATGCGAGTGACGAGCAGTCGAGAGCACTGATCGACGCCAAAACGACGAGCACGGCCACCACGGCACTGCACATAGCCGCAAAATATGGCTTCTACGACGTCGCCAGGCTGCTGCTGACTCGGGGCGCGGCTCATGACGCGAGAAACGGTGACGGCAAACGGCCGATCGACCTGGCCAGAAACTCGAGCGTCGTCGCTCTGCTCAGCGACGTTCGCGCGCTGTTCGAGTTCGCTCGATCCGGCGATTCACGACGTCGCGCTCAGCTGACGGAGCTGGCCACGGCTGAGTACCTGGCGGTCAGCAGCGCCCGCGACTGTCAAGGACACAGCGCTATGCACGTGGCGATCGTTAACTACCATCGCGACGCTGTGAGACTGATCGGTGAATCGGCAGTCGCGCGCTCGGGCCTCGTCTGTTCCGCGCCGATGTTCGGCGCAAATCTAGATGAGCTCCTGCCGCTGGTGGGATGCGCCCTGGCCAGACTACGAGACGAGGCCTGCGCTACGAAAACCGCCCTGAAACACGCGCGCAGGCTCGTGGCCGCCGCGAGGTGCCGGGAGCAGCGCCCGTCGGACCCAAGCGTACGGGCGATCGAGGACATTCTGACGCTGACGAGATCTCGCAAGGAGGACGAGCGCCTGGCCGATCTCGCCAGGCTCGCCGTGGATTACCACGCGGAGGCGCTCCGGCGGGCGATTCACACGGCCAAACTGCTGGACGCGGCTAGGCGCAACGACCGGGCCTCCGCGGAGAGGTGCGTGTCCGAGCTGGCGAACGTGAACGCGAGCGACGAAGAGGGCTGGACGCCCTTACTTCACGCCGTCAATGCGGGCAACGAGCGGATGGCGAGGCTGCTGCTGGACAACGGGGGTCGCGCCAACTGCGCGACGAGGGCGGCGAGGAGCACCTCGCTGCACATGGCCCTCGGCAGAAGCCACGCGGGCATCGTCAAGTCGTTGCTGGCCAAAGACTCGACGAGCGAGTTCGTCAATGCCAAAACGGAAGCGAGGGCTTCCACGGCAGTGCACATCGCGGCGAAAATGGGACGCCTGGACATGGTCGTCGCGCTGCTGAGGCACGGCGCCGTCTATTGCTTGCCGAACAAGGATGGCGAGCTACCGATCGATTTGACGAGCGACGAGTCCGTCAAGGCGTTTCTCGAATCGGTCGACGAATTGTTTTACGACGCTAAGAACGGCAGGACGCAAGTGCTTCGAAAATTGAGGGCCATGGGGCGTGACGAGCTTCTAGCTGCGGTTTCGGCATGCAACGAGGAAGAGCTCACTCTAGCGAATGTCGCGGCGGCGAGGGAGCATCGGCGACTCGCAAACGACATCGCTGACTTGTGTAAAAATTTCAAGACCAATTTTTGAATGCTAGAGGCGATTAATGAAATAGGCCTTCGATATTTTTATTGTGTGAATACCTGCTTTATTGTTTCAATATTTTTATGTATCGCCCACCAAAGAAGGCAGGTTTGCAATTAAATCATTAAATTAGCCGTATGTCTATACATATAAGTGTAAATGTACTTTCAAAAAGTTCTACAGAAAAGTATTTTTTTATTCAGAGTATTATGTGCCATAACTTACTTAAACATATTTACTATTAGTCAATTATTATTCTTCTAATATATCATGTTAATCATGCAAGTCAAATGGAAGAAATTTAAATAGCTAAATTACTTTTTAGCTAGTTAATTATCATAATGTATTAACTGTAGGATTCTGTTTTAATTCATTAATAATTGTAAATTTAATGAATAATTTATAAGACTTTTTACACATAAATAAGTGCAATAAGCTAGTTTTTTAATCTGCAATAGTGCGACGTTCAAGTGGAAAAATTATTTATACAAATGTTTTTTTATAAAATAAAATTAACAAAATATAACTAATACTATGTTTTTGTACTGACATTTTTATTTTTATACGATAATAGCGCACATCTAGTGATCAACGAAGTCAATGTTGTATTTGATACGTGAAAAAAATATGTATATTGAATAAATTTCATAAAAAGATCATTTGTGCCATCCATTACTACTTTTCCACATTCAAAACTAATAATAGTAGAAATGAGTATGCTAATTAGCTAAAATACAGAGACGCTGATGAAAATGACAAAAACTGGCATAATTTCTAAACATTAATAACTGTCGTCGAACATCAAGATGGTAGTTGTCATTTGTTGTTAAGCATTTTTAGAGTTAAGTTATGTGATCGTCGTGCGATAGTCAGCGATGCCATTATAATCAATAAGTCAATGCTCTGTCGTGCTGCATTTATGGGAATCCGTGGTTATCGCGTTTCGAAGATGCAGAAGGGAGATTCAATCAATTATGGAGTAGGATTTCGTTCGCACCTCTGCCGCGCGAACTTGGCCGTCGGAAGGCGGAATTAGTCGTTTGTCAACAAGCTGTTAGAAATTCACGTTACGTTCGGCATTTCAGATACGATCGCCATTACAGATACTAAACTGCTTTACGAATCGTATTAGCACCTCTCGAACAATATTTTCATCGACTTATAAAATCCCCAGTGTTTCGAACGAAAGACTTTGCCGTAAACTTGATGCTCAAAGTCGCATGTCGAAAAATGAAAGTCCAAGCTGAATCGGCGCCTCAACGCGGCGACCCGCGGTCCCCGACAGAAGATTCACGCGTGCAGCTCAGTAAATACCGGCTTGTTATGGATCGATGATCAAGGCAGAGACGTGTATATTAACGGAGCGACATTTGGTGACCAGTAGGGAGCTGCGCAATATGGCGTCCGTGAAGGATAATTGTCGCATGAGTTTACGCGGTAACGCGCGTCGGAAATGTAGCCTCAACGACGAAACGACGTCTAACTTTATCCGAGATGTTGTACTAGTGGCCGTCGTCTGCTAAAAATTAGTTGTTCTTATGAGAAATGATGTCTACTTAATCAAGAAAATGCCAAAGCAGTCATTTTCAATGAGTTTGATTTTTACCTTGATTTGAAAAGCATTATGAATTTTATGCGCCGCGTACTTCCAGACTTTTGAATGCTGACAAGCACACGTAGAAGCCGAATTTCCGATCCAGTCAGCTTTGTTTAAAATGATCGTTTTGCTTAACGTCTGGACATCGGGTGAAAAGCCTAACATTCTTCCGGTTATAGAAATTTACCACCGTAAAATTCAGGCAAATTATTAAATTGATCGCATTGTGTATATTACATGAAAAAAAAATTCGCTATCATTCTGCCCGACGACCGATAATCGAGCGAAGCGATCGTCTCCTACACGAGCTGCATCGACTTTGCTTCGTCGTTGCGCCAATCGCTCAACTCGTTAGCGCGATAGCAATTCTCATCTCGTGAAAATTCGTTGACGGCCGATTCAAATTGATCCTGCAACGATCGCCGCATTGAAATTCGGACGGGAGCGCCCTCATCGGTAATTTTTGCCGCTGAGTGCCGTGCGTTCGGCGAGCACAGTGCCAGTCGGTTCCCGAATAGACAGCAGGCTCGTTCGAAAGACGCTTCTTCAGTCTGAATCGGCATCTTGACTTCCAGGCGAGCACATCCAGAGCACCGCTCCAGTCGAACGACGCAACGAGGAAACCGAAGATAAATGAGAGCAGCTCGGTTGTGCGCGAGCGCCGTAACATACGTATCCACGCAGCACGGGCACGTCAAGCCATTCGCGGGACAGAGCTTAAGCTCCGTAAACACAGTCCGAGCAAAAGTCAAACATACAAAAAGGCAAAATGTAAGCAATTCGAATGGCGATAATTTCCGAACTGTAGCAGGCGTCACAGTGAGATGGTAATTTAGTATCGGTCGTTTGCCTATTCTTCATTGCGGCCGTTTACGCATTCGACTCGTCAAGATGTTTGTTTCATGCTAAACTCAGGCGCCTGCGATAATTATAATAATTTATTTTCTAAGCTATCGTAATTTTTTAAATCCACTTTCAACTAAACTAAAATCATAAGAAATTAAGGAAAATAACTTACATTTTTTCTTAATTCAATTTCACTTTTGCTAAATACTCCTCGATGTTTACCTGTTTTATAGGTTTTCGAGGGCGGACCGGAAGAGGGCATTGATGAAAAGTTTGAACGACAGGGCATTTCTAATTGCCGTGATTGACGAAGACTACGAAAAAGTTGACAGTCTCATTCGCGAAAACATTAATATTAATTTTCAAGATGAAGACGGATGTACATCTTTACATATATTAGTGGAAAATGGCAATGCGAATATATTTAAGTTGCTAATTGAAAATGGGGCTTCTTTAAGTATTAAAAATAGCGATGGAGAAACTCCACTGGACTTTGCTAAACGATTAAACAAATCGGAAATCCTCAGGATAATCGAAGTTCACAGCAGTCATCCATCGCCAGCACAAGACGTTGAGCCGGTATCTGACAGGTCACAAGGCGATGAAGCAACTCCATTAGATGTTGCTGAAACGACAAATCAAACGGAAGTCATTAGGGTAGCCGAAGATGACAACAGACACCCATCGCTAGCACAAGATGTTGAGCTAGAATCTGACAGGGTACAGGACGACGAAACAACTCTAATGGAAGTTGCTGAAATATCAAATCAAGCGGAAGTCATTAGGGTAACCGAAGATGACAACAGACACCCATCGCTAGCACAAGATGTTGAGCCAGAATCTGACAGGTTACAAGACGACGAAACAACTCTATTAGAAGTTGCTGAAACATCAAATCAAGCGGAAGTCATTAGGGTAGCCGAAGATGACAACAGACACCCATCGCTAGCACAAGATGTTGAGCCAGAATCTGACAGGGTACAGGGCGACGAAACAACTCTAATGGAAGTTGCTGAAACATCAAATCAAGCGGAAGTCATTAAGGTAGCCGAAGATGACAACAGACACCCATCGCTAGCACAAGATGTTGAGCCAGAATCTGACAGGGTACAGGGCGACGAAACAACTCTAATGGAAGTTGCTGAAACATCAAATCAAGCGGAAGTCATTAAGGTAGCCGAAGATGACAACAGACACCCATCGCTAGCACAAGATGTTGAGCCAGAATCTGACAGGGTACAGGGCGACGAAACAACTCTAATGGAAGTTGCTGAAACATCAAATCAAGCGGAAGTCATTAAGGTAGCCGAAGATGACAACAGACACCCATCGCTAGCACAAGATGTTGAGTCAGAATCTGACAGGGTACAGGGCGACGAAACAACTCTAATGGAAGTTGCTGAAACATCAAATCAAGCGGAAGTCATTAGGGTAGCCGAAGATGATAAAAGTCACCCAATTATTAGGGTAGCCAAACATGTTATGCCAGAATCATCCAGGGTACCAGGCGAAGAAACATCTCTATCGAAAGTTACTGAAACATCATATAAATCGGAAATTATTAGTATACCCAAAGATGAACACAGACACAAAATTATTAGGGTAACCAGAGATGACAAGTCATGGCCACCACCAGTCGTTAAGTCGGTACCTGACCAGTCACATATCGACAAAATATCTTCACTAGGCCTTTCTAAAGTATTAGATCTAATAGAGAACGTTAGGATAGTCGAAGATGATAAAGGTAAATCATTGAAAGTACCAATCTTTAAGCCGGTATCTGAAAAGGTACGTGTCGTCAAAACAACTGTAATGAAAGTTCCTGAACCATCATATCAAATGGAAATTGTTAGGTTACCCGAAGATGATCACAAATATCCAATTATTAGAGTAGCCAGAGATGATCATAAACACCCAACTATTAGGGTAGCCAAAGATGACAACAGACAACCATCGCCAACACAAGACGTTATGCCAGAATCTGACAGGTTAGATGTCGACGAAGCATCTCCACTGGAAGTTGTTAAAATATTAGAGCTAATGGAACGCCTTAGGACAGCGAACGATGACAAAAGTCAGTCATTGCCAGCACCAGTCGTTGAGGCGGTATCTGACAGTACACATGTCGAAAAAACGACTTCACGAGATGTTGCTAAAACATCACGTCAAATGGATGTCATTTGGGAAGCCGAAGATGATAGCTATGACCCATTGCCAGCTGCAGGCAATGCACCGGCAGGAATACAGATAACTCCACAGAGTCTGTATAAAACTTATAGAAACGAAGGCAAATATGGTACGTGGATTGATCCGGTTTATTCTGATATTTATCGGCTGAAAGTCTTATTACTATTACTAAAGAGAGCGATCTCATGCAAATGTGTAATACGTATCGGCATTACATCAATACCAGCTCGAATAATCGATAATTTGACCTTGAGATTTACTATTAAGAATAAATATTATTTTCGTATCGTTCATATTAAGTATAAGATTAATGATTCGAAAAAAATTACTGCCAATAATTTGCTCCTTGAAACTGACGGTGATTACAGTTTAATAAAGTATTTTAAAAGTTACCAAACTTTTAAAAAAGCAAGGTATTCACAGAATGCCGAGAGCGGGGAATTGGCAATTTGTACAAATAGCGATTTTGATTATGACAATTTGAAAGAAGCGGCAATTGAAGTAGAACGTATATTAGCAATAGACGAGTTTTTGTACATGTATAGTGATGAAAAAGAGCCAAAGAAATACAGATTTAAAAGCGAAAAGTTAATACCAAAATTGAAAGATCGATTACAATCATGTGGATTGGAACCAAAATTTGAGATATCTGACCATGAAGTAGACGACTTTCTTCAACACATTGTTTTCTTAGTCAACCAACCAAATGAAGAAGAAATAAATGATTTTGTTAAATTTGAAGTAAAGGTTGATTTCGATTTCACGACAGTGTACGCTTACAACAAAGTTATGCTTCAGATGCTTAATTGGCTAAGACTTAAACATCAATTTTTTACTTTCATGGATTGTTTAGATTTATTGGAAGCACTTAGAAAGGCAGTGCCTCTGTGGTACAATGTACAAGACCCAGTAGAACCATTTACTGGGAGGAGAGATTTCCTGATCAAACTACATGAATTGATGGAAGCGGAAAATAATGCCATGGTGTGTGTAAGTGGTCATGCCGGCGTCGGCAAGAGTGAAGTTGTAAAGAAATACATCAACGAGTTTGCTCCATTTTATAATTATTCAATCAACTGGATCAACGCAGAGAGTTACGAAACCATTGCGGAATCTTTCCGCGAGCTTGCTTGCCATAAATTATGGCTGAAACCGATTAATGCGCCAGACCATGACTTGGACGTAAGCAAATTGGTCTGCGATGTTTTCAATTATTTTGCCAAATACAACAGCCTTTTCGTATTTGACAATGCCCAAATGTACGAGAGCGAAGATAACAAAATTGACGCGGGCATAGATCGATTTCTAAAGTGTTCGTGTACAGCCAATAAGCACAGTCACAGGCCACGCATTATCATCACTTCTCGTAAGAGAAAATGGCCTAAGCATATCAATGTACTGCTTTTGAAACCGTTCACTGATGACGAAGCGACGCTGTTCATCGCTGATTCTTTGCAATTGAGCGATGAAAGGCAATTCGATCACGTATTGAAATTGGGAAAGCAGTTGAAAATGTTGCCGCTGGCGTTGCGTCAAGCAATCGCTTACATAAAAATGCAAAACGAAGATTTGATTAGGAGGGGCAGGTGTCCGAACTTCAAAATCAATGATTACTTGGCAAAATTACCACAGGTGGACGGGACCTGTACTGCTGAGTTTTCAAACGAGGACGGCAAGTCGTTCTGTCTAACTGTATTTAAAACTATGAAGTTAGCGCTGTCAGCCATAGAGGAGCTAGTAGACGGCGACCTATCTATGAAACTCTTGTACATGGCGGCATACTTTCGGTCGTACCGCATTCCCATGGAAATTTTAGTAATTTCGGAGAACAGCAAAGCTACGCTGCCGAAGGCGCTCGAAACGCTGAGGAAATACGCGCTGATAAACGTTTATTACAAATCCGTGACCATAAGCAGTTTGGTGCAGCAAATAACGCGGTCGTTACTCAACACGCACGACGGTGAGAAAAAAATACTGGATCTGATATGGTGCGGCAGGGCAGGGAAGCCCTTGAACATTCACAACGTCGACCACATTGTATCCGCGTGGCCGTACTGCAAAAAGTATCTGGACGTGATCGAAGAGCACCCGTTCATTCCGAGACTCCTTGCCGACATCCTTATGAGGCATTATCGTGCCAACGAGGGTCTGGTGTGGCTGTACGAGTGCATCGACTCGCTGAGCAGGTTGTCCGAAACCCGTCCGCTCAACTGGAACTTGATATTGTGCTATCGCATTCTGGGCTTCTACAATATGAAACACGCGCGTTACGAGCTGGCCGCCAGGGATTTCGAGATGCTGTATAACTTGGAAAAGACACATAACGGCGAGAACCACTTGGATACTGTGAACGCCATGTTGAGCGCAGCGGCAGTGTACACTAAATTGGGCTGGACCGACAAAGCGCTGAACTTTTACAAACAAATCCTCAGAACGCAACGGGCAATGTTCGGAAGAGACCACGTCGACACTTTGGTAACGAAACGCCAAATAGCCAACGTCCTCATCACCCAGAAAAAGTTCGAAGAAGTATTGCCGTTACTCGAGCAGCTGTACGACGTTTATACAAAGCGATTCGGGGCTATCGAGCTGAATACCATGGAAATAAGACTACTGCTTGTCGGACTATACGGAAAAATGAACAGGTACGACAAAGCTCTGGTATTGCTCAAACAGTCGAACGAAGCCAAGCAAGAATGGCTGGGAGAACATCATGCGAGCATTTGGGTCGACCGGCTCCTCTGGGCTCAAGGTCTGCTAGAATACAACAAGGACAAAGAGGCCGCGGCGGAAGCCTACGAAAAACTGTTGGTGAGCAAAGTGACGGTCCTGGGCGAGCTGCACGAGGAGGTCGTCGAGTTTTACGCGAAAGTCGCGCAGTTCCTCCTGCAGATGGACATGATCGAGAGATGCATTCCCTACTTCCGCGAGGCCATCAGGAGACGGAAGGATTTCTTCGGGTCCTTCGACCGCGAGCTGCTGCTGCTCGAGGATCAGCTTGCCAAACTGCTGCACGACCGCGAAGAGCTGGACGAGGCCTTGGCACTTTACCACGATATATTGCTCTTCAAGGACGAGATCAAGGATGACGAGAAGGAGCCCTTTGACTACGTGTACATAACCCGGCAGATTGTCGACATACACGTGGTGCGAGAGCAGTCCAGCCCAGCGATTCATCACAGCTTGAATCTTCTGAAAGTATACGAGAAAACGCTGGGCAAGAATCACGAGACAACTGTCGACACGAGAAAGAGCTTGGGCATAATGATCTACCACATGGGGGACTTCAACAGGGCCTTCGGCATTCTCACCGACATCGACGAGATCTCGAAGAAAATCTACGGCGCGGACGATCCGCGCTACGATAACTTGCTCAAGGTCATCGATTTCATGGTCAAGTACCGGGACACCGGCAAAGAAATCCCGCTGACGGCCGCGTACGCGATAAAGGTCGACGACATGAAGGCTCTGAAACAACTGCTGGCCGAAGGCGTCGATCTGAACACCCAAGACGAGGCCGGCCGGACGTTGCTGCACATAGCAGCCGGCTACGACAACTTGGAGATCGTCAAGTATCTAGCAGAGCGCGGAGCTGACGCGACGATACCGGATCGAGAAGGCCGCACGGTCCTGCACACTGTGACTTTGAAGAACAACATGGCCATGGCCGAGACCCTGTTCGATAACGTAACCGTCGACATGGTCGACAAATTACTCAACGCCAAAGACCTGGAGTGCGGCGACACGGCGCTGCACCTGGCAGCGAAGACGGGCCTGAACGCTATGGCGCGGGCGCTGATGTATCGCGGCGCGGTCTACGACATCAAGAATCATCTTGGCGAGACGCCGAGCGACGTGGTCAAGGACAAGGCGATCAATCGAACGATGCGGAAAGCCGTACTCTTCCATGCGCTCGCTAAAGAAAAGAACTTGCTGTACGACGCCACGGACGACGAGACCATGAGCTTCATTAGCTCGCGCAACAACGACGGCTACAACCTGTGCCAGCTGGCGCTCATGAACAACAACGTGGAGCTGACGAGCCAACTGCTCGATTTTATGGTTCGCGTGCCCCGCTATCAGAAGAGCTCGGCCGAGACCTTGGCAGCCCTCCAGGTGATACCGCTGGCCTTGGCCGTTAAGTCGGAGCTCGGGAAAAGCAAAGGCTACAAGAACACGCGCGCGCTCCTCGCCGCGTTCCGCGAGCGCGACAAGCGCGTATCGGACAAGAAGATCGTCGCCCTCGAGGACACCTTCAAGGTGCTGGACATGGACCCACCGATACCGGACATCGAGAATCTCGGGCGCACGGCCGTCTCGAAGCACACCATGGCGTTCATCAGCAGGCTTGCCTCCGTCCAGCTGCTCATATCGACCAAGGCGAACGACTTCATTCGCGCTCGGCAATGCCTGGCGATGGACGCCGACGTCGACGAGGAGGACGACGGAGGCTGGACGGCCCTGCATCACGCCGCCAACAACAAAAACGATCATATAGTCCGACTGCTTCTGTGCTTCTCTGCGAACATCTACTGCCAGACCAAGACCGGCAATACTCCGCTTCACATGGCCGCCAATAGAGGCAACCCGCTGGTGGTCGAGCTGCTGCTGGAAAAGGACCGGGCGAATCGCGTCTTGGTCAACACGAAAACCGTGGCCAAAGGCTCCAGCCCCTTGCACATTGCCGCGAAAAACGGATATACGGGCATCGTCGCCACGCTCCTCAGATACGGAGCGTGCTACTGCCACCTGAACAAGGACGGCAAGACCCCACTGGAACTGACCAACGACGCCGGGTGTCGCGAGCTGCTGATAGCGGTGGACTCATACTTCGCGCAAGCGAAGGCCGGGACGATGGAGCTGGTCAGAAAACTGCGAAAGTTCGAGCCGGCCCAGTTGAGCGTAGCGATTAGCGCTCGAGACAACGATAACCGCACGATTGCCGACGTCATTATGTATAACAGGCACGTGGAGCTCACGGTCGAGTTCTCGCGACTCGTCGAGCACACCCTCGGCAAAATAAAACCCTGAGCTTCGATCGACCGGTTGTCACACGTTTTACCAAACGACGGAATTGCGGATGCCGTCGATCGACGAGCGCATTTTTAACGAGTACTGTACATAGCCGCGCGAACGCTGTGAACTTGTAATTTTACTGTCCAACGATTTTTATCGATGTCTTTGTCTTATCATTATTACCAATAAACGCCAATGATTCGAGCTTCTGTCAAATCACTGTCCACCGCCACCCGCTTAGCGAGACGCAAAGCTTGAATTTCAATGGAAACAATTATTTCCGTGCGCATAGTCAAAGCAACCTGTCGCACGGCACTTTCGACAGTCTACATAATGGAAAAGTCTTCGGCGCGAATATTGAACAGCCGTGCTGCAACGGAGCTCGCACGGACGCATGGCTAGCGAAATTTTAGACAGACGGCGAGACTTCAAACGAGTACATGGTTGCGCGCGTCCACGCGTGTGTTGCACGCGAAGCCAACGGGCGAGAGGGGAACACCCAGATGCTTCTCCCCTCCACCGACACACACGTGATCGATCTCGAACACGTGCGTGCCCGTATGGGGATAGCTTTGGGATCGAGTATATCCATATTCGGAAGTAAGGATCTTCTACCGGGAGCGCCGTCGACGTCGACTCCGGGGAAAGCCACCACTCGGCTACGCGCGTGCTCATATTTTTCTCCAGTCTTTCGTGCCATGCTGCCGTCGTTGAGTTTCATTAGTACTGTTACAAAAAACTATCGTACGTGTGCTCAATCGGGGGCCAACGAGCGGCTGATACGACAATAATCTACGAAAATCTGCAAATTTCGTGCCGTGAGTATATACAGTTTTTAACGTTCGAATTCTTGTGCTCGGAGTTTTCAGTGCGTGAATATACACAAATCTGTAGCCGGAATACGAAATTACACGGCGATTAATTTTGTTATTTCATACATTTGATTTGTTATAGACAGAGAAAAACAAAAGAAACTTAACGTGCAGACATCATTTTTAAAACGTATTTTTTAACAATATTTAGCATTTTGTAAATTTATTATAAATAATTGAAAGTTGAATGTATCAAGTAAGTATGACAATAATTCCGATGATCGTTAACTTAACTCGTTCGTTCTTTCGTGTGCACGAAATCGTGACTGATAGGTTAGAATTGGCGAAACAAACAAAAAGAATAATTCACATTTTTTTCATAAGTTTACGTGAAAGAAAAAATGTCTACTCCATTATTTTTTAAATGAAAAGTCGAGATAATGATTAAAAATAAGTCATTTGAAGATTATTATGTATAGTTACATATAGTTATAGTATCGAAATAAAATTTTTAGCTATTATTTTTTCATTTATTTACTAGCTCGCGTGAAAATTGTTATACCTTCTGATTATTTTCAACTGACAAAATAATACATAGAATAAATTTAAATTAAAGAAAAAGATTAAAAGTTGGTTGTCGATTCATTTACAGACAGATGATGGAAGGTTCAACGCACGTTGTCAAAGACCCTTTCAAAGCTGTCCAGAATGACAGTGTAGCTTTGTTAAAAGTCTTGATGCTCAATGGAATTAATACTCAAATCCAAGATAAAGATGAATCGGCTTTATTACATCGTGCCGCCAACTACGATCAGCTGGAAATTATCAAATTCTTATTAAAAAAAGGGGCTGACTTGACTCAACTTAACAAAGTCGGCGAAACGGTTTTACACGTTGTAGCTTCCAAGAACTACCTTCATATAGCCAAACTCATATTCGAAAACATAAACCATGACGAATTGAGAAAATTTGTCGATGCCAAAACTACAACAGGAACTACAGCTTTACACATTGCGTCGAAAAATGGCTTTTATGACATGATAACGCTTTTATTGAGCCACGGAGCAACTTACAATGTAAAAAACAAAAAGGGCAAACGGCCAATCGACGTCACAAAATATCAGTCGATTGGCGAACTGCTGAAGCGGTTAAAAATCAATTTTGAGCAAGCAAGAGCCGGCCAAGATAAGCTTTACGAAAGCTTAGAAAAGTGTTCCAACGATGAATTTTTGGCATTCGTGAATGCTCGTAACAACGATGGCCACAACGTAATGCAAGTCGCGGTTGCTAACTGCCGTGAAAACCTTGTGACGTTGCTTCAGTGTTTGAAAGTTATGTTATTTCGCCGGCGCGGTCATAGGGCTGCTTTTGAGCATAATTACTTCGACGAATTGCTTCTACTCGCTACGAACGCATCAAGAAAGTTGCTAGATAACGACTGCACCCTGGAAACGTGTTTAAAAAGCGTGCGCCAATTCGTAAACACTTTCAGATCGTTCGAAAAGCGTATTTTAGATCCAAACATTCTTTCCATTGAGGATATGTTGAGCTTATTGTCGAGCCACTGTAATGCAATGTCATTCAAGGTATACGCAAAGCGAGTCATTAAAGTTCACTTGAAATTATTCTCAGCATCCATCTACTCGGTAAAATTAGTCGATTCGACGAGAGGTAAAGACTGGGCTCTAGCTGAAAAATGCCTGGCCGAGATGGCTTTTGTGAACTGCTCCGACGAAGGAGGATGGACACCGTTACTTCACGCTGTTAACGCAGGAAACGAGAGGATCGTGAAGACGCTGATTGATCATGGCGCTCGAGTGAATTGCTCGACGAAAATAGGCAAGAATACGACTCTCCACCTGGCTGCTAACAATGGACACTTCGAGATAGTTCAACTGCTGCTCGAGCGAGAAAATAGCAGTGAGTATCTTAATGCGAAAACAGGTGCGAAGGGATCGACGGCATTGCACATTGCCGCGAAAACAGGACGCTTCGATATTGTCGTGTGGCTGTTAAAGTGCCGTGCCACTTACTGCGTTAAGAATAAAGATGGTCAAATGCCGATGGATTTGGTGAACGACGAGTCACACAGGGCGTATCTTAAATCAATCGGAGAAGCGTTCGATGACGCGAAGAATGGAAAAGTTGAAGTGATCGACAAGCTAGAAAATTGGAGTGACGATCAATTTTTAGCTGCGGTGCTATGCCAGAACGAGGAAGGACATTTGCTTAAAGACGTTGCTTTGGAGAACAAGCACGATGAGCTCGCTAACAAGATCGCCGATAAGTTGAAAGTAATATTGTCCGAAAAGGGTTTCAGATTTAAAGAACGTTAAATTTCAATATACATTTTTTTTTTCAAGTGCAGAAATAAAAGCAGAAATACCTACGAACTGTTAAATCTACTTTAATTTTAATGTAACTTTTTATATAGTTCCTAAAATAAAATAAATAATGTAGCTCAACTCTAATACAGTCCAAATACTATTTTTAATACTTGAAAGAATCTATGTTTCGTTATATTTTTTATTGATGCCAATCGCTCTTATATCGCCGGTGTAATATTGAACGATTTTTGAAGTCATCAAAAGCTTTGCAATATATATACTTTAATGAAAACCAAGCGGATTAAACAAGTCGGTGTTTCTCATATGATGCCAAGACGATGAGTGACGACTGCAATAACGATTGGATTTTTGCTACACGTTTTACAGACTTTAATGCAATACATAACGAAACGGCTAGCAATTGGTTGCGCCTTTTCCCTTTCGCTCCCCACCACTGCGCAAGCTTCAGTTCTTCCTCAGCAGCCGTTGCAAGCTCATCGTACTTGCGTCTAGTTGTCAATCGAGTATTATGAAGGGCAAGGAAAATGACTGCCAAAAGGGTGATTTTACGTTTCGAAAAAGCAATGTTGAATTATCGATTTGGCATTATCGTTATTTTCCTTCAAAAACATTGTATACTTGGAACCCAGTACAATTTGCTGATTTCGATTAAATTGTTGAACTTGGTGTGAATCTTATTGTCATGTAATCGTATGAGAACCAGATGAATTCTCATCTGCGGATTCTTCCTGCAGCAGATTTATGCATGAATAAAGTTATTCGTCGTTGATAATCTGATTACCAGTTGTACTACGCTCAAGCACAAGTAAGATCTTCGTAATATGGCAACGACGAAAAGGTACAACGAGATTTTTTTTGCATGTGCGATCACTAACTTAGTTTACTCAAGCATGAGAGGAATTAAAAATTGTTTTCTTCCTTTAGAATAATTATGTCAGGAATTTAAAAACAAGTCTTTCTTTGAGTCGTAAATTAAATTATTCGATAGAAATTAAGGGTAGATTTTGAAAAATAATCTGTGGTGCAGTGTGGCAAAATGTTTAAAGAATATGACAATAAATTGTTGTAATTGCAATAAAGTAAACGTAGTTATTTGCTTGTTTATCTAAGTGTAATTTAGACATAAGTTATATAACATTTTATTGTGATATGAAATGGTCGAAAACATATTAACTTTGTTATCACCGATTGTTGATCGCTGCTAGAAAATAAAAAATAAAAAATATATATTTATATTTATCTAGCTGTTGTGTTATGTGGAATCATCAAATGACATGTTCTCGAAATTGTTGAATTATAACTTTGTGAAAAAGCCGGAATTTGTAGTGGATATAATTCTTGGCCTATTCTCATCCAAATAATTCGTGTATCAAATTTGTAAAAACAATCATTTTTGATAGATTGAAATCAAACATGCTGCACAAATTGAATTTGGATTTTCGCACAAATCTGTGCTCGTAGTTTCGTCGAAGCTATAAAAAAAATCTTCCTCAACTTACTCATTCCGGCTCCTGTTATAAACTCGTCAGTTATTATTGATTTCTTTTTCGCCGACACTAATTTTTGATAGTTCAACGATAAAATTTTTATTATTACCGAGTTCGAAATTTTTTGTGGTTGTTTATCGATTTGTCTATTACTTGCATTCGGGAACATACGTATAGAACGTTGCCGTAATAATGATGCACTCGCAAACATCGTTTTAACTTACGACAGGAAAGTTTTCTGCTTGTTGCTGAATGCTTACTCGAAGGTATCTTGTTGTTTCACTATACCAGGACAATTGTCTATTATAGTCTTTTCGTTATAACATTTTTATTTTACCGAATGGCGTTTGATGATCAATAACTTGCAAAATATCACAAGTCAGTTATTTAAATGCGATTTATTTTCATATCAGTTTTAAAAAAATACAGGTGCTTTTATATCCAGCATCAGGTTGTCACGGTGGTTCTTCATTCTCAATTTTCGAGGAAAAACACCTTGACTAACGTAGGCGGTGATGGACGCAATCTGAATTGAAGCCGACTGGTTTGCAAATTGTCTTTGGTAACTTGCGGAATGCGGAGGAAGCGGTTCAGAAAAGTGCGAGACTACATCAAGATGGAGCAGCTCGTAGTTTGAGTCTCTTTTGACGATGCTCCACAGCATTCTACGCATCTACGAAACGAAAATTCAAATTAATCCCGATAGCGTAGGAAATGAGCGAAGTCATCGGTAAATTTGCATCGAAGTTGTATATTTGCACGGAGTTATTTGAATTTTAAAATTCATTACGATATTTTCATACGTATATTTTCACTGGTTGCGAAGCAAAGCGCGATATGGTTCGATCTCACGCGCGTCCGTTCGATATTTTCGTTTATTTATAACTTTTTCCCCCGAGCCGCGCACATTGCGCATAGATAATTGCCAGTGTCGCCGTTTCTCGCGGGGCGAGCGCTCGCTTCTATTTAATTCCCCGTATTTTATGCGATGTAATTGCTATGCGCGCGCTCTCGACGCGAGAAAACTTTTATCTCGTTACAATTAATTATATCGCGCGCTGCTTTCATTTCTCCGAGACTTAAACGGTCTCGCATGATTAGCGTTGATAAAACGATGCGCGGATTTCCGTATATAAATAATAATCAGTACTTGTAGCAAATAGAAGTCGTCCTGGCTCTTCCGTACGATTTATGCTTGCGAACATCCTCGTCCTCAGCTTTCAATTGCGACGCGAGCTTGATTTTTTGTGCGGATTTCAAATATACCTATAACATTCATCAGTCGTCCTTCACTTTGATGTTATACAAATTGGAAATTAAATTGGTTTTCGTGGCTTTTATTTCTATGAGAATGATGATGAAGCCAGGTAATGAATGATCGAGAACAAAAGCTATTACGTCGTTGTATTGATTTTGTTGACAAATGTATACCGGTGGGCTGCTACACCAATATGCTAAGCCAGCTCATCGCTTCATTGTATCATTATGTAAATACGATCAATATATCCTACAATAAATCAAGTGATTGTCATTCAATCTTTTACAGAGAATTAAGTGATAAATGGATGAAGCTTTTAAACTGTTGACACCATCGTTAATAAATTTCAATGTTGAAATATTTTTAATTACAGTAGTTTTAAATCGCCACTTTATATTTTTTCATACATAATTTTTATGCTAAGTGCATTGTTGCGATTTGAAACGATAATTATTAACTTGACATAACAAGTCCAAACTTTTTACTGCTATTGCGAAGTAAATACATCTCATCAATATCTGCTTCAGATTGTTCGAGAGATACGTAAACGCTTTCGATTTTTCTCGCAGGCTAACGTATGTACAACGAATTATGCTAAAAGTTTTTCCTTTATCGAATTTTCAATCGAATTATTTTTCGACAGAAGTTGAAGTTTGTTATCCACGCCGTTGAAATCTATATTAGATTGAAATAAGCGCGTTAAAAGAATTTTATTGATTTAATTAATATTTTAGTAAAAATTGCAATATACACACTTACTCCTTTCAGTCTACGATTGGTATTGTCTCTCTCATCAGAGTAAGTCATTTAATTCAACAACAACAAATGCACATCCACAATAGATATAGTAAAAACTAAACATACTGTTGAAGAAAATATATTTAAAAAAGTTAAATCTCTAATTTTCAAGACTAGGCATAATTCAGTTTATAGCAGTTCATAGAAGCCAACTTCAAGAAATATGTAGCATTTCTTATTTCGCTTTAAAGCTCAGATAATTATATATGTCTTAACTCTCGAAAACGAAAAAAATTTTTTCGCTAAACACGTAAATAATTTTGTACAAATGTAGTAGTTTTATACTGTGTGATACTCTGTATGTGATCTGCCCAACAAAAATTTATTAATGTTCTTAATTTTCGTAATAATACTTAATCAAATATAGTTGAACCTCGATAATTCAAACAACAAGAGACCAAGCCTAAATTTTGAATTATTGAGGTGTTCGAATTGATGTTGTGCATATACATACGCAAAATTACATATTATTTACGCATATTTAGCAATAGTTAATTTAACTTTCTCATAGTAATTACATAAATATAGAATATATGCATGTTATTAATAATACAGATTTAGATAATAATAATTAATTTACATTAATATTGTCATTGAAGAGATAGAGTGTAAGGGCTAAAGTGAATGAGTATAAGATTATTAATTTGGAATCATCGCTGCTAAAAGTTCGAATTATGTTCAAATCTCGTCCATTTAAATACCGGAAATTTCATAAATCGAATAACGAAAATTCGAAATCGAGGTTCCACTGTAGTCTTGAAAATTAGTCACTAAACGTTTTCAAATAAAATGATTTAAGCCGACTTACATATATGATTACTATTTCAGCTTAATAGATTTATTGATTTAGAGTAATCAGCACGGAGATGTAGGCACCTACATTTTTCAGTAACTGAAGAAATTCTCGAAACAAAATGATTTTAGGTAAATGAATTTTACGAATTTCATATCCACATACCTGTAGGTAATTATTCAATGTCAGATCATAAAAGTTTCCTGCCGAAAGTTGCAATGGTACTTGACAACGCATCATAAGTATGATATGATATCGCGAGCGTAATTCTTAGGCTATGACTGTAGGTTGACTTGGTAAGTGGCACTAAGTAGCCTGAAACTCTTTACTAAATATTGTAAGTTGAATAATGGCGATTAATGAAGAAATTGAAATAAATAGTGCTCAATTATACAAAATCTAACTTAATTTGTCATGGACCAGTTCTGACTACTTGCAGCTTGATTAAATAATACCGTATAGATGTGCAAATTAAAAATGAATTTTGAATTCAAGGTGTCATCGTTCACCTAAGAAGTGAGAGGTCTTTGAAATTTCGTACGTGCATTTTCATCGTATACGTTATTTATCCCTTTGTTCTGCCCACTGGGCGACGTGATTTGTTTCACCCAATGTGGATCTCGGTCTAAGAAGGCATAGTGCATCATTTGCTACGATATAATTGACAAACTCACATTTAAAGCAAGGAATTCACCACATCCACAGTCAACCAAGATATACATCAGCAAAACCACTGGTGCGAATGCCCTGGTAATAATTTGTCACGAATCAAACTTCTCTTCAGCAGTCTATAATATTACAACAATGTATATATTTCCCATAAGTAAATCTTCAAAGTATTACTCACTTTTAACACTGTGAATCCTAAACAGCCAGTGACCACGCTGAGAGCGAACGTTTGTGTAGTTAGTAGAGAATTGAGTAGTTAAATAGAATTTCTATATTATCAACGAATCTAAAAAATTGAAGAGTTCAATTATGTCAAGAATATAGAAGAAATAAAAAGAAACCGAATGAAGGTGACTGTGAGCACCAACCGAATGAGTCGAATGTGACGTTTGACGATTCGTCGTATACGGCTACTGAAGTAACGGGATGTTGCGGATTAATTAACAAGATGTTGAAATTGACCTTCGACAATTCGGCACTGGCCGCAGGCGTGAAGTACGAAAGTAAGGAAAAGATTCTCGGCTACGAAGAATATAAAGGGTACGAGACTACCGATGACGAACTGTTGAAGGTAGGTCAACTCATACATAGGTGACTCGGAGACGTCATACTAATAATAGATCAGAAACATCAATAGACGCATTGGATCGGGATCGGAATCCGTGTTTCGTAGAAATTCTTGTGGTCCTCATGCGGCCACACGCCAACAAGTACCAGACCAATTTTGTCTAATACAACCAACTTTTTTATATACTTCACATTTCTCTGAAAATCAGCATATTCTGAAGTTAATGTTTTTATGATAAACAAAACTCTTTGAAATTGGACCATGAAACCTTCAAATATTAATCCAATCGGCCGTTTTGATGACCACCAAACTTTCTAACCTGGAAAAACTTTTCATCTTCACTTCATCTTACACGTGAAGAATTAACTCTTTTCTGAATTTTGACATTGAACAAAGTTTTTATCTTAATTTTATGGCATGTAGTTGGTTGGGAGCGGTGGACACTAGTTTATGTTGAGCACCAAGATTTATAGATGTTGGCATGCACATGCTCGCATCTAGCATAAGCTCGTATCCCTTACTAACTTTCCCATCAGTTTTATAAATTAACTAGTTTTTCTCTAACTTACCTACTTTTAGTCAATAATTATTTGCGATCATTTTCAAATTTCAGATTATATTTAATAAAATGGTACGTTTTTGACAGACATTATAAATATTATTAGTTTTACATTTATGTGAAAAATCCAACTGCACCAATATTTAAATAAAATTAGAGTGCACACCACAAATTGATAGCTTTCGCTGAAAAAGTTGTTACTAAAAATAATGGTATGGTGGACCGGATTCCCGCGTTACGTGGATACGTTTATCGCTGTACAGATAACAGCATAGAGACGTAGCCACCTATATTCTTCACCAACTGAAAAAATATGCAAATCTGACTGATTTGATGTAGCTGAGTTTCGTAGATTGAATATTCACACACCTGTAGGAAATTATTCAGAGTCAAATCATAGAAGTTTCCTGCAGTAAGTTGTAACGGTTTTTGAGAACGTATCATGAGTATGATGATATCACGAGCGCATGAGTTTGGTAACGACTGCAGGTTCGTCTGGTAACTGGCTTTGAGTAGCCTGAAACTCTTTACAACGTATTGTGAGTTGAATACTGATGATCGAAGAAGAAATTGAAAATAAGCGGTCAATCAAAAAATAGGATCGAATTGAATTTGTCATGAAGCAATTGTACTTGGACTACCTGTAATCCCATGAGGTAGTACCGTCGGATCAGATAAGCAATTTAATGAAAATATAATATGAATTTGAAGGTATCATTTCCATCCAGTATGAGGTTACGGACATTTTGGATATGATTTCTAATTAGGGAACTGGATTTTTTCAGTCGTTTAGTTGGAGATATTCTGTCGATCCACCCAGCCGGCGTTGAGTTGGGTTTTAATCGACTGCTGCATCTGCTGATCTCAGTCCCACTTGCTAGAGCGCATCGTTTGCTAATTATTACAAACTCACTTTTATAGCGAGAAATTCACCGGCTCCGCAGTCAATCAGGGCATACATCAGCAAGAGCAATGGTGAAACTGACCTAGTAAATATTTGCCACGGGTCCAATTTGTCCTCGACGGTCTACAATATCACACAAGTGAAGTGATTTAGATTTTTTCCAGGTGTAAATGTTATGAATAAATGTAGAAACACGCTGACCAATAGGTGGAAGATATCACTCACTTTTAATAATGTGAATCCAAAGCAGCCAATGACCGCAGTGAGAGCGATTGTTTGTGTCAGAATTGAATAGTTAAATAGAATTTCGATATTGTCAACGAAGCTGGAAATTTGAAGAGGATAATTTTTTCGAAAAAGAGGAAGATTTAAGAACTAATCGAATGAAGATGATTGTGAACACCAACCGAATGAGGCGAACATGACCATTGACGATTTGCCGTAAACGATCATTAAAGTAATGCGATGTTGGGGAAATATTAGCAAGACGTTGAAATCGACTCTCGACAATTTGACACTGGCCGCAGGCATGGAGCACGAAGGTAGTGAAAAGATTCTCGGCAACGAAGAATAGAAAGGGTACCAGACTACCGGCACAAAATTGTTGAAGATAAGTTAATTCGTACATAGGTGACTTGAAGACGTTGTACGGGTAGTAGCTCTGAAATATCAACTGACGCATTGGATCGGGATCGGTGATGTTGTTTAGCGTTCGTATGCTGAAATTAAATAGTGGAAAGGTGAACCACATAATTGTAACGAAAGCACTTGAGCTGCCGCCGATGAGCGATATAAGTAGGCAGCGATTTGCCTGCACTTGCATCATTTCCGTTTCAATGTCTGATCTAGGCGTACATTGCCAATCTATCCACATTTCATTTATTAGTGATTCAAGCACTGTAAATAGAGATTGCCGTGGTATTAGTGATTTTCTAGATTTGCTGTTCTAATAAATGTACATTCATCGCGATACATACCTTTGCTACCTTTCCACAATATAATAAGTTTGACGACCGCCACGAGGTTACACAAACTGATGGGGATATTATCCACAACAGGTAGCAGTTGTCGTCGGACTTTAATTAAAGCATAAGCCTGCGGCACTGTCAAAAAAATTACTATGCCAATTACGATGGTCGGTGTGGCCAATATTCGTTGAGTAGATTTATTGCTATTGAATGGCCATAAGCCAATCATCCTCAATGTAAGTTGATTCAATCCGATAGCCCAGTAAAAACCTTTTAGTAAAAAAAGTAATACAATAAACAAAATATTAATTAATATATAGGTATACATATACGTATAGGTAACCACGTTCCGATTTAAAGATCGCGAAGAGAACCTGTTCGGTGATCACATTGACTTGCAAGTAAATATGCCACGCTAAATTATTAAAGTGGTTATATAGAGCTTTCCCAACATATTTTCAGATATAGAATTTCAATTCCTATATTTAAGGCTCTAAAGTTCCGATCGATTAGTCTCCTTGAAGAGAACGTTTTCAGACTAATCTCCCTCCGTTATTATATTTCTGTGCTGATGAATTATGATCATGTACATTGGTTGTCATGGCTTTAATTACAATTGAGCTTTATAAATATTGCTTGCAATTTTCCACCGAAATCTTTAAAATAAAGATTTTAGTAGAAAATATTGAATGATTTTTATAAGGTTCACATCGAATAAAAAGAAAATAAAATATAAGTTTTCAAACGAAAAATTTGGTTATATCAGTATGTGTATGGAACAGTTTGAAATATGAATTAAAAAATAGCTCAACACGATTATGAAATGAGCTTACAAGAAAGTTGAACACTGAAAAAATGTTTAGAAAGAAATTAAATAATCTGCAATGATGCAAAGAATATATGTGCAAATTGTCAGTTTCGTAGGTCAAAAAATGAAATACATTAGAATATTCTCAGAGGCAATCCAATTTAAGTAAACCTCGTATCGGAAATTCCGGGAGCGAACTCCTGGTACTTCTGGATATTCCGGGTTTATACGTTAATGAATCCGAACAATCGTTCACAAAAGCGTATTGATCGTAGCTTTATAAATTTTGCGAACATTTTTTGTCAGTGACATACAAAAAGCAAGCAGCTTGTTATTTAACAAAGAAGCAAAAATTACCCTTCTGTTTCTTATCCATCGAATGTCGCTCGCTATCCCCAGATCTTGTCCGCCGAACTAGCAAGCTATCCAATCTGTTTTTCCTTACGATTGTTATCACAACAATCAAAAATTTTTATCGATGCATTCACTTGCTCGAGACGTTACTGTGAAATTTTGCGCCTGATACGCAATACGATTTGTGAAATGGTCGACTGTTCAGTACGGACACAGAACGAGAAACATTGTGTAAAGACTGCTCGCCATAAGGTATACATTATTCACTTAGCAGTGCACACTTTGTGGAAATTATGCTTCAATTCACTTATTATTTATGTGTTTTTCACGAGAAAACATTACGTTGTCTGCGTACGCCGTACACTATTTTTGTTTTTCTCTCTTTCAGGCCGTTTTACTCGACTCGAAGTCCTCGCTGTTAAGCATTGTTGATGTCGAGCTATCGTCAATAGCGTGGAGTAGTTTTCTGCAAAACGAAATAAACGAAAAATGTAACACTTAAATAAATTAAAAATTACGTTTTTCATGAGTGCCTGCAACCGATTTGAAGTATTAACTCGACAGAATTATAAAATTAATTTCAAGAACCGAGAAGATTTAAAATGAAGACGGACTTTAAGTGGAATGTCTTAATACTAATCAGTATTAATTGATTTTAGGTCAGTTAAGGAATTAATATTTTTATACACTTTTCTATATTCCGTTTTTTTATTATTTTTTAAAAATACCTATCCACATGATGTCGAGAATAGAACTTTTTAACTGTATAACACTGGATAATAAATACAATAAATTATGATTTGTATAACTGTAGTATTCATTGATTAAACTAAATCAATGTATGTAATATTATTTTATAATGCTCTTATATCAGTAAATCTAACAAACGTACATGTAATAGATGAAAAATACTTGTAGTCGGCGTCCAAGTGCAGCATACACTGTAAATCCTTGTGCATGTACATCAAAAGCATTGTCCACCACTAAATAAAATTATATACCTGATTTCCTGCCATATTTTTAATTGAATCAGAAAATTTTTACTTTTGATTGAAATCTTATTTTCATAAAAAAAACTGTAAATAACGCTTTTTAATCGAATTAGTTGATCAAAGGAAATAATGACAAGATCAAGTTGAAGGTATCGATTAAAGTTCAAAGTTAATTGTAGTTCCTACAAAATAATATTAATCAAATTTCTCGTAAAGTGGATTATTTATTGATTTTCTACAATATCGTATCTTCTTAATATCTTCACAGGATTTTGCGGAACTAGCGCGGTAAGCTTGCCGCGGTGGTGGACCAAGCATGGAGTCCGGAATGAACGGAAAATGCTATGCAAATGCAACAAATATCAATATCACCGTCATACACTATATCGGGATATATAGCTATTTTATGCATGCAATAATTTTTACGTTTTATTTTCCAATTATAAACAAAGTGTATTAAGATTATTTTAGATACAGATATCGCAACATTGGTACATATCATTTATTCAAACGTATGTAAATATTCCAAAAAGAATATTTAGTTTGAAAGTTTAGTTTTATTTTCAATTGAGGTAGGCCAATCGAAGAGAGTTGATATCGTTTTGATCGAACACTGTCATATTACAAAGTGATTCGTTTATAGCTTCCTCAATGATTCTAGTTTCGTGGAAAAGTAAGTTTGTTAAGAAATAAGTTTTTCTTTCTTTTTCTTTACACAGTCATGAAAAATCAATATGTAGAAAACTTGAAATAATGAATGTAAAAAAATGTATGGAAAATATATATTTTTTTTATTAATCAATTTAATAATTTTTTTGTATGTTTATTAAATACGAAGTATCATATAGTAGTAATAGTAAACAAGACTACAGATATTAGCCATACCGATGATAGTAGTAGGCATATTTTTTGACAATATCGTAGGCTTACGATTTATTTAAAGTCCGTCGAGATTTCCTAGATTGTCTCAAATTGTCGAGAGTCGATTTCAACGTCTTGCTAATATTTTCGCAACATCGCATTACTTTAATGATCGTTTACGGCAAATCGTCAATGGTCATGTTCGACTCATTCGGTTGGTGTTCACAATCATCTTCAGTCGATTAGTTTTTAAATATTCTACTTTTTCGACAAAATGATCCTCTTCAATTTTCCAGCTTCATTGACAATATCGAAATTCTATTTAACTATTCAATTCTGACACAAACAATCGCTCTCACTGTGGTCATTGGCTGCTTTGGATTCACATTATCAAAAGTGAGTGATATCTTCCACTTGTTGGTCAGCGTGTGTCTACATTTATTCATAACATTTACACATAGAAAAATCTAAATCACTTCACCTGTGTGATATTGTACTAGTACTGATCGAATAGAAATGATACCTTCAAATTCATATTATATTTTCATTAAATTGCTTATCTGATCCGACTGACGATCCAAGTACAATTGCTTCATGACAAATTCAATTCGATCCTATTTTTTGATTGACCGCTTATTTTCTTTCAATATCTTCTTCGATCATCAGTATTCAACTCATAATACGTTGTAAAGAGTTTCAGGCTACTCAAAGCCAGTTACCAGACGAATCTGCAATCGTTACCAAACTCATGCGCTCGTGATATCATCATACTCATGATACCTTCTCAAAAACCGTTACAACTTACTGCAGAAAACTTCTATGATTTGACTCTGAATAATTACTTACGGGTGCGGGTGGAATTTATCTACATAAAATTAGTCTGCTTTGTAAATATTTTTAGTAATATCTATAAATCAATAAAAATATTAGCTATTTAATAATACATAATTCATAATTGATATATCAAGAGAACTAATTATTGAATAACAATTAAAATTAAGATAAGTTAATTTAAACAGTATATTTGCCTGAAAACTCCTGTGAATTAACTTTCTGAAGGCAGCTTTGATTTCGCTTTCTTTGAAAGTATTTTTTTGTTATTTTTGGGTTTATGCCTTAAAAAATGTTATACTGACATACGTATACCGCAATGAAAGCTAGACGGAAGATGCAAGTTGAGCTCCGTAAATCTCTCAACAAGTTCCTCGTGTAATACTATGAGGATAAATCACAAATACAATAACGATTTTTACCTTACATTGTGCGGAGTTTAATGCAATATATAATGAAACGGCCGGCAATTGGTTGCGTCTTTTCCCCCCTACTCCCCACCACTCCGCAAGCTTCAGTCCTTCCTCAGCAGTCGTTGCAAGCTCATCGTACTTGTGCTCAGTTGTCAGTTGAGTTTCATGAAGGGCAACGAAGACGTTTACCACGAGGGTAATTTAACGTTTCGAAAAATCATCATTTTAAATTATAGAATTAGCATTTTCATTAAAAACATTATATATTTGAGACGCAGTACAATTCGCTGATTTCGAGTGGGCTTTTGGACTGAACCGTCTAAGCTTAGATCTGATTGGCGTGTGGCCGCGTGAGAACCAAGAAGATGATTTTTTACGAAATACACGGATTCCCTTCATGATTTCGTGGATGATGTTCGGACTCTTCCTGCCGCAGATTTATGCATTAACGAAGGTTTATCAGCATTTGCCGCTCGTTGTTGACAATCTGATTACCAGCTGTGCTGCGCTTGTTTCAAGCACAAAGCTCTTCATGATATGGCGAAGACGGAAAGGTATAGCGAGATTTTTTTTGCATGCGTGATCACTGAATTGTTTTACTCAAGCACGCAAGGAAGGACTGTTTTTGCACAATTAAAATAATCATTTTGATAATTGAGAATAAAAAAAATCTTCTTTCAAGATTCTTTTGATTAGATTATTATGCTATGCAGACTTTTTCTTTGATGACTTAGGTTATAAAATTATCATAGTAAGTCGTAAATTAAATTATTTGATAGAAATTTAGCGTAAATTTTAAAAATTAATTTTTTTTACGCTAAAATGCTGCAAAGTTTTTTTGAGAACACGAAGATACAAATTGTCATAATTGCGACAAAGTAAAAACGGTCACTTGCTTGTTTATCAAAAAGTAAATTAGGCATGAGTTATACAACTTCTTATTATGATATATGAAATGTTCAAATATGCACCAACTTTTCTAACAGCTGATTATTGCAAAATCAAAAAATATCGATAACATCTGTGCTAGAAAGTAAATAATAAATAAGTACTTCTATTTCGATCAGCCGCTGCATTGTGTGAAATCGTATTGAATGACAGTGCTGCAAATATTTAGCGAACGTACTGCTTAGCACTTTACCGAGATTGTTGCAAAATGTTTTATACTTTATATAAACAACATAATAGCTGTTTCAACGAACTCAATGTCTTCTTCAATGATTCAAAGGCTTCAGTTTGTTAGTAGCGAATTCAAATCATCGGTATCAACTAACAACTAATTACAATAAAATAGAAAAAAAAACTTTTTTTAACGCATGGAACGACAGCAATCAGCACGAACCGCGCGTTAAGAGCTGTTAAACTCAGTACTCCAGCAGGTAGTCAGCAGGACAGCAAGCGATTGGTCGCGAGAAAAAACCAAAGTGGAGCGCAAAACGATGTTAAAGCAAGCAGCTCGTGCTCGTCTTTTCACGATGTCGGGTTACGCAGTGATGTTTGCTTGCGTCCTGGGTTTCACCACTTTGCCAATGTTCGGTTTAAGTATTCGAGTGATCAACAACATCACAGACGGACGACGATACTTCCCTCTGCAATCGAGTTATCCATACGATGCCGAGAAGTCGCCTTACTTCGAGTTGACTTACTTGTCGCAGCTGATTGCCGGTGGATTCGTCGGAGTTTCGTTCTCCGTGCCGGACAACTTCTTCGGAGCGTTGGTGTTTCACGCGTGCGCGCAGTGTGAGATACTGGAGCGGAGACTCGTCCAAGTGATGGCCTGCGGCAATAAGCAAACGATCAAGCTTCGGCTTCGAAGCTTGGTGAAGATGCACGTCAAACTCATTCGGTGAGTTGTCTCCGCGCAAAGTTGAATTGCGTTAAACTTAAGATCTCTTACGGCTGTTTATCAGCCAAACAGTTCACAGAACCTGCGCAAAATGTATCGAAATGATTATTTTTGAAGGCGAAGGATTGACACTTAAAATCTTAAAGTTTAATTTTAGCGCAAATCTATGTCCACAGTTTCGTCAACGCAGTAGAAATCTCCTTTAACATACTGATTCTGGCCCACATTACATGCTTGTCAGTAATCATCGGCTGCATGGCATATTCGTTTATAAGAGTGAGTTAAACTTGCGATAATTCGTGCGAAAAATGGCATTGCATTCGATAAAATAGAAAAAAATCAGTCTGTTGAGAACGACGCCGAAAATCCGCCACTCATTCAAGTTCTTACCCTCGCGGCTTCACTCGTGAATTTGATGATGCACATGTTTGTCTACTGCATCGCCAGTGAAATCCTCGTCAATAACGTGAGTTTTTGTTCGATATAGCCACTAATCCTTTGCCAGTTCATAGATAAGATTTTTATTGTTCCAGAGTTCGAAATTTGTCGAAGCTATTTATCAAGCTACCTTTTACTTGTACTCGGGGGCATACGCAAAGGACGTTACCATAATAATGATACGCTCACAATCGCCGCTTCAACTTACGGCGGGAAAGTTTTTCTCCCTGTCGCTGAATACTTACCTAAAGGTATCTCGTTGTTTCACCATACCAGGAGAATCGTCTGTTATAGTCTTTTCGTTAAAACATTTTTATTTTACCGAAACGCGTTTAATGATCAATAACTTGCAAAATATTACAACTCAGTTGTTTAAACCCAATTTATTTTCATTTCAGTTTTTAAAAAATACAGGTGCTTATATATCCATGTTATTAGCAGTCAGCAGTCAAAATAATTGATTGAGAATACGTCACAAAATCCTCGAAAGTCAGAAAGTCAGAAAAATCCACAATATTAATAGTATAGAAATAAATTATTTGTCACGTACCGTTGAGAAACTAATAATAAATAAATAATATAAAACTCTGAAAGTAACATTCGAATGTACATTGCAACTTGTCATGCAATAATCCTTAAGACAATGATAACAAAAGTATATACAAGATTAATGTTATATTTCATGATTCGCTATTTTTATTTCACAATAAAGAATTTAAAATCGTTTCAGATTAGTAAATAACAAATCATTGAATGGTCATTCAAATGAAACAATAAGAGAATTTAAATTTAAAATATTTCATTTATCTTATTTTCTAGCTTTGAGTTTCTTATTTTAATCAGCAAAATTTTTACATTAAAAATTTTTAACTTGATTTACTACTTGACTTTAATTGAAGATTTTTAAGTTTTACAACAAAAATTATGAATGTTCTCAAATATTTTATTATTGAATTTTAAAGGTTGCAATTTCAAATTTCATAATTTTCAATTTGAAACTCAAGTTTTTTAAATTATTTAATTAATTACTGCGAGATTTTTTGGTCGAGTTACAGTCCCGCCTGTAATATAGCAACGGATTTCATTCTCTATGTCATCCAACTTTCGAGGAAAAACGTACCTTGACTAACGTAAGCGGAAATCGACGTAATCTCGGATGGTGCCAACTGGTTGGCAAATATCAATTCAGAAAAGTGGGAGAATACGTCAAGATGGATCAACTTATACTTTGAGTTTTTTTTGACGATGCCCCACAGTGGTCTATCGGAAATCTTTAACGTTCAAATTCAAATTAATTGTGATAGTCTTGGAAATGAGCAACCTTATCGGAATTTTGTTTAATGTTGTAGTGTGAACGAAAGGAAGAAACTAAAGTCTAAAATATCCATTTTAAGATGTTTCGGCTTCTGAAAAATACAGCAGCTTTCATTTGAAAGCTTATCAGCAGACCGCAATAAGTATTTCAATTTCACCATCTTGTCATCCGTAAATTTGCATCGAAGTTGTATATTTGCACGTAGTTATTTGAATTCTAAAAGTCATTACGCCGTTTTCATACGTATATTTTCACTGATTGCGAAGCAAACCGCGACGTTGTTCGAGCTCACGCGCGTCCGTTCGATATTTTCGTTTATTTATAACTTTTCCCCCCGAGCCGCGCACATCGCGCATAGATAATTGCCAGTGTCGCCGTTTCTCGCGAGGCGAGCGCTCGCTTCTATTCCGTTCCCGTATTTTATACAATGTAATTGCTATGCGCGCGCTCTCGATGCGAGAAAACTTTTATATCGTTACAATTAATTATAGCGCGTGCTGCTTTACTCGCATAAACTTTCATTCGTCTGAGACATAAACGGACTCGCGTAGTTAGAGTTGATAACATGGTACGAAGCTTTTCGCATGAACAATAATAAGTACGTGTCTGTAAATCATCGCGTGGTCTGCTACAATCTCTAGCTATTTTCAGACTTTTTTCAGCACCGAACATGTCTCAATCTCGGCAGGACTGCCGCTCGCGTGCCCACCTGTATACGTTTAGATTACGAAGAGACGCGTCTACTTACCTCGCTATAGTTTATTATGTTAGTAATACAATAATAATTTTAGAGGATTATCTTAGTTGTCCATCAATAAACTAATAACTCAACGAAACGCTCATTATTAAATTTGCGTATATTTAGGCATTCAATTATCTTCGGGCATACTAATTCTGAATAAAAATGTTCATAATCTCCAGCAGTCAACAATGATCCTCTGTCAAGAACAGTTAGTACATTTAAGAAAATTAAAACAAGGAAATGTAAGCATATACCTAAGTATGTATCATCAGTGATTACCGCGACTTATGCCAATTTATTTAACTAGCTATTTAATGCGCAATCATCAATATAAACATATTGATTACAATTCTTGTTAACTTAGTACCTATTATAACTTGAAATCTTACCTAAATTTAGTTTTTGATGTCAATCAATGTGTTACAATAATCTATGGGGTATTTCGTATATTAGTAAAAAAGAATCCAATGTTATCAAACGTCGTAGCCTTTTTATTGTTCCAAAGAGATATCACATTTGGCAATGTCTTTCGTATATTTTATTTCAGCGTTCTTAGATATTACTTCCTGTATTCCTCGTTCTATTATTCTAGTTATCATTTATATATATATATATATATATATATATATATATATATATATATATATATATAATATAGCCATAAAGGATACCGTCAATAAGGCTGATTTTAAAAATTAATGACAAAACCTACAAATATAACAATTGTCACACAACAATATTTCATAAGTAAATTGAAAATTATTATTCGTAAATTGTTATTCGTAAATTGTCGCAACCAACGTCAACTGTTGTCACAGATTTATAACTTTAGTTTCGAGAATGGTGAAGATATCATGGGTAAACACAGGATAATAATAAGATAATAAGTAAATATACGTACGTTAAAAGGGATACCCATTGTTGAAGAAAATTACATACCTGGTTTGCTTTGACGTTCTTATTTAACTGTGAAAAGAGCACTTCAATTTTTTATTTAATATCTCTATTTTAAAAATTATATGTACCATATTTTCAAAAAATCATTTGTTTCACGTTACTATTTCAACTTAATATAGGTTTACTGATTTACAGTTATCAGCATGGACATGTAGGCACCTATGTTCTTCACCAACTGAAAATATTCACGAGACAGGCTCATTTGATTTAAATAATTTCGCAGATTTAATATTCACATACTTGTAGGAAATTATTCAGAGTTAGAATATAGAAGTTCCCTGCAGTAAGTTGCAACGGTATCTGACAACGCATCATGATCACGATGATATCACGACCGTAATCTTTTCGCAACGACGACAGGTTGGTTTCGTAAGTGGCACTGAGTAGCCTGGAACTCTTTACTAAACATTGTAAGTGTAATAATGATGATTAATGAAGAAATTGAATGAAAGAGGTGCAAATTCAAAAGAACTATTAATTTTGAGGTATAGCTTTCCATCCGAGAAGTGAGAGGCTTTTACTGACATGGATTTTTGTTATATTTTCATCGTGGAGATTGTATCTTCTAGTTGTTTTGAAACTATTCTTTTGTTCAGCCTATTCGGCAGTACAACAGATTTTAACCAGTGTGGACCTTATTCCGAGGAATCACAGTGCATCGTTGGCCAATAATTATTAGACTCACATGAAAAATGAGATATTCCCCACCTCCACAATCAACCAAGACATACATCAGTAAGATCAATGGTGAAACTGTCCTAGTAATCATTTGCCATATTTCGAACTCGTCGTCAACAGGCTATAATATTACGAAAGTGATGTAATTTAGATTGTTTTCTATATGTAAATGTTATTATCCTGACCATCAATGCTGTAAATCCGAAGCAGCCAATGACCAGGCTAAGAACAACTGTTTGCGTGATAATTAAATAGCTAAACAGAATTTCTATATTGTCAACGAAACTAAAAAATGAAAAAGTCAACATTTTTTAACAGTGGCCGAAAAAACAACGAATGAAATTGGAGATGAATGCGAGCACCTACCGAATAAGTCGAACGTGACGATTGACGATTTGTCGTATACGGCTATCAAAATAACGGGATGTTGCGGAACAATTGTTATTACCCAGCTGTTGAAATTGACCCTCGATAATCTGGCACTGGCCGCAGGCGTGAAGCACCAAGGTAAGAAAAAGATTTTCGGCTACGAATAATATGAAAGGCACCAGACTACCGACGATGAATTGCTGAAGGTAAGTCAACTCATACATAGGTGAATCGAAGACGTCATACGGATAGTAGCTTTGGAATATCAAGAGACGCATCGGGTCAGGATCGGTGATGTTGCTTAATGTCCGTACGCTCAAATGAAATAACGGTAAGATCAGCCAGATTATTGTAATGACAATACTTGATGCGCAGCCGATAAACGATATAAGTCGGCAGTGATTCGCCTGCACTTGCATTATTCTTGTTTCGATGTCTGATTTAGTCGTACATTGCCAGTCTATCCACATCTCACTTATCAGCGATTCCAGTACTGTGAGAGATTTCAATTCTATTGATGCTTGGCTTTATAACGTAGTAAATGTACATTTATCATGTTACAAATACCTTTTCTACCTTTCCACAACATTATAAGTTTAACAACCGCCATCGAGTTGCACAAATTAACGGGGATATTATCAACAACAAGTGACAGATCCCGACGGACCTTTACCAAAGCATACATTTGCGGGACTATCAGAAAAATAAATATGCTGGCTGTTATAATTGGTGTAGCCAACGATGGTCTTGAAGATTTATTGCTATCATATGGCCATAAGCCGGTCACCTTCAGTGTTAGTCGATTCAACCCGAACGCCCAGTCAAAGCCTTGCAAAAAGTCAAATATATATTTTTTGTCAGTGAAATAAGAGAAAAACAAATTATGAATCACTCTTTTCGTTGTTATCCATTGATCGTTACTCGGATCTTCTATCTGTCAAGCTAGCGAGCTATAACGAGGAGTATTTTTCGATAATTGAAATTTGTATTGCTATTTCACTTATGGAGACGTTACTTTTATTTTACTTTAATTTTCGTTACACTTATTATCATCCTAAAAATTCAAATTATTATAGATTCTTTCACTGCGATCGAACTGATACTTCGAAAATTTGTGCTTGGTAAGCTGCTTGATTTGTGGAATGGTGAACGGTTCGATGTGCACATAGAATAAAAAACATTGTGTAAAGACAGCTCGCCGTAGAGGATACATTATTGATTAACTAGCACTCGCTTCTCGGGAATTAAACTTTGATTTACTTATTATTTATGTATTTACCACGAGAAAACACTACTTTATCTGCGAAGCATTGTACTTTTTATTTTGCTACTCTCTTTCAAAGTGTCTCTTGACTTGAAGTTCTCGGTACATCAAAATTTGATGTCGTGTTACCGTCAACATCATGAAGTAATTCTTTGCAAACAAAAAAATTAACGAAATGAATACAAGTATTTCATTTACATTTTTAAATAAATTAAAATCTATGTTTTTCTTTAATTATTGTAACCGACTTGTGAAAAAGCACATAGTTATAAAACGAATTTCAAGAATCAAGAAGATTGAAATGAAAATTATGAGTTATAACGTGAGATACATATTTCATTACTGATGACGAACAATTGATTTTAGGTTAGTGAAAGCATTAATTATACTGTTCTATTTTCAGCTTAATTATCTATTATTATAAAAATTTTTCCAAATGAGTTAGAGTTAAAATATCGTAAACAGAACATTTTAACTCCAAATATTTAGCAATAAATATAATTTTAATAAGTAAGACTAGAGAAATGGATTTATGTATATACATATACATAAAATATAAAGTCCGTTGTAGTAAAAAAAGACAACCACAGATTAAGTAATGATACTCGATACGATATTGACATCTACAAGAAAACAATCTATCTATAGCGTCGATGAAGTGAACCAGTGAGTTGTGACCACAATTACATTTAGTTCTCTTATCCTTTCTTAGTCAAGATTAAATTTTCTTTCACTGCTGATGTTGACGCCACGTCACTACCGTTTTTAACTGATGTCTTGAGCGTGTCACTGATGAACTAAAATTCATTGAAAATTTTAGAAATAAGGCTGAGAAATTGGCATTTAATCCACTGAAAAAAAAAACTTATTACGTATATGTGGCATTGGATTTTCATACTTTAGCATTGCTAGACGATTTTTTTAGTCATTTTATTTACTTTTAAAAAAAGTTAGTTGTTATGAGTATCTGATTGCGAGTACATGTTCACCCTGTAGATAATTCGAAATAAACACTTTTGTTCTTTTGTTATAAAAAAATGTAACACTCATTCCCGATAAATAAATAAAACACAATAACTTATTAAAAAAGAAGGAAATATTAACGGGGTAAATTTGTACTCACAATTATATACTAACATCAACTTTTCAAACTTTTCGAAAATAAACAAAATAAATAAACAAATCGCCTAGCGAACTACAATCTGCGATCTGCATACAAATTATCCTTATACAGATAAAATGTTAATACATATTACTAGATATACATATCAGCATACCGTCATAGTATTTATCACGCGGTCGCCTCTCAGCTAATCAGATCGCAATAAACTAGTTTCACTTTCAGACCCATCTCCTTTTATAAGCAAAAAAAAATAAAACAAATAAACTGGCCTCAAATCTTCCAGACCTAGATATCCTTTTATAAGGATGTGGTGGTACAGTCTGCTCAAAAAAGTTACACTTCATCTGATTATGATTTCATATTCATGGCTTTCCGAAAGGTAAATAGTAGTTTGATATTTTAGCTTTAATTTAAGGAAATACAATTCAAAATATTTACTATTTATTAATAAATTCACTTGGTTTAGAAAATAACTTAATAAGATAACTTGTTACAAATTTTTTAAGCAAAAGGCAGTTGGCTTCTCACAAGATGGAACTTAATCTATATGTGGGTGTTTTCTTAAATATATTTCAGAGTTGAAAGTTTAGAATAATAAATAACAAATGTAAAATTTGGAATCAAGTCCACTTCAATTATGTGAAAGTTTTCTACAAGTTTGCTTTTACCTTTGTCGAAGCTTCATGACGTTTACTATGCGTATCAGAGTCCGTATTACAGTAAGAGGGGGAAGACTAAGACTCAATAAGTGCGTTTTGTGCTCCGTCAGCGGATCAACGATATTCTAGTCGCTGCTTAGTCGACAGCAATATGGCGTGCGCTAACCTCGCCAATAGTCACCAACGAGAACAGAACAATCGCTTGCACGTCAGGGTGCTTCAGAACAACGTGGACGCCGTAAAGAAGTTGTTGCAAAATGGAGCCGACGCATCGCTGACGACCAGCACAGGTGACACTTTACTGCAAATCGCGGCTTCACAAAAGAACCACCAACTCGTCCAAACTCTGCTGAAGTATTCTAGTCGCGAGAGTGTGAAAAAATTCATCAACGCCAAGAATGTGGAAGACGAGAATAGTGCACTTCACATCGCTGCAAGTAGTGGGTGTACCGAAAGTGTAAGACACCTGCTCTCTTACGGCGCAAATTTTGAGATAATTAATAAGAACGGCAAACAACCTATCGACCTGGCCACAAAAGAAGCAGTTAAAACTCTTCTCATGGGCGCGAAAGAAGATTCGCAATTGGCTGCCGAAGGAAAGTGGGAGATGATTCAGGCGAGACTCCGTCATTACTCGAATGAAAACTTGTATGCAATGGCTTGCACGCGTAACAACGACGGCATGACGGCCCTGCAAATGGCTGTGATCAAAAATCACTGCAATACCGTGCACAAAATGATCGAACTGAGAGTGGATCGCCTAAATCTATTTGTCCACGGCTCTTCCGCGATTAGAGACGAAGAAGCTTCAGTCAACGAGTTTGTCGAACATGCGAACTTTATTTACGAGCATAGGGCTTGGTTTACAATGAAATGGGAAGAAGTAAATACGATAAACAACGAAGAGATGGCCAAAAAAATTGCTCTAGTGTTGTTGGCTGCTCACAGCGTCGTTAAAATCGCCGAAAGAGAGTTCAAGCCAAAAAACGGCGAGCCGTACGAGCAGCCGAGCTTCCTTGCTGCCGTTGAGGAGACGCTCGAGGTACTGCAGTTCCAACCGGAACACATAACGTGCAATGCTAGGCAAGTCACTTCGTTTTGTGGGCATGAAGCTAGGTAAATAACTTGCTTGTGTTTTTTTTAAACAAACCATTATAAGAAATTGATGAGTTACCGACTCATAAATCCAGCGTTGTAATTGGTTGATGCGTAAAAGTGGAAAAAGAGCGCGGATATTTGAAATTTTTTAATTCATAGAAACATAATCTATAAAAGACTAATTAAAAATCGAAATACGGAGTTATTCAATCTTCTCGAAAAAATACGACGTTACGTTTTGAAATTATGCTGAAATTGTGAGTATAAATTGATCATTTGATTTTTATCTGTGGTATTGAAATTAATGTTATCTAGAAATTTGATTGAGAGAGAAAAAGTGAATAAAATAAAATAAAAAATATATTATATAGCTAATAACATATTTTTAGTTTCTGCATATTTTATTGTAAGAGTACACAATATATATATATAGACAACCTAGGTAAATTATCAGAATATTAAACCCGTTAAATTTGAATATTGATATGCAATATATTACTAATATTAATATAACACCGAGGTCATAGCAAACCACTGATATTAAGTAAGGTTTAATATTGACAATAGCTTAACAGTTTAGTATATTTTATTACCTTAGATCTGAAGAATATTTTGTATATTTGTCATATTTATGAATAATATTTTTAAATAATCAAAAATTCATTGATTATTATAAGGTAAATGACAATTCAATTTTTTTATCTTTGGATATCAATGATTGTAGTGTATTTAAAATCGCATCGTTCATTTACCATTTATTTATGCGTATACGCTATTAGTATCTCAAAATTGGTATGTAAGATGATTCAATTAATACAATTCATAACAGAAAAATATTATGTTCAAAAACAACGTTATTGTTCTAAATACACAATTAATCTAATATTTTTCGATTCAAGATGTTTAATAGTTAAAAGTTTTATTTAAAATGCCATGTTATTGATGGTAATTTCAAGCAATTTTCATTTTTTTACTTTTACTCAATCTAGCGCGCTTTTTACGCTTATTTTTTTCACCTTTTTTCGCATTCATTCTAATGCACAAATTGATATCAATGAAGTTTTAAGTTTTTATCATACAAAGTTCTGTGTTGAAAAATCATCATTAAAAAGTTTGAAAAACACGATAAAAATGTAAAAAGTTCGAAAATAGTTTTTTTTAATCCTTCACGATGTAAACAACATACTTCAGTAGACCTTCACAGTTGTAATTAGTGCATTTACAAAACAAATTTTTAATATTTTACGTAACTTAATAAAGCTAAAATCACTGTACAATATTATTATGATGATATATCTATTTATATCTTTTATTGCTTACTTTATTTATTCAAAGCTAAACTTTTGCATAAAGCAAAGTACAATTAATTCTTTATTGAGGTATCAATCAATTTTGATTGCAAGATTTATATGCTTAAATTAGTAAATTCATATTAAATTCATACCAACTAAATTGATACACTTTTTCAACATTAAATACCACCGAAAATCAGGAATAAACTGGCTTGATTTTGTCAGGTTCTCTTTTTTATAAAAGGATTGTCAAAAATTTTAAGGTATCGTGAAAAGCTTTCGTTTGAGTTTTTATTTCAACAATGAATTCATATAGATTTGTATTAGACATATTTACGTTTTCCTTCATATAAATAAATGTTCATTAAAAGTACTTTTAAGATGTAAAAATGTTTGTCAAATTAGTTGCTTTAATCAATCCAAATAATCTTACAGGTATTACAAAATGTTACTCGCGACAGCCGACGAGAACAAGCATTACGACGACTCTGAACGCCAGAAGAAAATCATGTCTTACATGTTAATCCTTCAAATAGTAACCATTCGTGCAGTCGCCGTGTTCTTGTACGAGATGTTCACGGCGAAACTGAGCATCGCGGCAAGAATAGGTGACTTCCGAGTTTGCGAGATGTGCATTGATCAGCCGTTTATTGATCCAGATATCGTCGATATCAATCTTCGCACCCCTTTACATTACGCAGCCGAAAAAGGCAAGACGAACTTGGTGAAAAAGTTAATCATGAAGGGAGCGAATATCACTTACCGGAGCAATACGAACTTGGAGACGGCTCTGCATCTGGCTGCCAGGAATGGTCACGTTGAAAGCGTCAGATTGTTGCTGCAGTACATCGAAGACCCGTTGGAATTAAGAACATTCATCGACATGAAGACCAGCGACAAGAGTTGGACTGCCATTCATTTCGCCGCTAAAACTGGACGATTGGACGTACTCAAGTGCCTTCTCGAGTATGGCGCCGCATTCGACCTGCAAGACAGACATGGAAGAACGCCCTGGGGCTTGTCTAACGACATATCGGTCACCGAATTCCTCGAGAGAATCATTGAATTCTATTTTATGAGCAGAAATGGTGACGTTGACTTGTTTAACAAACTGCGCGCTCTGCAGAAGGACGAGATATTGGCCTGTGTCAAAGCGCGTACCTCCAATGGGCACACCATGAAAGTTGCCGCAAAGTCGAGAGGTCATCAGGATATCGTTTTGGAGTTATCAAAGATTACAGCAGAAGTTACTCCAGCTGCTGTCCCACCTAGACCCATGGTTCATGATATGAATTATGATTGGGGGACTGATGATATATATCACCGGCTGATGCAAACGCTGAATAGATTTGATACGTAAACTGTTGTTCAGTTGATGATGGCTCATTTGTTAAAAAAAATGCATGAAATGGAACATTGATTTTAACTTTAAAAGAATTCATGTAAATTTTTTCTTATTTTATTTGTTATAGTATTCATATCTTGATAAATATAATTTTATTACAAAACGAAAATAAACATATTTTATTTCATTAGTAATATGCAGCCTAATTATTGTGCTCGCTCATTTTTGCATTTTTGAATCCATGATAAATACATAATAGTTGTACATAATAGTTAATTTGTACAATTAAAAATTTTAGTTTCTTTATAAAAATTATTATAAGATTTACATTCGTACGGTGAAAACGATGTGAACAAAATCGTTATTGTTCACGTTGTCCATGGTCCATTCAGCAATTCTTTGGAGATTATATTCTATAGGAACAACGAAAAGTGTGAGTTACTAAAACTCAATTTTTTTCCTTTGCACGTTTACGCAATTGCTCACAGTAACACAATTAATTCATTTTAGAAGACTAATATGAGATATTAACACACTAATAAAAACGTTTATATTTCAACGGCGAACTGCTTTGTTGAAGAGTGAAAAGAACGATGAATTATTTGTAATTTTTTTTTGTACATTTTTGAGATTCAAGTAAATATTTTTTAACTTGTATTTTAATTTATAAAAGTATTAATTTTATGCAAATAAGTTTCTTTCCTTGAGTATGGAGAATATTTTCAAAAATGTTCTCCACAAAAAAAATGACACTATAGGCTTTTTTCATTTCAAACGAACTAGTGAATCAAAATAATGATTAAAATTAGATATAGTACATCATCAGATTCATACTGAAATAAATAATCATAAAAACAAAAAAATTAGATCAAAACAAAAAAGATTTAAGGAAACATTAATTGAAATGAAGTATAATATAAAAATAATTCCCTTGATTAGATGCAGTATGTTGGATATTATAATTAATAGAGTTGATTTTCTGAACATAAAAAAAAATTTTAATTCACGGACAAAAAACATTATCGAAAAATGGCCGTCTTACGGCTTCATCTTCAAGAAAACAATACATAAATTGCATCACATTAAACTAGAAAATTTTCTCTATAGTGTTTTTATACATGGCGTTGTATTTGGCCGATTCGACGTGTAAAACATCCAGGGTACTAAGTTACACTACAGGTCATTCACAATAACGACGAAATTGAATACGACTGATTCGAATATAGCGCCGAGGAAGGGATCGTACTTGTATAGTAAAAATTGTCAATGATTTCAATAAATACCGATCTACATTCTAGCATCCGTAGAAGGAACCTTACATCTAGTTTTTCAAGAAAGTGCTCTAAGTTTTCCAGATCGATTAGAAGCATTTTGAGCATTAACTTTTTTAATTGTCAGATTGACTTCTACACATATTATGATTCTACAAATTTTGATTCAACGTAAAATTCTTACATATTTTTAATCAACACAATGTTTTTTCAACTGAAAACAAGAAATAAAGTAGTACTTAGAAAAACGTAATTTTCTATTTTGGTATAAATTATTCTAAATGACGTAATTATAGCTAAGAATATAACGCTAATATGTATATCTAAGAATTTATTTTTACATTGAATTGTTAAATATTAAACAGATATGATTCTACATGATCAATTTTTTCTTTCTACATGATTTTTATTTATATATTATTAACAGATATCCATAAATTTAGGCTTAAGGCAGGATGAGCATTAATAATGGTTGGTATCAAAATTTTTTGACTATTATCCTGAAATATGTGAATATGAGACTAGATTGTAAAACGTGAATTGAATCAAGATGAATTTTTCAAGCATTACATTTTGGATTCTTATTTTTTTACAAGTTCGTAATTTATATCATTTTCTAGAAATACAATCAATAAAAAAAATAAAATTAAAATTAAAAAAATAAAAGCTATTAAATTTATTAATTATTTCCTAAAATAAACAATTGTTTTTATTTATCAGAACTGATGTGGGTTACCAATAAAAGAATTTAGAAAATGTAATCAAAGATACCAACCAATCTCCTTGTGTCTTGATAATTACAGCCAATCTAGACTACCATTAGTACATTGAGTTGGAGAGACCCAACCTGATTGGCTTACCTGGAGTGTTTTGATTGGTAGCACCGATCCAACCCTTCCACTATCCCCTCTCCCTGTATCAGGTATGTATAGAAGGCCCTGTTCCGTAGCGAGCCGACACAGTGCTCTGACGATTGCTTCGAGAGCACTACCTAAATCCAAAGATCTTCAGTAATTCTTTCCAATTATCCTCACATTTTCTTTCTTTTATTGTTATTTCGTTCCTTTTATATTTATTTAATTTTTTTTCTACAAGTCAACAACATGGCTGACAATAGACTTAAAAGCGTTGTAGTTGTTCCTCCCCATTCTACTCTTTTAGTAAAGAAACAATCATCACAGACATCATCCAGTCCCCCAAATTCTCCTAAACCCGCATCCGCATCTTACGACACCATTATTGCCTCTCAACAAAATGACCTTGGAATTATATTTCACGTAAGTCCAACTTTGATCAAGGAATTCGACAATATACTCTCATCCACATCCAATCAGTAAAATATGGAAAAAGATACAATGGCTGACCCTCAACATAATTCATTTTTTATTAATTTTTTTACTAGATTTCCCGCTACTTTCAATAATTAACGCTTTCCACACATTATTAATTACGTTATCAGCTTTGAAGAATTATAACATTCTAGAAAAATTCCTACATTCAAGATTAAATAATTCATATTATCGATTTCAACACAATAAACTTTTGACTGATCATCATTCATATGATTTAAAGCTTCTTCTCGAAAAATATATATTAATCACTCATTTTTCTTAATTAAATTTCACTTTTTGCTCATTTCGTTATTTTTATCAGGCCTATATAGTGTCAATATTTATTTTTATTCACTCAAGTATTATTCAATAGTTTCCATTAAATAAAACTTTCACTCCGAATTTCGCGCACCACCGTAATGTGGCAATGCGTCGTTTATTTCTGAATATCGAATATCTTGCACGGGTAATTAATTTCACATAGAACATCCTATTTCTAAATTATGTCGTAATATATTGTAAGTTTTAAATCAATTATTTTGTTTTCAGATTTATTAATTCACCTCCGTGGTCATTCTATTGACGGACAGACTGCGTAGTGCACGGCCGTCCAGTTGCTTTCGTCGAGCTTGCATGGGTCCAGCGGCCCGTTCGAGTACTTCTCCACCGTGAGCTGGTTGTGATTCTTTTAACTCAGGCGGTACTTCACCGTTGTAGTAAAGTAAATATTGTATATAATTTCATGTAATTTGATAAAATAATTGTAATTATTTTTAAGCGAAACATTGAACATTTTTAAAACTCGTACCTCTGCGCACGGGTGACATCTGTTATTCTAGATAATAAATTATAAATGGGTAAAACGCAAGATTTAACTGTCTAAAAGTTGGCAATCCATGATACTGTGGCACACTGCAAGTGTAGCATACTGCGCGCGAAGCGGTACACGTACACGCATACTGGTTATGTTCCACCGATTCGCCATTATTCGCGGTCGTTATAGCGTATCTTCGATTTTCATTGTGTGGTTTCTTTATTTTATTTCAGAGTTCGGTATTATTTATAGTATTTTGAATAACGATACTTTAGCATTCACAAATTATAGTAGCAGTATATTTAATATTAATTAATTGTGCACACTGTTCAAAATCAGTGGAATGCAGCATTATTTTTGTACTTTATAGAGTTAGCAGCGCGATAATAATTTGTTCGATGAAATCTTCGTATAAATTAAAAATTCGAATTTTTTGATTTTTCTATTCACTTATTCAAGATTTTCATTGATGTAGCCACGTTTCAAAATTCACACTGAATTGCGCTTGCATTTATCCGATGTGTCTTTCGTTTTTGAATAATCTCTTAATTGCTTGTGGTTATGAGATGAACTTTCGAATTAATTGTCATCGAATACATTAATTAATCGAAAAGAAAATTGCTGAATAATTATATGCTAACCTGCGTGGCTATTAAATTAAATATATAAAAAGTGGAAAGTTCCTTTAATTTTTGTTTTGTCAACACGCGCAACGATCGATTACGAATTGTAAATCGCCGTTACGTTTGTCAATTCGAAACGACAATATGGTCAAGTTTGTGCCTTAAAATAGCACTGGCGATGAGAGAAAGATTCTGCACATTGCTGAACCGACGGAAGTCTCTTATATCGTTAATTTACTCTAAACCACAATCGTTTGAGTACAGTAAATCAAAACATGCTGGTAATTTGAATACTCCTACCGCGTTCTCGTTCGACGTCGGTATTTCTAGCAACTGATTGATCGCGTACAAATTCTACAGTAATTCTAATGATGAAATAATTGAAAAATCGGGCGAAGTATTGTTTACAGAGAACTCGTGAAACAAATTCAACAAAGTGTGAAGTAAACTAAAATTGATTTTATGTCAATAAAATGAAAACTCAATGGATTTCTAACTGAAATGTAGAAGTAATCATTATATCGCTATTAATGTCAAGTATATACACAAATGCTTATTCTGAATTCAAATTGCCAGCCGTTCTCATTATTGACATGGATTATCTCGTTCATAAACCAATTTAGAAAAGATGCGTCATGTCACTTTCCGATCCGTCAGAATTGCCACCAGATATTGCTTCTTTTCAAACATACGCATCACTAATTTATGTAGCGTCGACAAGTTTCGCTATACTTTCAAAACTCGAATATATTTAACGGATACAAGAATGAAAATATTATGAAATAACACATTTTACGTTAGGTATTTTTCACCTTCCCACGGCGAAAAGTTTTATAGTTATCTGCATGTAGATCGTTCAATGACACCGAAACATGATAATAAGTACGTTAACGTCGACGTCATTTTTACTCTTCGCAATTTATTGCTAACATTAGTTAGCAATAAATTATGAGAACAATAAGCATGCAAAGTACGCTAGTATGCCCTCTATGGTACTAGATCGTAATAGAATGCGTGGTAGGGTGGGAGAAGGTATCGTCGTAGTTACATCGCTGCCACAGTACAGCGAGGAAGACTGGCGAGGTGCGTGGAAAATTGCAAAATAAGCGACTGGAAGATACCGAACAAGAAGTACTGACTCACGTCAAGAATTACATCCACCATGGAGTCAGTGGATAGACTTATCGGACTGACCGAAAATCTGGATATGAACAAGCTGCATAAAGCGGTAAGGGAGAATCGGATAGATGTGGTCAGAAATCTGGTGAAGAACGGCGCCGACGTGTCGGCTGTCGTCGACGGCTACACTCCACTCCACCTCGCCGCGAAGTTCAGCCATTTGCCAATAATGGAGGCGTTAATCACACGATTGACCCGTGACAAAGTGCGCGAACTGATAAATACCCCGACTTACGACACCGGCAACTCGGTTCTACACCTGGCGGCCCAAGCCAACTCGATCGAATGCGTGCTATTTTGCCTGTGTCAAGGGGCGGACTATACGTTGACGAACCATGCGAGGCAGAATCCCTACAATCTAAGCACCCTCGAGACCGTGACGTATATTCTGGGGTTAGTCAGCACGATCTTCCAGAGGTTCAGTGATCCGGAGAATCTCGTCGGCGAGCTGCGAGTGTTCAGACGCAACCTCAACCTGGAACAATTGTCTGCGGTGTTGTACGCGCGCAACCATCGGGGCTACACCACGCTACAGGAGGCGTTGGATCTGCACGCGCACAGCATCATAGCCACGATTATCGACTATAGGATCGAGGTGTTGCAGCATCTGCATTGGCGGGTGGGGGCTACTCTCGACTGCATAGCCAGTCAGTCGTCTTGGGAAGTCGACATCCTGCTCGACAAGCTGCTGGAGCACTCGAGGAAAACGAGCTGGCATCTGAACCGCCTGCAACGATGCTGCCAGCACGACTACAGGCAGCTGGCGATCAAAGCCGAGGGCGACAAAATCTACGCTGAACGCATCGGGGAAATGCTGAAACACGCCCACGACTTTTTGGAGACCTACAGATCGTACGGCAACCGTAATTTCAGAGGGCAGCCGAATCTGGTCATCGTGGAGGAGGTGCTCGAGTATTTCGAGTTCTACCACTCGGAGGCCTTGAACAACTTGAGGTTCGCATCGAGGGGCCGTGTGCCACGATCCGCTACGATCGACTCCTCGCGTGGTTGTTGTTGCAGGATTCTCCAGTTGGTGAAGCACCGCGGACTCAAGTTCGCGGTGAAACTGTTCAACTTTTCCGTGATCGCGCCCATGCTGCTCTTCGCGAAGGAGGTCTGCTCGACGGTAGTGCTGGAGGCGGCCAAGGTGGACGACCTGCCCACGGTGGAGAAGTACTTGAACGGGCCGCTGGACCCGTACAAACTCGACGAAAGCAACTGGACGGCCCTGCACTACGCCATCTACAACGGGAACATTTCGATGACCAAGCTGCTGCTGGGAATAGGCGTCGATCCCACGCTCTGCGGATGCGTGTCGCCGTTGCGCGGGGTGCTGGCTCGCATAACGCCTCGAATGCTGTCGCGCGCGGGCAGCGAGCACCGGCGCAGGGTCCTCACCGCCATAAAGCTACACCTCGAACGAGTCGAGCCGGATTGCCTGGTCTTCTACTTGGACTCGAGATACAACGACGGCTCGACCGCGCTCCACATGGCCGCGAGGATGCGGCAAAAGTGGCTCCTGGAACTGCTCCTCAGCAAAGGCGCCACTTACTGCGTCCGGGACCGGACGAACCGCTTGCCCGAGGAGTGCGATTTCCCTAGCGGCCAGCGTCTCTTCCGGCTGATCAACGATCTGTTCATCCTGGCGCAAGAGGGAAACACCAACGCGGTGCTGGACATGATTCGATCGATTCCGAGCCGCCGCGGCAACACCATTAAGGCCGTCACCGGGGCGCGCAACGACCAAGGATTGACTTTGAATCAGGTCCTTGATAACGGTGGTCACCAGGAAGTGTCAAACGTGATCTCGTGGATAGTGGCCGGTGCACACTGGTCTGACACGATTCGTTAACCAACTGTTACCTTTCAGAATCATTTGTAGAACCGAACCGACGATTTTGGCGTATTAAACTCTCATTTCAATCGGAATGCCCGCATTGTCGTTCTTCCGTCGTGCAAAGTAGCGGAGAAAAAAGAAAAAGTGGTCCCGCGCAAGGACGACGGTGACGGCCTCGGCGGCGCGCGAGTCGCGACGGAGAAATCGGTTGGCCGCTGGCCGCGACGCGCACGCCACGTAGGCACGCGGCCCGGGCCGACAGGCGGGTCGAGCGCCAACGGCGGTAGCGGCGGCGGCGGCGGCGGCGGCGGCGACGACGGCAGCCATTGCGCGGCACGACGTCGAGTCTTTGCCGCGCCGCTCAGTACGCGACATCGCGCCGACCAGGAGTCGTCATGGATCCGGCCGCTGGAGACGAGCAGCGCGAGCCTAGACAGAATCAGCGGTCCGTCGGCACCGCCGCCGCGGACGAGCGGCCCCTGTTCGTAAGGGAGTTGTTCGACAATGTGCCACCCCTGCGACCGCCGGACAGACCCCCGCGACCACCCCCGGGCCGTTCGTCGTCCAGCAGCCGCCAGCCCGAGCAAATCACGAGCGAACCGATCGAGATGCTGAGATTCTACGAGAGACACGGCGCCCACTTTTTCATCAGAGACACGGACGATCTGAGCGGAGCCGAGATCGGGGACCTGCTGGACCTCGTCCACGAGAGCTTCCAGCTGACCGCCGCGGGTAACGCCGACCAGCTGATCACCAAGCTGGGCGACTGCCCCGCCAAGTACCTGGAGGCGGCGATGTACGCGCGCAACGCGGAGAACTGCACGACGCTGCAGTGGGCGATCGAGTACAGCCAGGTGGAGACGATGGGGCGGATCATCGAGCACCGCCTCCAGCACCTGGTCAGCTGCCGGGCCACACCCAACGACTTTGACCAGCTGGTGAAGGTCGTGGATGGCTCGAAGCACCACATGACCAAGCTGGAGGTGCTCCATCTGCAGGGCCAGTGCGCGACGCTCGATTTCAACAAGAGCATGACGGACCTGCTCAACAGCGCCGCCAGTCTGCTGGCGAGCAGCAAGCAGCAGACGACGCCCCCGATGACCGGCCAGCGGCACCTCGCCGTCATGGAGGAGGTGCTCGAGTACCTGGGCTACCGGGTGGGCGGCGGCACGGACAACATCGACAAGTAGGTATCGGCCGCGAGCCCCCGCCGCTCGCCGAGTGACGCCCGGTCTCTCTGCCCGCAGCCTGAGGGAGAAGCTGGCCCACCGGCCGCACGGCTTCACCATGCAACTGCTCAAGATGGGCATCTACGGGCCCCTGCACTTCTATCTGCGCGCGGTCAGCTCCATCAAGCTGGTCGAGGCGGTCAAACGGCGCGACCACGTGCTCATCGGCAAGTGCATGAACCACGAGCCGAACCTCAGCGAGGCGGACCATCGCGGCTGGACGGCCCTGCACCACGCGCTCTACCTCGGCATCCGGTCGATAGTCAAGCTGCTGCAGCTCGGCATGGGCCGCGACATCGTGACGGTGCGCACCCTGCGGCAGCAGACGCCGCTGCACCTCGCCCTGCTCCCGGCGTACCCGTCGGACCCCTCGGACACCATGCAGCGGCCCAACATCGACACCATCAAATTGCACCTGGACCTCGTGCCGGCGGAGAAGCTGCCCGAATACGTCGACGCCCAGGACGTCGACGGCGCGTCAGCGCTGCACATGGCCGCCAAGATGCTGCACAGCTGGCCGGCGAGGCTGCTGATGAGCACAGGCGCGACCTACTGCCTGCGCGACAAGAACGGCAAAGCTCCCGAGGACATGGCCGACCTGAACCTGCGCGTGCTCTTCCGGGTGGCCGACCAGTGCTTCGCCCGGGCGCTCCAGGGCAACGCCGACCGGATAATCCGCGAGCTACAGAGCAGCGACATGCTGCTCGCCGTGACGAGCACGCGCAACGCCGACGGCTTCACCCTGCCGCAGGTGCTCGAGCAGCAGGGCCTCTCCAGCGCGGCCACGACGCTCTACGAAATGGTGGCCGACATTCACGCCTACAACCACCAGATCACCGAAACCCTGGCGGCGAGCGCCCGGCGTATCGTCTGAGCCCGATCCCGGCGGCTCCGACGTCCCTTCGCCCGCGATTTCATTTGTAGCCGCGAAATACAAATGCGAGGCGCACCCCGCCCCTACGGTCCCTTCGGCTGCCGATCGTTAACGCTCGCGCGCTCGGCGTCGCGCGAGGTCAACGCTCGTTGCCGACGCGACAACCGACGGGGAAGGAGGGGCGGCTCCGCGGGGACGCGAACGTTCACATGCGCACCGACTGCGAGTTTGCCGATGGCGTTAGATCTGCAAACTCCTGCGATTAACCTGTGTTTCTTATTTGTATTTACTTCGCCAACGACTGTCCTTTTATTTGCCTTAATTGTGCATTGACGACAAGATGATTTTTAATTTTGAGAGAACGCCTGTTCGCATTCCGTCCGATACAAGTCAGGTTCACGAATTTCTGTATATAGTTAATAAATTGCGATTTTTTACACTGTCCCCGCTGTTTTGCTTTACCACGACTGCGACTGAAGTACAAAGAGAGGAGCTTGCGCCATCTGAACGAAGCCTGAACAGATAAGCGATTATCTGTTGGCGTTCGCCGTAGAGTAACGTTCAGCCCAATAACCGCAGGAAAATATGCGCAGCTCCGCGCGCGCACTCGTGTTTTCGCGCGCGAGTAATCCCCAACGACGGTGCGCAGAGCCGAGCAGAGTTCAAATGGTAAACAGTCGACCCCAGCGTTCCGAAGCAGGCCTTCGACCGCGGCGCGCGCGCGCACCAAAGTGGCACGGCGAGCGCGCGCCTATCTCATCGGCGTTGCATAATAGCGGGGAACGTAATAGCGCGATGCCGTGACACACGCGACGACCGCGACCAGATGGCAAACTAGGCGCAGAGGCGCGCGCGTAACGAGATAAAATTACTGCCTCTCATGATCCCTCCCCCCACCCTTCCCGCGCGCGGCTCGGCATCCAGTCCGTCGGCAGGCCCGCGCGCAGTCGGCCGCTCGAGCCAGAGCCGCGTCGAGGATGGACGGGCCGGTGGACTTGTCGCAGCTGGACGTGGAGGCGCGGGACGAGCGCGGCTGGACCAACGTGCACATAGCCGTGCACAACAACCGGCCAGACGTGCTGGACTTCCTGCTGCGCAGCGGCGCCGAGGTGCGGGTGCGCGGCCACGACGGCGAGACGCCGCTGCACCTGGCCGCGCGCCTCGACTCGCAGCCCAGCGCCTGCGCCCTCCTCAGGCGGCCCGCGCGCCGCCAGCTGCGCGACCTCCTGGAGGCGCGCAGCCGCGCCGAGGGCGCCCGCGCCCTGCACGTGGCCGCGCGCGCCGGCGCCTTCGGCGTCGCCTGGCTGCTCCTCAGCTGCGGCGCCGACTTCGAGGCGCGCGACGCCGCGGGCGCGCGCCCGCTGGACCTCGCCGCCGAGCCCCGCACCGAGCGGCTGCTGCACGCCGTGGAGCTGGACTCGCGGCTCGCCGAGCAGCGCCGCCACGCCGCGCTGCGGGCCAGGCTCCAGGCCCACCCGTTCTTCGAGCTGGACGCCTCGCTGCACGCCAGGAACGCCGCCGGGCTCACCACCCTGCAGCTCGCGCTGCTCAACGCCGACGTGGACCTCGCCGAGGCCGTCGTCGAGCTGCGCACCCGCAAGGAGAAGGACGAGCCGCCGGTCGAGCTGCTCATGTGCCTCGGCCGGCTGGCTCGGCTCTGCGACGACATGAAGGCGCAGCTGAACGCGCTGCTGAGGATGTGCGAGGCGGACGCCGGCCCGCGGCCCGAGCTCGCGCTCGCGACCGGCGTCGGGCTGCTGGGCACCGCCCTCGAGGTCTCCAAGCTCTACGCCCACGAGCAGCAGCATCTCCAGCTGATCGACGAGACGCTCGAAGTGCTGCAGTTCGACGGGCGGCCGCCCGACGAGAATGCGAGGTGAGCGTTCCTCGCGTGCTTTGCCCCCGAGTCGACCTCGCTTCCGCGAGTTCCACGCTCCCAGCCGCCGGACTCCGAGTCCGCTTGCGAACGTCAACGAGCGCTCCCTCGTTTCAGGTATCACCGGAAGCTGTTCACCGACCAGAAAACCGAATTGTACTCGTTCTTGGACATCCTCAAGCTGACGATCGGTGCGCCGATCGCACTGCTGCTCAACAAGATTTGCACGGTGTACCTCGGCCCGACGTCTCGAAAATACGACCTGACCGAGGATGAAAAATCGTCAGCGGTGAATTTGGACTTGAACAAGCAAGACGCAAACGGCTGGACGCCACTGCATTATGCAGTTCACAACGACAAAGAGGATATGGTAAAAGCCCTCTTGGAATTGAAGTGCGACGCGACACTGGTAACCAAGAAGAACAAGAAGACGCCGCTGCACATGGCTGCGAAGAATGGTAATTTGAAAATAGTCGAGTTGCTGCTGGAACACGTGAAAGCCGACGGCTACGTGGACGAGATAAGCGAGCCGAAGGGTTTGACGGCCGTGCACTTCGCCGCCAAAGCCGGACGTCTGGACATCGTCAAGTGCCTGCTGAGAAACGGGGCGAACTATTGCGCGACCGACAAGAAAGGAAGATGCTGCATAGAGTTGACCAAGGATGCCAAAGTTACGGAATTTTTGAAGCTCGTTAAGGAGTCGTTCGAGATCGCCGAAGCCGGCGAAGCGTCGAAGATCGCAAACGAGTTAAAGAGCTTGCAGCGCGACGATTTGACGGCAGTCGCGAATGCACGTAATACCGAGGGATTTAACTTGACGACAATTGTGAAATCCAAGTGCGATAGTGATGTTTACTCCCAGCTATTCGCTGTTCTGAGCGATGATGCCGATAGCGTGAAAGATGCACGATAATTTCTCAGCAACTTTTACTCTTGTTGGATATAGGTTTTTCTTAATTTAGCCCCATGAGTAGGTTAATGTAGAACGATGAGAAAATCCTACCGTGGTATTAGATGAAATCTAGGACTGCGGAAATAATTTCAAGTGAATTTTACGCAATTATTTATAGGAAAGCAAGTAACGAAATGCAATATAGAAGTGTATTTTATCAACAGTACCATAAAAATAATAAGCGATAAGATTTTGCCAACTCCTTTAAATTCAAGGCCAATTGTCCGCGTTACAGTAGATTGCGTTGAAATTATTGTTACGGGTAAATGTTTTTTTTCTGATTTCGGACAAATTGCACGACAACAGTATTTCGAAGGACCAAACGCTTATGCACAACTATCAAACAATTGCGAGAAAATATTGACATCAATGTATGCGTGCGCTTGATATCGTTGTGATTAATCGGAATATGATGTTTGGAGAATTTTTTCAGACATTTTGTTAATTATTAAGTTATTTATACTATCCTTCTTAGAAAGAACATCTTATTATGCTTTGCGTTGATATTTTGTCATTTCAGTGTTCTCGAATCATTTGTTGTCAAAGGCGTGAGAAAACGATTATTGCTGCGGTATTCAAAAATAACATTCACTGTGAAGATTCATACTTTTTTGCCGAAATCAAAATCATATGCAATTAAGTGATATTGCGTTTTGCCGTGGTTATGTCTGAATCGAATATGCAAAATGGTATCCGTTTTATCTCTAAAATTTACTCCACCATTCCATCTTGATGTATATGTATTTGAAAGATATATTTCATGTTGTACATGTCTTCCTAACATCTATTAAATTTATTAATTATTTCCTAAATTAAACAGTTCTGTTTATTTCTCATTTAATTCCAAGGTCATTTTGTTGAAAGCAAATAGTGGTGTCGCTAGGGGCGGATACGGGGTTTGAAGATTTGGGGGACTGGATGATTTCTGTGATGTTTGTTTCTTTAATAAAAGAGTAGGATGTAGAGGAATAACTACAACGCATATATGTCCTCGGCTAGCCATGTTGTTGCCTTGTAAAAAAAAATTACTGAATAAAAACTAAAGGAACAAAATTCGAGTAAACTCTGGATACTTGGAAAGAAATATTGAAAATCCTTTAGATTTAGATATTGATTTTGAAGCAATCTGCAGATATGTTCGTGTATTTTTTCGTCAAAAATGATCAAAAAAACAAAATGAGCAAAAATGAAATTTAATTAAGAAAAATGAGTGATTGATATATATTTTTTGAGAAGAAGCTTTGAATCATATGAATGATGATCAGTCAAAAGTTTATTTTGTTGAAATCGATAATATGATTTATTTAATCTTGAATATAGGAATTTTTCTAGAATGTTATTATTTTCAAAACCTGGTAACGTAATTAATAATGTATGGAAAGTGTTAATTATTGAAAGTAGCAAGAAATCGAGTAAAAAAAATCGAAGATACGCTATAACGACCGCGAATAATGGCGAATCGGTGGAACATAACCAGTATGCGTGTACGTGTACCGCTTCGCGCGCAGTATGCTACACTTGCAATGTGCCACAGTATCATGGATTGCCAACTTTTAGACAGTTAAATCTTGCGTTTTACCCATTTATAATTTATTATCTAGAATAACAGATGTCACCCGTGCGCAGAGGTACGAGTTTTAAAAATGTTCAATGGTTCGCCTAAAAATAACATTTATTTTATCAAATTACATGAAATTATATACAATATTTACTTTACTACAACGGTGAAGTACCGCCTGAGTTAAAAGAATCACAACCAGCTCACGGTGGAAAAGTACTCGAACGGGCCGCTGGACCCATGCAAGCTCGACGAAAGCAACTGGACGGCCGTGCACTACGCAGTCTGTCCGTCAATAGAATGACCACGGAGGTGAATTAATAAATCTGAAAACAAAATAATTGATTTAAAACTTACAATATATTACGACATAATTTAGAAATAGGATGTTCTGTGTGAAATCAATTACCCGTGCAAGATATTCGATATTCAGAAATAAACGACGCATTGCCACATTACGGTGGTGCGCGAAATTCGGAGTGAAAGTTTTATTGAATGGAAACTATTGAATAATACTTGAGTGAATAAAAATAAATATTGACACTATATAGGCCTGATAAAATTAACGAAATGAGCAAAAAGTGAAATTTAATTAAGAAAAATGAGTGATTAATATATATTTTTTGAGAAGAAGCTTTGAATCATATGAATGATGATCAGTCAAAAGTTTATTGTGTTGAAATCGATAATATGAATTATTTAATCTTGAACGTAGGAATTTTTCGAGAATGTTATAATTTTTAAAAGCTGATAACGTAATTAATAATGTATGGAAAGTGTTAATTATTGAAAGTAGCAGGAAATCGAGTAAAAAAATTAATAAAAAATGAATTATGTTGAGGGTCAGCCATTGTATCTTTTTTCATATTTTACTGATTGGATGTGGATGAGAGTATATTGTCGAATTCCGTGATCAAAGTTTGACTTACGTGAAATATAATTCCAAGGTCATTTTGTTGAGAGGCAATAATGGTGTCGTAAGATGCGGATGCGGGTTTAGGAGAATTTGGGGGACTGGATGATGTCTGTGATGATTGTTTCTTTACTAAAAGAGTAGAATGGGGAGGAACAACTACAACGCTTTTAAGTCTATTGTCAGCCATGTTGTTGGCTTGTAGAAAAAAAATTAAATAAATATAAAAGGAACGAAATAATAATAAAAGAAAGAAAATGTGAGGATAATTGGAAAGAATTACTGAAGATCCTTTGGATTTAGGTAGTGCTCTCGAAGCAATCGTCAGAGCACTGTGTCGGCTCGCTACGGAACAGGGCCTTTTATACATACCTGATACAGGGAGAGGGGATAGTGGAAGGGTCGGATCGGCGCTACCAATCAAAACACTCCAGGTAAGCCAATCAGGTTGGGTCTCTCCAACCCAATGTACTAATGGTAGTCTAGATTGGCTGTAATTTTCAAGACACAAGGAGATTGGTTGGTATCTTTGATTACATATTCTAAATTCTTTTATTGGTAATCCCCATCAGTTCTGATAAATAAAAACAATTGTTTATTTGAGGAAATAATTAATAAATTTAATAGCTTTTATTTTTTTAATTTTAATTTTATTTTTTTTTATTTTAGGAAGACGTGTACAAAATGAAATAAACTTTCAAATATAACAACAATTTATACATGTACATAAAGATGGAACGATGGAGTGAATTCGAGAGATGAAACGGATACCATTTAGCAGAGTTGATTGAGAACGTAATCACGGCAGTCTTGCGAGTGTAAGCTTTGGACCCATTTTAAATGGCAGGTAGGTGTAGGGAGATCGTTGAACGATCTTTTCCTTGGCAATTCGAGTTTGATCGAATTTTTCCAATTGTATGTATAATATGTACAAAATATTCCAAGTTGCAAAATGTTGATATTTTATATGTAGATTTTTAAGTAATTTTTAAGTAAAGTTATGAAAAAATAATATACACGTTTAGAATATGAACTGATCATGTAGAATATAAATAGGGTCACGTTCAGAAAAACATGAGATAAATAAAAGAGATCGTCTAGAATGATCATTGTATAGAATGAAAATTAACTCACGTATTATATTATCTAATTTTTTTGTACAAAACAAGGTAAAAAAAAATTGCTCGTGTAAAATGATACCTGTTTAATATTTAACAATTCAATGTAAAAATAAATCCTTAGCGAAATTTTCGACAGACTCGTAGTGTCACTTGTCTTCTCATAATGTCTCTTCAGATGGCTATCTGCAATGTCTAGAATGCATTCGTGTATAACGTTGCTCAATGCACTAACATTTAGCAACGTGGCACTACATTGTAAATGCATAATATAATCTATAGAGCGATGCTTATATGTTTGTTGCCTTGTGTACACAATAGACTTCAAGTTAGTCTCGCTTCGACTGTCAAAGTCGGAGTATATTTCATTGACGCAGCAAAGCGCGTTTGAAATGAAAAAGAGCGCGGACAAATCGCGTTAGACGGATAGTGTGATTGACACTTTGACAATTGAAAATAATACTACGAGAGTTATTCGAGGTTGAACGTCAATGCGAGACTCGCTGAAAAGTCTCTCTGAAAAGCACGAGCTGCCCGATAAACGTCCGATCTTTTACATTGATAATTGCGTTAACATGGTCTAATGCCTCGCGGAGTTCGTCTGCCAGCGAAGCAGTGCGCTGGATAAGTCCGTATTAGGAAATTTCGCTTTCGACACCTATGCCACTCGCTCACTTGCCGATATTTGCCTATAGGGACGACGGGCAAATCGTTGCCGATCGAGACTGCGTGGGACACTCCAAGCTGCTCCCAGCACTAGTCAGTGGCAAACTCGAAATAAACGTACGCTGCTGTTAGAATTGCCGACATCCAAAATCGGGACTCAGTATAGCGACTCCATGCCGATCACCTGTGGCTGTTGGAGAAACGCCGGCTATCAAACGGACGCTTCGACGCAGCAACGCGACGGGCTGAGCTTCGCGCACGACATCGTGTCAGATAGATGTTTTTTTTTTTTTATTTGGCTTAAACATGTTTATGATTACAAATTTCTCCCATCGTTATTATTGCTCACGAAAACACTGCTATGCTCTATGCTAGCTATGTTAAGGCCACCAATGAATTTTTCCAAGATTTCTGAATCGCCAAAAATTGTTCCAGTATATTTACCGTCGTGAATCTTTTTCCATCTTGAAGTAGTCCAAATAAACTATAATTTTTGTTTGTTATAAGTGCAAAAACCTCAACTACAGGCTTCATGAAGTTAACGTTTGCATAACAGCTGAATTTTTCAAAAAGATTTTGTTCGCCACGCTTTTCACGCCGATAGAGCGATCAAATTTGAATTTAAATTAAATAATTTATTATATCAAAATGTAATTTTCGAAGATCTTATTTTTTTAATTATAATTTGTATTCTAAACTGAATATAATCAGAATTGCACGTGATTTTTTTGATTTATTACGTCGATGTAAGATTTTATCAAATTAAACGAATTCGAGTTGCCATTCCATCTAATCATGTTAATTCATAAAGAGCTAGCCTAAAACTGGATAAGATAGAGTCAAAGTAATTATCGTAAACGGGGGTAATATAATAAGAAAAAAATATTCACATTTGTTTTTGTCTTTTGCAATTGTTAATAAAAATTATTCAAGCAAATTACAAAAGAAATTAATTGTTTTTAATGTCAACTTAAATTAATGTAAATGTTAATTTAATTTTTAAACAAAAATATAATTAATTTTTAAATAAAAATTAATTTTTAAATAAATTAAAAAAAATTTTTTTAAAAATTTAATTTTTAAATAAAAATAAATTTAGTTTTAAAGAATTGATTGTGCCAATATAATTAATGCTATGGAAAAAATTATAACGAAAAGCAGTGCATAACATTTATCCATCAGTCCGAAATTTGTTAGTTCAAAACGTCAATAAACAATTGTAGGTGAGTCAAATAGTCTACTTATGTCGCGTTTCCAATAGTTAGACTAACTTTATATTACCTAGTTTTTTAAAAACCATTAAGTAGATTGACGATTTAAAAAATGTTGAAAGGGCTAGAAACGAAGATAAAATGTAATGGATAAATATTTTGGTTTCTAACAAAAGAAACATCATAAATTAATTTTCATTGCAACTGAATTTTATTGCTTATCACAGCACCTACAATTCTTGCCAAAAGATGCACTCATGAGATGTTACATGACACACTATCTCTACGTTCGGTACTACGCGATTCATAATTCCCGCGACAGATGCCACTAGTCACGCGAAGGAAAAAAAGTCAAAGTGGCGAGTCACCGGTGACTGGCGCGGCAACTGCGTTGCAGACGACGCACGCGGCACGCGGCACGCGGCGGTCGCGGAGGTGGTCGCCGCGGAGTCGCCTCAGTCGAGCAGACGATGAGAGCGGACGGGCGCGAGCACATGGACGAGGAGGCGCTGATCGCGGCCAAGACCGGCGACCTGGAGCGGCTGGAGCGGCGGCTCGGGCACCACGGCGTCGACGTCGACGCGCGAGACGACCACGGGCGAACGCTGCTGCACCACGCGGTCAACGCCGGCCGGCGCGAGGCGGTGCGCTGCCTGCTGGCGAGCGGCGCGGACGCGCTGGCCAGCAGCGACAAGGGCAACACGCCGCTGCACATCGCCACGGCGCGGGGCGACGAGGCCACGGCGCGGGCGCTGCTCGAGGGGGTCGCGCGCGCCCAGCTGCGCCGGCTGCTCGACGCGAGGACCACGGCCACGGGCACCGCGGCGCTGCACGTCGCCGCCCGGAGCGGCCGCCGCGCGCACGCGTCGCTGCTGCTGGAGCACGGCGCCAACTACGAACTGGCCAACGACGCGGGCGAGCGGCCGGCCGACGTGGCGCGCGGCGGGCCGCTGCGCGCCCTGCTGCGGCTGGTCGACCGGAGCTTCGCGAAGGCGCGCAGGGGCGACGCCACGCTGGCCGACGACCTCTTCGAGTGCGAGCCGCGCGACCTGAGCGCGGCCACGGGTTGCAGGAGCGCCGAGGGCCAGGCACTCGCGCAGGTGCTGCTGCTCCACGGGTACTACCGGCTGGCCAACAACCTGCTGTGGGCGCGCGTCAGCCGCACGCCCGGCCGCGAGCGCGAGCCCCTCCGCGAGCCGGCGCGCCTCGCCGAGCTGGACGGGCTGGCCGAGGCAGCCCGGCGGTTCCGCGACTCGTGGCCGGCGCAGCGCGAGGCCATGCGCGCGCTCGCCCGCCGGCTGGGCGACGCCGCCAGCTCGAGGGCCGCCTGCGAGCTGGGCTGCCGGGCGCTCGCGGGCGCGCAGGCCGTGCTGCTGGCCTACCGCCGGTTCGAGGGCGGCCGCGGGCCGCTCCCGGCCGACCCGCCGATGAGGACCCTCGAGGAGGCCATCGAGGCCCTGGGCTTCGACCCGGAGCGCCCGCTCGCCGACGACGCCGAGCGGCTGCCCGCCAGGCTGCGCGAGGACCCCGCGTCGCTGGTCACGCTCGTGGAGGGCCTGGTCGACGCGGCCGTCGACTTGTTTCTGGGCTGCATCTACGGCATACAGAGCATGGACGCGGCGCGCCGCGGGGACGCCGAGAAGGTCGAGCAGCTGATCGGGCTGGCGGTGTTCAACAACGGCGTGGACGCCGAGCGCATGACGCCCCTGTGCTACGCGGCGCGCAGCGGCAACGAGCGGATCGTGCGCATGCTGCTCGAGTCGACCGGCCGGGCGGCGCGCGGCGGCGCGCTCTCGCCGGTCTACCTGGCCGCGGCCGGGGGTCACGCGGCCATCGTCGAGCTGCTGCTGGACGACGTGGTGCCGTTCGAGCTGCCCGACTTCGTCGACTGGCGCGCGGACGAGCACGGCTGGACGGCGCTGCACGTGGCCGCGAAGGAGGGCCACCTGGACATCGTCAAGACCTTGCTGGCCTACGGCGCCACCTACGCGCTGGTCGACGCCCGGGGCCGCGCGCCGCTGGACCTGGCGACCGAGCCCCGAGTCGGCGACTTTTTGCGCCTCGTCGACGAGTGCTTCCGCGTCGCGCGGGCGGCCGACGGCGACGAGCTCGCCCCCAAGCTCGAGGCCATGGAGGAGCGGGACTTCAAGGCCGTCACGAATGCGAGGGGCGAGAAGGCCGAGACGCTGGCCGAGGTGGCCGCCAAGGCCCAGGCCGCCAAACTCGTCCACGTTGTCACCAAGAGGATGGAGGAGATAATGGGACGAAAGCAAGTAAACGTGTACCACAAACTCGATTGACGGCCATTCCACCGTTCGTGTGTGACTACACGCCGCAGTTTGCGGTTACCGATCGGCCACTTATTTCTACGATTACTTGTTTAACTTTGCGGTTGACTTTGTAATAAATAAAACAATTTTTATCTAATGAATATTATCAGACGACGGTTGTACTGTACTTGAAAGTATTGAAATGAATATTTTTCATTATGACGTCGTATGATTTTTATTGAATCTTACAAAAAATCGTTATTCGAGGATACGCGTGCATCGATGAAATAAAAAGACAACAAAATCTCGGCGAAAGTTAAAAAATTAAGCTTTGTAATCAGGGCCAACGTTTCGTTAACCAACAACAATAAAAAAAACCGCGCTGTTCGGCAAAACAACGACAAGTTACTCGACGCGAGGATTAAGACGATACCAAAACCGCTGCTCTTCATCTTAACGATCAACTTCACTCAACTTTGCGCTGTAGTCCCCCAATTTTCGAGATCGCAAATAACAACGGCGAGCAGCCAGTGGACTTTACGAGCCGGAAAAAGCTCCGAGAATTACTGCACCTGATACATTCGATGTATTGACCGACCAATGGGTCAGTGCCTTTTTGAAAATAATGTACGAGTGTTTCCATGACGCCAAGGTGGCTGCCCGTCGAATTGATTTATAAACTCAAAGCTATGGCATCGATGAATTTATGGCGATAGCCGCTATACGAGCAATCGCTTTCAGATATTAGAATTTGGACTTGCGGTGTATTTTCTGAATTAGGTCCACTTTATGTTTATCGTTTGAAATTATAATATTTTATAATTTTTGAATTAAATATTTTTCAGTTATTGATGCCTATATACGTAAATATAGATTTTCCAAACACTATGAAGACATTATATTATTATTTGAAAAATTTGAAATACTTTCTTTTCAAAAATTACGTGAAGATAATTTTGAAGAATTATTTTCATAATTTTGAGTAGTGCAATAAAGTTACTAATTGTTCACGACGTAAACTAATTAAGCGACTGGTTAAGTAGTTGACAAATGTCTGTTAACGAGTAACCAACGAGAAATCGAAAAACATTTGCGATCAGTACTTTTACAAATAAACAGATATGTTACTACTTGGGAAAACCAGTTGAAATCAGACATTATTAATGTTTGCAACTGGCCACACACATCCTGCTGTGCAATTTGCTGCCGAGGCCAACAGTCTGGCGAGAGTGAAAAGCCTCTTGGATTACGCCGCAAATTTGAATATCGAGAGATGCCTAAAAGTTTGATCACGAATTAAACATGTTACGTGTCCGATATCAACGATTTCACTTCACCAGTGAGCTGCGCTGGAAGTTTTGGACTTTGATTCGGTGCACATTTATCCCTCAAATTTAAGGAATATGTTGGTTGGTTATTAAGCTTCATGGGATGTTTTGTAGAACTTTCTTTTATCTTCTTCCAACGAGGCCTCTACAGTGAAAATCTTCGATGCCGAGAAAATTAGCGACGTGTACAAAGTTAGGTATTTGTTGAAGAACGGTGACTTCCTGACTGGGAGTAACCGTAAGTGAACGGCGCTCTGATCTATGCCGCTGAAAACGGAAACGTGATCTCCGAAAGTAACGCGAATCCTTCAATATTAATTTTTGTACACGTCAAGTTCGCAAATTATATATATATACTAGTGTCGTCAAGCGCGCTTCGTGCGCTCATTTCCGGTTTGTATTCAATAGTATTCAGTTCCATGCTTGAATCAAATCAAAATTATTATTGGCGAAATAAAAGAAAATTCTAAAATACACTACAAACATAAAACAATTGTGTGCTTTGAAATACTCATTATATGTTAATATTAATTGATAAATAAAAATACAATGACAGTGGTATTCGCCAATTTAGCAATCATTTAAAATCTAATAACAGGTCTTAGAAGTTTAACTATATATATAGAACCATAGGCTGCTTCTCTAACAATTAAATTTTTTAACATTTTGATCTATGATTTCAAGATTTTTGTAGGATATCTTCATATCAACAGATATGTCATTTCAACTATTTTTCAACTATTTTTTCAATCCATCTGTGACCATTTAAAGAGTTTGTTCACATTTATAAATCAAATTTTAAAAAGTTTCTTAACTAAATTAACAGTACCAAATACGCTAAAATCAATTCGCGGTATTTCATATGAAATATCGATTTGCAATTCTCTTCATTGTTGATGATGTTTATCCAAAATGAAACTTTATAATAATGATATTCAATATATGTATCGTTGCTGAGTAAGTCGTTAAGAAAATGTTAGTTATGGTCTTCGATGCCTACAAATTGTCTTACTTATTTTAATTCATTTAATTGATTGAGTATAAATCATCGTAATACGTGTCGATGTATTATTTAGTACCGATTTTCTCATAACAGTAACCCACTGAATACATTCAGTCGATCAGATACGTATAAATGCGCAGTGTTAGACAAAGCGACGATAAAAGGTCGATTGGATTTCGTCGAGATACAGATCAATTGACTGCGGGTTTTTGATGCCACTAGACATGTCGACCAACGAAGAAGTTATTTTTGAAAATGGTCGATCATGAATATTTTCATGACGTCAACGGAACTGTAATTGAACTAATTTATATACTCAGAGGTATGAAAAATGACAATTTTATAGTAATATTATAGTTGATTATAAAAGTGTTGAAGATAATACGCTTGCTATTGTTGCCGTTGAGGTGATTGGTCTATGTAAACAGGGTGATTGACGCTTACCGACATGTCCTGAATTACATTACTCTGATTCAGGTTTGAATTACTTGTAAATAGCTCAGCTATTTATTAATTCGCTATTCCTTAAAAAAATTCAAAACTGAAAGATAATAACGTAATATTCAGAGATAAGTTAGGTTATGTTCCTGTAATTTGGCTACTAAAAAACATTGCTACCATTATGTTAAGGATAATTAAAGATGCAAAATAAGAGAAAAAATGAATGTGTCAAGAAAATAACCGTGATAAAAGCAAAGAAAGTGAACGGATTTATGTTTTTACCTATTTTAATAGTTGTATACTTTATTGTTTGACAATTGTTTTACTTGGTCTCGCCCGAAATTATTAATAGAAATATTATTATTTGTAAGATAAAATATTTTTTGTTGAAACCAAAACACAAAATGTCAAATATATATGTGTTTTATAATGTTTTTTGTAAATTCACGATAAATGTATCAATACATTATACATGGTAGTAAGTACAATAGGTGGCGATAGCAGCGCAATCAGCTGTTGAGCCAACGACAAGTAGCTATTCAAAAGTCAAAACGATCGCGTTGAGGGTGCTACTAGGTGCTCACTGAAAGCGATCGTTCCAAAGTGAAGAAAGAGATCGAGTTGCTAGCTTTATTATTCATCAGTACCATGAACAACGAGGCTTTAATTGCAATATTAGAAGGTAATTTAAAAAACCTAAGTCAGTTAATCAATCAAGGAATCGACATTGATGCACAAGATGAGAATGGAGACACTCTCCTTCATCATGCAGCGAACAATAGAGAGCACGATATCGCAGCATATCTGACACGAATCGGTGCCGATGTCCTTATAATGAATAAAGACGGCAAAACTGCTCTACATATCGCGGTCGCGAGAAAATTGAACTTAGTGACAGATGGCATTGTTATGAATGTTGCACGTAACAAACTGAGACAGTTGCTTGACAAGAAGATTAAAGGTAGAGGCAATACAGCGCTACACCTGGCCGCTCAGATCGGCAATTTCAATGTGGTATTATATTTATTACACTGCGGTGCCAATTTCGAAATTAAAAATAATGACAATAAAAAAGCAGCCGATGTCACGAGCCAAGAGGATATTCGAGATTATTTGGAACGTGTTGGCGTGAGTTTCTCAAAGGCAAAAAGTGGCGACAAACAGCTGATCTACTATCTTATGGGTGATACCGCTTATTTCCATTTGGTGACGAATTGTCGAAATAATAAAGGACGAACGATGTTGCAAGAAATTCTCATAAAAAATTATGGGAAGTTAGCAGGCAATATGTTGCGGTTGCGATCGTTCTTGAATATACCAGAATATGATTTCAACGTCAGTTATAGTCACGATAACGCCAGAAATATTGAGAAATTAGCCGAATTAATTCACAAGTACCAAGAAATTTGGCAAAATTATGTTGATGCTCTGATAATATTTAAAACGTACCGTCGGCGTAACACACCATTACCAATTGACGTCAATATTTACTCTACAAATCTCATGACCACGAGTTGTCACACTCTGGAAATAGCACAACAGGTGTTTTTAGCGTATCGTAGCCTTTCAGGAAGAAAATCGGTTACTATTAATCCAGCGATGAAAGTTCTCGAGGACGTGTTTGAAGTTTTGGGCCTAAATCCCGACCAGCCTTTTATTGCTACAGAAGCAGAGTAATGATGAAATATTTTTTAAATCACTTTTTCTTTTCAACCTCAATTTATTAAAAATTTTATTTTATTTTTTAGTTGCTACAAGAAAACACCATTAGAATGGGCAGAATGCTACAGTAAATTTCTGCACCTTATAGAAGCTGTAGTTAATGTATCGATCGATGCTTTTTTGAGATTACTTGACAGTATACGACTAAGTCATGCGATAAGTGGGGAAAATATTGAAAAAGTGCAAAGCCTGCTGAGGGTCGTAAATCTTAATAATGATTGCTATGAGTACCAACATAATCGTTCATTTTTGTGCCATGCTGTTGAAAAAGGCAATCTAACGATCGTCAGTTTACTTTTGAAAAATAATGCACAAGTGGTTCGAAACAAAGTTATATCACCAGTTTATTTGGCTGCTAAAGAAAACCAGATCGAAATTATTAAACTGCTGCTAGAGAATGTCAGCCTTGCAGATATAGCTGATTTCATTGATTGCCAACAGGAAGTCAACACCACTGCCTTACATGCTGCAGCGATGTCAGGCAACTTAAATATTATAAAAGTTTTGCTTCGTTATGGAGCAACTTATTGTAGTTGTGATAGTGAAGGTCGCATACCATTGGATGTGTCAGCGAATGAAGAAATCAGTGATTTTTTTAAATTTGTTGATAAGTGTTTTGATGATGCTAAGAAAGCTGATGTTAAACTTATTAACAAGCTGAATGACATGCAGACTGATGATTTTAAAGCTGTTGTTAATACAAAAAATCAAGAAGGACAAACACTTGCTATTGTGGCAGCTAAAGCTGGTGCTAAAAATATAGCTGTATTCATATTAACATCAATCAAACTTATACAAAAGACTAAAGAGTAATTATAGTATTCAAAAATTCCGGTTTCAATGACTATTCAAATATATTCTAAGATTTTCATTTGAACAAAGACAATGACTTAACGACTGATAATTCTTTTAGTTAATGTATTTCGATAATTTATGACATTGTATGTAATTTCATGTTTTAAAAACTGAGTTATGTAGTTTTTGATGAGTATTTATATTATATTTATAGGAATTTCTTAAATCGATGATTGCTATATATGGTAGGTACGAATAGTAAATAGTATATTTTATAATTTTTAACTATGTCAGTAGTAAAAAAGTACTATAGATAACATTAAATAAAAAAGTAATCTTTATGGGGATTGCTGTTACCAGAAGACTGAAATAAAAATCATGAAAGTTATAAAAATATTTATTTTTGCTTTCTGAAAAATGTTTGACAGTTTATACACTTTGTAATAGATGGCGATGGAAGCACAACCTAGGAGATAACAGCATTTCGATCAGCCGTTCATTGTTCAGTCTCAACTGTACGTAGATACGAAAGCACTTGTCAGTGATGATTTCTTAGTCTCGTTCAAAATTAAAATTTTACTGAGAGTATATAATTCATAGAAAACATGATCGATGAGGTCTCGTACACCATGGAGTGTGGTACTTCATCGGAGCTAAAAGAGTTACTGAACAAAAATATTGACGTGAACGTACAGGATGAATATGGGCAAACTATTCTTCACAAAACGGCAAATCAATATCAACCTCAGTCCGAGGCGGTAAAACATCTCTTAATAACCGGTGCCGATATTCTGAAAATCGACAAATACGGTTACACTGCTCTGCATCTCGCATTGAAAAACAGATCCAAAGACCACGCTTTCGTGCGCGTAATACTGGAGAACATCAAGCGAGACGAAATCAAAAAGTTACTTAATATGAAGACTGAATTTCTGACGGTTAGTGGCAATACTGGCAATACTGCTCTGCACATTGCCACTGTGTACAACTTTTATGTAGACATCACCACTCTATTGGAGTACGGCGCCGATTACGAGATTCAAAACTATGCTGGTGAGAAACCCATCCACGTTGCGAACAGCGAAGGTATTCGACAATTATTCCAGATGATCGACAATATTTTTATAAAGGCGAAAAATGGCGATGAGCAACTTACCCAAGATCTCGCAAAATTGAATACCGTCGAATTCTTATCGGTAATGAACTGTAGGAATAACGACGGACATACGCTCACACAAGTGCTCGTGTTTAACAGTCATCACGCAATGATGCCTGATTTGCTGGAACATCGATTTTCTCACCCGACGAATACTTTACGTGTATTGGATGATCAGGCTCTCATGAAGAAATTTCACACACTAGTCGAGATGGTTCGGAATGCTCGGAATTTTTGGCATTCAAATCAGTCCATAGTAGCTTCCTCGTTTCATAGAGTAATAGATAAAAGTATGGAAGCAAAGAGGAGACTTATACATTACGAAAGCTTTCAAATTGGTCTTCCGGAACAATTGTGGAACAGCGCCAAAATATCCTGTAAAATGCTGCAGGTATCCCACGAAGCGCTGTTGTCGTATCGGTATTTGAATGGCAAAGACAAACCGTTAACCGACTCGGCAATGAGAAATGTGGAGGAGGTGTTTGAACTTTTGGGTTACAATAGAGATCAGCTTATCAATAAAGCTGAAATAAACGATTGGTACGTTTATTTACCTTCGATTTTACTACAATCTGCATTTTCTTCGTTCGAGCAGTAATTTCTGAAGCTTGTAAAACAGTGATCGAATTGATAATACGACGTTCGAGTACTTACGATTACTTATGAACTTTTGCCTCGAGAAAAAAAACTTCGATCGAAAAATACTCATGATAATTTTATAACTAAATTGTTTTTCTCGTCCTGCCTAAAACTTTGATTTCATTCAACAGGTACTACCACAACCTGCCGGAAAAATATAAAACTTGTATCGAGTGTTTATACAGTCTTATTTTCCACTGTTTAGATGCAGCATTCTACTATTTTTTACGAACCATCGAATCCATGTTTCTTTGCGATGCTGTAAGGAACAACAACATAGAAACAGTTATGTCGCAGCTGGATTTCGGCGCCTCCGTTGAATGTTATGACACGGATTATCGATCGGCTTTGTACTATGCCGTTGCAAATGGCAACAAGAATATGATCCGTTTGATCATGGACTCAGGTAAAACGCGGGATTACAACGGTGAAACCACCGCTCTTTTTTTGGCAATCAACATCGGCGATCCGGAAATCGTTCATGAGGTACTCATGAAGATCGACTCGAAGAGTATTGTTCGCTTCATCGATCGTCGTGGAGAACACGGAAGAACGTTCTTGCACACAGCAGCTAAGAACGGCAATTTAGAGATTGTGAAAATTTTACTAACTTACGGAGCAACTTACATGATTTTCGATGACAACTGTCAAATACCACTGGAAGTGTCGACAAATAATGATGTTTGTATGTTTTTAAGACTCGTTGACCAGTATTTTCAAGAGGCTAAACAGCTTAACAATGAATTTATTTACGGTCTCGCATCGAGAACAAATGACGAGGTTATGGCTATTATTTGTGCTAAGAATCAGGAAGGCGATAACCTTGCTGCTGAAGTTGCTAAAATTGGTGATATGAACTTAGCTAACTTTATAGCAAAAATGTGGAGGGACGTAACAAAACGTAGTTGGGTATAGCGAAAATGTATCTTTTCTGCCTTTCGTAATTGACATATGTATGGCATTGCATAAAATTATAAATCTTTGTGTAAAAAAGATATTTGAAAAATTATTGAAGTATCAACAATCGATTGTATTTAGTTAATTGTTAATCGCAATTTATTTAAACATGAAATTAGACAACAAGCGAAACCTACATTCAGATTTTATATTAATAAATAAGTTTGTTTTTGAAACAAATTTGGCCGTACAAAATATTTTTCTTTTAGCTCAGATGCTCAGCTGTGGATTTGAAATAAAAATGTTTTAGTAAACATTGAGATTAGAGAAGATACAGACGCCACCGCACGCAAAAGCTCAATGTGAACAACGGTACTTTTGTTCGGAATACCGAGAGATCGAAAGCCCGAGATAACCCAATGTGTGTTATACGATTCAATCGAACGATGTTTGTCGCAATCGCATTAGTACATTTCATTAAATTGTCTACTATTCCAATCGCGGGTCGGACTTCCCATTAATCAAAAGCACCAAAGCATTAGATTGCAATCGGTAAAGCAGCCATGCATCAATTTGGAACCCGGGCCATAAAAAATTTACGACGACGCATACGAATGCAAGCAGCATCTGACCAACCATCTCCTTTACGATCGCTATTTAATTGTCACAAAAAATTCGCACAAAAGTTTGCGCTTATCTTTATTGATGTTTCTGCTTATTACGTGATGCAAATGAGAATGAGATACAAATTTATAAGAATAAATCTAGAAATATTCTGACATTTATAAAGATCAGTGACATAAATACAAACGAATTGATTGATGTGATCACTGAACCGTAGCTAAATCTTTGAATATCATTTCATGGTATTGTAGATGCATTCCTTGATTAAAACAAAACGTAAGAAAATAGCAATCATGAGACAGATCTTTTTCTCCGAAACCATTCAAACTCTCAAAAGATTTCAATTGACACATTCACACGTCATTTTCCATTCTTTGTACTCAACGTTATTCATATCAAATTTAGTGCGAAATGTCAAGGTCATTCGAACAGTTGACTAAAGAAAAATTATAATCAAATGACATGCGAGTTTGTTGGACGAGCGCGCTGGCGCTTCAACGTGTCATTGTAGCAGGAAATTATATAATTATAGTTTTCAATCTGACAGTCTGAGGATTATACATACTTTATTTGCTTAGTTGAGTTGTCGACGTGCGAACCAACGAGGAAATTTTATTACGCGAGTATAACTTATATCGTAATTATCGAATTAAGGTATTTTCACCGTAAATATACTTATGTTGACAAGATAATTTTTAACATTACTATACTTGACAATTACATGCATAGATAATTGTATTTGCAAATAACATAAATAACGTGTGCATGACAATGTTAAATTACTGAACTGTAAAGTTATATACTTGCGATGTTACATACTGATTAGTCTGTTTGAAAATTTTCATTGATTATATTTTTCATTCAGGAGAGAAAAATTAAATTCTCATACAACCAAAATTCAATGATGCCGACAATAATGCGTTTGAGTTTTTTTTTATTTGATTAATTAACGCTCTATTTTAAAAATACGCTTTTGTAGAAAATGTTGGATTGTTCACAATTGTTCATAGTGGCGGCCTATGTTAATTGATCGAAGGCGTTGTCCAAGCGGAACTATACTATACGCGATAGGCTACGAGTTGAGCCCACGACCACTTGTCTAACTTTCCCACCATGCTCGCAATCCCGACAGTCGAAGCGCGCAATGGCGGCTAGTATAAATTGGAATGACTGCGAAAAACAAGTGGTCTTATTCATCCCTTAAATCGAGCGGAAAAGTACTCGGAAAAAGTGAAGGGTAAAACCAGAAATCGCAAAAATCGCTGATTAATGAAAAAAGTCTTTAACGAAAGCATTTAAATTCTGATGTCTGGCGTTCAAATGTTATTCAAAACATCTGAAAAGTCATCGTTGACCTCGAAATCAATTTTAGCCGAGCGAGGCATGACGTTGAAGATGTGAAGTCTGATCGACAAGTAACCCTGTGTGCCCTCGACCTCTCTGACGTAGAGGCTTGCACCGGATAGCAGCGTCAGTGGGGTCGGGAAAATTTCGCTGAGATCGAAGGCCGGGTGCATTTGTAATTTGCCACCCATCTCGAACTTCAGGAAATAACTCTCGTTCATCAGCTGCAGTCCGATGTCGTTTTTGATGATCGGATCATTTCGATGGTCGTGTGACCTCACTTTGAACTGAGTCCTGCAAAAAGTACGTCCAAGGTGAGCCAGTAAAATGGCAACTTCAAAGCGTACAACTTACAATCCCTTCTGATGAGGTTCAGTTCTCGTGGAGCTTGCGATGAGAGCATCCTCATCCAAGTCGAACCAGGTAGACTGAACCGCAAGATAAAGTCGCATGTCGTCCGTTCGCTCAAATTTCAGTCCAGTGATAATGCGATCGTTGGGTGTTATTGTCTCCGTTATGTCGAAAATCGTGTCGCGGTAATCCAGTTTGACTACTTGCTCCCCAATTTCAGCTGTGACGTTATAAACGATCAATCGCGTGACAAAGCTAATTCCATTTCGTTAGATGCAGCTTGAAGAAATAAATAAATTGTAGAAGCAATGTTACTTACGTTCGCCGCCTTCGTTGTAAACGATCGACGTTGGATCTATAATCCCATCCGCCAGTAATCTGCCTTCGATGACCTTGAGGTAAAGTATATTGGCGTTGCGTTCAATTTTAGCTCCGAGCACGACACTGAAAATAAGTATGTTAATGAATCTATAGTTGGAGCAGAAAGTAGACCAAATTTAGCGATAAGGATCAGTTTTGATCAATTTTAAAGCGTAAAGTTTTATCAATTACTATCCATATCTGGCAGTAGCGGGTCGCAAGCTCAGATAATCCCAACAGCGTCTGCGAGAGGTAGTGTGGGATATGATCTTATAGAAATTATCGGACATCTCCTCAGTCTGGTAACAGTTGCGCGTTCGATCTGCCAAGCTGTGTATGAAGTATTCCGACGAAGCTGCAACGAAACCACGCATAATTGCCTTCCGAGGCTGTCGTGAAGTCGCGGCCAAGCCGTCGGGTACTCACGTTTGCCGCACAACTGAAACTCGCCGGACGACGTGTTCATGAGATGCCGAAATCGCCTGGTGTACTTGATGAGATCGTTGCGCACGTTGTAGTTCAGCTCTCTCTTCTTGTCGTAGTGTCTCATTCTGTCTGCGGAACGGGGTGGAGCTGTGAGAAACGCGGCTGTCGGACGCGTGTCGTTCGACTGAAGCAAAATACCTGCAGACTCCCAGAGCGAAATGACGATGTGCTTCCCTATCAGATATCGGCTCACGGTGTCGACGTACAGCGCTTGAAAGCCCGCGAGCAGCTGTATTTGCGTCATTTTGTCGGCGCACACGTTGGCCTTGCTCTGTGCAAACGTGAAAGCTTGCGGTTTAGTCGGGCGAAACTCGAGAAAATTAGTAAAGCTTTTTACCTTCAATTTCTCGAGAAAGTCGAGTGATATCTCCTTGTCCTGTAAGATCACTTCGAGCTTGGTCTTGTAGGTGTCTAGCTGGTTTTTGTAATAGTCGATGTCGCTCTTGAAATGATTGTCCAAGTTGAGCTCGTACCGGTTGACCTTCTTCTTCTTGGACACCAGGTCTTCAAAGGTTTTGTTGATCGCCTGCATGTAACTTTCGAATTTGCTCGCCGTGTTCTGCGTCGACGTTTCGTCCGCCACTTTGTCTATGTCAATTAGCAGTCGTTCAAAGTTGGACATCATTTCCTTCTCCAGCGACTCGATCCTCCTCAAGATACCGTCTAGCTTTTTGTTCTGGACGGCGTGTTCGTCGGAAATCTGCTGGCGCAGAAACGGTTTCATCTGAGAGCGCGCCTTCATCGACAAGTCGATGACCGTGCCGATGTTCTTCAAAATCGTGATGTACTGAGCCTCGCAAGTCGGCAGCTCGTACAGACTCAGCCAGACGAATAGAGTCGCAAACAGGGCTTCCAAAGCCTTCATCCTGCTGCCGTTCAAAGTGCTCCACTGTAACAATAACTTTCCTGTGATAATTAAGCAATACAAACAAATGCTTGGAACAATAGTTTTATTCGGATATCAATTGGCAGCGTAACGTCTCCTGGGATTCCACTAAAGTAATTCCACGTACCACTGGAAACTGATGATATCGATCGAACCAACTTATATCGACTTATTATCTGTGTCATTTGTGTAATTCTAAGAAATCGCTTAATTTTAATGTTTGAATTAAATCATTCAAATGTTAAAAATTTGCATTCTTTAATTTTCAGTAGCAGTTTGTAAAAGAATAATACAAAACGCACTTGGATGTCATTCGCGCGTAAAAAAATTGTCACGCCTGATTGAATCATCTCTTCGTTAAAACTTCCTTAAACTACACTTTCATCGTCACTGTTTGAAGTTTAAAAATAATAGGCATTGCCTTACATATTTAATATACATATGGCAAAAATTGATTAATGTTCTACTTACATTGAATGCGTTGCTTTATTGTTTCAGTGGTTATCTCATAAAATTACTACCAAAAGATTTCTCATGTTTTATTAATCGAATCGAAAAAACATCATAGAACTTAAATATCTGCGTATGCTATTTTTACATCTCGTAGTTTGACCATCGACATATCCATTCCTTTTTAAAATTTTATTGGTACTCCTGCTGCCGCTTGATCGCGCAAAAATAAGTGAGATTAAATCAATTATCTTGGTCATTTTAAGCTTGAAAATTTAGCTATCACTCGCGATATGAAAATAAATAAATAAACCACCCTCGTCAGCGTGTAAAGCATGTTGTGATGTTTCAAAAGCTTGTTGTTTTTCATTAGAATATCACGAACTTTCTTATCTGTGTCAATCTTTCGAGGGGCGTACTCGACTGATAATAAATTCATCATTGATAAGACATAATGACTTCGTTTAGCACTGATTTTAATGTATCTTCGATTTGAAGTGATCGAAAAAGTACAGTAGAATTTTTCAATGCTCATCGTTTACTTATACGTTTTATTTTACTGTGACACGTTGTAAATCCAACTTATAAAGATACCCAATCAAGCGATTAAGCGTTGTTGTAAAGTCCGCGATGAATACAACCAAACGCCATTCTCAAGGTTTAACGGTCAGGCAAGTGCGGCGCGATGTTGAAGGACTACAGTCGAACTAAGAGATAACCTTGAGTTGATTGGCGCAAAGGCCCGGTCCGCGCCAGATAGGGAAATCAACAAGTTAGGGAAAATTCGGTAGCGTCAAAAAGCGGTAATACCTAAAACTAGTTGAGCGTAAGAACAGTTTTAACTTTTCGTTGAACGGAGTTCGGTCAAAGTTGTGCCATGAGACGATGCCAGACTTGTTTAGTCCATTGGTTTCTTTGGATAAAGTTGTCGAGTACTTATTCCAAGATTTCGACGATGACAATTTTAAAACTTAGTTCCTTACTCGTTCTTCAGAAAATCAATGGATTTGCGACTACGTAAATGAATGCTAACTAATTCAAGATGTACAGCAATGATGGAATCCATCGTTGGCGCCGATCCATTCTTGCTTCAAAAAGTGATGGCCGGCTCTGAAGTTCGTCCTCATAGAAGATCGGCCTCACGTACCAATCTGTACGGCGCCTATCTTCTGGATAGATTTCCGTTGAATTATCCGTGAGATGGTACCAATTAGCATATGGCACGGCTTACTTAAACATCGCGGACGTCGGCACGGGAGGAACATCGTTAACTGTATTTGGCTTACTAAAACAAACATGCAAGAAGCCGCAGTCACTCGTCTAATACTCTAGTTTTCCATAGTTACAATTTACTTTCATCGTAAAACACACACATTGCAAGACTTTCTGTAATGTAAGTAACTTATGTAATCTAAGCAATGTAGAGCTTTCATAATATGATCAAATAAAAGCTGGAACCCAATCCGTTTAACAGGAAAATAATTGTTTCGTGTAGAAGTTGAACCGTTCAAAAGTTATACTATTTTAAAATTTTTTTTCTGTTTCCTAAGAAATTGAAAGTGATCATTGTGAAGCTAGTAAAGTATTATTCTGAGTTACTTTGAATTACATGCACATATACAAAGCTTATTATTATGTTGCTTCGTACAGTTTTTAGATTGTAGAATATTTATTTGTTATTATTTTTGTTCTACTTTTGTATAGGAAATACAAGCGATAAAAATTTACTATTTTTTTGACAAAAATCACTGTAATTCGATCAGATTTTAGGTTGGAATAAGAATAAAAAAGGATCTTGAAGATCTTGTAAAGAGCTTGAAAACTCCTGGTACAGAATTTTCGTAGATGGATTATTTATTGAATTGTGCGGGTTTTAACAGAACTTGAAATATTTTATTTTCTCAACGTCAATTGCAACGTAATAAAAAGTTTAATATCAGCTTAACACTAAATTATCAAAAAGTACTTACAAACACTATATTAAAATGAGCACTCGCCGATATCTGTGCGATCATTTTTAGCCGAGATACAAAACTGAATCTTAGCTGACTTTAGTCACTGAAGGCCCTATTTTATTGACCACCACTGTATGAATAATCATTTAAATTAATTACTCGTACTATGTCATATTAAGAATTCAAGCAACATAGATACCAAAAATAGAAAATAATAATTATATAAATGATAATTCTATAATATTTAAATTTAAATCAAATGATAAAGCAAAATATTTCTTCTTATTTACCATATTACATTTTACTAGGGCTTATAGTAAAATTTATTACTTTTATTTTTCTTTAATCTAAATTAAACTTTAAATTATTAAAACACTGATAAGGATAGACTGATTCAAATCATGAATAATTATTTTAATCCTTTGTAATACCAGATTTAGAAGTGCAAATACTAATAAAACTGTAGAAAGTTGGTAATTTCTGGCAGATGTGTGTAATTTAATACTTGCAATAATTAAAATAATTTTTTATTGAAAAAAATTTGCAGATTAATTGGTTAATTATAAGTAGGTAAACATGATTTGATGTTCAAACAGCCAAATAAATCATTTGATTTTAAATTAGAGTAAAATTGTTGTTAAAATACTTCAACATTAGGTAACCTGTTCAATATTTGAAAGAAACTTTTTTATCTTAAAATGTATCACATAATGTGCAATAACGTAATCATATCAAATATCAGTTTAGATTCTTAATACAAATCATATCAAATATGTAGTATGAAATAAAATTTGAAGACTCAGGGAACCGTTAAATCCTCGACTACGACACCCAAGAAAACTCGTTCGTAGCAAAAAATAAGTCTACAATTGTGTTTACATAATCTGCTAATCTTGCGAGAGCTAAATAACAAACTGCACAGAAAAAGAAACTCGTTTACTTTTTGTCACATTCGGCACCGTGATTACTCGGATATTGACTTTATGTACTACCAAAATGAAACTCAAACTTTTCAATTAATTCGTATCACAACAATACGTTCCAATTAACAGTCGGAAACAATAAAATGTAATGTACACGAAAAAGCGTTGAGAAGAAGTAAATGTTCAACAGAGACTGTTCGTAACAGAGCCAAACAACGTTGATGAGCTGCGACATATATTTTGCAACGAAATAGTTAATATAATACACATGATATAGCACCTTGAACGCCGTTGATCATAACGCCGACTATTGTATAAACTGTCGAGAAGATTTTATTATTGTTTACGTTTGGTCGAGACGTCTTGATTTGACTTTGACGTAGGTAGTACAGCTTTAATACAGCTTTGATACAGCGATAATCAATTTCGATAGATATGTGATTGATCTATTTCCATGGTTTTCTTTTATTTTACTTTTCTCTGTATTTATGAAAATTTGATTAGGACTTCTTTTCTTAGATGTATGACTAATTCATATCAGAAATTCTAATATTTTCTTCAATTTTCATGTTATTAGTTGATACTTAATAAGTAATTGTTCCACGTGCATACATATAAATATTTAATTTTTATAAACATCAAACTCCAACGATTACTTGTCGTATAATATCAACTTTTAAAATGCAGTTGGCTTTTAAGGAATCATTCAGTTTTACAGATATACTGTTATAAATTATAACATTATATGTTCCAGAATTATATTGTTATATTTATTTATATAGAGATATATTCTTATTCCTTCCTTACTTTCTGTGTTTAGAAAAATGACGATTCACCGATATCAAACGTTGCGATTCGTTAATGTGTAAAAGATAACGAAAATTTCAATTTTTTTTATACTTTGAAACACTTGTATTTATATATCTAGATGAGGAAAACTGACATTACAGTAGTAAATTCAATTTACAAATAATTGATGAAATAAGCAAATATTATCGATTTTTTGTAAAATAAAATGAGTACAAAGTAAATTAATTTATATATTCATCAATAAACATTGATAATTGTATTTCAAAGAACATGATTTATATATTCATGCGTAGATGTAAAACTATTATATAGTGTCTTAACGTTTTCACGGTGAGCGATACGCTTATTGATTCTCGTGAAAAACATTTTTCAGTAATATTGACGGAGGTTTAACCGAAAGGAGTTCGTATGTGAAATATTGAAAAATATGTATTGGAAACGTCGTTTTATATTACTATATGTGGAAATTATATTTGTACAAAAGAGACGAGTTTTGCGCGTGAGCGCTTTGATACAATCTATCATCATAATTCAGAGACGGCTCCATTCTCAAATATTTCAGTCTCGGCAATTAATTTGTACGCCTCCACTTTGTATATGTTTCGGCTTGTCGACTCCAGAATTTTTAAGTGGATGAAATCTATTTATTGTGGGCACATATGTTTCTCTTATACTTTCACAACTGTGATAAATATGCAGCTTGTAATATCCACCACGTCTATTAAACTTCTGACATTCAAAGAAAAATTTTTTTTACAATATTTCTATTTAATATGTATCGATACAAAAATATATTTCGCTCGTTGCTATATGAACTAATACGGATGTCCGCAACAATTAAGAGTGCACGTCAATTTGAACAATAAATGATATTTTTCCATTTCACAAACGATATACTTGACCGAAAATTCATCCGCTGCCAAAGTTTTTACAACTTGCATATACTATGTACATATATATATATAATTATTGAGAACACGGCCGTTAACCATCTATACAAAACTATAACCTGCCACCTTCAGTGTAATATATATATATATATATATATATATATATATATATATATATATATATATATATATATATATATATATATATATATATATATATATATATATTAATATAAATAAATAGAAACTTATTAGAAAAAATTAAATGTATTGATACTCTTTTAATCCGGCATACCATTAAAGTATCGTCATTAAAAATAGTAATTAATCATCTACGATAAAATCTTCAATTCTTTTGCATAGTTATTGTTGTTTTCAATATATTATTAACTTAATGTTTTTGAAAATTCTATCGAATTCCCATGTGGGATTCCATATGTAGTTTCCCACGTGGGATCCCACGTGAATATTCGCAACCAGAGCTTCAATTATTAATAAAAATATACAACTTTTACTTTCCATTTTATTTTGTAATTACCATAAATTATAGAAATCTAAATTTGTTGTAATTATTATTAACTATAATTGCAGTACACGAATAAAAATATTCCCATATTGCTAAATAGTATGCTTGACAATGTTATATTACTTTGTCTTTAAAATAGATAAATATTAGGCATTAAAAAACAAAAAATTTATGAGGATAGAGATATATTAACTCTAAAAATAGCTAAAGAATATATTAATGAAGTAGATGAGATTCATATAATATCCTGATGATAACATTTCCCTAGTTTTTTTATGACTATAGTTTTTTACATGACTGATACGATAAACAAAATTTTTTCGCAACCGTAAGTTTTATGACCGTCAAGAAAACGAACTTACATGCACCATGATACCTGCGCGCGCACCTCATATTCGTATCTAACGGCTACATAGTAATGGGCCGCTACCGAACAGCGAAATATATCAGTCTGGTGTGGTGGCCGCGCGTCTTGTGCCAAGAAAAGGCGGGCTCTGAGGAAATAGCAAGTTATGCTGAAGAACTGATTTTCCTATATAACCTCAAGGCTACCGGTCTCAAAGTCTCCAATTAACACACACACGTATATCGCTCACAGACCAAAGGTTGCTTGCTCTTCTTCCCGGCGAGGATGTTGCGCACCAAGAAGGACGTTGACCGACACGTGCAGGACATCTTTCGCAAGCTTCCCAATGAACACGAGGTACGAGCTATCGTGTAACTGCTCTCGTTCAACCAACTCGACGAGTTTATTTTGATTCGTGTGCCTTAGCCCGCTTTCTTGGAATGCCTTACTCGCGGCGAGACCTTTCCGATTTCGCGATAATCAACGCGAAGCTCCATATCATCGAGCGATTTCATCTGACGCGATTGAAATGTTTCCGTCATTTGCTGTAATTGCTGTAAATCCTAACCTAGCAATCGTTTTCGTGACACTTGTTCCCGCCGTAGTGTCTATTTAATTTGTCATTTTTTGTTTTGTAGAGAACCTTAAGATGTTACAAAATAGCGGAGCTCTACTTCCACGTCGGCGACTATGAGTCTGCCAGACGCTACCTCTCGCAATACGTGGAGGTACGCAAGGAAGCAAAAGCACACAAACTCATGGGTCAAATTCTCGAAGCCTTAGGTAACAAGGAGAATGCCTTGGTACAGTATAAACACGCTTTCGAGCTTGATGGCAGGCAAGAAGATCTCATACTTAAAGGTATATTGATTTTGTAGTTTGTGCTATGGAGACCAATTTGTTATTTAATTTATGATTTTGCTCAACAGTGTGTGAACTAATGGCTGACTACGATATTGAAATTGATGTGAATAGAGCAAAGTATTGGATAGAGAGGGCAGACAAACTGTTTCCAAAAAACAAGATAGTTTTTCAATTGAAGGAGAAGATTCTATCGATAGAGCGACCTACCAACAATACTGAAGACCTTGAGAACCTTATCAAAGGTGAATAAAAAATTATTCTTATCATTCGTTCAGTTACAAGATAAAGTTCATTCTTGTTTTTTTTACAGCTGAATTATCAGTGAGACCAACAGATGTTCAACTGCGAGTAAAACTCTTGAAACATTACATGGAAAAGAATAAAATGGACGATGCTTACAAGCATGCAGTTGACGTTGAACGAACTAATATTCATAGAAACAATCTCATTTGGTATCAAGTTTTATGCGAATTGTTCCTCAAATGTAAGAACAATAAACAATCAAATTGGTCATTCTGGATATCTTATATATCAGCTTTAGAGCACTGTGCAGCTCTGGCTCTCAAAGAACAAGGGAGCTTAGTTAAAAAGTCATCTGAAGCCATGCAAGCAGTATATAAGTAAGTTTGAGACATCATTTACAAAATCATTTAATATCTAAATGATGATATTAACTAATAAAATATTTCAAATTATAATATTAACTGTAAAATTTTCGATTACAGCTTTGATCAGCATTTGACAGAAGCCAAAGCCCAGAGTTTGTCTAGCTATCAGTCACTTACAGAGAGCATATTCATGCATATGTGGGGTCAATTACATTTTCACATGGCTTGTCTGTTGCTACAAAATACTCAGCGAGATCAGAGTAGTTGGAGTGAAGCAGCAAGGTTGTCTGCACCTCTATTGCTAACAGCAGTGCACATTAAACCTATTGATCTTACGGCATCTTGGGCTATGCAAGCTGATAGCTCAATCAAGAGCCAACTACAAATTTGGTATCGTGAGGGATCATATCGTTGTAGCCAAGCAGGTGAGTAGACATTTGCAAATTTTGTAGTTTTGATTTTTAGTAGCATAAGTAAACTGGTTATAACTTAATTGTTTACAGGACACGTTCTTCGGGATTACTCTAGAGGCAATCAAAAGAAACTCATCAGTGATATTGAGAAGTTTTGTATTGGTTCTTGGAGAGAAAGGATCTATCAGGTCTTTTTAGTATTTTTATCTCAATTTAAACCTTGAACAAATGTATTTTTATCAAACAATTTCTATGTTTTTCAGAGGATATTTGTTGGTAAAATATATCAAAAAGTTCGTAGCTCGTACTTCACAAATAATAATGGACTATATCCTCCATTAAGACTTATCTCCAACAATGAATTGAAAAGATTTGATGAAGGTAAGCTGCATTGGAAATTGGAATTTTTTTGATTGAAGAATACCATTAAAGTTCTATTTTTTTCTTCCAGTTGCTGAAGAAGTTTGGCCATATTCTTTACATCATCAAATTTGGCCTGCAGTCAAGATTCGAAACAGTAATAGTTTGTACTCAAATAAACAAGAAGGACTCCAACCAAACTTGTCTTCACATCTGTTTCCGGAACTGCAGTTCTCTGTTTACAACCTTAATCAAGCTTCATCAGTAACTCTCAGCCGTCTTGATATTGATGCTTTCTTAAATGCTGCTGGTAAGTTATTTATAATTACATTTTAATCCCTGTATAATCAAAAGTACATTTCAATGCCCTGTATAATTAAAATTTTATAAAAGTACCTGCATTTTTACAGCATTGTGCGCTTGTGCTTTCATAGAAGAGCAGCAACACAATAAACTTTCAAGCCCTGATCGATTACCAACTCTACCTGCTGATTTGATTAATCCTTATTGCACCCCAGATCAAGAAAAATGGTATGTCAATGTTCTAAAAAGTGAAGTATGTATATATATAATTATTAAACGTTTCCACGAATTCGAAATAATAGGTGGTCGGCAGCATACAAAATGTATAAAAAAGAAGTCACTGATGAGACAGGTGATACTAGACAACACTTGCAGCGTGGATTAGAAGTTGTTCGTTGTATCGGCAATCACGGCTTGCACCCGACAATTTTAGTTCATCTAGCCAGAGTGTTCAGTTACAGAGTAAGTTTTATTCTAGATCAGTTATTTACTGAAAAATTAATTTCGCTGTAATCTTTGCACTAAAATAATTTTTTGTTCCAGGCAAAACAACTAAGGGATAAGAATACTGAAAGTGGCGATATTGCTGTTTTAGAGGCACGTTCCGAAATGTACTGGTCGGCTGCTGTGCCTCTACTTGAAAGACTGCTTGAAAGTAACCAAACGATTCGTTTGTCCAATCAAAAACTATTTGAATATGTTGGGTAAGGATATAAAATGATTTTAATTTTGACAGAACTTCAATACATTCAATGTAAACGTAAATTTCATTAATAGCAAAGAGATGAACAACATGGAACGAACGCACGCAATAGAGGAAGGTAAATTATTACTGGCTCAAAAACTGATCAAGGACAAATTTTACGAGCAGGCCGTAGATGCTCTGAAAGCCCTGAAATGCCCGGAAGCGTCATTTGAGCAGGGAAAGGCATGTGTCATAAACTTATAGTTATTTTTTTATTCTGTTATTTAATTATAATCTTGTTTACAGATTTACAAGATTTTAGCTGATGAGCTTATTGATAGTATACCAAAGGAAAGCGTAACCTCTGAAATTCGATCTCAACATGGAACACTTTTGACAAAGGCTAAAAATTGTTTCTACCTCACTTTGGATCGTTTACGTGGACCTGATGTTGATCCCAAACATCCATTAAATTCCGAGCTCTGCTCTTACATAACTTTAATAGAAAATGAACTGAAGAGGGTCGAGCCTGATAATGTTTACAATGATCGTGCGTATTTGATATTTATTTTGTTTTGAAAAATTAAAGAATTTACTTAATTTTTAAATAATTTCACAGGTAACCGAAATGATTGTGACGATTACTCTGGAGAAAGTTACTCCTCTGCACACAGTGACGAGCATCCGATCGGCACGAATTCTTTGTATCCACAACTGAACAACTCCGTAATGCACACACCATTAAGAAATGTCCGGCGTACTCCAAAACAGTCGAGCACTCCTCGTCATCACGATAATCATGATAGCATTCGTATGCGTAATGTAAGTACTAAAATTACGAAATAGTCGATGAAATTCTTACATGCATGTACTTATAATTATAGGAGGCACGACCCAGTCCCGAACGGCTCGACGCGCAAATCCGACAACTCGTTCATGCGATCGAAGGTCTTAAAGAACAAAATCGCGAGCAGCACAGGGGTATGATGTCGAAACTCGACGAGCTTATCAAAATCAATTCTAAAAAGGAAAGTCAAAAGCCACGCCCTGTCCAACCACCACCACCACTACCACCTGTGAGCAATCACAATGTGGACGATGATCTTTATCAGTTGTATAATGACGAAGAGTTCAGGTAAGGTATTTTTTAAATTATTTTTTTAGTAACAGCATCGTTAACTTTTTCACATTTAACTTCCTCAGTAAAGAGTGGGCAAACTACAGCAATGTGACACTCCCCACATCAGGTCGCACTCCTAACTTTCCACCGAATATATTTACTCAAGCTCAACGTCACCCGTACTCTCCGATCGTCTATCCACAACTTCAAGGCTATCCTTATCAAGGTTTACCATTTCCCGATCCAACGGCAGCAATGGCAATGTCGATGTATCCTGCTTCTGCTGCAGCTTACAATCCAATAAATTCGTTGTACAGAGGTGGTCTTGAACAACAGCCTCTCACTTCGATGCAACAGATGAGCGAGAGCCTTTTGCAGCAAGGACTTTATGGACAGAAATTTGGCGAGTACACACAGACTCAGGCGCTACCACCACTGACACAAGTGCAGAACATCGATGCTACCAGAAATGATTCTAAGTTGAGGTGAGTGAGAATCTATTTAAAAATCTTGAACTCTTGCATGAAATAAAAATATGCTAATAGTTTTCCTAAAATAGTTAATTTTACTAATTAATTAAATATGTACTAAATAATTAAAAATTCATAATGTGTTAATTTCATCCTACTACCCATTTACTGACCGCGTTGTGTCTAATATAAACTCAAATCATCACTTTCTTTCAACTTATTTGTCTCCTTAGCTTTAACACAGCAAGTGAGCCACCAAGCGTACCAGAAACTAGTATATTGAAAGAAACTTTAACAAGTACAAATATACCAGCAACAACAACCGCACGTAAAGTTCTACCTGTAAATGTAGTGATAACAACATCGGACACGTTGCCGACGTCAACGTCAAAGTCACCGCCGTGTCTCAGTGTAACTATACCCGCTCATCATCGTCTCGGTAGTAGTGTGCCGAATGATCAAAATACTCCACCACATAGTTATCAAATCTCCATGCCTTCGCAGCCAATGATACCTACAACTGTGATTTTGCCACCTTTGTCCGAGACTATGACCATCACATCACCGGTGATTAAAGCACAAGGTATGGATTCGAAATTTAGATTTTAACATTTGATGTCATTTACAATAAAATAAATTTTGTTTTATTGTATTCAACAGTGGCAGAGAACCAAAACAACAGTATTTTGTCTACTGGCTCTCGTCACAGCTTTTGCTCAGACGTTACAGAAGTAGAGCACGATCCAATTCCCGACTTCGCTCCAATAATTCCATTACCTGATGAAGTACCGGTGACTACCGGCGAAGAGAACGAAGAAGAATTGTACTGCGCACGTGCCAAACTTTTCCGTTTCGTTGACAAAGAATGGAAAGAACGTGGAATTGGTAACGTTAAGTTGCTGAAAAATGCTGAAGGCAAGATTCGCTTGTTGATGCGTCGAGAACAAGTTCACAAGATCTGTGCTAATCACATGCTTCGAAAGGATATGGAACTCACTTCTATGCCCAACAACGATAAAGCTTACATGTGGGTAGCAAATGATTTTGCTGACGAGGAAGTAAGACTAGAAAAGTTGTGCATCAAGTTCAAAACATCCGAGGAAGCTGCCAACTTTAAAAATCAGTTTGATAAAGCTAAGAATAATTTGCCGGAGGAAAGTGCTGTTTCTTCTAAAACTCATATCGTGAGGTGTGTGATAATAACTTTATCTATTTAAAAAGTAATTTTTCTATGACTATTATTATAAATAACAAGTTATTTAATTTTACAGCTCTGAAAAGTCTTCGTCAAAGCAACCATCAAAGTCTGAACCAACACCTTTCAAACCAGCTGAATCGAAGCTTGGTGGATTTACATTTACATCTTCGCCCATCATTCAAAAGCCATCGTCGCCAACGCAGAAAAAAGAGGAAAGCAAGCCCAGTCCATTCGCTAATTTTTCGTTTGTTAAATCAAGCGAGGGTGCACAACCAGCCGCAACCGGATTCAACTTTGGAGCTCCTGCTGCGACACCTGTGTTTAGCCAAGATCGTAAGTTAATCTAAAATTTTTTAATATGTGTATTTGTACTTATTTTGATATGTTGCATTGCAGCAGTAAAAGTTAATTTGCGAAGACCGCATACTGACGTATATACCGAAGTTGTGAAGCCATTGGACAGTGAGGTAATGGTGACACAGATGATTGTCAGCCTTGCACATTATCCTGGTGAAAATAATTCATGGCACGAAATGGGTGCTGGAATCATGAAGGTACGACTATTATCATATTTTCATTTTACATTGTCATAAAACTGTATGTACGTAACTTTTAATTTTTCGTTATCAGGTGTTGTCTGACAAGATATCCGGAAAGCTTCGTCTCTTGATGAACAACCATCAGCAGACAAAAACTCTGCACAACCAGCTAATAACTCCGACACTTGTATTTAATCTGAAAGACGATTCTATCAACTGGACTAGTGTAGATCTCAAAGAAAAATACTTGGCTCGCTTTTATGATTTTACTCTGGTAACAACTCAATACTGTAGTACAAACCTTCAATCTACACAAAATATACAAATCTAAACCATTTTAATCAATCATTTATCATCTGATAGGCATCAGTCTTCCATTTCCATTTAATGGACGCAATAGGAAAAACTTCAAAACCATCCACAAACTCCGTGTCAAGCGTTCAAAAACCTCTGTCAGAGCTTTTCAAACCAGCAACTGGTTCATGGGAATGCAACGACTGTTACACTCGTAACACAGCTGGTGCAACAAAATGTATCGCTTGTGATAATCCAGATTCTGGTGTTCCAACTCCTTCAGCAGTTCCTCCTTCATCGACAAACACTACTAAATCTTTGTCGGAGATGTTCAAACCAGCCGTAGGATCGTGGGAATGCAAGGACTGCTATACTCGTAATAATGCCGCTGATACTGCATGCGTCGCATGCCAAGCACCAGCTCCTGGTGTACCAGCTACTCTACCATCAGAAATGTTCAAACCTGCATCGACTTCTTGGAGTTGTAAGGGTTGTAAAATTACTAATAATCAGTCCAGTCAGTATTGCGTTGCCTGTGATATGCCACAAGATCCGTCAATGCCACCAAAACCAAAGGCTAGTGGAGGCTTTATGATAGGTTTTGGAGCTACAAGCGCTAATCCAACCTTCACGTTTGGCATGCCTCAGGTGAAATATAAATAAATATTTATTTTATCTTCTTTTTTATACGAGAAACTTAGTAAACGTAATAATGATTATTTTTACAGAATCAAACAACTCCATCCAAAGAAAGCACAGGTTTCAACTTCAGTTTCTCGAAATCAAGTGAAAAGGCCGTTTCTTCCCCGATTTCCATATTCGGTAGTAATAAGACGACAACGCCAAACACTTCAGGTTTCCTTTTTGGCACACAGCCACCAACTACGCCACCAAGCAGTAGCGGAGGTGAATTCACTTTCGGCTCACCTGGCAAATCATTTGACTTCCAATTCCAAGCTAAGTCGCCACCTATAAAGTCACCTGAACGCCCAGAAACCAGCGACGATGAACAGGTTGAAGAGTCGGATGATGTGTACTTTGCTCCGGTTATTCCACTACCGGATAAAGTAGATGTAAAGACTGGTGAAGAAGAGGAAGAAGTAGTTTACAGTCATAGAGCGAAACTGTTTAAGTACGACACATCTATCAAGGAATGGAAGGAGAGAGGTCTTGGAGATATCAAATTACTCAGGCATTCAGATACTAAGAAGCTCAGGCTTGTAATGAGAAGAGAACAGGTGAGATTTTTGACTTTTTTCAAATTTATGAAAATTAATAATTCGGTAGTATGGTAAAAATTAATCGGTCAATTTTTCAGGTACTTAAAATCTGCTTGAATCACGCTGTGACTGCCAACTTAGAAATCACTCCAAAGGATGACAAGACGTGGATGTGGACTGCAGGCGACTATAGTGAAGGTGAAATTGAATATCTGCAATTTGCTTGTCGTTTCAAGAATTCCGAAATAGCTGAGGAGTTCAAAGCGGCCATCGATAACGCTTTCAAGCGTGACAGTGACATTACACCAGTTAGCAAACCAAAACCTATTGCTAAGAGTAGCTCTTTGTCTGATATTGAGGTAAGTATTTAGAATTCTGTCCGAGTAACAGTGTTTAGAATTCTGTCGGAGTAACAGTGAATTCGAACATAATGCTGTTTTTACAGGTTGTCTACGAGATAAAAGTAACGCCTGAAGAAAAAGCAGCAGCGTTGAAACTTCAACTTCCAGAGAATTTCTATGCTTACAAATATAAAGATGATTGCCCAGGTTGTCGAGGATGCAGAGAATCGGACGAACCACTGTTTAAGTCCGCAGAAAGGAAACCAATCGTTGTAAAGGCCAACGATGCTACTCTGTCATCTACAACGGTCAACGCTATGAATAACATTCCTAGCAAACCGGCTATTACCACGGCGTCGACTGCTGGTTCAGGTACGAAGACCACGTTTGGAAGTGCAGCTAATCCACCAATATTTGGTAGTACTGCTAGCACGGTTGATGATCCAGGTACGTTTTAAAAATTATAATTTTTTTTATATATGATCGGTAATAAGTTGTTAAGTTTTGTTCGACCCAACAATGGACCCCTTGCAAACTTCATATAGAATGGAATAAAGACATAAGTAGATAAAAATTAAAAGCAACTGTGAGAAATGAGATAATAAGATAAAGATGGTTTTTTGGTCAACAATAAACGCGCGAGGTTAAGATTTGAAAGTCGACAGTCGGTTGTCAGGTTCGTCTGCTGTCTTAACGGGGCTCTTTTATTTGGTGCATGTAAAAAATGGGCTCTACTCGGAGTAAATTAGTCGTAACGCCAAAAAATGACGCCAATAAGAACGACGGTAACGTGGATCTTTTTGAAAAATTGGTAGACAAAATGGAAGCGATTTTCCGCGAGTCAGTCAAGTTAAAGCGCGAGAACATCGATTTGAAAAACATGATTTTGCAATCGAAGGATAATGAGCACAGAAGCGGCGACGAATTGATGAATTCATTGAAAGATTTGCAGGAGAGATTAGAAAAACTAGAGTGTAATTTTGAAAAACACTTTTACGATGCGGGGAGAAAGGAATGCAGTTGGAATAAGTTAATGCAAGGTCGAGGTTACAAAAACAAAAACACACGAGTGCACGCTTGTAGATGAACTGTTCATTCATGAATTTCAATTTTTGTGACTGCAGGTAAATCAACAGGTTTCGTGTTTGGTCAGTCAACAGCAACGAAATCGGCTGAGACGGGACTTGAGAATTTGAAAATCTGCAGCCCATCCGTTCCTGTCACGATTACTACTTCACTACCATCAACAAACGTCTTTGGTAGTTTTGGTCCATCTCAAAAGTCCATGTTCGGCGGTACGCAATTCCCGCAGACTATTGCTACGACAACTACGAGTAGTATATTTGGTGCACAACCAGCTGTAACTACTGCTAGCGGTATATTCAGTGCGCAACCAGCTATTACCAATGCGAGTACAGGCAATATCTTTGGTAGTTGTAAACCAGCATTTGGCGGTGGCGACAACAAACCAGTATTCGGTGACAGTAAACCTATGTTTGGTGGCGTCGATAGTAAACCGGTATTCGGTGGCTTGGACAGTAAGTCCTCAGTAGTGAATCTTTTTGGTTCAAATAAACCACCGTCTGCGAATATCTTCGGGGGCGGAGCATCTACTACGGCAACTAATGCTGCAGCAAACTCAATCTTTGGTCAGAATATGACTAGTGGTTCGATCTTTGGTGGACAGTCGAATTCTACACCAACTTTCGGTTCGCTTGCCGCGCAGTCGAACAACCAAACAAGTACTCCATGTAAATTATTTTATCGTAGTTTTACTTTTTATTTATAAATGATAAATACTGACGAACAATTTTTCTTATTTCATAAACGAATAGCATTCGGTACACAAGCCGTAACACCTCCGGCAACGACCAGTTCTTCGCTATTCAGTGAAACGACTAACCAGTTTACGTCGAAATCAAGCTTCGGCAACAACGCTACCCCCGCTGTTGGTTTGTTCAGTAGTACAGCAGCTTCTGAGGGCGGCAATATTTTCGGTGCCAAAACTACACCAACTACCACAGCAACCACTACAGCGTCAAAAGAAAGTGGTAAGGAGGGTGTGAGTTTCTTGCCGACAGATAGTTCGTTGTCCTTCTCGGCTTTGGCCGCTAACACTGCTGAACAGCAACCTGCTTTCAAGACAGGTGAGCATTTTATTTAATAATAATAAATAAAATAATACGCCAAATCATGCAATCACTTGATTGAAAAACTCTCAACTATTAATTGTTTTAGATCCAAATTTCACATTTGAGGGAGCAGGAGCTTCAGTTTTTGGACAAAAGACAGCATTAAAAACCGCAACTAAGAAAGCCTCAACGAAAACAACGCCAAACAAATCTAAGAATGACGATGATGAGGATGGTGAAGAGGAAGACGATAATGGAGAAGAACATGATCCACATTTTGAGCCTATCATTCCATTGCCAGATGCTATTGAAGTTCGAACTGGTGAAGAAGATGAAGAAAAAGGTAAGAGATTAGGATTTTAAGCAGTATAAATGATTTTTATATAGAAATGCATTTTTTTCTTTAAAAATAATCCGCTTCAAGCAATTAAAATATACATACAATATCTTATTTAAAACTTTTAAAATCACCCCTCATTCCCGTGTAGTTAAACAAAATAATCGTGCGATTATGCTTATTCTATGCTTCGTCGAAACATACGTAAGAATGACGACGCAACGTGAAATTCCATGTAGAAGTTACTCTTCTGCCGATCAAACTTTCGGCTGCACCCTAGCAAAGGATCTTATGGATTGGTTGGACGATTCATGTCCTTTCGAATCCTTAATTTTTCGAGTTTAAATTCATCATTTATGAATTATTGTTCAACGAAACATTCAATCGTGTTCACAGTGTTTTGCCAGCGCGCCAAGCTCTTCAGATACGACCAAAACACGAAAGAGTGGAAAGAGCGTGGAGTCGGTGAGATGAAACTGCTGCATCATCCAGAGCATGGCACTTATCGCTTGCTCCTCCGTCGTGAGCAAGTGCACAAGATCGTGTGTAACATGGCTTTGAACTCGGAGATGAAGTTCCTCACTTTAAACTCTTCCGATAAGGCGTGGATGTGGTTCGGCATGAATTATGCTGAACCCGAAAACGCTGAAGTCGAACAGTTAGCTGTGAGATTCAAGTCACCAGAGTTGGCTGCTAAATTCAAAGATGCTGTCGACAAGGCGCAAAAGGCCATCGCTGAGAGAAGCAGCTCGCAAGGTAGCTAGATTTTTAGCTTGTGACCAGTGCATGTGTCTACACTTTTCGGTAGGATTAGTTATAAAAAAAATGACGACAGATTCAGTCCCACTACGTTTCGTCGAATTTTGATTTCCTTTCAGTTATTATTTTCGAGAGATTTTGAATTTTTTTTAACTCGATACACTGACGTCGCGGAAATACAGCTTGATCTATACCATTGTTCAGGCTTCTTTTTCTCTTATTGTATCTAATGATCACATTTAAATTGCACTGATTTTTAGTGAATACTATCTATAAGAGTAATAAAGTGATCTGTTTGAATTTTAATTCAAATCATCGTTTTTACATTAATTTTTATACTGACTTATTGAGTACAAAACAAGAAAAGTGATCTATCATTCTAATCACAATAGCTTTAATACTGTTATAGATAATTGATTAGTAGACGATTAAAAAATATTTTCTTGAGATATCCAATGACAATCCGAAATGGTTTTGTTTAAACAACACGTTCCTTTGCTGGTAATAGATTATAAATTGTTGTATAATTTCGAAAAAAAACGTGAGACGTTGTAATGAAATTTTTTTGTATATGCAAATCGAACAGTTTGCTCATTTTTCTTCCATGTAAACGTTTCACATAAATTGGTATGATTAACTGTATAAAACAAATGTAAGTACTTTTGTAACTATCCTTGATTTACGCTATTTTCTTATTCTATTTAAACAAAAGACTTATTTGGCAATTTAAGTTTATTATAATAAGCTTGTAACGAAATCCATACTCAAAACTTGTACTTGGAAAAACTTTCATTTTAATATAATATAAATAAAAATTATTTAAATATAACAAATTTGTTTCATTGTTGCAAAATTTTACTTTTATTGATGATTTTTTATCATTCACTAAAGAAATCATAATTTTTTATTTGAAAGTATAAAAAAAATTATTTAATATATCAAGACAGATTTCTCAGTAGAGACTATTAAGGTAAGTATCTTCCATACGTTGCCCTTTCGTTTCATCAAATAATGTGAACGAGCAACACTTAAATTCGGAAGCTACGGTTAGACGAATGTTGTGTGATAAGCTAAAATAATTGATTTTCAACGAATTTATTGATTTAATACGTTAAATTCTTTAATTTCAGACTCGACTGGAAGGTACGACGATGGCCAGCCAGAAGATGACTATGACGATGATTACGAAGGTGACGAGTACGCTGATGAAGACGATGAGGAAGACGAAGAGGATGAAGACAACATGACCATGTTTGAAAAACAAGTCACTTTGTTCGTACGAAATGAGAGCGAAAATACTTGGGATAACCGCGGTACAGCCAATCTTAAAGTCATCTACGACTCGGATATCTTTGGCGCGAGAATCGTTATAGAAAGTGAAGCCAAGGAGATCGTTAGCGAGACTGTCATTAGCATGGATACCACGATGAAGGTAAGTTCGTTAAAGCAACACGATTGTTAAACGATATATTTGTCCTTATGCTTAAATAAAAAAGTCATAAATAGTTCATTTTTTAAGAAGTTATGTAAATTTTTTTCATATTGAAATAGATTTCAGGAAGTACTCTAACGTGAAAATGTTACCACATAAAACTTTTTTGTGTTTTAGTGCGAAGATACAGAGTGCGAGTGGGCAGCTATCGATTATGCATTAGAGCCACCTATCAGGCGCTCCTTGAAAACTGTTTTCGCGACATCAATGACTGCTCAGGAGATGTATCACGCCTTCGAAGAAGTACGTTCTATATGCTATTAATCATTTAACTATAAATATGCCGTGTACGATACAAATTAATCGTTAAATTTTGTTTCCAGGGACAAGAATGTGCCACAAATGCCGACATTCGAGAGTGAATTGTCAGCTAGTTTTCTCTACCTAAACAAAAAATAATATGTACAATGAATTTGTAACAGAAACATCTTTCTAGATTAGTAGTGTATAAAGTATCTAACTAGCGCTTCTATTTGAAAGAATAAGAAAAAAGACGGGTCGAACAATCAATTCTTAAAAGCAGGTCTTTTCATCGATGCGACAACTCTTGTTATAAACTTTGATTTCCGGTCGTCTATTTTTTAATACTACCATCTCGCATAATTATTATAGTTATTGTAAATGAAAAAAAAGAGAACACGAGAGTAGTGCAAGACTTTTTAGAAACGAGCAATTTTTTTTAATAATCTTGCGACGATATGCCCGCAATTTCGCTAATCAATGTTAGTTCTAAACAAACGATTAGCCGACTGTTTTAGCGTAAATTGGCTTGTGATAATGATTATTATTATTATTATTATTATTATAAACCGAATTTTATTTATGGTAGAATTAAAATGAGACACGACTGTACCCAAATTTACGTACTTTAATTTGTAATTTTTTTTCTTATGTTAAGGATAAGATACATTTTCATGAATATATTCAAATAAAAAGAAAGTAATTCATAAGTTATATTAGTGACTTACACTTGGTTTTTTTTTTGATAATTCTACTTCAATCCTCAATATCTATTTTTTTAAGTAAGAAATTTATTATTATTATATTTTGTTCATGTCTTAAGCATGATGTAATAAATTTGATTAATTAAATATATTTTTCTTAGTACAAAAGAATCACCGATGCAATATAAAAAATCATGATGACTTTGCATTTCAATCCGGTTGTCCCTACCACTACAACCACACGATTACGGACTTTGACCTGTGAGTATAGAGCTGTGTGTACGTATACAATATATACTAGTCTACTTGTTGCCGCCATCATTTGCCGGAACGTGTCTGTACAGTCGGACGTATTTATTTTATACTCATTTCTCTAGATCGTTGTGTACATTTAATTATAAATAATGACTTCCCTCACAAAAGGTACGTAAAATTAATAACACGAGAAATGTTTTTATTTAAAATATATTGCGGAACTTGTCAATATTGAATGGGAAGTAAGATTTAGAAGCATTTGAGTGATATTCTTAAGTTCATATTTCAAGGTCATTTAAAATAATTTTTTAATAAACATATCTTGCTTCTTACGATTAAAAGTGTACATGGAATTTTCCAATATTTTGTCGCTGCGCATCGAATGTTAATTATATTGCACAAATTAAATTTTAAAAACTAGTATGTTTAATAACTATAGTAATTAGTTTTGATGTGAAGTTTTATAGTTTCTCAGTTATTTCCAAATAGTATTTTGGATCAACTAAGTATAATCTCAATTGCTATGCAATACTATAAAAATATAATTTTTTATTATTTTGAAGGAATTTTCATTGTTGCTGCAAAACGTACACCTTATGGAAAAATGGGTGGAGCTTTTGTTAACAAGAGCATAACAGATTTATCTGTAGTCGCTGCTAATGCAGCTCTCAAATCTGCTAATCTTAATCCTGAGCTAATAGATAATGTAGTGTTTGGAAATGTATTTCCAGTAAGTAAGAAAAGAAATATTGATTCTATTTACCAAACAAAATGACAAGTAGTCAATTCTTAATATTTATTTTATAGCTTTCTTCTGCTGATGGAGCATTTCTTGCTAGACATGTTCTATTGAAATGTGGTATTCCTATAGAAAAACCAGCTTTAGGTGTCAACAGACTGTGTGGATCTGGTTTCCAATCTATCGTTACTGGTGCGCAAGTATGTAGACATTTTTCAATAAATTTCAGTAAAACAAGTTGAATTATTTGTCTCACATTTCCCTGGTTACAGAGTCTTATGATAGGAGAATCTAAAATAGTCATGACTGGAGGAGCTGAGAACATGAGCCAGATTCCATTTGCAGTTCGGAATGTACGTTTTGGTACAGCTCTGGGTGTGGATTACAAATTTGAAGATGTTATGTGGTCTGGATTGCTAGATAGTCACTGTGGTCTTCCTATGGGTATGACAGCTGAGAAACTTGGTGCTCAATTCAATCTTACAAGAGAGGAAGTTGACAAGTTTGGTCTTTCTAGTCAGCAAAGATGGAAGGCTGGTAAGTGCATTTAGGATAAATTATTTTTTTGACTTATATTTTCATAATAAAATAATTGAATTATTTTGCAGCTAATGATGCTGGTTATTTCAAGGCTGAAATGGCACCTGTTACACTCAAGTTAAAGAAGCAAGAAGTGACTATGGAAGTTGATGAGCATCCTAGACCTCAAGCGAAAATTGAGGACTTTACAAAACTGCCCTCCATATTCAAAAAAGATGGTTTGGTGACTGCTGGAACTGCGTCTGTAAGATACATTAAATATACTTTCTAATTTTTCAATCAAAATAAAGAAAGAATAAAATTTAAGTAAAATATTTTTCTATTTTAGGGTATTTGCGATGGAGCTGGTGTAGTTATTTTAGCTAGTGAAGAAGCTATCAAGACTCATGGACTAAAGCCTTTGGCGCGTTTGGTTGGTTTTAGTACTGTTGGTGTTGATCCAAGTATTATGGGAATTGGACCATCTCCAGCAATCAAAAACTTGCTCAAGGTTACTGGTAAAACGTTGAATGACATTGAATTGGTTGAGGTAAGATATACCGTACATTCTTTGAATATTTCAACAAAAATAATATTACTTTTTCATAGATTAATGAAGCCTTTGGAGCACAGACTTTAGCTTGTGCCAAGGATTTGCAATTAGATCTCAACAAACTTAATGTGAATGGTGGTGCTATCGCTCTTGGACATCCCGTTGGAGCTTCTGGTTCTCGAATTACGTCTCACCTTGTTCATGAGCTGAGGTATTTATCTAATAATTTTATTCATTTGTCACTTTACAATCTTTTAATTTTTTTAATCACAGAAGAAGGAATGCTGGAAAACTTGGAATTGGATCAGCTTGCATTGGTGGAGGTCAAGGTATCGCCGTCATGGTTGAAGCTTTGTAAACAACGAGAAAATTACGTTAAGTTTTGAACATTTTAGCTTTTATTACATTTTTAATCAATGCAATGAAAAAAGTTTGTGATAAGAATCGATAATCATATGTTTTAAACAAAACAATTTTATCAAAATTTGTACAGACATGCGTAAATAAGTTCTATTTTTATACACATGTTAAAATATTTTATAAGAATTAATACAAGAATATACATCACTGAATTTTTAAGAAAAAAGAATGGCGTATAAGGTTTTTAATTTTCATTTTTTATTGAAATTACACAATTATTTCTAGTAAGAAAAACATTTGATTTAAAAGATTTATACTTCTTAATCACTAGATACCCTATATGGTGTATCATAAATAAATATAAATGTAAAAACATACTAAAAACACGTGATAGTATATATTATAGATTATGCATTATATAAACAACAGAGACAAGTATGACACGCAACTAAAAAAACAGAAGAAAAAAACTAAACTGACCATAATAAGTGATATAAGTTTTGGAAGAACTGTAGAATTGATTTTAAAATTCTTATATTCCGCTGTCGCGTGAAATAAACATTTGTATTTCGCAAAATCACATTAATTGCTGCGATATCGGAATCATCGGCTTACTTCTTTTAACAAACTAAACAATATAAACTATATTTTTCATTAAGTAGTAATAGGCACGCAAAGTAAGGCACGTATTGTTGATAAAAATCACCCTATATACACGATCATCCATACATTTTTCATTTCTATGGCTGCAAATGTCATGATTATTCTAAATTGAGATTTAAGGATCAGTCATCAATGTATATTACCATTAAAAAAAATAAGCTCTTTAGAAAAGACAAAAGAAATTACAGCCGTTAAGTATATAGATGAAATACAAAAATATCAGTTCAAAAACTGATATTGAGCTTCTCTTTCGGCGGAGTGTCGGACAGTTTAGTGCTACCAGTCTGCACGCCACCCGTATAAAGCACTAACTTTTCTTTTTTGTAGTAAGGCACAATATCGTCGACACTCTCGAACGACTGCTCGTCTAGTTTTGCTTTGCCCAAGGAGTACCTACAAACAAATTGTCGTGAAGTTTTGAACAGTTCGGTATGACGCGAACCTCATACCGACTCTCTGTTGGTTCGCTCACCTGTTGTCAGGTCTCCTCCTAACAGGAACATTATAAACTCTGTCCTTGCACCAAAGTACAAGCGTCAATGGATTGTTGGGATTGGACGTGGAGGGTCTCATCAGGAAATAGCCGTCAGGCGCGTTATGGTAAGTACACTCTGCAAATTCAAAGCAACAGGTCAAACACTCGCGGCAACTGGCCCTTTCCGTACTCGATACTCACGATCTTCGATGAGGAGATTAGCCTGCTCTCTCGTCAAATTATGAAACCAGGGTCGCTCGTAATAAGTGTCGCGATGCTCGGGTGGCGGCGGCAAGGGCCTCGCAGCGTTGTTCAGCGACAGGTTGCTGCCTGAGTGCGGTAACGTGGCGGATTTCTTGTCCAACGATCGCTCTGCAATTACAAACGGTACTTTGTTTTACAATAGATTTGAAAAATCGTACGTCGGAATGCACATCCGCGCATATTTTAACAACAGCTCTCTGCGAAACGGATAGTCAGGTGTAGCGCGATCGACCGAGATATGCGCGACTAACTATCAAGTGACGCGCGCTATCTTAAACATTTGCTTTCCCGTCGCTTGTCGCGTGTATAGATGAAAGTATCGCATCGCGCGCGTGCCTCACAAGGCACAGCCGAGGAAAACTAGTGCATTTCGCCTCGGATTTTTGCCCTCGACGTGCAAGATAAATCAATGGATACAAACTAGTCAGATTAAGTCGAGCTTGCGTGAGAGTGGCTTGAGTAAGGTACTCGGACAAACATGTCTGCCGACGTCCAATGGTAGCGGTCAAGGTGCTGCGCTTTGGCTCTCCGATGATCGTCGCCATTCTCTCGCGCAAATTGCTGAATGTCGACTTCGTTTTAACGGAGAATTTCACGAACGCGCTCGACCTGCACGCTCCGCTGTTTCACCGTAGACTAAACGGCTTTTATAAAATCCGACGCAGGGAATATTAAGGGCGCGTCGCGTTGGTCTAACGCTGCATGAGATGAATGCCGCTGCTTTTATTGGGATGCGTGTATATTTCCGCTGTGGAATGGATGTGAAAAATATGCGACTGCTGTGAATTTGTTGTAATTAATAATATGTACGAAGAGGTTTTCTCGATTCGCTTGAATCATACCAGTGATAAGGATAACTCATTTATTCTTGAAATAGAATTTCGCAGAAAAGTTTTGATAATTCCTACTTCCTCGTAATAAAAAACGTTTTACAATGAAAATATAGCTTTACGTAATTACGTAATATAGCCGAATCAATCGCTTACTACGATACCTGACAGTAATTCAGGCGAAGGTGCGTCTCGCGCGACCCCTCGTTTGATCGTCACGATCATATCCAAAAGTTCATCACGGAACCGCTTGCACAGCCCTCCCACGAGCCGCTTGCCGAGTCTCAAGTAGAAGCACGAGCACATTCCATCACACGCGTGGAGAGGCTTGCTCTTTGGTTTTCTTTCCCTGTACGCACGGAAACTCGATCGATTTATTTTTATACGTCTGTCTATTTGCGGCACGCCATTTGTCACTCTTTGATCACATTTTTTATTCGTACGTTTATCTTTCGCCTTCTTTCCGAAGCTCGAAAATCGGCGATGTGTATGCAACATGCAAGATCCGCGTCGTGACTGCGAAATCAACGAAACGCAGCATTGGCAGGTTGCACCATGGGAAACTTGGTCATAGCAAATGAAGCATTTGCGACACACATGTCGCTGCCGTCATTTTTTTGCACTCATTCTTACGTTCGCGCTTCTATCGTTGGCATTATGTCTCTTTTTCGTATCATATGAGTGAGCCGGTTGATTATTAAAAAAAAAAACTTTCATTACGCTTAAATAGTGATTTAATTTTTTTTAAGCGTACCTGATTTTGAATATGCCTTGTTCAATTGATTATGCAACATTGTATTGTTCGGAGGTGGTTTGAGTGGCAGTGGCGGTGGGTTAACAAGGTTTTTCAAATTCGATTGACTTTTGTAATCACGTCCTTTTTCTTCAGGCTGAAAAGCAAACAAATTTGAACTCCAGCCCCGATAAGCCCCAAAAAGTAATCTTTTCAAGTATTCACCGTCTCAGTAATACTCTCATAAATATCATAAACATGATCGTCCTCGTCGTGGCTAATCGAGCTCGTCGGATGATAAGCGCTCCCAATGGAATTTCTGTCAGGACTGGACAACGACTGTCCGCTATCAGTTCGACTCATCAACGAGTCCCGTTGATGCTGTTCAACGATTTGCTCGTCGAATGCTTCGTAATCTTCCTCTTCGTCGTCGTCGTCGTCGCTGTCGTCCGGTGGCCTGGTCGTTGGCAAGTTAGCCACCAGATCGAAACTACGTATCGATACTGGTGGCTTTGGCAAATTTCTTAGAGATTCATCGTTATTATTGTTATTGCTGGATCTTTTGGGAGTTGGCTGGGCTGGTGGTGCAACTGTCATTTTCTCTGAAAGTGAAATTTGGTTGCTGGAGACGCTGCGAATTACTGTCGTTCTAATGATCAAGGTGAACATTTTTAATTAATACAAAGTATTATTTTGTAATTATTATTCGTGCATATACGTATATATTGCTGTCAATGCTACACGTTCATTCAATACTATTAATCATACTGTGCTGATAAATATCCCGCCAGTTTGTCAATCATAATCACTCATACATATTTTGCAAATAAGCCGCCGCACATGACCGTCGTAGTTCGACCATTCGTCAGAATTGAAACGAAACGAAAGAGAAATCCTCACGCACTTGGCACAGCATTCGCCCCGTGGGCTTTCTTGTGCAAGAACGACGTCCTGGGCTCGGTCCTCCTCAGCACCACGTCTTCGCGGCTCCGCTTCGCCAAGCCCTCGGGCTTGGGCGCGACAGTGGGCTTGGCGCCGGCGCTCAAGGGCGCCTCCAACGACGCGCCCCTCAGTAACAGCTGCTCCTTCAATTTCTCCGCCAGGCTCTTGCCCTGCCGCGACAGCTCGGCGGGCGTGTCTTGCGCGTAGCCCACGTTCGCGTAGGTCGTCTCGCAGTTGGCGTAGGCGCGCGCGCCGCCGTCGACCCTTGAATCGGAGGCCAGCGATGAGAGAGAGAGAGCCGTCCGAGTGCGAGCTCCGGCGGTATACTCACGGCTGCGATCGGTCGCTCTCCCGGAGCATCCCGAGGTTGCTGCGCAAGTCGCAGTTCGACTGGCCGTCGACGTTGTCCTCGAAATCCGTGTCCCAGCCGGTGTCGCTTTCCGTTTCCGTCTGCTGCTGCTGCTGTTGCGTCGCCGTGGACGGCTGCTCGATCACCAGTGTCGCCTGGCCCACCGCCGCCGGCTCGGGCTCCGCTGGCTCAGGCTCCGCTGGCTGCTGCTCGTCCTCGACGTAGCTCTCGGGGCATTTCTTCAGCTCCTCGACGAATGTCCAGAGCGTGCTGACGGGTGTTAATTACGGGACGTCAGTGGTTGTCGCGAGACAAGTGCAGCTTTCACTTCGATCCAAGTGGTCGAAGAAGCAGGGATTCGCCGAGTTTAACGGGGGATCGGCAAGGCGATCCGGAGGCGAACGAGTCTTACTGCTCGTGCCCGGAACAACTGCGAGCTCGCGAATTGACTGCGCGCCCAACGCCATATTCGCATTTACTAAAAGACAGGACGAGGAAAAGACGCGCAACGGCATTCGGAGAGACAGAAGCGTGGCAGGCCGATCCCTTTTCTTCCTTACCGTATCAGCGGCTTGCTGAGATCGCTCTTCCACAGCGTCAGCTTGCCCTCCGTCAAGTGCTGCAATTAAAGCGGATTAGCGGTCGAGCCGACGGCCGCGGGCCGGCGCGCGGGAACGAGCGTGACGACGGACCTCGCGGCTCGTTCCCACGAGGCGCAAGACACACACTCACCAGCAGCTCGTCCCCGTCGATCCTGCGCTTCTCCACGGCCTTCCAGCACGCCTCGTCCAGGCCGCTCTGTGGAAAGGCAATGTCCCCGTCGGTGAGAGATGTCGGTGAGCGATCGCCGCCGTTACGGGACGGATGAATACAACGCCCCGCGCAACCTCGACTCGACGTTGACGATTGCTGCGCTTTTTCCGCCTTTTTCACGCGCGCGCCTCGTCGTTGCGCATCCGCCTCTGTTTTTTTTTTTTTTCTTTTACTTTTCCTTTTTTTTTCGCCCGATAGCGCTCGCGCGCACGGACGCGCTTTCGTTCGCGGTCTTTCCGTCGTTCCTCTCGCAAAAAGATCGACGCGCAGTCGTTACGCGGGGCAAGAAAGAACGAACAAAATAAAACGAACTTTTGATTAAATCACCGACCTCCGTTTGCCTCGCAAAAGAAAGAAACCTCACCGACGTACTTTTCTCTGTTTTTTTTTCAGACCGAGAGAGGAGAAGCGAGCAACAAGTGTCGTGCTCTTGACGGCCGGAGCGCCGCCGAGCAGTTCGTTCCTTTTGCTCTTCTCGTGCACGCGGAATCGAGCTTATCACGATTCCGCGAACGTCGAGACGGATAAAAACGGGAAAAAAGGGGAACTGACCGTTGTCAAAAGCCGCAACGTGTGCGTGACCGAGTAGTCCCGAAGACCTGCTTCTTTTTAATCGGTCGAGAAACGGTTGCTTTTCGCGAAAAAAGAAAAAAACGTAAAAAAACAAAGATACATAATTCATCGGTGCCGTCAATTTTCGTTAAAAATTCCGCGGACGCGCTCTGAGCGTCGACAACGGCGACGATTGCCTAACAGAATCCGGTGAGCGCTATTCAACGAGCGATAAATCTCTTTACTGACGATTCGGAAAAAAAAAAAGAAGGAACGCCGTCGCGAATCATTCAATTGGCGCAACAAGTTGCAGCCGTTACGAAAGTTTCGAATGGTCGGCGATTGTCGTCTCTTCTCGCAAACTTATTTTCGGAGCTGGGGCGAGCCGATAACGCGCGAGCGAACTGCCTAATTACACGCCTGACTAATTACCTAAACGACTTAATTAACTTGATCGAAAGGGAAAAAAAAAGAGTTCATAACACGCAAGGCGCACTATGTTTACAGTGGACACTTTCACTGCGTTGTCGATTGTCACTCGTTGAGAATACGATATCACTGCGGCTCGGCGGTTTGCCAAACATAATTGTTGTTTACATAGGCAGACACGTCGGGGCAACGGCATTTTATTTGCGTTGCAAGATCCGCAGCAGGAGTTCATCGTTCTCGGTCGCGCGGTCGCGAAAAATCTTAACCTCCAACGCCAATGAAAAACAAAGCCCACTTACGTTTCTCAGCAGTGCAACGACTCTTGGGTTCTGCCAAGTAGAGATGTCGTCCAGCGCCTTGATACGCGACGCTTTCGACATCTTCTCAGCGAAATTCTTGCATAATTGGGAACTTACCGAGCAGCACCACGGACGCGGACGAACGCGACGGAGGTGCAACTGGGCGAGGCGTTCAGCGGTTACTAAAAGCGAGAGAGAGAGTGAGAGCGAGAGAGACAGAGAGAGAGAGAGGGAATGGAGCGTCCACGGCGGCAGTATTATCTCTCTCCCACTACTGCGCGATCGTAGGTGTGCGTGGGTGTCTTTTTGCCGCGATGACACACACCTGTCGGCTACTGCGCGCACCTGTCGACCGAAAGGTAAATAAATCAGCGGCGAGAAGGCGAGTTCGATTGAGCAACCGTGTCCCCGAATTTCGCTCTCCCGCGAACGAGTCGAACCATCGGGTCGTCGTCAGGTGTAATCGCGTGACTCATCGCTCGAATCTTCATGCCTCCGATCTCGTTTTTCCCGAGCGTTTCGTAAGGGACGTGGAACGACCGACTTGTAGGGCATTCCATCGAAGGGGAAAACCGCTTGGCGCGAGTACACCTATTCGTTGCAGAGCACGCTTACACAGGTCTGAAGGGGCACCGTCATCTGCGTCGCTCGACTCCGAACGTCTACCCATCGATCGGTCGTCACAATCACCGCGGACAATTGGCCAGGCTCGTGGCAGGACGCGATCCGAAAAAAAATTATCGCACACCCGAGAAATTGGAATCCGCGCGCCGCGATCGAAGAGGCTCGCGGCCGTCGGTCGGCAAGGCAGGCAGCCCACGGCGCAACGACCGACCGCGCGCGAGCAGACGACGCGCGCTCTCAGCAGACGACAGCGCAATAAGCGCGCAGTGCGGTGCGCGCGAGGCATCTCGGCCGTCCCGGGGGCGACAGCGTTTTTCTCGGCTGGTTCAGTAGCGAACGAGAGTCGGCGCGGTGATAAGGTGTCGTGGCGCGTGTCGCTCGTCTTTGGCGCGTACAAGCAACAGCACTCGGGCAGAATGGACGCGGAGGCGTTCCTCGACATGGCCAACCAGGTGGTCAAGCTCAAGATGTTCCCGTACTTCGACATAGCGCACTCGGTGCTGTGCGCGCTCCACGTCAGGGAAGACCTGGGGCCTGGTACGACTGATCTATTATTAAAGCCTCGCCAGCAGCAACCCGGCTCTCCCGATTTGGATCTCTGTAGAAGAGAGCGCGCGCGCGGACGCGGCCGGACTGCTGGTTTTTTGGTCTCTGCTTTTCGTCGTTCTTTTGGTTGTCCCTCGACGATGGCGCCCGGGAAGTGTATAACCTTATCGCGCGCCGCGATTTCGCGCCTCAGTGCGTGGGCGCGAATCAATTGACGTCGAGTCTGCGGGCGAACGACTCGCCGACATTGGCCGTGTGTCGTTTCTGGCCGCCGGCAAGGCTTGTTGCGCGCGGCCAGATTCGACTTTCGCAACGCGAACGTTGAGCGCAAGGAAAATAAAAGCAACGACGAAGCTTGCCGTCGAGCGGATTCGCCCTTGTTGCATTGTTAATTACGAGCGGGCGAAAGCCATAATCGAGCTCGCAAGCAGCGTCAACGCGAAGAGCGTCCAAGGCGCGCGGCTTCATAACATCCGAGTTCTGCCAAGTTTCTCGTCGAAATATTTCCGTCTCTCGCCCGCGTGCTCCACGCCAACGTTTACATAATCCGCCCGCGTGGAAAAAGAACGAAAGAAAGGACGCGCTCCTTTACTCTATTTCTGGCGAGATGGGAGTCCGTTTAAAGAACCGATCGGCTTCTTTTTTATTCCGGGAGGGGAAGTGAAAGAGCGAGGAAGCTGTAGGTATAACGAGACTGGTTTTATTTCACGTAAAAAGTAACGAGTGAATGGATCCCAACGGATCCCGCGGTGTTTCTTTTCAATTTTGCAAATATTCTACGCGAAAGTTCTCTTCGCGGATTTATTTATCAGTTTCTTCTGTCATTAATGTTGTGTGATGCTATCCAATTGTCATTTTTGAAAATTTACGAAGAAAAGTAATATACATCATAGGGAAGTTCTCACGATCATACAATGCTCTTCCAGTTTGAAAGCAGCCTCTGCGGTGTCGATCACACCGAATGTTCGTTCGACTTGTGTGCACAACTGTACTGTTTATTTTTTTTTCACTCAAGAGATCGCAATCGAGTTAATCGTTTGATCCATTAACCAAACCGTTATCGCACTCCCCTTCGTCCGAATCCTCGCGTGGACGTCGAGCAATGGGACCACCTAAGAAGTCAACACAATCGATTGGACTGGCTCACGATCGCCAAGCCGTTTGAAAATCTCGAGTCGTTAACTTTCGCTTAGGTCGTCGCGTCGAAGCAAACTTCCTCTCGGCGCGGCTCGTCAATATTTTATCGTCAATTATCAATTTCTGATACAGCTTTTCTGGGTCGCAATATAGGCCGTCTGAAAATCGATAGACGAGCCGCGCTCTGCAATTACCTTGGCGCGCGCTCGACTTATCCATACGGAACGGGCGGTGTTTGTTTTTTTTTTTTTTCTTCTCTTTCCGCGTCGGAATTTTCCTCTCGTCGGTGCCGCGCACTTGCACGGGTTCCTCGAGCCTTCTCTGTGCGTTGTCGAGGGACTGCTGCGGATTTCGCTCGCGGCTCGCCGCGCGACGTCGTCGGGAGACCCGAGAGCAAGTCGATCGCGCTGACGACGAGCGCGAGCGAGGTCCGATCAGACGGGAAGATTCCTCTCTGTCGCAGGCGCGCAGGCGTTCTCTCGCAAGCATCCCCTGTCGTGCTGGCTGTCGACGATGCTCGTGGTGTTCGCCGGCGGGATGCTGTGCAACGGCCTGCTCGGCGAGCCCATCCTCGCGCCGTTCAAGGACTCGAATCAGGTGGTCGTCGCCACCGCTGTCTGGTGAGTACGACGGCCCGCCGATCCGAGAACCGCCGTGGGTACGACGATTTTCTCTCTCTCTCTCTCTCTCTTTCTCTGTTTCTCTCGCTTTCAGGTACGTCGTATTTTACACGCCCTTCGACGTCGGCTACAAGGTCGCCAAGTTTCTGCCGGTGAAGATCGTCTGCTCGGCGATGAAGGAAATTTACAGGCAAGTCTCGCGCTTTTCCACGTGCCGCGCGCACTCGCCGGACTTACGTCTTTGCCTCTCCCATTCCGCAGGTGTAAAAAAGTTTACGACGGCGTCAGCCACGCCAGCAAGCTCTACCCCAACGCTTATCTCATTATGATACTCATTGGAACGCTCAAAGGTAAGGATCCAATTCGTTTTTCGCGTGCGACTTGCGTGTCGCTTTGGTTTCGCGCTGTACGAAATTTGACTGTTCGTTAAGGAAACGGAGCTGGCTTTACGAAATTGATGGAGCGTCTGATCCGCGGCGCCTGGACACCCACGGCCATGGAATTCATGCAGCCGAGCTTGTGAGTGAAACCATCTTTTCCTTTCTTCCTTTTATCCAAAATGCAAGTTACGCCGCGGAGAAAATTTAATAAACTGATTCCTCACAAGTGCGAAAAGCAAACTTGCAGTCTGCTCCTTAGCCACGGTCTCGTTCGAGTCGTTTGCACTCGAGTGGGGGGAGGGGAAAAAGACACGACTGATCGTTGTTATCGTTGTTTCTTTTTCAGCCCGACGAAGGCCTCCATGGTGGCCTCAATTATTTTCGTCCTGGACAAGAAGACTGACCTGATTTCGGCACCGCACGCCCTCGTCTACTTCGGCATCGTCATATTCTTCGTTTACTTCAAGGTTGTCGAAGAGATTAATGCTTATCGTAACGACGGTAACGACGGTGACGACGACGACGACGACGACGATTGATTTTTCATCTGCGATTTTTATTGAAATAAGATTTGTCGTTGCGCGCGCGCATCAAACACTAATCGAGACTTCTTTATTGCGTTGCGAAATTTTCGAAGGCTATCCCGTTAATTTGTCTCTCGTCTTTTTGTTTTCAGTTGTCATCCATACTGCTCGGCATCCACGATCCATTCGTGCCGTTCGAGAACTTGTTCTGCGCCTTATTCCTGGGCGGCATCTGGGACTCACTGGCGAAGATTCTCGGCCGTGGCCAGACGAAGGACGAGAAGTCCGACGCTAAGAAAAACAATTAGCCACGTTAACGACGACGGAACGTTGCACGTTCACGACAGAAACGAAACGGGAATCTCGCGCTGTCGAGATTCTATGAATTTTTTTGATTATAATTATGATTTTCAATCCAGAAAAGCGTGACTGCGTCGCGAACGTTTGGAAACGAAGGAACACGCGGTAAACTAGTCAATGTCTCATTTCCTTTGTTAGGAAATCGCTTCAACAAAAACATAAGAGAGTGACAGTATTATCACAGGTGAAGTGGGTGAGCTGTTTTTAGCTCTGATATGCACAGCCGCGATGAGAATCTTGCCTTTGAATTTTGAAATGTAGAACTGCTGAATTATTGAACGAATTCGCAAACTGTGTCGATTAGATTTTTTTCCGTTTGATTTTAGTCATTTGACGATTTTTCTACTATTACGAAAATCTTCCTTTAGAGAGAGAAAGAAAAATGCTCTTCTACTTAGTTTTGTAGGGTTTAGGTTGGATTTTGCAAATAGACCTTTTGGACAAGTTCGAGTTTTATAAAAGAGAACGTTTTATCCTCTTCTTCCCGAGTGCAATATATACAGTCGAAGTTTGTTACATGGAGATTTTTACACGATTAGTAATATTCGCGCGCGCACACACGACAACAAGTTCTCACGCGAGAGAATGAGTAAATGTGATTTTAATAAAAGAAGCTGACACGTAAATTTGCCTTGTTAAACTCGCGAAGCGCTTCGCAACCGAGACGACCCGCCCGCATTATGCGGGCACGCGACTCCTTTTCATCTGTCAGATTATTAAAAAACAAATGAAACTGTACAACAGCTCTCGCTCTCTCTCTCTCTTTATTTACCTCAAAGTTCCAGTTGGAGGGGGTAAATGTCGGAGCCACAGCAACACCGAGCAAAATGTAGCCTCGGCGGGGCGACTTGCAGTTGACCGCGATCGTCGTACGCGTACTCGTCCGCCAGGCTGATCCGCTTGCCGCGGAAGCGTCGCGAGTTCATGTAAATCCCGGCGCTCTTTTCGTCGGCGGTCGTCGCCCTCGGTGACGAGGTGCCGCTGCTCGGTTCGCTCGGAATCGCTGCCCAAAATTAATTATGAAACAACGGTAGTTCGTCCGACTGGCAAAAAGCTCACGTTGAAGACGGATCTGGGCATCGGTAGGCCGCGAGGCCGTCGAGCTGCTCGTCTTGGCAGTCGAGCCCGACCGACAATCGCAAATCGAACGGCTCGTCTTCGAGTTGTCATCGTCGTCGACGCCGCTCTCCGTCTTACAGTCGCAATCGGAGTTGAACTTCTCGAGCCTGGGTGCGATGCTGTAAAGCACAAGCCTCGTTTCGTCGTTGCAGACGGTGTAGCACTCGACGTTCCGGAAGGAGAGGCGATCGTCCGCGTCGTCTCTCGCCGACGCCTCGGAGCGTTCACCAGGCGACTGGAGGTTCTGGGCGGCGCAGCAGCCTCCGCAGGATAACGTCGATGCCGTTGGGCTTTTGCAGCCGCAGCATCGCGTGCAGCAGTTCACGTTCCAGCGCTCGCCTGCGAACGGCAAGAGCGTACAACGCTGTTGGCTCACGTCCGCGCAGGCGACCAACCCTCGGGGCTCAGATTCCTTCGCACGAGCCTCTCGACGATCTTGAACCAGGCGGGTCTCCTCGCGCGACTCGAGCCCCTCGCTGCTCGTTCCTCAGCGTAGCGCTTTTTCAGCCAGCCGACCAGTTTCACGCACTCGCCGACGCCGACGTCGCGAAGATGCAGCAGCTGGACGATGTGCGCATAGGATTGCCGTCGCAAGCAGATGTTCTCGTATTCCTGGGCGCGCGCGTTCCAGAGCACGGGGTGGTTCTCGTAATGCTCGAGGAAGCGCAGCACGTTGATCTCCGACCAGTCGCGCGCCTCCGGCACGGACTTCAGCCACCACTTGGCGCCCGGCTCTTCCCTGCTCGCCATCGTTCTCACGCTTGTTGGTTAGTCGGCCGTCTTTTGTCGACGCGGAGGGCGGCCGGACTCGGGAACGCGATTGGCTCGAGGGCCAGCCGACGCGGCGCCCCGCTCGGCCGCGCTCGATCCGCGGACGATGTAGCTCCGGCAGACCCGCTGGCACTTCGCGCGGCTGGGGGGTGCGCCTCGCTCGGGGGCCTGCCGGTCGCGTCGCGGGCCCGCCGCCGGTACTGGCATCGCGTTGTCGTCGCCGCCGCCTGCGCACGGGACCGTCGTTAGCGCGCACGGCTGCTCGGCCACAGCGGCGGCGGCGGCGGCGGCGGCGGCGGCGGGGCCAGCTTACCTCGAGCGGCCGCACGGTCGCCCGCGGCGGCTCACCGAGCCGGCGCCTCACCGGCAAGCGCACCGTCGCGGGCGGCGCGGCCCCCGCGCGCGTAGTCCAGACCCAGCGCGCACCGCAGCATCTCTAGCAGGTCGTGCGCCAGCTCGCCGCGGGCGCGCAGCCGCTGCTCCAGGCAGGGCAGGCAGGCCTCCGCGGGCGACTCGGCCGGGCGGTGCTGGCCCTCGGCGCCGAGCACGCGCTCGAGGCAGCGCAGCAGCAGCTCCGCGGTCGTCGGCGGGCAGCCGTCGCCGTCCGGCGCTGCAACGGGGAAGCGCCGCTGGGTGAGCTCGGGTCCGCGGCGCCGGCGCGCGCCCGCCACCGATTACCCGCGGCCTCGCAGCAGCAGCAGTCGGGCCGGGCCCGGCCTTCGGCGCAGCTGCACGCCTCGTCGCCGTCGACGCCGCCGAGGCCGCCGTCGGCCTCGGCGTCGCGCACCAGCGGCACGTACTTGCCACCGGGCGTCAGCAGCACGTAGTCGTGGCGCGGCCGCCGGCCGCCGGAGTGCAGCAGCTCCCGACTGCACACGCCCACGGCGCGCTCGCGCGTGCACGCGTCGGTCTGCACCCGGCGCGCGCGGCAGCGCTTCGCGGCATCCAGTCGCTCGTCGCGCTGCCCCGGGAACACCACCACCTTGAGCTGCGAGTAGGCCTCGAGCACGCCGTTCTCGAAGCGCGCTGCCACGCGGTTCGACGGCCAGTCCTCCTCGCGCGACGGCTTGGCGCGACTCTGGCCGGCATCCGCGCAGGCGTCCGCGCCGAGGACGGGCTTGCTGTCCCTCGGGCACGGCGTCGGCGACTTGGCGCGGCTCTGGCCGAGGATCGCGCAGGTGTCTCTCGTGCAGGTGTCCGCGCCGGCGACGGTCTTGCTGTCTCTCGAGCACGGCGTCGGCGACTTGGCGCGGCTCCGGCCGGGGATCGCGCAGGTGTTCCTCGCACAGGCGTCCGCGCCAAGGACGGGTTTGCCGTCCCTCGGGCACGGCGTCGGCGACTTGGCGCGGCTCTGGCCGAGGATCGCGCAGGTGTCTCTCGTGCAGGTGTCCGCGCCGGCGACGGTCTTGCTGTCTCTCGAGCACGGCGTCGGCGACTTGGCGCGGCTCCGGCCGGGGATCGCGCAGGTGTTCCTCGCACAGGCGTCCGCGCCAAGGACGGGTTTGCCGTCCCTCGAGCACGGCGACGGCGGCTTGGCGCGGTCGTCCTTGGAGCAGGCGCCGGGCACGGGTTTGGCCTCCCTCGAGCAGGGAGACGGCGACTTGCCGCGCCACTCCGGGAGCGTCGGCTGGATGTCGGCGTGCCGCCTGCGCCCGTAGCGCGAGCCCGCGTCGGTACACTCGGGCGGCTCGGCCCGCGACAGCTCGTCCAAGTAGCGGTCGCGACGGCCGCACCAGCTCGACGGCGCCGGTCGCACGCAGTCCTGGCCGAGCGGGCGCCGCTGCGGCTCGTGGGCGTGCGAGCGCCCGCAAACCCGCGGACCCGCGGCGACTCGGCAGGGCTCCGCGGCCTGCGCGGCATCGCGGCAGCACCAGCAGCAGCAGCCGCCGGCGCACCTCTCCAGCTTGCCACGCCTACGCTCCCCGCGGCCTCGCCTCGACCTCACCCAGCGGCCCTCGGCGAACGCTGGCGCCCGAGCCCTAGGCGCGCACTTGCGCCTCCTCGACGGGATGCTGCGACGACGGACGATGTCGAGCGTGGCTCTCTCGCGGCCGGGTGCGGGCTCATCGGATCGGCGCTCCTCGTCGCGAACTGTTTTCTCCAGCATCGAGTCCACGCGCCGCATCCATCTCGGCTGGCGCGCGCTGCCCCGCCGCCTCGGCAAGCTCCTCGTCTGGTCCTCGACGTACCTTTCGAAGCGTTTCTCGAGGATGCAAAGGCCGCGAGCCGACGCCGCCGAGTACCAACTGCTCTCGGATGCACCTGAGCAGCCTCAGGCAGTCCTGCACACCAACTCCGAGTTGCAAGCTGCCGACGACCTCCTTCAAAGCCTCGCCTTTGACCGAGCAGTCGTGAAATTGCCGATGAAACGGGTTCCACAGACACTCGTGTTTACGGTACTCCAGCAGAAATTTTTCGACCAGCTTGTCATCCCAGGACATCGCTCATCCAAGCTGAATGTTCCCAGGCCATTGGCATCGTGCTTGCACTTGCGAATTTTGAGGTTCCGCGACAACCAAATAGTCGTCGAACCGGGTGGACGTGCGCGTAACAACTCATGCGCGCTTGCAAAGATAACTTCACGAGGCTGCGGGAACAGATTTCGTTCCTCGACGAGATTGATATGCTTTCGAAACCATCGGAATTTTCGAGCCGTAGATGCAAATGCACGAGCCCAATTGTCAATTCGCCCGAGCAAGTTTTTAATTGGCTCCAAGTACAGTCACTGATAATTATATATTATCAAGACTCGAAGTTGATTACTACAGGCATAATTTTATTCTAAATAAGGAAAATTCTACTTCTCTGTAGTTTGACATTTTACAACCAAAAAATGTCATTCATTTTTTATTACAACCCTCATCATTTTAAAGCAATATGATATTATATTTTCAAGTTTTAATAAATATAGATTTGCGAATTCTGCCTCGTGACAATATAATTGTTGTCTAAAAAATACGTTTTACGATATTTATAAAACATGCAGACGTTATTGGATTCCGCAAGATAAACACGCTATTCATTTGGAAACCTTTAAACAAACATTTTTGGCAAAATATAAACTTTATTTGATGGACATTGATATATAACGCTTGTTTACATTGAGATCGCATCTTACAAATAGTGAAAATGACAGGCAAAATATATGAAAAGATTCACAGACTGATGGTAACAGTGTTTGAATAATGCATACAAAGTAACGATATCAATGAAATAAGATTAACATTAAGTGATCGATCAAACAATATCGTATAGTTAACAACTTCACCGGTTGATTTACATAACATTGTTTAATTGTTTAATTTAATTTTAAATGGCACATCACTTTATTGTATTTGCAATCATGCATGTAACCACCGATTTAAACAGAAAACCCAAAGACACAAATGAACGATGACATTGGGAAAAAAATTATTTTTTAATAAATATCTTACGGAATAAAAGATGAAATCTTACTGTTGTAAAGACAATTTACGGTGAATTCAAATCACTCGATAACAAAAGATTAGAAAATAGTTTGAATAATTCAATAACTAATTTATGTTGAAAAACGAGCTAAGAAACTACTTTGAAAACAAAAGCTTAGGAATACAATCGCAATCGCGAAATTTTTGTTTATAAGTATTTTACTAGATATTATAAAAAAAATATCAAACGTATACCAAGATTCTGACGTCACTTACATATAAAACAGTGTAAATGAAAAAAACAATCTAATACTTGTACTTGAAATTCATCTTCACCAAATATTCAACCTTGACCTGAGCCATGTCGTATACAATAAACTCGTTGTACAAAAGCGAAGATGAATTCTTAATATCTGCAGGAATACCAGGACCACAAGGAACTTCAACACCAGTCTTAAGCTTGACAGACTTTTCAGGATCAGGTTGAGTTTGTCCACGACCCCAGGTTGAGTGGTAACCGTGCGGTAGCTTCTCAATATAGTCTGCATGGAATCTCTCATACATATTTCCAAGCGCAACGTCGCAGAGAAGTAACAAACCGGTCGAGTTTTGAGAACTGGTGCAACAGTAGTTGGCAGATTTGGATACCATATCAGCAAAATAAATACCTGTTGGACAAAATATTTGCAATGATACACAGTGAAATTAACACGGAAAACTAAATTTTATGTACGCACCTTTGCCAAACATGTAACCAGTAACAGGTGCTTCGGGCGGTGCAATTCTGAGACCCTGCGACAAGATACCAGCAAAGTTGGTAACTCTTGATCCGTGCCACAACAGCTTTCTGTTTGGCAATTTCTTGAATGGTCTGTAGCGAGATTCCTCGCCACTTCTTTTTGCGATGAATACTTCCTCGACGACAAGCTCGTACTGTTTGTGAGTTTCGGCGTGAGTGTTTTTCACGTACTTCTCGATGAGCTTGAACTCGTTGCTCTCCCGGTCCAGCACATCAATATTGGTTTTGAGTTGCTCGTAGTGAGCATCTAAAGGATTTTTGCTTGCATCCGTCTTGGTGTGCAGCAGATTGTAGGCGATTTCCATTTCGAGAAGAGATTCCAACATCTCACTCTTTGTTTGAATCTCCTTTTCTGTCTCGATGACGCTGGAAAATGGAACATTTTATTTAAATCATTTGCAACAAATTCAACTCGGATGTATACTCACTTTGGTCCATCAACGCCAAAATTGTGAGGTATCAGCGTGTAAAACTTGTTGGATGCTTCGATATACTTAACTCTATCCTGATTCCCATTCTTGACCAACGTTAATAGCTCAGAGAGAACGGAGTAAGCTTGTTGGATTTGTTTCTTAGAAATTTTACCGAGGGGCATCTTATCCATATCAATTTCATATTCTAACATAGCTTTCTTCATTTGGTTTACATCGAAGATAAGCTGTATAAGATCTTGAATGGGTTTTTTAAGTTTGCTTTCGATGTCAGACTTAAGCAAGTCGACGTTACTGCTATCGTCGCCATGATCAATGTCAATTGGATACATTTTGTGAGGCACCTTTATAAAGTTATCGTGATGCGACCAGGGATTGCCAGACTTTTCTTCGTATAACTCCTTAAACTGCTCGATGCAATCTTCTAGTGCCATATTTTCACACTTATTGTTACCGATCGTGGTACCTAAAGATAAATATCACCTTCCTCTTATTTATTGACAGTTTAAATTATGATTCGTTCAATAAAAACCATTGTAATCACCAATTCGACCCCAGCTACGGAAAAGCCAATATTTTTCCCTCTTGTCATCCTTCAAAATCTGCAATTTGTAGTAGCTGTTCTTTTTCGTCTGAATATCAGTGATACCAAGGGTAACGGTGAACTTTTCTTTGCCACGTTGATGGACATGAGCAACATCTTCAAGACCGCTATCAGGGTCAACAGCGCCTCCACCTTTAACGCGTAGCTTCACTTTACCAGAACTTAATTTCTCATATTTACTCTTGCCTTTAGACGCTGATTTCTATAAAAATAGATACGATCGTAAAAGTAAATGTAAATCGTCTATTTATTAAATTACTTTTAATATACTTACTGTAGCAATAGATTTTGATACTCTCGATGAAGGATCGCTGCCCCAATGGGCAATGCTCTTCTTCTTAATGAGCATAATTGGAGCATCCTGAAACTCCTTGGCTTCCTCAATGAAGTCTTCAGACACAACATGAATATCTTTATCTTGAGCATCCTCAATTTTACTGGAAGATTTTTCAACTTCATTTGGAGTTGATATGACCGCTGCGGTATCTTCCGCTACCTTGGTTTTCACTACACCACCCAGCAATAAAATTTCCTTCGTCAACTTTTCTTTCTTCTCTTTTGAGAAGCCCGCAAGTACAAATTCTAAGTGTTTCAAGGGTCGTGGTTTACCCTTGATTTTTGGTCCATCAACTACGTCTTCTTTTTTGACGGTACTCGAAGTTGATGGTGCCGTAATCTTTATAAGACGACGTTTTACTTTAGGATTTAAACTGTTACTATAAAAAAATTGATTTGTTTCATTAGTATGACAAAGAAAAACAATTATATACAAATAAAAAATACTCACAGAAATGGAAATTCTTCTTTCAAATCTTTAGGAATCGTAAACTTCTTTCTCTTTGGATCTTGTGTGATATTTTCACATAATGCCCATTCAGACACGCTGCCTGTACATTTATAGCCAGTACCAGACTTGAATTTGAATTGGCCACCGCATTGCGGGCAAGGCTCCAGAGCACCAAACAGTAAAGTATCGGTTAAGGCATCTAGAATCTGTAATGAATAAAGTAAAATGTTATTATTAATTGATACTAAGAGATTTCCAAGAGTGTTTTATCTATTGTAACTTTGTTCCTTATCAGTAAAAGGGTTCAATAGAAAATTTGTGTTTTACGTAACTCTAAGTTTTTATATTAAATATCACAAAATAGCAACGTCACAGTTCAATACCTAATAAAATTGAAAAACTTACTTCACTTTGCCCAACAGGAACACTCTGACCATTAGCCTCAAGTATCTTAATCAACTCTTTCTTCTTCAGTTTTGCGGATAATATATCCCTAATACTGAACAATTTTTTCTGCTGTTCTTTTAATTTCTTTTCTTCCTCAGAATCTTCAGGTTCAGGCTTGATCTTTTTAGCCTCGGGTGGCACATCTTCCTCTTTAATTTTAGGTAATGCCTTCTTGATAACATCTTTGTCTTCCATTGACAAAGCGTTCACGCCTGGAATATTCATACCGGCGTCGAAGAACTGCAATTCTGAACGCAGTTTAACGAAACAGTCGACGTGATACCAACGATCTAAGCCACCATAGCGACGTGCATCTTCACTTTCATAGTCTTTCTTCGACAGACGAATTTCGCCTTTAATTATTGTTTCCTCGCAACCACGGCATTTTGAGCGGTTCGATTTAGCATACTCGGCTTTGAAATCAGCATTAGCAGCTGCCCCTCCTGCAGCTTTACTTCGCTTACGGCCTTTGCCACTGGTAGTAGCTGCAGCTATGGCTGCTGTTCCTGCTGCACCTCCTTCCTCTAAAATATTTTGAACAATCACTTTTCTTTAAAAATTGTTTGGAATTTTTGGCTAAATTACAGAATAATAGATTTATAGTAAATTCCACACTTATACTTTCTTCAACAACTTTTAATTTATTTAAATTTATTAAATTTTCATGCAACTTTAAACAAATAATATATCTTATACTAATGGTAATTATTACTTCATAGATTCTTAATAAAAGAGTCCATATTGCTATACATTTTCAAATTTATATAGATACAGGAAAAATAAAAATATGAATAAAATATTCAATAATGACTTACCAATTCTCTTTTTGATGTATTCTTGATCCTCCCAACGAATGCTATCAAAATGAGCAATGTCTCCTGTAGTTTTAGGACGTTGTTTTTGGAAGAAGCAATTAGCATGGTACCATTTTACCAGCTTGCCATCATGGAATGGACTCTGGAGCAAACGATAAATATTAACATAATTAATAATTAAGTGAATGTAGTTTGGATAATATGTAGTCTAAATTTTGAAATAGAACATTCTACATAGTACATAATACATATATGATTACCAACAAATGCAATGCATGCTTCGGCACATGCATGCTCTCTTTATGCATGTTATGCATATCAATGCATTATTATAGCATGGACATTAACCTCTTGCAATTTATAAATTAAACAAATAACGCACATGTCAACTCCATTTTCAGAAAAATTAATATCAGCAGTGTACCATATAATAGATATATATAAACACACGTACAGACAATGTAACCTAAATTTACACATCTGTAACGTATTAACTCCAAAATAAAAAAAAACGCTATCTTAATTGTCAAACCAAGAAAACCCGCGCGAAAACGACCATGCTCGGACTAACAACAAAGGAATCGTATTAATAACTACACACCTGAACGACAGTGGCAAGGCGAAGAATGTCTTTGGCAATAGCATTCTTGCAGACATTACACATAGCACGTCCACTCTTGGAGTACTCCACACAGTAAGGAAGGTCTTCGGTCATTCTGGAACAATATTATAACAATATTGCGAATTTTTCTCTCGAAATAAGTTGGTGTCCGTTTGCTATAGTGGACAGGTGTAACTAACAGTGCGGCTCGAGGGGTTTTCCCTTCTCCTCCTTTGCCGCTTACCCGGCATTTTCAAAGCTGCAGAACGATCGTGATTGGTTAGAAACAAATCGCCACATTTGGTCGGAACGGTAGTGGGGAATTTGGCAGTTTGGAGGTTGCATGGCTCCAAGTTTAATTAAATAAGAAGTGGAGATGAAGGTAGCAGGAAGTATTTACCAGAAAATATCTTATATCACAAACTTTATTTAACATGTACAAACGGTTTAGAATCTCAACAAATCGCGAGACAGAAACGTCATTAAGCGATACAGAAGTAGAGAGAAAAAGTGAGCTGAACAGTGTTTGATGGTATTCGGAAATCTTGCGACTGCATAGCAGGGAAGAAAGCTCGCTCAGCGTAGCACCGAAAGTTGAGGCGGTAGCCAGGCGGCTGCACTTCGAGCTTAGCTTCTGGTGACCGAGGAGTGTCAGCACTAACTTGATGCAAAGCACCACAGCGATAATCATTAAAAATACGGGAACTTCGCAAGATGTAACCCCTGAAGACAATGATAATGAAAAAATGAGTAACATAAAAGATGAGGCAAGCAGAGCTTTTCCTTTTGTGAAGATTTTGAAGTGGCTCATTGAAGACTAAAAGAAAATAGCTGGATTCGTACGTGACGAAAAAAATTGTTTGAAAATTCAGCCACAAATAAAATATAAGATTATCTTATGCACGCATTAGTACAATGCTATAAGCAAACATCTTATGAAAATAGTAAAACGCAGGTACACAACGGGAAGAAGAAGCGTATGGATAGAAATAGAACAACACCGAATAACTGTTCAACATTTCAAATTTCGAACAGAAAATATGCAAGAAAAGATACAAGCGCAAATCGTAAAGATCGAAGTATGTAGTAACATTTGAAAATCTGTTCGTTTATTTATTCATCGCGAAATCTTAAAAGAACCTCTCTTAACAATAACATATTTCCGCTGTATATACTTCCAGTCGTCAGCGCGCTTGCATTTCAAATTCTAAAAGAAAAATTAAAAGGAGAGCGAGTGAATCTCTCGATCGAAAGCTCATAAACTGGAACGTCTTCATCCCACAACTCCGAGCTCCTTGCCAATGTCGACGAAAGCATTGATCGCCCTGTCGATCTCCTCTGTGGTGTGCGCGGCGCTGATCTGCACGCGGATCCTCGCCTTGTCCTTGGGCACTACCGGGTAGCTGAATCCGATGACGTATATGCCCTTATCTGCAATCATCGCAGACGCGGGATCAGTCTCTCTCTCTCTCTCTCTCTCTCCCCTGTTTCTGTGTCCAGAGAAGAGGATCGAGAGAACGTTACCGATCGTACCGAGCATCTTGTCGGCGAATGTGCTGGCGAGCTTGGCATCCCACAGCATGACGGGGCAGATGGGATGACTGTCGCCGGCGATCTTGAAGCCGGCGCGGGTCATCTCCTGGCGGAAGTGCTGCGTGTTGCGCTCGAGGATGTTGAGCAGATTGGTGTTGCCGGCGATGAGGTCGATCACCTGAAAGCGTGGAAGGTCAGTGCTCGGGCGTCGAGCGCGCGCTCGCAGCTTACCCTGATGCCGGTGGCAACGACCGGCGGTGGCAGCGAGTTGGAGAACAAGTAGGGCCGGCTCCGCTGGCGCAGTAGGTCGATCAGCGGCTTGCTGCTGGCGGTGTAGCCGCCAGCCGCGCCGCCCAGAGCCTTGCCCAGGGTCGAGTTGATGATGTCCACCTTGCCCAGCAGGCCGAAATACTCCTCCGTGCCCCTGGGGGAAAGAACGTACGCTTGGCAAGAGAGCGAGGATCGGGGCGCGCTAATCGTGGCGGCCAACTACCGACCGGCCGGTCTTGCCGAAGAACCCGGTGGCGTGGCAGTCGTCGACGAAGGTCAGCGCGCCGTGTTTGCTCGCCAGCTCGACGATGCCAGCCAGCGGCGCCACGGTGCCGTCCATGGAGAACACGCCGTCAGTGGCGATGAGGCGCAGCCGGCAGCCGGCGCTCTCCGCCAGCTTCGCCTCCAGGTCGCCCACGTCGCGGTGCTTGTATCGCAGCTTCTTGGCCTTGCACAGCCGGATGCCGTCGATGATGGACGCGTGGTTGAGCTCGTCGCTGAGCACCGCGTCCTCGGCCGTCAGCAGCGTCTCGAAGATGCCGGCGTTGGCGTCGAAGCACGACGCGTACACGATCGCGTCCTCGCGCCCGTGGAAGGCCGCCAGCTTGTGCTCCAGCTCGCGGTGTATGTCCTGCGTGCCGCAGATGAAGCGCACGGAGCTCAGTCCCGCGCCGTACTTGTCCAGGGCAGCCTTGGCCGCCGTCACTATCTGCTGGTTGTCCTGCAATCGGATTTATTTATTTTTTTCCGACCTGCCATTCGCTTTCTTGGTCGTTTTGTATCCGCAACCGCGATTGAGGATCGCTCATCGTCGAGGCGGAGCACGCGCGTGCATACGATAATACAAGTGTAAAAAGAAGCGAACGAGAATGGAGATACTATGCGCTGTTGTTGAGCGCTGCCATTATCGTGCACTTTCAACCAGCAACTTTACATTCCGCAGTTATCTCTCGATATAGTGTGCATTTTTCAATTGACTCAGCGAGAATATTCCGAATCAAACTCGATACTCGACAGTTGAATTGCGTGACACGCGATCGCTCTAAAAAAGGAAAAAAAAAAAGCGACAGCTCTTGTAAGCTCAAAGTTCGATCGAACTCACCGACAAACCCAAGTAATTATTGGCGCAGAAATTGAGAACGCGCTTGCCGTCGGCGAGCACGATTTCGGTCCTCTGGGCCGAGGCAATGATCCTCTCGTTCTTCCACGTGCCCGCCTCCCTGATGGACTCCAACTCCGGCTGCAAGACCGCTGCCAGCGAGCTCGCGCCACGCCTGCCGACGCATCGCTTGACTGCAATAGACAAGTACGTACGCGGCATTTTCTCGATGCGGAGCTCGCGCAGGCTGTAATATCACGTCGTACCTTGAACGAGAGCGCAATTCATGTTTGTCCCCGTCGACTGCGTGAAACAAACTGAAGGCGCTCGGCAGCTGGGCGTGTGCGTGATCGCAGACCCCGCTAGAACCGGTTGGACCGCATGGCGACCTTGTACAGCGCGACGCGCCGGCACTAGGAACAAAATTAAGCTCTCTCTCTTTCTCTCTCCCTCACTCTCTCTCTCTCTCTTTCTCTCCCGGTTCACGAGCTCGTCGTCGACTGCCTATCCGATCGCTCGATTAAATCAATACGCACACTCTCGTTCCACAGTCGCCGCGCGGCTCCGCGCGCGCTCGCCACGATTCAGATTCTTTTCCGTCCCCTTGATCGCCGACGTCACGTCGGCAATTGACGTTTTATTGGTTCGAGGCGAATAGGTCGTTCACTTTTTCTTCTCCAAGTCGGTTTCTGCAACAAAGACCGCACTTTGTTTTGACGCCCTCGACGGCCGCGAGGATCGACTTTTCTCAAATCCGAGCACTAAAGATAACGCACGCAAAGTCGGTGAAAATCTTGATCGGAATGTTAAAAAAAACACCTCGTCAAATTATCACAATCAGAGCAGTTCTATTTAAGTCATCGTTTATTCAAACTTTATATATACATAATGCATTAAAGCTTGATTGCTGATCGAGTTCAACCGACAGCTATCATGTTATCGCATAATCACTTGGTCAGTCTTACCGATTACCCCCAGGTAAAAAGGGAAAAGAAACAACAAAAAAACATTTATTCCTCTTATATGAATCGATACGAAGTGTATTATACTACCTAAATCAACTCCCGCAATGGTCTGTCGAGTTTGACCGTCGCGACGCAAAAGTATTTTATTGTGCAATGATTATATAGATAACGGAGACGTACTTCAGATCAGCGACTTTTAACATCTGTAATTCATAGTAAACTTAAAAAGTCTATGTAAAGATATCGTCCGCTATAACTTTGTTACAATTTGCCTAAAACTCTCGTCTTTGGGTGACATACGAAAACTAGAGTAGATTATTTAGTTGTGACATATCTGTATATTTTTAATGTAACAAGATAGTACTTGCTTGCAATAAGTTTTAAAGGAAATGTATAAACGTTCATAAATACTGACGGCACAATTATACCGTATAACAGCATAGACTTACAGTTACAATGAAATAAATACTTCTTTTACTAATTGACTTCCAAATTAAAAGAAACATTATTGCCACAATTTGGTGCATGGGTGAGAAATTTAATTGCTTAAACGGTTCTAGGAACATCTAATATAAATGGCAACTTTTATAAAAGAAATGCTACACCTAACAGCTGGTAAAAAAATTGGATATCAAAACAAATATTTATGCAAATACTATCTTCACCTAATTAAACATTGTTTATCTGCCTACATATATTTAAGAAACAAACATACCGAACGAATTAGACTAAAGAGTCCTCAATCATAGAATCTCCATAGATTTTCTAAACAAATCAAAGAAACAAAAGAGCAAGTTTGTAAAAGACATTCACGAAAAGAAAAAAAATGCGCAAGAATTCACTATTTCTTTACGACGATTTACACTTCGATATTCTCGTGGAGAAATTGTAGACGTGTGGAAAATTGTGTACCACCAGGTACACTACTCCCAGGTACAGAGCGATCGCTATCGTTAAAAAGAGATCAAACACAGCTGGTTTCACACTGAAAACGAGAATCCAAAATAAATAAGAAATACTAATTTTATGTTATAAAATCTAAAATAGAAGTTTTACAATTACTTGTAAACGTTCATTGTAGCTTTGGTAGTATCGTAAAAGACAAACTCAGGATCACGTTTGTCGGGAGTGTGAAAAGTGACTTTCACGTCACCCAGGTACTTCTGCATCGTTTCCTTAAGAATATTGACTAAGGGATTTTGTTTGTCAGCCAAAAGCGATGCTGTTCTAGGTTGTGACGATAGATAATCCATCCACATGTTTAACGAGTCTTTGGATACGCTCTGCACAAAAAACTCATACATTACAATCAATTTCGCTCCGTTATCCGTAACACGATTGGAATTCAACGAATGTGAAAGACTTACAAGTGGCTCAGAAAACATCTGGCTATAACTAATATTATACATATGCCTAGCAAGAGCTTCAGCGACAACGCTCGTATGCTTGTGAAGCCTGTCGATTTGTCCTTCTTGCACGACATCTAAAATGGTGTTCCTCAAGGGATCTTCATAACTTTTAAGTGTCGACAATGTGGCAGCGGGTAACCTTCGAATACTATAACGCTCGTGTTCCCAAGCGAGGCTATCGTCCGCGAGATTAATCTTTTTGTGCACACCCTCAACGTTTACGTTACCCATGAAATCCGAAGCAGCCTTCAATTCTTTGTAAATCGACCAACCTGGAGAGTTTTCTTTGGGTGGTTTTGATACATGAACGTATATGTTCTCGCCACTCGACAGCGAATCCAAACATAATACATATGAAGCATCCTGGAAAAAAATTTAATTTTCGTTCAGAAGTTAGTTCGTAAATTAATTTGATATAAGATATATATATTTACCTGAATAACAGAACCTTCAAGACCATCAAGCTGATCTTCCAACCATTTCTTACTGCCTTGGTAGTTCAATTTACCAGCTCCAGTTACAATGAAAACAAGATTGTATCGAGGTCGCGATCTGCCAGTAGAATATAGTACTGAAAATAGCCTAGCAAGTTCGAGAAGCATTGCCAATCCAGATGCATTGCTTTCTGCTCCAAATGACAATTCCTGCAAAAAGTAGATTTTATCATTAAGAATTACTCTAAAGCTAATTAATTAAAATCTATTTTAAAAAATTGCATTACTGATGCAGCACCAAGACTATCATAGTGAGCAACCAAAGCAATAGTTGGCAATCTATCTTCAGTTCCAGTTCCAGTTAACTTTCCATGCAAAGTAGCTACTTTTACATCGGTTTTGGCAATAGCTTGACTTGTAGATACTACCACTTGATAGCCGCTAGCTGAGATAGAATTGAATAGAGCTTCTGCTGCAGATCCAGCTTTATCATCAGTTATGAAACCATTCTCAATATCCTCTAGAATCAACATCAGTTCTGGATTCAATTGAGTAAAATACACTGGAATTGGACTTTCTGGGCCATAAATCATTGATTCTTCCAGAGACATGATATGCTGCAATATAACATTGAGTCAATATTAAATGAAAGTAATTTTATTAATTTATACAACATATTCGACTCTACCTGTTTTTGTTCATTGTTTAACTTATCAAGCTTTTCTGGAAGGACAACGATTAGTGCTCCAGCTTTTTGCCTGATGGCCTGAAAGTTTTCCGATGTAATATCTAAAGCTCTGGCAACGATACAGTGCCTTGATGTACTCCAACCTGTAAGAGACCTTGCTTCTAGCGAAATTGGAGCACTACGACATCCTAAAGTACAGGAGTTACTCCAAAAATTAATTTTTTTACATAGGAAATATAAAACATTAAATATATTCGCAATCTCTTACCATGAGGTATTCCATGCAAGTCATACTGGCTCATGCGAAAGACGGAAAACTCGTGAGAGGCGACCACGGGATTAGCCGGGGCGATAATAATGAAAATCGGCAACACTATGAGGAGATAATAAGGTAAGTAGCCTCGGCACAATTCAGCAAAGCTATCGCACTCCTCAACCCACATAGCTAAGCCGATTTTGTGTCAAGAATTTGCCCAGAGGAAAAATTTAATTTGCTCTATCGAAAAAGCGTTCAACGACACGACGACGGCTGCTAATATACCTATCTCACATACCGTGACGTCACCTCTTGATTTAACTGTCCGGGGCAAGGCCTGTTTCTATGTGACAGAATAGATACTGTATACGTGTATATATATCGCTATATAGATAGTCTCCAATGCATGGAGACTATATACATTGCTTCACGGGCAGACGACACTAACGGCACATCATTCTAAAATCGAATTTTGTTTTAGGTTAGGAGATACGCTATAGCTATAGAGAAAGGGAGGGTTGTCAAATTATATAAGGATTTCGTTTCGCACGACTACAATTTGTTAACATCGGGTGAGTGTTATTAATGCTGATTTAGTTAAAGATAAACTTTTTTGGAGCAAGCACTCTGATGTTTACAAAGAACATTCGTCATAAAATTATAGAATGAAATATTATTTGACATCGATTTGTAAGATAACCTTTCAAAAAGGTTTTGTTTGTATTGTTGATGTGTTCTCTATTGGCCTGTTTGAAAATTTGTTGACGACAGAAATTAATTATATATTCTGCTAAATTTTAGTCAGTAATTAAAATTTTACGCAAGTTTTGTTGTAAATGCCATTACTTTTTATCAGTCTGTGTTAATGTTTCTAATTGATCAATAACTTACCATTTGCTTAATCTTCTTTATATGCCATATGTACTTCTTTCTAATTGTTATGTTTCAAATTGAAAAACCAAAGCAATACTTTTGCTTTAAATTATTTAGTCAAATTTAGTCAAATTCTATTTGAATAGTAGTTTCAGAAAATGGGAGGTCATGATCATCATCACGTGAAAACTCCACCAGTACCAGATGCATCAATTTACAAAGTTGAAGACTATCCGTACTTAAACAACATTCAGAAACGGTTAGCTAAGCATGGATTAAAAGATCCATGGCTCAGAAATCATGTTTGGAGAGAAATGTTAAAGGATAGTGTCCCCAAGTACAAACGTAACTGGATTATGCTAGACATGCTTACAAGAGGCTGGAAGCTTTGGGTTCCTTTGGTAGGACTTACAATTGCAGTTGAGCAGTTTCTAGGCATTGATTATCATGCACATGGCCATGGTGATGAACACACAAAGCATCATTGAAGGTGATAAAATGTAATCAAGTAATTATGTATCATAATGAAACTCAAAGTTATAAGTTATTAATGTATAGGAGAATTACAAATTTAATAAAACTATTATATTAAAAAATTAACAAGTCAAGGCTTGTCTTTAATCAAAGTAGAAAGTTAAAGAGTATATATTTAGAAGGAAATTAACATTTAGATTTTATAAGTACAATTACAAAAGATATTAAAATTAGACCTTGACAGTAATGACATTGAGTATAAGAAAAACATGCAGATACTTGTTATCGAATAGAGAAGTATACTGGATATGTTTAAAATCTGAGAGAATATTAATTAGTATTGACTCTTAACGGATCAAAAATATATAAAAAAATTATGAAAACAGTCGAAAATATCATTCAAAATCTTAACAAGGGAAACTAAATTCACAATTCTACATTCATCACGTTTACATTAAAAATCTCTCGTCAATTAATGTTTTCTTAGCTAAATTCGTTTTACCATTAATTCTACAGATAGTAATTATCATCTGCGAAATAAGTAAGTTCACCATACAAGCGAGTATATAGTCTTCTGATAAAGCTTGAACAAAGATAAATAAAGCTATTTCAAAGGTTCCAAAAGTCCATTCATTGCCATAGAAGATAACTCGATCAAAACTATTATTTTTATCTGAAAAACATAATAATTAAGATTATGCAATTAAAATACCGACACGTAGAAAGATCGCAAAGTTACCAATGTAGAAAGTTGATTGATCGTCATTTCGTCCAACTTCGATATCACACAGCTTCTCCAACAAAAGTCTATCCTTGATAACGTAGTCCAAGTCTTTAAAACAATGGTCTATAAATGCCGTTAAAAACTTTTTTATTTTTGAATGAGTTTGCAAGCTCTTTTCCCAATTGATTGAGCCTAAAATATTCCTCCTTGAGAATCTACTTTCGCCCTGCAAATAACATTAACGTTAATTTTGAATTCGCATGATTTCTTATTCACAAACAACTTACTGTAGATTGTAAATCCAAAAGCTTGTGATAAATTTCTCGGAATGAAGAAGACAACGACACGATAAATGTTTGATCCGTCGTACCAGGAATCAAACCTCGATGAGCACATAGATTATTTTCCTCTTTTTTTAAGTCGTCAATTAAAGTTTCCAAATCCGTATCAGCATAGCCGTGTACCGACCTTCAAATATTAAATTTATTCAGTGCTTCCTCTTTATTATTTCATTGGCCTTATGTACCTTCCGTGAATGTAATAGCCATAGTAATCATAAGCAAAGATAAATATGCTTATATTTGCCACGGAACATAAGTCAACGAAATGTTGCATCCTATTCTTGATGTATCTCTCGTAGAAGACCACGGAAGTCATCCATTGCACGCAGTAGCAGAACATGTAAACCAAAGCTCCAACTCCGAACCTCAGAGTGAAGTTTTTCTCGTTAGATGAATGACTTTCGCTTTGATCGACTTGTAGTTCTGGTGTCGCTTGGGTCCAGTATTTCAATCCTACGATCTGAAATAACATTCGGTCAAATTTGAATTGTCTCGTTGTTTTATTTGTATTATCTCTTACTTCGAGCATAAAAAGAGTGAAAATGATCTGTAACGCAACGTTGACTCTCCTTTTAGTCTGAATCTTAAACCACTCGTTAGCGACAAAATACGTCCTCCAAATGCTAACAGGCAACAATTGATTCTTTTCCATTCTATCGGCTTCATTAACCCCATAGAAATCCGTGTGATTTTCAACTATTGCAGCTTTGTTATTATCGTCCTCGTGTTCTTCCTGACTATCGTCGTTGGAACGTTTTTTACTCCTTGCGGATAATGGAGTTCGCGTGCCTTCCTCAAAACGATTGTTGTAGAGCTTTTTCAAAGATGTGTGTGGTGAATCGTAGCGCATTGGTATTTGAATTGTTCGTGGCTGTTCCCAGTCGATGAAGAATACGTTAATTTTGCGGTGACGGTAGATCAATGCGCTGATTTCAGTGATCTGTAAATTTTTATTAAAATTATTGTTTTATTTATTCACTAAAATCTCTAGAAATTACCTTGAAACAAAAAGCTATGATAGTGCATGAATAAATCTTCGTTTCGACGCTATCAGTTGGCAGCAGAATATGAAGCACTGTTTGTCCTTTATAAAAAATGAAAGTGTAAACACAAACGCTAGTTGTAACTAGTAAAAGAACATTTCCAATTGCTCCGAGACAATAGATGAAAAACCATACAACTACTCCAAGACGTAGCACGCCGTTGTAATTTCTTTTACAGTAACTCCAAGTTTTTAAAGCTGAATATGCTAACGCAAATCCTGATAAGACACCTATAGCTATCTGTAAATTTAAAATTTATTCTAAATTGAATTTATTCTAAAATGAATTTATTCTAAGTTGACTACAAGAATTGCATATAAAATTTAAAAAAAACTTACTTCTATTGAATTATTTACATTCTTATTTGTTAGAAGGAAAATAACTTTGTAATCCACTTTGATTTGTATGTTGTCTTGAATGTCTTGCCTTTTCAATTCTCCATATTCAATAATAACTAGTGGTGAATAAATGTGACCTCCTTCATGATCATTTTGTACTTTAATTCTGAAATAAACAAATTTTTATTTTATACATTTACAATGAAAATAAGATAATGAAATATAAGGACTTACAAAATTTCTAATGATTTCATATATCTAAGTATGGAAAGCTCATCATCCTTTTTGAAAGAATCATCCACTAAATTTGGCATAGCTCTATAGCTTGATATACTATCAATAAGGAAAAATTTTTTTAAAGGCTGCCACTATAAAAAAAAGTATAGTAAAATTTTACATTGAATTAAAAATTATAAAATAGTTTATTTTTGTTTTACATACTCCCTTATTTTTAATAAAAACTGGCAAAGTACTTAGGAAAGCTTTTCCTTTTTCATTATACTGTAAATATGGTAAGAAAAAAAGTATTTCTCTGGCAGTCAATTCCTTTGCATAAATTCTACATTGTTTGTTGACATTCACTCCAAATCGAACATCATTCAAAAAAGTACAAAACAAATTTGGAGTATCAATATACTTTAGTTCACCATTCAAAGCAAATGTAGCAATTGTAAAATTTAAACGATTGTTCTAGAATAAATAAGACTTACAATTTAAATTTCTTTTTTTAATTGCAAAATGTAAAATATTCATATTGACTCTTACAGCATCATTTTTATCTAAGGTATACTTGACTGGAATTATTTTATCATTTGCAACAATTGGATATCCATCCTCCTCATAAAACATCCATAAAATATAATCAGGATTTTGTTGAGTTTTAGATAATTTGCATGGCACACTTTTGTCAGAAAGTGTTAAAGCACACATATTTGATAAGTGTTCACATGCTGTATTATCTCCATCCTTAAAAAAATTTAAAAAAAACTATAATTTTCTAATAAATGGTAAATAGTACACCTATCATAATATTTTTACAAACTTTGCATAAATAAGCTGAAAGTCTTAATTCTTTTCTAAAATAATAACTGTCTATACTTTCACTAGAAAATTGCACTAAATAAGTATTTCGTATGTCAATTAAATCTATTTCATTTTTATGAAAACAGTAGTCTTCTATTCTAACATGAGTAGTGATTGGACAAGCACAATTTGCATGACTACTTGTGGTAGCATTATTACAAGAGAGACACCTTAAACCATCTGATGAAGGATAACTATTTTCAGAACATTGTATGCATTTTATTGCTTTTAATAAGTCTCCATTTATTTCCCTTTCAACTGTAAGAAATTTATAAATGAAAATTCATCGAAAGTAAAAGTATTTGTATGACATGTAATTGAAGATACCTCTAATTTCATTTATGGCGCAATTGCAGGTAAGATTATCTACTTTTCTACAAGGAATACAGCTTTTTCTATCGGAAGTCAAAACTGTGCCTACAGGGCACAATTCACATTTTGGCAAATTGTATTCGAAACCAATTTTTTTACTGTACTTATTACATACACATGTAACACCTGCATCAATGATCTTGTGAAAATTTGTTTAATGATCAAAATAAATCATAATTACAAATAAGAAGAGTTTTTCACGTACCATTTTCTGATGGCTCTAAATTTCTTTTTTCATCACACTCAATACATGAAAACGACTTAATATCAAAATACTCATTACTCTTACAGTTCTTTGGATGATTGTATTCAAATATGTAATTATCGCTCTCTCCATAAGCTCTGATGCTGTGTAGAAAAGTTAAAAATATAAAAACTAACATAATGTTAATTGAATTGAAATTAAACATATTTTTAGAATAGTATGTGACTCAGCACTCAAGGTGTCATATTGTATTAATTATTACTGGCATATTTTATTTGTTTTTGTATACATAATAAAGGATTGCTATGGCAACCGTTTAAAGAATTCTACTTTATCAACGTGTGGATTAGCTTAATTGTGTATCGTAAAAATAAAATAAAATCTTATTTCTCCAATGACAGTTGTCGTAAGCAAATTAACGAAAGATATCGATTTTAATTTGTATATTGACGGTTTGTCGAAAATAAAAATATAACGGTGGTACAGTTTTTCTACGAAGATTTTGATTTATTTTCTACAAAACTTGATTAGCTGTTTTTGAGAATGATAAAAAAGCATATATTTAATATGAACTTTGTAACTAAATAAAGGATAAAAGTTCAGCTCTGTTTAGAGAAAAAAATCAGTATATAAAGTATATAAATAATCGTATTTGAAGCGAGTGTCTTCTTTGATAATTGACGACGTTATCGACAGTCACACGTTAGTAAATATATATTTAACAGCAAAATTGCTGAATTCGACATAAAACTCAAATGAAAAAATATGAAAATTATTAGAAAATAAAAATTAAAACATAAAATAACAAAAAGTTTAGTAAAAACTTCCAAAATTATTTTTCGACGGACGATACCATGATACTCGCTATTCTTCTCCCTCGTGGTTCCCTTTCTCGTCGCTCACTATAGCAATTTGCTAACACCGCGTACTATCCAGTTTCCAGTTTAGCTTTCGCCTTCGTCTTGTCACGCTGGTTTCGTGCCTTTCTTCCTTAGGAAGATCACATTATTTTTTTAAAATTATAATAATTATAAACAGGTAAGCAACACGCACGCGTATTAATCTTTAAAGAACACGTGTAAACACTATATGCCAGAAGTAAAAAAACGTAGAAATGATTAAATTGTGTTGACGCTTAGAACGTTTATTCTTTTGTTGATGAAATCTGAAATAATGTAAACATTTATAAGCACATAAAAATTGTGGTTCATCTTTCAAGTTCTTCCTTTATCGTAATACGAGAAGTTTAATTTCACTATTCTTGATAGCGTAGTTTCATATTGAGCGCAACCATTTTGTTACTATTCAACTTTTCTTGCTATAATTTTTCGAGTTTTTGGATAATTAAAATGTAATTTATATCGATAGATCCGTGATATTAAATTATTAAAGTGTATTCGTTCATGTGTGCTAAAAATTATGTAGGAATATGATTTAAATTGTATATAAGAGAAGAAGTACATGAGTTCCTGAGAGAGAACGCTGTTTTTCTTTGTTTCGCCGGTCAAAAGCAACACGTGTTTTCATTGAGCGCTCGGCAACGTGCGTTTATAAATATCATGAAATGAAAGGTTGGTCGTAAAATTTACAAATAAAAACGAAAAACTGGAATTTTTTAAGTTTCAGATTAAGTCGTTTACCCATACAAGTGGTTCACTACAAACGGAGAGATGGCTGCGTTAAGTAACGGACAAGTTACCAACGGCATCGCCGAGTAAGTTTTTTTTTCATTTTTTTCATTTTTGCTACTCAGTGTCATCCAGTAGTTTTTTATTTTACTGTGTAAAAGGCTGTTCATTTTCTTACGTTTCGTCACTAACTAAAATTTGAGTTATTTTTAAAGAAAGAATATGAGATCGTAGCGGTTTGTTTTTTTTTAAAGTTTATAAACTTTTCTATTCCTTCTGCTTCAACGTGCAATTGTTTGAAGAAACAAAAACGTTCTACTTTAGTTTTTGACTTATTGTTTATTGATGTCTTTACTGCCATTAGTTTACTTTGTAGAATAGTAATCTACAAAATGAAGATGTAAATAGGATAAACCACATATTAATGTTGAATTCTTTTTACAGAAAAGTTTACTCTATTCGTGTTGCTAATTTGCCTCCAACTTTAGAAGAGGTATATAAGTAAAAAGTGTGCAATTAGATTAATAAAGGAGGTAAAATACATAATAATGTAGGATTATTTTTCATATAGGATGCTATCAAGTTAATGTTTGAAAAGTATGGGAAAGTTGTAGCTATTATAGTATTTCCCAAGAAAAATCATACACAGGAGGCCTTCATTTCATATGGAAAGTATGTAGAAGCAGAGACTGCCATCAATGAGATGGACAAAGTACCACCTTTGAGCTTGCAAGTTGAATTCAAAGACAAAGATTTAATGGCAAAATCTTATCAAGAAGAAATTAAAATTCAATTGGATAAGCCTTACCATGATTATCGATTCCAAAAAAGCCATATGTGAGTAAAGCTCATATATTAACAAATTCAATTGCATAACTTAAAAAAAATGTTTTTTTTTATTTTTCCAGAGATGATCAATTACATATAAAAAAGGCCATTGGCATGGGTAAACCAAAATGTACACCTTCATCTTATCAAGTGAGTAACTACACACCCGATGATGAACTGCTTTGTCCAGTTCCATCAGATCCGTCAATGTATAACCCTTATGAACAACCTGGAGTTCACAAAGATCTCAACCTCATGTATATCAGGTTAGTATAAAAGGTAATATATTTCTTTAAATACTTGACAAATTGCTATGATTAAAAAAGATTTTCGTTCTGTTAAAGAGGGTTAGCACAGCTTATGAAAGATGGTCGCAGACGCATTGATCCTTCAGGCAGAGGCTACATATTTTATGATTTACCAGAGCCACATCATAATATTGACGAATTAGTTGCAAATGTCTGTGAGAAAAGAGATTTTGTAAGTTGATTGACTTTTGGTTGAAACATGAATTGTGATAGACTCTATGCTATAATTTTAATTTTTTTGGCAGGGTTATTATGAATATGCTCCAGATGATATAAATGATGACACAGGTATTTGCCAGGTATGTTCTTCTCCAACAGCATTTAGATGTCAGAAATGCTGCTTAGTGTTTTACTGTGGCAGACCTTGCCAAATAAAAGATTGGCTTCAGCACAAGATAGATTGCCAAGCTATTCCGTAAGTTGATAGAATAATTTTAAATGTTATGTGTTAGCAATTTTCAAATTTTTATATAAATTTTATTTTTAGTAAATTAGTGAAGAAGATTACTTTGCAAAATGGACATGAATCACCTAAGCAGAATGATTATCAAGCATCAGTAAAAAGTAGTTACGAAGCATCACCGTCGAATAGTTGTGAAGAACAACCAAAGATTCACATGGATGCACAACAAAGAGAAACAAAGCCGCAGCTTCGTCGTCCAAAATCAACATCACAGTGCAAACAACAATCGCCACCTAACGGTAACAAGTGTTATTTATATAAAATCTTCTTGTTTTTATGTTGTATCCATGTCATTAGAGAGATAGAAATTGTGCCTAATGAGAATTGAATATTTTTTTCAAGTTTGCGTAATATGAATTTTGCTGTTTAGGTTGAAGTGCAATAAATACAATAATTGAAGTAAAATATTTTAATTCAGTAAAAGTCATTCCTCAAAGTTGAATTAAACGCAAAATACATTAATTAATAAATTTTCTAGTTACAGCTCATCAAGAGAAGGCTAGGTCAAAAAGTCCAGCAAGTGTAAAAAGTCATGCAAGCAGCCAACGCAGTACCAATATAAACCATAAGACTTCTCTTGGAGACTTTAAAGTCGAGTCAACAAGTTTCTCCTTGAAACAGTCTAAACCAGTAGCGGTCAAATCTACCCAATCTGACGATGGCATCACCTTCACGGCGCCTAAAAATTGGTTTATATCTAAAGACAAATTTGAACGAGTGGTTGTTAATACTGTAATGAAGAAGGATGAATACTGGGTCCAAAAGGTGGAAGCTTGCGATATTATCGAAAAACTTATGGAGAAGCTTAAAGCATTCGCAAAAACTAAACGCCTTATCGAGCCTTCTCCGAATCTGAAATGCATCCTTGAACACGAAGAAGCTTGGTATAGAACCATTATAAACACCGTTCACGATGATCACATCACGGTGAGACATGCTTTTACAATTCGCTTTTAGTTTTAGTAATTTGTTATGACTACTATGCTACAAAATAGTGTATACATATTATAATTGAATTTTTCTGTTGTTATAATTCTATCATTATTTTTTAGGCTTTCTTCGTCGATTTCGGAACCTTCGCTTCTGTCAAAGTCAAGAGAGTTGTTCCAATCGACGATTTCGAAGATATTCCAACACAAGCTCGAAGAATCCGTTTTGTTGAAAATACAGACCCCAAACTCATGAATTTTCAAATTGGCGAAACAATGTATATCAAGGCAGTAACAATTTCAGACACTGGTGTCTTTATTGTTCAAGTTAAGGAAGATCCAGAAAATGTAAGATTACGTCATAATAGTTTTTACAATTTAATTTTCTTGTTTTTATTTTGATTTATTTACAATTTTTGTTTTTCAGACAAACCCCAAAGCTTCACCAGAAGAAGCAGCTCCGATATCTTCCAACGCATCAGTTTGTGCGACGCCTAAACAGTTATCTCCTAGGCAAATTGCGCTAGAAAAAATTGCAAGCTTTCCTAACGTCTTAAGCAATTTGGAAGTTGGTCAGGAAGGTGTAATAATGTTACACGCGCTACTCGGCAACAACGAAATGAACGTTAGCCTTATCCTTTCCGGACCTTGTTGGAATCAGTTTATGTCATTGGTAGGAGAGCTAGGTGATGCTTGTACGTCACAATTTGCGAAGAATCCTGATTATGAGTAAGTAAAATTGAAAACTTGTTATTTTGAAGAACATTTTTTACATAATTTGTACTTACAAATTGAAAATGAATACATATTATTTTTTAATTTAAAAATAAAAAAGCAAGTGCAATTTTCATTTGATTATATTGTGACGCTATTTTCATTTCAGACCTCTCGTTGGTGAATTTATATGTGGTGAACAAGCCGAAAATGAATGGTACAGAGGAATTGTGATAAGCTTAAATCCTGTTAAATTGGCGGTAGTAGACGAAGCTAGAGTATTTGTTCCTGCTAAGTGTACACCTATGCCAAAGGGTTATCACGATTTTAATGGTTTCGGCTTGTTGGCTAAAGAGATCACACCCCCATGTGCTGGGCTAGTATGTATTTATTGAAAATTATTTTTTGTGAAAATTAATTTTATGTTGATACATTTAAAAAAATGGCAAATACAATTCATAGGCTGGCAAAACTGGAGATTTCAAAGTACTTAGAGTTTCCGAATCCAAAGATTCAGCAGTAATATCATTAAGTGTGAAAGACCCAGAAGATGCCCCGACTTTCATTTACACTGGTGAAACTACAGTGTCTGCGTGGACACCTAAACCTGAGCAAAAAGGCATACAATGGGCCAAACTTACAAGTGGTCGTGAAGTATGCACCAATAATAATCACTTCTCACGTTACTATAAAAAGAAACACGAAATTAATGCATATTAATTTCACAGGTACAGATTATAGAAGCTTTTACTCACAACTTAATTTATGTGCACAGCATGGAGACAGAGGAAGCAGAACGTCGACATCGCCTTGAGCAAGAGATCGCTAAATGCGCTCTGAATCGTAGGTTTATTTGATCAAATATGTATTCGCAAAAGCAGAACATGTAATTAATAGAAACATTGTTGGGCTAAACCTAATAGGGAAACCTCTCCGAGATCTGCCAGTTGTTGGTCAACTTGTAATGGCTTATTACGAGAATGACGGCAATTATTATCGAGCCTATGTAGTGAGGGTTGAAAACAAAACTAACATTCAAATCAAATATGTCGATTACGGCAACGAGGCAAACGTCAAATTCGAACAATTGTTTGAGTTGCCAGACGATTTAAAAGAGGTAGTTGTTTTTTTTTTCTTTTTTGTTCTATGTAGTACACTTATTTATGGTAACTTATTAAGTAATAATTTTTTAACTTTCAAAGGAAAGAGCATGTGCGGCCAGAATCAAATTGAAAGACGTAGACGATAATATTCCGATGACAGAACAGGCAATGTCGTACTTGAGTGAACTGATAGCTCACGAAGTTGCTTTGACGTGTATATTTACTGGCAATCCGTGGCAGGTTGGAGTTGTTTTAAAAACTCCGAAAAATGAAAATGTCAATGAATTATTGTCATCCTACCTAAAACCTACTTGGCAGCAAAATAATAATGAAACAAGTATATTATTAATAATTTAGAATTCAGACTAGCTTGCTGTAATATTTTAAAAAATATACTTGTTTTTTTTCAGTTATCGATAAACCAATATATCTTATAAATCAGTTACCATCTTTGAAGATAGGCGACGTGGGTGATCAGATTCAAGCGATTGTACTCTGCTTTTATGAAGACCCTCCTAGCTTGATGTTAGCTCCTAATGATGAAACTATTATCCAAGCCATACAAGTAGATATGGTTGAAAGGGTAATTTATTGATATGTAATACTTGTATCGATATTATTCGTATTAAATAATTATTAATTATCAAAATTTATTGCAGATACAAGAGTACGTCAAAAATACTCCGGATCATTACATACCAAGAGAAAGAGAGCTATGCATTGCTTTGTATGATGGTGTCTACTATCGAGCAGTTTGTATGCACTCAAGTGCAACTCCAACGACAAGTCGTGTTACATTCATCGATTATGGAAACACAGAATGTGTCCAACATAAAGACATTCGTATGATGACGGATGATTTTATGAGCATGGGACCTTTGACAACTTTTTGTAGTCTCTCACGTAAGTTTTTATATACTCGGGTAATAATTTTCTTTTTTAAAACTTTATTTCTTTGTTACAGATATGATACCTAGTGAAAAATTGACTTCAGCAGTAACTAAGAGATTAAGTGAGCTTTTACCCGTAAACGAGCTGATAACAATCAAGATTATCTCGGAAGACAACGAAGATGGAACACCCTACATCGACATTCCTGAAATTCATATAAAATTAATGGAAGAAAAACTGCTCTAAGTTTTATTTATTTAACGAGAGTAGTTTATATTTTGACATAGATTTTTAGTTTTTTAGCACGTAATGACTCGAAGCTTATAAAAAAAAACTTTTTTTATTTTTCTATGATAATAATGAAAGAAACAAATTGAAGGTATTACAGATTTAGAGTCCAAGAAAATGTTAATCATTGAGAATTTTATTATTCTGACAAAAACTTGTGTCGATTATGTTGAGTTACCTTTTTTTAAGGATCCACATCGTTTTAAGGAAAAAGTTGAAATACGACTACTATATTAATAGTTTTTAAGTCGTATAAATCTTTGTACTTTGTACTTTTATATTATAATTGCTTTTTTATAAGACGCATTGCCATATTTTTGTTGGAATAGAAATGAAAAAACAAAAAACTGATTTTAGAAATAAAAACATTTTTATGAATCTTAATGTTAATGCTTACAAAATAACTTGTAAGTTCCGAAAATAACTCGAAATAATCCGCGTAATAAATCATCTGATGTTACTTCCATTTTCATACACCAGAGGCCGTTCAAATCACCTAGTTCACTAACAGTAAAGATGTTTTCAATAATTTCAGCAATTATTTTTTAACTAGTTCTTAATAAAAATTCTTTCTTCAAAGTTGATAAGTAGTACACATTCTGATTAACTTTCAAGAGATATTGGTGCACTTGTTCATAATGCATTGTAAATAGCATTCACCATATATTACCACACTGAGAAAAGTAAATCCATAACCAAACAGCTTATAAGTTGAAAGTGAGGATGAGAAATTATTGTTGCCAAAGTTGTTTATGACTTGAAAAAAGAAAAAACTACTCTGACGAAATAGAAATGAGCGTTCAACAAAACAGATACCCCTATGAGGGGTTACTTTACAAGTATACTAATGCTATGAAAGGATGGCAGTATCGATGGTTCATACTAAATCCTGAAACTGGTGAACTGCACTATTTTCTCAGCGAATCTGAGAAAAACCAAAAACCAAGGTGTTCTATTTATCTGGCTGGGGCAGTCATTGCACCTAGTGATGAGGATTCCAATACCTTCATTGTCAATTCTGCCACAGGTAAATTTTGTTGATAGTCATTACAGTCTCAAAAAATTTACCCTAACTATGATTTGATTTAATATTAATTTATTAAACTTTGATTAATTAATTGTTGATATTATTTAGAATATTCATTGATTAGATTTGTATATGAAATTAATGGTGTAATATCAAGTGCTAATTTTAGGTACTTACTTATATATAAATATTTTATTTTATATATATTAAATTCATTTTTATTATATGCCACTGCTTCTTCGTAACATAATAAATCACAAAAATTATTCTACAAGACGCTTGAAAATTTTAATTACCAAAATTATTAATTTTTCAGGTGACATGTTTAAACTAAGAGCCACAGATGCGCGAGCTCGTCAAGAATGGGTAGACAAGTTACGCGCCGTAACAGAAATGTATACCAGAGCCATTGCAAGTAGTCATCCACCGTTACGACCACGAGAGCATTCAGCATCCTTAAGACCATCTAGTAGCAGCAGCAGCAGTGGCAATCCAGTAGTGAAACTGGAAGTTTTAGACGCGTTCGCCAATTGCCGTGAACAGCTAAACAAGGCTGAGAAACAGAGCCTATCCCTGGCTCAGAGCATTGAGATGTCAAGTTTGAATTTAGACCCGGATTTATTGGTTCTTAAGGCCACAGCTTACGCAACAGTCTATACCCTGAATCAATGTTTGAACATCCTGTACCAGTAGCGTGCGCTAGAGGAAGCCAAAACCAGGGGAGTCAGACCCAAAATCAACGGCGGTCTCTGGTGGAAGTGTGTTCTTGCTAAGAAACCCAAATGAGTTGATGTGAGAGTGCATTACATAGGTATTGTTGATAAATTTTTGGTGATTGGCTGCCTCCTTTAATAATACGTGTTGAATTCTATGTGCAGAGACTGCAAGTATAGTTGCCTTGTGATTAGAGATTATACACATAAGTATATCTTTAACTTGAGTTGGATCTGGCTGTGTAGTGCAAGAGCATGGTTAGCTTACATTGTATATACATGCTGAATTGAGACTTGCCAAAAAAATGTATTCTAAACAGTAAATTTAAAGTTATATACACTACAATTTTTCTCTCTATGTCTTAATATTCTATAAAAGCTTAATTACACAATTGAATAATGTACAAAGTATCATAACTACCTGGTGAACATTTTTGCCACAAACATTAATAAAATTAGACTTGTGCACTTATACTGCACAGCCATGAAATTCCTAATTGCTACATATAACTAATATGCAAGCAAGAAAGAGATATAATTGTAAAAAAAAATTATACCAGCTTGCCAGGTATAAAATATATTAATCTTATATTATAATACTTATATTTTTTATGAGCAAAAGTGTACATAATATATTTAAAATTTATTACTATTTTGATGCTTTTAACTTAGAATTTTGTCAACTTACAAACATTCCTGGTGGTGCTATAACAGGCATAGTATTTGACAAATGTTTACTTGTACATTACTTGCGGATTTATTTTCAAATCTATAGTGAAAAATCTGAAATACATTTCATCTTAGTTTATCTTGCATTACAATTGCAGGTAAAGGTAAAATAAATTCCTAGAGAGATTGTTTCTTTATTTTTTTTGCTTTCTTCAGAGGATATAAAGATGACACAATAATAGTTGTGAATACTTGCCTTTTCAATTATAAGTCTTTCAAGTATGTAGTGTTGAAATTGTTGAATCGAAACTGGTTCTCGATAAAAGAAACTATATACCATGACTAGCTTGTTAAGATATTGCTTATTTTCAAATACACACATTTGCCATTTAATTTTTTACTCCGTAATAATTGAACATCTATTATAGTCTTGAAAACTTGAGTAAGAGTGAAGATGAAGTACAAACTAATTTTCATAGTATTCTTTATGAGTTTATTTGGGTGCAAAGAAATACTTCTTACATATCACTAAATGACAAAAAGTGAATAATCCAAAATCTTTGCCTTCCAAAAAAATAGTACATTTAATTGTCTATGTTGTAATGATAAATGAGACAATATTTTGTTTTTACTGTATATTAATATAAAGTTTAATTTAGCTTAGCTTTTTTTGTTAACTTAATTGGTGGGCATTAAGAATCTTTATTTATACTGTATATAAATAATAACTGAGAACACCTATTAATGTAGAAAGAGTGTTCATCAGTTCGTAATAATGTAGATAGTATTTTTTATGTAAATGGACATTAAAAAAAAATCGTAAATAAAAATTGACCGTTGAAACTTTAAACACTAAATTTAGTTATTTATTAGGAAATAACCCAACTACGAGTTGATTTCAAAAGTAAATATTTGACTTTACGACAATGACATTCAATATTTCATGTTTGAAGAATGCCTTCATCAAACATTTTACTTTGTGATTTTTACTTATTTCCGAAATAGACACAAGGTTTGCTTCCACTATAAACGTAACACGCGTCGTGATTTTTAAAGGATCGCGAGCATACGCTGTATGAATTCCCCGTAAAAAAGAACGTTCACTCGAATAGTTAACGCTTTACGACCAAGTAAATTGTCGAAGGCAAGAGAAATCAAGTGCATTAAGTAAGAGTAAAGAAGACTAACAAGAACGTGATTGTATTTTGGAAGCGCATTTAATTGAGTTGGAAGCACGAGTAAAAATATTTCTATTCCACTCGTGGCCGTTTAACTGATCTCTCATGGATCTCGCGTCGACCCTCGAGTCTTGATAGAAATTCACGTCGAAGCCCGAGAATGACTCGCTCCGAAATTACGCCGGCGGGTCCTCCACACTGCCAAGAGCAAATGGTATAAGTAGGTGAAGGCTTTTTTCCTTCTCTCTCGCGCCTCACGAGGACTTTCGGCCGCTCGCTGCGACGGGCTCTCGCGCACAGTTTTCGCGCGCTCGCACCGGCGATCGGTCGACGAGGGCAAAATGAGCGACGAGTGCTGGAGCTGCCACGCGCCGATGATCTCGATCGGCCGCGAGGAGGTCGTGTTGGACAGCGGGAACTGGCGCTCGTCCACCGGCAGCAAGTCTCACGGCTTCCATCTGGTGCGCTCCAAGTGGGACCCGTACCCTTGGATCAGCTCGGTGGAGAGTGCGAGCAGCGCCCACGCCTCGGGGCTCAGGTACTCGAAACGTTTAGTTCGCCGGGCGCCGCCGACTGCTCTTGATCGGACGAACGACTGACACCTCCGCAGGCCGGGCGATTGTTTGCTGGAGGTCGACGGTCGCGACGTGTTGGGCCTGGAGATGAAAGACATCGCCTACCTGATCGGCAAGGCCGACCGCGTGAGCCTGAGCGTCTGGAGACGACCGTCGAGAGGTCCGCGCAGAGGCGCCGAGGACGACATCGAGGCCAACGACTTGCGCGACGATCGCGACGTAAGTGCGCGCTGCTTTGCGCCTATCCGCAAAGAGTCAGCTTGGAAAAATCGCAGGGAACGCTCCTCGAAGGTCCGCTGCCGGAAGTAGCTCGCAAGCTCGTCAAGGCCGTCTCGGGAGTGGTGAAAGCGCTCGAGTGCCCGGTTTGCCTCGAGAGCGCAGCACCGCCTGTCTCCCAGTGCGTGCACGGGCACCTGTTGTGCTTCGGCTGTCGTTTGAAGACCGAACGCTGTCCCGTATGTCGCGTGCGTCTCGGTCAAGGCCGCTGTCTTCTCGCTGACAAATCCCATCGCGCGCTCACCGAAGCGTTGCTCGACCCGCCGCCGCCAAGCGTTATTGCCAGGAGCTGCGAGGACAACGGCGACGAAACGGCTGGAGCGGTGAGTTGCCCAGTCCTGGCTCTCCTCTCGAACCGTCCGAGTTCATTGAATGTCTTGCAGTCTCGCTCCCTACACGACAGCATCTTCGGCCCGTCGCCGCAGCCTAAGAAGCACAAGAGCCCGATCTCGCCGTCGAAAGCCAAGCACCTGTTCTCCAAAATTCTGTCGTCGAGCGCCGGCGGTGCCTGCAGCAGCAGACTGGACGATCGAAACGTGTCCACGGAGAGTTTGCCGACGGCCGCAATCACGAGTATGGACGGTAATTTGCTTTACGGTCGTAGATGGCTGCTTCGACTTTACGACCGTCGAAAGTCGGCTAGTACCGGTGAGCTGCACAAAGGTAACGAAACGCCCGACACGGGTTCGTACACCGAATTGAGAGAACAAGGGGCCGCCGATTCGGGCTCGCTGCTCAGCGTACCGCAGGTAGCAACGCACAATATCTTAGCATTTGCGTAACGAAAGGACAATGCTGACAAACGGTGACAATGTAGACACCAGTTTGGGGAGGATCCACCGAATCAATGACCAACTCACGGGTCTACTGTCCTCTGAGAAGCTGCAGGGAGTTGCTCAACTGTAACACCCTCATGGCACACCTGTCCCAGCAGCACAATGGTCCATTGATACACTTTTACCGGAAAAAGATTGTCCTGCCATTTCCTCTTCCATTTGGCGTGGAGGCTACCTACGTCTTGCACGAGAAAGACGAAATTTTTTTGCTTCAGGTACGCGACACGACTGCCTTTTTTTTTCTGTCAAGACAGAAAGTCTAATTGGAACTTTCGTCTTTTTCAGAATGAAGACGACAAAGTTTGGATGTCGAACGCACATGCTAACTGTGGTACAAGTTGGGAATGGCTATTGCAAGCTACGTCCGACGATGGCGTGGAATTACATTTAAGGAAAGAAGTTGCGAGTTTGAGAGAAACTTGCGAGTTGGAACAGCATAACGTCGCGACGATACCGCCGAACTTTACTGGGAAACATGTGACAATATCGTTGATCGAGTTAGTTGCCGAGGGTTGCGTAAAAATATAAGCGATGTAATTTTCTTTTTTTCTAAAGGACGGTAATAAAACTTTATTTTCATTACGTAGGCAGTACAACAATTTGGTCTCTTAAACATTTAAAGGCACTTATATTTTGATTGGCACGTAGAGATCATTTCTTCAAACGTTCAATAATCTTAAATAGATACACAGTACAATAATAAAGAACAATTATTATTCCAGTGCTTAGCTATTGGAATAGCTAAAGTAATTAATTAAGTAATAGCTATTAGAATAGCTAAAGTTAAATTTATATAAACTTTTTTCTTTTTATGTTTAGATAATAAAAAAAAGTATAATGTACACAACTTTAAGAATGAGGGTGCAATACATTGAGTTTGTACTGTCACTGGTATTTTCGTAAACATTTACATTAGAGATAAAAAATTTTTTAAAATTAATTAAAGATATTTCATAGAATGTTTATCATTTCTTTTTTTTTTTTATTGTAAAAAGAACAAAATTTATATCTAATTTGTTTGTAAATAATGCGTTGATACTCCTGAGCTATCAACATTTTCCATAAACTTAAGACATGCAAAGCAAAAAACTATAAAATCTAGAAAATAATTAAATTGTAAAAATGTAGCCAAAGTCATTATATGATAAAAAAATCAATCACTCAATATTTTGCGCCCTCTTACAAAACAAATAATACGTATTATCCTGAATTAATAAATTTTTTTAGAACATCATCCATATACGGTTTGTATAAGTCATGATTGTTAGATCTGTAGGCCGATCCTGCCATACAGTCATGCGCGTATTTAAGAATTGAGTTATAATTATCACGACCAACAATTTTTAAATCAAGACGAAACACCTTGCTGTTCTCTTTACTATTTTCCGTCAATAACTTCTTTCCTGGTGGTGGAGCACCAGGCACGTTTACCATTTTTCTTTTCTTACTTCCTGATCCAACTGAAACTGTTGCATCACGAGAACTTGTTTCTCCTTCCTCCTTCTCTTTGTCTCTTTTTGGGCAACTGCAAACCCTTAACTCAAGCTTTCTCCTTCCAAGGATCTGATTTTGCTGGGATTCTAGAGTAAAAATCAGTTCGGTTGGCCGACGATTCATACCGGACGTGCAACTGTTTTTACAATAAAACGTGAAATCCATAGGCACATAGGAGACTCCCGCTTCAGGAATTCCCAGTGGTGTTAAAACAGACAAATGCCCATTTGCGGCCTCTTCGTATGTAGATGCACTGTGTGTGCATCTAATTACATGCTTAACTTGCAGTGGATTTATATTCCTATTAGAATTATTATCTGGTGCCATATGATTAGGGCACCTAATAACAGGTTGAGATCTGTGTTGATCTAATTTGTAGACCATAGTCGCTCTAACCCATAATCCATCTTGAGGTGGTGCCCACGAGAACTGTAATGGCAGCACTTCCTCCATGTGGATAAATACTTTCTGAAGCTTTTGAGAGTACTGCAACAGAAACAGGAAAATTTCCTCAGCATACAATAAAAAATATCATTGTTTAAGAATAATAATAATCCTTATACTTACCACCCAATGTTTGTTTAGATTTTGATCGTTCAAGATGAGTTGAAAATTGTAGTCTCCTGCAAACTCTTCTTTAGCGTGGATAGGTGTAGGAAGCTGTTGTGGTATAACGTACTGTGATTGATGCAAGTATTGTTGCTGCGGTTGCTGCGGTTGCTCAACTAAAACGAGCTGCTGTTGAAGCGACATTTTACTGTCTACAGGAAGCGATGCGTCCTGTTCATCGTATGATTGCAAGAAAGAATTTTGGGCAAACTCCAAGTTTGAAAATGATGAATAAGGGTCCAATTCTCTGAAATATTAATTAACAAGTTAGTACAATATCATAACAAGCTATTCATTGCTATCTTGTCTTTCTTATCAATTAACCAATAGATTTAACTACAAAAATTAATAGAAAGTAATACAACATTATAAATAATTTGTCAATGAAGTATAATAATTCATATGCTTAATAAAATTATTTTCTTAGATTTTGCAAATAAAGTAATTGAGAGTAATTTATCACAGCTAAATTTATGAGTATAGAATAAATATTAAACGATCAATAGTACCTTAGAAAAACCTTCAATAAGCAGCGTGCAAAACCGGTTTTTTAAAGAAGCGCGAGCAGACACATGTACTATACTGAGCAGAACGCACACAGTCACATACACTTGCGTGGGGTAGGTCGGCCCTTTTGATTGTTTTGACAAGTCGCAACGTGCACAGGCTGAGTTTAAAAAAATGCGCAGTTTCGCACACGACTATGATGCCCAATTTTAACCAAAGGATTCATACACCACCGAATTCCCTTATTTCGAGTCTTATGTGGTTATGTACAATGCCAAATGGAAAGGAAAAAAAAAAAAAGATACATGTAGTTTTACTTCACTAGACGAGTTTTTTTACAAATAATAATAAAAATAACAATAATAATACTGGAATGACTGTAACAAGGTTACAGTAACAAAACACCTTTTCGGTAAAAAAGACGTGAAAACAAAATAGAATGGTTTAAAAACTGTCGTTCTAAGAAACAAAGCGTAGTTGGCAGAATTCGCGATGAAATTGTTGAAAAATAAACTCGACGTTTCTTCAACTCTAGGTAACGTTTGACCGGTTATCGAAAACGGCTCAATTTATTTAAAAAATGTTGAAATACATATCCAACAAAAGGAATAGGGAGACAAAGAATACAAACTATGACGTAAGACAGTATATTATGTCGAATCACAAAAACTAGAATCTCCATAGAAAGTGAAATTTCTACAAATTTGCGAATTGAATAAACATACGGTATCAAACCACTGGCTCAGTCGCATTATGCAATAAACATTATAAATATGCCATTATGTATACAACCAATTCCCCATAAATAACGGTTGTCGTTTTAAAAAGAATTCGTTACAACGGCCGGTCCTGTAGACAAAGAAAGCGTCTATTTCTTTACTTTCTAACTTAAAAACAATTGAAATGCATGTTACCTCCCGGTATTACGTTAAGAAAAATAGCCAGTGCACTTTGCTTATACTAATAAATCCACATAAAGGGCTAACGCAAGGTCCTTGATTCGCGGCATGCGTTTAGGTTATAAATAAGGTACTTACAAATGGTTGGAGATCTCTTTCATGTTACTATCCATAGCCAATTCATGAAGGAGTTGCTCTTCTTGACTGTTGGTCAACATTGTTGTTATAGAATCACAGGACAACAGATAGGACACCACAATCAATGGATTCGCCACCTTGTAAAAGGCGACGCGCCGCTGTTTTGCGATCTATGCTCCTGTTGCCGCCGAAACGTACGTTACTTTCTTTTTTTCTTGTGTCGTCCTCCCTCGCGCTCGCGCCACTGATTGTACCGGTGGGTTGTGAGGAGGGGGGTGGGGTGGTGATGTGATAATCGATTTTACCTTTGCGCGGGAAATGATCGATTCGATATGTTTATTTGAATTTTCTTTAAATAAAATATGTATTTATTTATAAATACATAAAAACGTATTCTTTATATTTAAGGAAATTCTTTTTTTAGAAAAAATTAGTTTTTGACTTTAATTACAATTACTCATTTTTTAGATTAGCTTTTATATACTTATAATTTAGTGTATTATTTGATGATAATTTTTTCAGCCTTCATTTGTTACAGTAGCTACTAAATAATTCTGCAGAAAAATGAGTAGTGTTATTTTCAGTTCTTAATTTATCAAAATCATTACTTGTTTATTAATCAAATTTAATAGCTTTTTTACTCTTTAGTTAGGACTTTAAAGTTAAAATTTTCTAAACAAGTTTTTATTACAAAACTGACTGATACAAAAAAGATCAGTGTTACCAAATAGGAATTTCTTCTCTCCTTATATTTTTTCTCCTATATAATATGTGTGTGTGTGTATCCATTATATATGTGTAAATATGTGCATTTATATATATAGATGCTAAAAAAGAGAAATTTTGATTTTTCGTATACTTCGGATTATTTATATTATATAGCTATAGGACTCCTTTCCTGAACCCTCACTACACATTAGATTACCTTGCGAATATTTCAGTAGTCATCAATAATTCAATATATAAATAATTAACACGGATAATAATCTGCAAGAATAGAAATCTGCCGTTTACAAATCGTTTTAAAAAAATAAGAGGTTCAATTTTAAAATTACATTAGAATAATTAGTACGAATCTATGATTTGTTTACCATCTATGAAATTATAGTAGTATTATCTTAAAATCTGACTGAAAGAGAAAAAAAGAGAATAGAATAAAATGGAGGAAATCATATTTTTTTTACATTATAAAATTAGAGGTGTGCGGAAAACGGAAACTCATTTTCAGAATATTAAATTTGGAGAAACTAATACTAATATAACACTTTGGCTGTAGAAAACTATTGCTATTAAGTAAATTTATTGTTGTACGTTTCAAATAATGTAATAAGAAAAAAACAAAAAAATGCGAGAAGTACGCTAACAAACGCTAATTTCTTAACAAAATTGAAAACAGTTTATTATTCCAAAACAGTGCCTTTATTTATTATATGTAGCTTAACAATATAATATATCGTTTTTCATAATACTATTGTCGTCGTAAATTTTAGAAATCTTATCTAAATTTACAATGCAGACATTGTAAAAATATTTCTTTTTTTTCATTTGATATTGATATTTAAAACTTCTTTGAAGTTGATAATATTTACAATTTCTTTTTACACGTACATTAATCAAGATATTTTATCATTTTCATCAGCAGTTTCCCACACAAGACCTTCTCCATATGGTCCATGAGTTGAAGGGAATAATATGTACCACCAATTTCTAAGACAAACAAAATTTCTATTGAGGATAATTCAGTTATATATTCTCTTTGTGATAAATATTTCTGTTTATTACCTGTCCTTGAGTCCTAAAAATATCTTCCAATTTTCTTTTTTACCAAAGTTATAAGGATTTCGATACTTCTTTCCTTGTGTTTTATACTTTTTATCTAAAGTTGCATTGATACGTCCTTCAATGCTTGTCTCTCCTCTAGTAATCAAGCCAGCATGCCACCATGTTAAACCACCTAAAGCTGCAACCGTTGCGACTACAATAAAAGCTGCTAAAACAATTAGTTTTCTCCTATATTCAATTTCTCTTGTTTCAGCTGCCTGTCTAGCTATTTCTTGTTTTTCTTCTTGAGTCAGGTGTTCCAATGATTCAGACTGCAATCGAAAATTATATTTATTATAACTTATTTATAGATTAAACTAAACTGTAAAAATTGAAAATGCTATAATTACCATTGGTATAATTTCTGAATTGTTGATGCGTACAGGATGACCTTCAATGTCTGGATCTGGAGACAGAAAAAATTCTTCATAGGCTATCTGTACTCCAAATATTATAATAAAAATCACTCCAGCCACTGTGAAAGCCATATATTGAAAAAAGTACCTATGGTTGTAGTGGCCAACACAATTATTTAACCAAGCTATATTTAAACCATTGAAAATGTTTTAGACATTATCTACATTAGAAATATAGTATTAGGTCAATTAAATTTTTACATACGACAGTGATGGTCCATTTTCAAGACACATTTATTGCATATGGAACAGTGATGTGTTCTTGGTGGCTTTGGTTTAATACATTTCTTACAAATACTAACAGCCTCAGGGATTAAACCTCCATTTGGTGGATAGCCTGCAGGAACATTTATTCCCATGTAATAATGGAAGCAAATATTTATTAAAAGCCAATTTCCAATGATTACTAGCACAATTGTAAACAATGGACTCCTTTCCCACCACCAAGGAAAGCCTATGTAATATGCTATGTATACCATTAGAGCTGTCAATATGGAAACCATCACTACGAAAACCTATGAAAAATTATCAAAAAATATAGGAACAGAGACATAACATTATAATAACTCAGATACTTACTGGACCAAGATAGGCAGTGAAATTTTCAACAAACCATAAAATAGGCTCCAATAATGTGTCACAAACATAACTCCAATTCAAATAATGGTTGTAAAATAAGGATTTAAAGGTAATCTTTGTACGAAACCAATATTGCTTGAGCCTATAACAGTTATACAGTTTATAGTGAATAACAAGATTATAAATGTACATTTGTTTTCTTACCATTGGAATGATGGTTGTTTTATCACAGTCCAATGAATTTTTGCCATTATATTCACATAATACTGTATCTTCATAAATTATAGATGTTTCTAAAATGACTAGAGTACAACCAATCTGTCCATTTCATCTCCAAATCAATGTGGATGATTTTGACAGTTCATTTAACTTGTGTCAAGACATTGTTTACGGGATAAAAATATTATGTAAAAGTTACTATCTCTTGTATAAACAGTTCGAAAAATAAAAGATAAAACCCATTCTATCTTCTTTCACAGTTCCTATAACAAAAAATTGATATTTTTACAAATGCCTTTACTTTTCGAGAACTTGCGATAATATTCTTATATTATAATATTATTGCTGTTCATTGTTGAATAAGGGATAAAAAACTAATAAACAACCTATCGATCGTATAATCTTAAGATTGTGTGATGTTGTCTTAAGGTTATATTTACTTCCCCACAGCGCTCTATATATGTACCAAATTTTCTATTCAATCAACGCACGAGGTGCAAGATCGCGCTCGGTAACGTAGGATTCTGATCCCAATATTGTATAATCTTTGTATTTTATTTTTTAATTTTAGTTTTAAATTAAAAATGAAACAAAAAGCAATTAATTCAGCATAGTATTTCCTTTTCTCGGTTTAGCGGACTCATCCTTTACCGACTTACCTTCTCGTGATATCAGAAGATGCAGACGGCTCTGATAGCAGGTGACATCTGTTACACGATCAATATAGTATGCTTTTAGTACTGAGTTTTTTATTATTTTGAAAGGGATTGCTAACAACTTGCAATTAGAATTTATCGAAGAAAAAATTATGAAATTAACAAAAAGGTACATTGAAATAAATGTCGTGTTGTTGTCGATGAACAATCGACTGACCTAAATATAACAAAGAATACGCAACACCTTCCACAATAAATTTATTGCAATAACAATCCTTAATAATAACAAGCCTTCAGCCATTTCATTGTCTTCATATTGCTTTATCTCGGGAAATACATTCTCGTTGTTCCCTCGTATAAAGAGATCAACTTTGTCCACTTGTCGCTCAATTTTGTTCCTTGGTACTGGGAAGCTTTCACAGGTTCACAATAATTAACAACAAATAATGAATAAGCAGCGAAATGATATTTTTTATTGAAAAAGTTTGGCGAGCGCGATGTCGGGCGCCTAACTTTTTCTGCTGATAACACTTGCGGCGATGACATTGTTTCTGTATAGCCGATGCACATCGCAGCGAGCGTCGTAAAACCAATACACAACCAACTACCGAGTTATCTGGATTTATCGTTGGCCCGTATAAATCATTGATGGCACCTGCTTAGCGCCACCGTCCAATTTCGAACACATATCGAAGGTCTGAGGGTGAATAAATTTCAACGACCACTTGTTCATTTTTTTTGTCAATAAAATATTTATTGTAGAGAATGCATGACATTAGAATTCGACGCTTGCCTTTTGTTTTTATCTTTTACTTTATACGTACCTCGATTACAGACTCAATTTTAAATTACGAGAGTGCGATATAATCAGCCTGTTCGCAAAGAACAACAAAAAAAGAGAGAATTTCCTCTGGCGCGCTTGCCATCGCTCTTCCGGGGATCAAATGCATTTCGTATAGCTATCTGTGTACGTGTACACGCAGAGGCGGGGTGCGCAACAGTCGCGACGAAAAAAACGCAATTTTTCCCCCATAGGGATGCAGTGCAATACAATTATATTAGAGCTGAAAGTTGCTTCTTTAACAATTAGAATTTACAGATAAACCTCTCTCCTTCTCAGTTAAATTCGTATTTATAACATTACCTAATATATATCTCGATTGTGTAAATTGTTTTTTATTTTGCAGCCTTGTAAAATTTTTTTCGTTCCGTGCGTGTATATATATGTATGTATGTATATATACACATATGTATATTTCTACATATTCTGTAAAATCGACAAACTCGCGCTGCTGACAAATCCTAAAACGTACCTCCTCTTAATCCATAACCCTAAGATACATTTCGAAGAACGGTACTTGTATAACGCTTCTTATAATGTAGAAAGACGAACGGGTAAAGAAAGAAAAAAAAAAAAAAAAAAAAAAAAGTCATTCGCCGTCGCACACACTCGCGGAGAAACAACTCTTGCGCACGCTACATCGATTGCGCCCTCCCTTAACTCAGCATCTTCGCTCTCCCATCCGACGTGACAGCGCGAGGCCGCAGGAAGGCAGCCCGACGCCACGCACGCTCTCGCTCCACCGACGACCTACAAACTGCGAAACCTTCGCGGGTTCGTCGATCATTAGATTTTTCTTTAGCCTTTTGTCTTTTCAGCGGCTATCGGCGCCTTGGCTCGTTTGGCCGAATGTAGGTCGGTCTCCGCGCCTCCAGCCGCGCCGAGCACGCTTACGTATGCGCGGGCAGCGGTGGTGCGAGGCTTCGACGTTCCGCAGCTCGCGTACGCACGCACGCACGCACGCACAGCTCGACGGGGAGGCGGCGTCTCTTCGTACGCGCACCGCATTCGTACACTTACGCGATACACGGAATTCATTTTGTTTATTTACGCTTTTTGGCAAAAGAAACTATTGTAATACCTGAAACACTTACGTTATTTGTCCTACCGAGGGAAAGCCGTTCGTCGTTCTCTCTCGCGACTGCGGCGTTCTGCGTCGTCTCGCGCGAAGAAGAGAAAGAAAGAGGGGCGGGAGAGAAGATTGTACATTGCTACACGGAGCCGCGAGAAGCCTGCTTAGCAGATATAATCACGCGAGTCGCGCGCGCGTACGAAGGCAAGCCAAAGGTCCGCCAGCGACATTGTATTGAGCCTCCGACCGACGTTGTTCCCAACAGCTTCCGCTCTTGCCGGCGCCGTCTATACGAGATTAACTGCCGGGTTACTCTGGACCGAGCTCGGATAGATCGACGGCGCCGTCGCCGCTTCGTTAGCGCCGCCTTCGAGCTTTTTCTTTGTTGCCTCGTGCTCGGGAGTGAATTTACATTTTCAGCGGGAGCTCGCTGAACACGAACGCTCCAATCGATGCGCGATACGGAGAGCGTACTCGAGTCGAAAGCCTCCCGCCGAGGAGAGCGATCGACGCCGCGCCCGATTGATTAGCCTCAGCGCGCCCGAGATAAATATGCCGGCTTTGGCGCGGCAGCGCGAAATGGGCAATAATCTTCGATCGGCCGCGACGCTGTCTCGCGGCCGGGCGCGTCAATCGCCGCGGCGTGGCCGTTGGCTTGCCTCGTCGCGTGGTGTCGTGGCGACCACGTCCGTTTTGTCGCTGCGCTTCTCGCTTTGCTTCGTGTACGCGTTATTCTCGTCGAACTCTTGAAAGACTGGATGGGTCCATTGTTTTGCACGCGCGCGCGAGTTTTCACTTATTTATTTGTTTTTTCTTTTTTCTTTTTTCTGTTTTTTTTTTGCTTTCTTGATCAGGTACGATACGCCGTCGGTGGGCTTTTCTTATGTACAATGATCGTTGCTACCTACAGTAGGAGACGCTACGCGGTGGCTTACGCGACTAATATAACGACGACTCAGGTACGTGAGATTTCCTTTTCTCTTAGCTATAGTATCGAAAGAGTATCTAGGCTGTGTTTTCTTTTTCTTTGTCTCAACTATATAAAAAATTTCGCTTACGACAACGACCTTATATTTATGTATAATCTCTTGCGAAAATTGTTGCTTGGAAGATAGAGGTTTTTTTTTCGTTTGCTTTTCTTTTCCAGTAAGACACAATTAGATCGTTCTGTTTTGTCCGTGAAAATCAAAGAGGTTTGGAAGAAGGTAATCACACTCAGAGCATTAAATGTAGATCGGAGAAACTTGCTAAGACTATACGCGCGAATTTAGCGACGCGGTGTAAGATTAGAATGATATTAACTTGCAATGTAGCGGCGTCTCTTTATTATCATCGTTATTTTGTCTTGCATGGTTTGTTCATTCAGTTTTTTAAGAAAAATACCTGCGCACGCGGGGCACGCGAAGCCTCGCTGAGAGTGCGACGCGGTCCGTACTTTGGTCTCCGGGTCGAGAGAATCCTTGCGCAGCAGCCCCGTTCGTTGATGGCGAATGGTCGATCGCGCTGCGTTCGCGGCGAGACAGCTTTCGTCGGTCTCCGACGCTTTGGCACGTTGGCACACGTTGTCTACAGCACGGTGTCGAGGGTGTCGAAGCTGCGCAGCAGGTGCTCGTCCTTGGAGCACCACTGGACGAGCTCGTCGATGGTGACGAAGCCGTCCTTGTTGGCGTCGATCAGCTGTGAACAGGCAGCCGGTGCGGTGAGTCGCGCGTCCGCGAGGCGAGTCGCCGGCACTCACGTGGAAGATGCGGTCGACGTGCTCGCGCGCCGCCTGCTGGGGCTCGGCGATGTGGGGCGTGGTGTACCTGCCGAGCATCTCGTAGATGGAGCCCACCACGTCGATCATCTCGTGCCTGCTGATCATGCCGTCGCCGTCCAGGTCGTAGAGGCCGAAGACCCACTGGAGCTTGTCCTCGACCGTGCCGCGCGAGATGTTGGACAGGATGGTGAGGAACTCCTGCAAAGAGCGGCCGGCGGGTGAGGCGCGCGCTCGGGCGTTCTCCGTCTCGCCGCGGCGGCTCGGCTCGCTCACCTCGAAGTTGATCTTGCCGCTGGTCTGCTTGTGCTTGATCGTGTTGAAGACGTAGTGCGCGTACTGGCTGGCATCTGCAACAGCCGAACGGCGGTGAGGGCGTCGCCGAGGCGCGCGCTCGGTCGCGGCCGAGCACTCACCGCCCTGCGGGAAGAACTGCGAGAAGATGTGCTTGAAGGCGTCCTCGTCGACGTAGCCGGTGGGGCACTCCTGCTTGAAGCCGCGGTAGATCATCTGGATCTCCTTGCGCGTGAATCGCGTCTTGGCCGAGAGCGTGGTCAGGTCCTCGGGCCTGTGGCGCAGCAGCCCGAAGCCCAGCGTGCCCGAGCCCCCTAAAACTCCTCCCAGATCTTCAACATCCTGCTCTGTAATCCGACAAGCCAGACCAAACACACGCGGCCCATGTACTTCGATCGGCGCAGATTCAACACCTCGCAACTCCTTGGCGCTGCCTCGGTTGTGCGCCTCGTCGAGCAGTGCAAGCTACGGTCGGTGCGGCGCCTAGCGCCGAACTCGTACACAGTGCGCAAATCCTCTACGGCTACCGCGCAACTACTACTTGTCGGAGATAGAGAGGTAGAGAGGCGGAAACGCGCGCGCGCGCGCACAGAGGAAGAAGCTAACTAACTTCGTGAGAGTCGGCCAAAGACAGAATAGAGAGGCAAGCGGGCTTGGAACGAGCGTCAAAAGGAAACGGATTTTTTCTCTCTCGCTTCTCTTGCTCGGATAAAGCCGACGAGCCCGAGCGAGAGCAAAAATTTCTCTCGCTCGCTCGCTCGCTCTTTCGCCTCCGGGACAACGTGCTCTCTACTCTTTCTCTTTTTACCGTCCCTTGCTGACCTTTCCACCCTTCTTTTATTTTTAGAGAGATCGCTTGTTTATTTATCTTTCACAGCGTGCAAGGGGCAAAGAGAGAGAGAGAGAAAAAACGGGCTCGTCATTCATGCGGCGTGCAAGGGGAGGATTCCGGTGTCGTTTATTCTTTTTCTCTTTTTTCTCTTTTCACAGGCCCTGAAAACCACGAAATTGCTTTAAATGCTCGAATGCGTAAATTTATCTCGGCGAGCGAGTGTTTTCGTTTTGACTGCGCAGTTACGCGCGCGAGAGGCGAAGTGGGACAGGATGTAATTAAAAAAGCGTCGACGGGGGTCCTCTCGACCAAGAGGACGCGCGAGACTCGTAAGTTGAGCGACAAAATAAGGGAACAAGAAAACGCAATTCGTTTGGCTTTCATTTCGCGCGTTGCTTCCGAATGTTCATTCTCGAAACGAAACAAGCGAAAGAGAGAGAGAGAGAGAGAGCCGAATGCTCGTCGGGGATAGATCGAGCTGTCAGATGGTTGCGCGCGCGTGGCGAGAGTCGATTCGCGATACGCGGTCGAAATCTCGGCGCCCCGCAATTACATCGCCAGATCTTTCGACGCCTCGGGGCGCGAGATATTTCTATTCGCGTCGAGGGGGGGGGGGGGGGGGGGGGGGGGAATTGTTTTCTCCATTCCACGCGGCTGCGTGTGATGTGAATCGAAAGGGTGCATTCTCCTCTACGTTTCATCTGCATCCAAATCGAAAATTTCCATGCCCGATAAGACGTAAAAAAAGAGTAGGGGGAGGAGTGAGAATGGCGAGGGATCGAAAAGGGCGTCCAGCCTACTGCGTGGCGCGAATTGGGTCGCGCGAGAAGAGACTGACAGCATACGGAATTCGGTTTACCGATCGCTCGCGCTCGGCAATGGACGAGCTTGCGCGAAGCTTTCGACGAAAAGGGCCTCGGTGACTTTGCCACGACGCGCTTCCCACCTCCCCTGTGTCGTGTTCTTTTTATGGTAATCGATAGCTGAATTATTTATCGCGCGTCCGCATTGATTGCCCAATGTAAAAACACGCGGGGCATTAGTTGTCTAGAAATAATTGACCGGAGCACGAGGAGTGCGATTGCGAGTCGGTAGGCAAGAAGTGATAAGGCGACCGGGGGGTGGGGTGGGGGGGGGGGGGTGTTGTCGGAAGGGCTTCGCGCTGAAATCTACGCAAAGTTATCGGGGCCTCGCGTCGCCCGTAGACGCTCTTTTGTCGCGCCGCCGTCCCGGGGAGCATCAGTCACGGCGCGGCTTGCGTCCCAAGCGAGCCGCGGGCGCCGACAGATCCGTCCGACGTTCGATAATCGCTCGGATTAGTCCCGCAGCGCGGATGAATATTCAGTGGCGCGTGCGCTCGCAGCCTCAAAGGCGACCTTCGCTAAAATAAACCGGAGCCGTCAATCGATGGCCAGCCAGCCAGCCAGCCAGCCGCGGCTCCCGGGCACGGCGACGAGCGCGCAACACATGCGCGCCTGCATTATTCAGCCTGCCGCGAGCCCGCGCGTCCGCGGTGGGCCGCGTCGATCTCGGAGATTGCTTGCTTGCCTGCGTGCCCCGCGCGCGTCACAAACCGACGAGCGGACGCCCGACGTTTCGACTCGAGTGCTTTCCTCGGACGGCGCGACGCTTCCCCCCGCGGCTTAACGAGGCCAGGCGGCGCATCGAATTGCAAAGTGCGCGCTCTTTGCCCCCCCCCCCTCCCGCCGCCGCCGCTCGGCCGCGCGAGCGAGGCAACGCCTTTGTGCAGCCTCGCCAATCCTTCTATCTCTCGCTTATTTTATCTACCTCCCCCGCCCTCTCTCTACTCGCGCCAGTGGGAAGAAACCTCTTTAACATAATGCCTCTTTTATGGAGATGATTTTAGTCGCGGTCTGAGCTACGCGCTTCCGCGGCAATAAAGAGCCACTTGGAAGTAGCGCCGTTACGGTCGCCGTCCCTTTGAACCAGTTGGCTTTTAGAGTCCACCTGTTATGCGGCCGCCCGTGGAGAGAGGGACTCCAGCGACGGGCTGTGCAGTTGCGCGCGCTCTCGCGGACAGCCGGCTCCTCGGTGCGGAGTCGGTGCCGGCCCGCGAGCGCACCTTGCGCTATCGACCGCGTTCGGCGGATCTCGGCGAAGCTCGCGCGAGGCGAGTCCGCGGCCGGCAGTCAACGGTCGGATGCTGTGCCGCCGTGTCCAGCGAGCGACGCCCCGCCGCGCTATCGGATTCCGACCCTCCCCTCCCCCGTATAGGCGTATCATTAACGTCCGAGGTGCGATAGTTGTTGACGGATCGATTCGCGGCCGTGATGCCGGGCTAGGCAACGAATCGCGTACCGCCCGATCGAGGTTCCGCGGGAACGAGGTACGGCTTGGGCTCGGAGACGAGGCCGCCGGGATCATCGTCAGCAGATCCGGCTGAGCGATCGGGGGGACGAAACGACGCCGCCGAGCGACGACGACGATATCGAGACGCGGAATACAGTCAGGTGTCGGCAATCCGCTGAGAAATTCGACGCGACGAGCGCTGCCCTCCGCCTACCCCTTCGTCTTTTTCTGCCGCCGCGCTGAAACGCATATTGACTTTTCTGTCGAATAACGGAACTTTGTCGCACTCCTACCTCCCCCTTCCAATAATACAATAATACCGTCGTCGCACGTAAGTAGCTTACTCGTCGCTTATTAACGCGAAGCTGCCTTTTTTCCACGGGAAAGTAGAGGAGAACTCTCCCGCGGTCATCTCGCGCGCTTTGCAGTCAACTTTTGACCCCGTTATAAAAAGCGCCGCACTGGGCTGTGCGACATTCCGGCAAGTCTTCGCGCCAGTCGTAAGTCGCGTATGCGCGATCGCGGAGAGAGAGGGGCTGGGGGGAGGGGCGCTGAAAAGTTTGATTGCCAACTGGCGATTTGCTACACCGCGCGCGTACGTATTTCTTTTCTCGAAAGGCCGCCCGCCGCGATAATTGAGCAACTCGAGCGGAAAGTTCACTCGAGCGACGGGACAAAAGGGGGATTTTTCTTTCTGAGCGCGATAAATTAAGTGATACTCGAGCTTTCTTTACCCTTTTCCCCCCCTCTCTCTCTCTCTCGTTTCTCTTTCCTCGACGAACGTCGATGCTCGTGACGAGTGCCTACGTCGAAAGCACAACATCGGCTTTTGACATGAGAGTCGCGCGCTGCGAGCAAAAATCTCAGAGGCGCCCGTGCGTCTTCCGAAAGACGTCCTCCGAGAGAGAGAGAGAGAGAGAGACGATTATGGTTGGTTTTCGCGACACGGATCTGGTGGAAAGTTGGAGCGCGGCGACGGGCCACGAGCGATAAAAGCCGGGAGCGGCGGCGGCGCGTCGGCAGTCAATAATCGCTAATTGCGCCGCCGCTCTGGCAGCGCTCCACGAGCGTCGCGCGCGAATCTGGGTCGGGCGCGCGCGTGTCGGCTCGGACGCTGGGATCTCTCGCGGCGAAGACGCCCGCGCTCGTCCGGGGGCGCGAGCCCTCGAGACGACGCATCGTCGCGGAATCGATGATATCCCGCGGACGCGGGGCTCCGACCGAGCCCCTCCCCCCACCGCAGATCAGCCGCGGAGCGCCGTGCCGACAGTCAGCGAAGACTTATCGCCTGGAGAAGGCTCGACGCAGCCGGAAAATCCTCGGCGGTTCATCCGCGCGGAAAACTCGGCCGTGATATCCAACGAAAAGGAAAGGAGAACCCTCGAGCCGAGAGAGATAACTCGCCGTAATTCGAGCCACAAACCTTTTAGAGGAAAAAAATAAAGTGAAATAAAATAAATAAAGCCAAAGCAAAGGAAAGAGGAGGAAGAGGCATCGCGTCGATAAAGAGCCGACGTACATATACATATATAGATTTCTTTTTCTCTGGAGTTAGCTCCATCAATCAAACTACGCAGCTGCTTGCGCCTGAGAAAAGGAGCCGCGCTCTCTCGCTCTCGCGTTGCCATGGTTTCCATCCTTGGAAATCCCCGGGCGTTTGAACGCGCATGTGCGCGTGCACACGCGAGGGGGGCCGCTCCGGCAAACGATTGTTTACGCGCGAGCGCATTATACCTTGGGCGAGTCATATCGCCCGAGAGACCTCTTCCGCCGACGGACCGCAAGACTGCGGCGCGCCGTTTGCCCGCGATCGCCGCCCGAATTAATTATAGACGCGAGCGTCTCGGAGGCGCGCGAGCGGGCGGCTTATCTCGACGTAATTAAGCACCGCGAATCGATTCGCGTCTCGGCCCGCGCACCTTCAAAGCCAACCTCGGCGCGCACGCACTGCCGGCTCGGAAATAGGCTGCGCCCCCCCCCCCCCAGAAGAGAGGAGAGCCGTGCGCGCGAAAAGACTCGCAAGCGCAATGCCGACGAGCTTGCCGCCTTTGTTCGCGCGCCGTCGCCGCTTAATTCAAAGCGCGGCTCGTTTATTCCACGAAGAAGGCATTCGCGCGCTCGCTCGGCCGAGATGAAAGGAAGGAAAAAAAAACAACGACGACAATGACAACGCGAGATCGCCTCGCGCGCGTGACTCTTTCGCGA